TTTTCCTCTCCTGTCAACTTTCTATTTTATATAAGTTTCCTTTTTGCATGGCTTGATATCTAGCCACCCCGCAGAGTTCGAAGCAGATTTTGTTCGATGGATTCTCTCTCATTTTCCTGAACCTTGATAAGCATATCTCATTTCCATCCACGATTCAATATCATCCCATGTTGTTATTTGCACGGCGAAAGAAATCTAAACAATCATGTCATTTGAAGCCAATCAACAGGAAGTTTGGGAAATGGAATGGGGCACAACTGGATTGTATTGTTTGGTTCTGTACGAGGTCTATCTATATTCGTTTCTCTCCCCTGTTGTTTCTTTCTTTCTCACCTTTTTGTCAGAGGATACTTAAAGGCGTGGGCGTTCTTTTGTTTTGCCTGTTGTTTTGTCTTCTTCGGCGATCGGCGATCGGCGATTTGATAGACACCTCTTGCATCGTCGGACGCATCAGCAGCAGCAGCAGCAGCCGCGGGTCGGATAAGGGTAACACCACGATTTCAGGTTCAAGTTGTAAAGTTTTCATTCAGTTTTCTTCTGTTGTTCGAAGGAGGTTCCCATGAATTTCAGCCATCGGTTGCTCATTTTTCCTTAGTTCCCCATGGAGATTTTTCATTGCTCTTCGCCGATTTATGTTCCAAATAGGGGAGTTTCGCAGGGGTTGACGGACAGTTATCTAACGTTTCGCATGGAATGAATGGTTCATGATACCAAAGATTTAATTCTGTCCTTCCAAAATTCTATGTACGATTACAGAGCCGGAAATGACCATATTGAGGGCCAAGGGGAGAGGAGAATATTTCAATGTCCTACGTGATAGTAAATTGCGATGATAACGACAGGTAACAGCCGCAAAGAGAGAGAAGAGACTTTGTTACGCCCCTTCTGCCCCCTCCAATATGTTTTTTTTTTTTTTTTTTTTTTTTTTTTTTAGAGTAGTTAATCACTCATCGAGGAGAAATGAATATTTGAAGACGGTAAAAGTAAACCAAGCAGCGCCAGGGCGAATGATGCTGAAATCATCAACAAACACCTAAGCATGTGTGTATGCATGTAATGTGTACCACTGGAATTCATCGGCGATTTGCCGGTAATTCCGCAGCCCAGCGGAGTTTAAATTAAGTTTCGGCGCTATGGGAACAGACTCCGGAACCCTTAAACGAAAGGAGATCAACATGTCCGGGAAAAAAATACGTTAATGAAGTAGTGTGTGTAGTTTACCCAGAGCAGAATATGACAGGAATAATGTTTCGAATGAGGGTTGAGAACTTAATAACGAACTGTTGGAGGGAGAGATCGGGGCAGCATTAGCTAAGCAACGGCCGTTGCGTTCGTTCCGTAGTCAGTTTTACTTAAAGCCAAATTCTTTGCCGACGCCAAGCCATTTCAGCGGCGGGACGATCAAAAGGCCGGTTCATCGCATTCCCCGCAGACAAAACAACACCGCCGCCACCGCCGACTACAACACACAAACAACCACGATATACCCGATTACACTGAGGAGTATAGCTGCAAAGGGGGAGTGACTGGGATCAATTGGCTGGCAGTGGTTGATATAGACAATTTAGATGTCACATGTTCTATTTTAGCTGACTGTTCCCTTTTCTCGTTGAAGTTATTAAAGCCTGTTTTTGTTTCACTGCCTCGCGTTTGCGTGATTGCCTGCGTTTAATTCCGTGGGTGAATTCCACATCTGCCCGTCCTCGTCTATATCTATCCCTCTGCTGTCTCCACACGAGTACATAAAAGGAGATAGTGTCTTATTAAGGGATCCCTATCATAATTTCTAAATCGATAGCTGACGACAATGTCGTTTTTTCTACGTGTTGCGCGGGGCTTCTCGAACCCCTCCAAGGTGTGTGTCCCCCCATCCATCTCTATTCATGGGCCAGCAATTTTTTTTGCTATGCTTGTCTTATGTCAATGGATGTGTGTAACTGACATCATTATCCACACATCTCCAGCATCAACCGTGCCTCCTCCTTCGTGCATTCTCAAACACCCCCCGCCGAAGTGCGATCAACAAGGTCCTCCCCTCGGCCGCAGAAGCCATCAAGGACATGAAGTCCAACTCCACGGTCCTTGCCGGCGGATTTGGTCTCTGTGGGGTGCCAGATACCCTCATTGAAGCCGTACATGCTAATAAGTCCATCACCGGCCTAACCGCCGTCAGCAACAATGCCGGCATCGACGGGGCCGGCCTTGGTCTCCTCCTCGCCAGCGGACAGATCAAGAAGATGATCGCCAGCTACGTAGGGGAAAACAAGACCTTCGAGCGCATGTATCTCAGTGGCCAGATTGAACTGGAATTGACCCCACAGGGAACCCTGGCCGAACGCTGTCGTGCCGGTGGCGCTGGCATCCCTGCCTTTTTTACCCCCGCCGCCTTCGGAACCGTCGTCCAAACCGGCGAACTCCCACTGAAACACAACACGGACGGCACCGTTGCGTCCTACAGCACCCCACGCGACGTCAAGGTCTTCGACGGCAAGAGCTACGTCATGGAGGAATCCATCAAGGGCGACTATGCCTTCGTCAAAGCCTGGAAGGCCGACAGACTGGGCAACTGCCAATTCCGCTTCTCGGCCGCCAACTTCAACGGCGCCATGGGCCGCAATGCCAAGATGACCATCGTCGAGGCTGAGGATATCGTCGAGGTCGGCGAGATTGACCCGGCCGCTGTACACCTGCCGGGCATCTATGTTAAGCGCGTCGTTCAGAGCACGACGGAGAAAAAGATTGAGAAATACACCTTTGCCAAGGAGGACGGTGAGGGCGCTGATATGGCCGCATTGGGCAAAGGCGATACGGCCAGCAAGCGGGAACGCATCGTCCGTCGTGCGGCGAAGGAGTTCAAGAATGGAATGTACGCGAATCTGGGCATTGGAATGCCGATGCTTGCTCCTAACTTTGTAGATCCGTCTGTGGAGGTGCAGCTACAATCTGAGAATGGGATATTGGGACTGGGTCCGTATCCGAAGAAGGGCATGGAGGATCCGGATTTGATCAATGCGGGCAAAGAAACTGTCACGCTCTTGCCCGGTGCTGCAGTGTTTGGCAGTGAGGAATCGTTTGGCATGATTCGGTCCGGACGAATCAATCTGACCATCTTGGGTGCCATGCAGGTCAGCGCAAAGGGCGATTTGGCTAACTGTGAGTTCTTTTTCTCCCCCTTCCTCTTTTTCCTGATTTCCCTTCTGTTCATTTTTTTTTTTTTTTTATCTTCCTCCCCCTCTTCTTGCCACCTCCCTAACACTTCTACAGGGATGCTTCCGGGCAAAATCAAGGGCTTCGGCGGCGCCATGGACCTCGTTTCGAACCCTAGCATGACCAAGGTCGTTGTCACTATGGAACATACAGATAAGAAGGGCAATCCCAAGATCCTTAAGCAGTGCGAGTTCCCGCTCACGGGCCGTGCGTGCGTGAGCCGGGTCATCACTGAGCTCTGTGTGTTTGATGTTGACTTCACGGATGGGTTGACGCTGATTGAGCTTGCGGATGGGGTGACTGTTGATGAAGTGCGGGCAAAGACGGAGGCGCCGTTTAAGGTTGCTGATGTGGTTGGGTCTATGTTGTGAGTAGGGACAGGGGGTTAAATGAAGGGGGTGAAGGTGGATGTTCCGGTGCGCAAATGAGAGATGGGGAATTGGTTGTATATTTGTGTATATACCATATTTGTTTTGGGTATTTCCTGTTGATATTTTGCCTTTGCGCTGTTCTATTTATATATATATATATATATATAAAAGGAGTGCCTATTTCTGCAATGCCCCTTGAATGTGTGGGTTCGTGGCCCCGCTTTCTATCGGGTTGAGATGTGTCAATCGATCTTGATCTGGGATATTTCGATATCCGTTATCCGTTATCCCTTTGCCCTATTTGAGCGTTTTATAGACACATTGATCCACCGACGGAGTATGTATCCGGTTTAAGTAAACCGTCCCAAAATAATAGTATAGCATAATCATACAAGGAAAATAATATATAAAATACAAGACAATACAGTCCGAGCCAATACCCCATCTCTAAAACTCCAATACCTCACCTACCGAAATCTAAAAGCCCCCTTAATCTTCTTCACCATCCTCTTCAACCATCCCCGCTCCGGCGCCTCCTTAAACTCCCTCAGCACATCATCGTAATGCGACGGCGAACTGCGTGGATACCGCAGATTCTGCGGAAGCGGGTATAACCGGTCGTACCGGTTTTCTAAAAGTGAGTAGAGGGCGTTTATGCCAGAGGCGGAGAGTCGTTGGTGGTGCTGTTGTGTTTGTGGTTGTGATGCCGAAGGGGGTATGGCAGGGGCGGTGGGTATGCGGGTTTTCAGATATGTTTGGATGGAGACGGAGGAGGGGCGGACGTGGTCGATCGGCCAGCGGGATATGATGCGGTTTATATGTGCAGAGATGGTTTCGGGGGAAAGCTGGATGACAGGGGTGGTTAGTTAGCTATAGTGGATGTTGAGCGGTGGGGGAAGGGGACGGAACGAACTGTTTTTGTCATGGTGGTTAGTTTTATATGCTTAGGGAGAAGCTCTGCAGGGAGGGATTGGAACTGTAGAGTGGGAAGAGTAATTCCAATATGAATATTATGTGGTGAGAATCTCCAATATTTTCATCGAATGGGAAAAATGTTGAAAGATATGAAGGTCATATTCAATCTGCGTCAATTACAAATGTTTTTCTTTGCTTGCGAAGAGCCGGGCTAGGATGCTTAGTCACCGTGTTGTCATCTGGGTAACTAACTATAACTAGTTAACTAGTTTCCTGGTTTAGTTAGCTATCATGTGATCGCTTACACAACCCCGCAAAACATCACCCTGAATTTCCTGCTTCAATCAACTTCACGACGCTCTCTGATCCAATATCCGATCTCACTGACGTTGCTCGTCTGTTTCTCCTATAGTTCTTCCATTTTGCCCCCTTCTATCCCTTCCCTAGACCCGTTGCTCTTTTCTTCCGAGCTTGTATTGCGTTTTTCGTTCTTCCCTTGGCTCAGTCATGAGCTCACATCGATATCAACGGGTAAGGCAAAAAACCTCTTGTCAACCATTGTCATTTTTTCGATATCATCACCTGTAGTCCCGTCAAACCTAAAACCTATCACAAATCTCGAGAGTTTACAAAGATTGTCGATTGCTAACCGCTTGAATACTTCCAGGCTGATGCCCATGATGTAGAAGACGGTGATGACGTGACCTTATACCCCGGACAATCTGGACCCTTACCCTCTTCTCCTCCTCCATCTTTCCGTTCCAGATCGCTCTCCCCACCCTCGAGACGCGTCCTATCCCAGGATCCCTTATATTCCGAAACAGCTCAAACCCTTGCAGATACGTTTGGCGCTGATGACCAAGACTCAGACGCAGAGGATGAGGCCGATGACAGACAAAGACTTATGAGGGCCAACAATACGACCACCCAGACTGGTAGCCCTTCACCATACTCAGGTAGTGGAAATGGAGCTCAATCTCAGGGCGTATCAGCGTCTGGAAATACGATGCAGCCAACATCCAATCCGCCAGTCTCTACCTCATCTAGAACAATACGCGCGGCGGGGTCGGCAAACGACGGGGTATTTGCGAACTTGGCTGCGAAGCCAGAAAGGGGGGAAAAGACGGAAGATCTGCCACCGGTATGTCTCGGAAAGTCTGACGGATTTTTTTACCTTTTCCAAGTCGAAGCGGGCTCTAGAGGTCTTTGCTAACATGTAGTAGTCATACGAGCAAGCTGCAGCGGACGCCACTCCTCCCTATTGGGAGACCACCATCGTCGCTCCTGGCATGTCTTCTGATGAAGTCTATGTTGATGGCCTCCCTGTCGGCTCCGTATTCTCCTTTGTCTGGAACGGCATGATTTCCACCTCTTTCCAACTCGTCGGTTTCCTCCTTACCTATCTCCTTCACACGACACATGCGGCAAAGAACGGCAGCAAGGCCGGTTTGGGTCTCACACTGGTCCAATACGGCTTTTACATGAAGGGTAGTACCGAGTTGAATCGGGCGTCAGAACCCAACGGCGGCTATGTCAGTCCTCCTGACCCTAACAGCCACAGTTTCGACCCAAACAAGGTGGGACAGGGTTCTAGTGATTCCGATGCGGGCACCGAGTCACATTCAGGCGTGTTCACGGGTATCACAACAAGCGAATGGATATCGTATATTCTTATGATTGTCGGATGGTTCATCTTGATCCGGTCCATTAGCGATTTCCTTCGGGCACGACGACATGAACAGCTGGTCCTGCAAAGCCCCGAACGTGGACTCAGCGTGCCTATAATTGCAGAAGGCGAACAAGCTGAAACAGTTGTTTGAAACTGATGATCTTTGTTGCTACTTGTAATTTACGGGATGAGGGTTTTGGTTTATTGTGGATATTTTCTTCTTTTTTCTTCTTCTTTTTTTACTTTGCTCTTTGGGGGATAACGGGGAAGCGGAAATTTTTGGTAATTACCCCCCACAGCGGTTCTTGGAGCTAAGGTGTTCTCTTGATTTCCTTCTCTTACTATCTCCTATACTCCACATCATTGGCTGTTTTTAACCTCTTACCGTTTTATTCATATTCTCTTGTACAGTGAGTGTGCATGCAGTCTCCCTGTACCTCTCGTATTGGTGTAAACTTCTACATGCATACGTCATCCCCTTCTTGTCTCGCTGCCTCTTTGGGTCATTTTCGGTGCGGGTTATTCGAGCACTCCTACTGAACACATATCTATATATTTAAAGCAGATACCAACACAAATTCTCTGTCCAATTTAGTTTGGTGTTTCCTTGTATGCACAGATGGTTTCATCATTCATCATCACAGTGTGGCTTATACCGAAGCCCAACCCATGCATGTTCATTGGAGGGCGACTTGTGGTCTGCCCTTCTCCGTAGGGTAACACCAGCGATCGTCAGATCTTGATTTTGATTTTGATATTCCAATGCGATATATTATTGATTTAATCGTCCGCCTGGTATATAACCTTAATTTTCATAAAGTTGCGACCTTTACCGCTCGCCCGAAGACATTAGGTTCCCACTTATTCCATCAAGGATGTTGTGTGCTCTTCACCTTTGCCCCGTTCGTGTTTCTTGCTCTGCAGCCTATCAGGTCCGTCTTGTTGGGTTTTTTTTTTTTGTTTTTTTTTTTTTCTTCTTCTTCTTTCTTCTTTGGGCCGCTAGATATATAAGAAACGCCCCGACACATCGAGAAGTGCTTTTGCTTCCTGGGAGCTCTATTCCGTACTGTCGTGGATATAGCGCAGCTGAAGAGGGGTTGGGTGTGGTGGGGGGAATACGAGGCGCTCGAATGGCTAAGCAGTTACTAGGGGCAATCTTTTCTCAAAGGTTTGTTGTATCTTTTATTTTTGGTTGCTCTCTAATTGCCATTTCGTTTGCCTATTTAAACCCCTCATGAAGCTGCACATTTTTGTGCTGGCTCTTCTTACCATTGCATTTCTCTGATGGAGTTGAAGAAGTGTGTAATTGCACTCACTGCAAGACAAAGCCTCCTATTCTCTATAAAAATATATGTCTCCGTGGGGGTATTTATAACGTTCTAGATTTGCGCCGGCTTTGTGATCATAGGTTATTTTTGCATCCATGCTGGTGATTGGTCAGGCGTAGCAACAGTCAAAAGGCAAACAGGACCCAACGATAATGATTATGATTATGATGATGATTATGATGATGATGATGATGATGCAACAAACGCTGAATGGTTGAAGCAACACAAGGTGGATGGCAGTTCCAGGAACTGATATACCTCGAGATATATTTATCTATTCAAGACAAAAACTGAGTCTCCAGACCTAGTTGGATATCACCAGGATCATGGACTCCTCGCGCCGCCGCGTCGTGGAAGCAAAATCGCATCTTCCGCTGATGACTCTGGCTGCCAACCCTCCTCGCTACCCGCGCAATCCGTCTAAAGCTCTGTTGGAACCCCTCGTGCTATATATCGTCCGTGTGCCTGGTAGTAGAGGTACGTGATGTCATATTTTCTTCTGGAGGAGACTGGTATGGAATATGTGACGTCGCAGATGATATACCACAACAATGTAAACGTTTGCATCCTTTACACTGACGCACGTAAGGAAGAAAGAAAGAAAAAAAAAAAAAAAAAAAAAAAAGGAATAACGGCCCAAGTCTTGCTAACCTTTGTTTTATATTCTATTCAGATGTCTTCCTTTCTCCTTTAAAACCCCCGACTGAATCTAGCATCACGTCCGAACTCATTAAAGCGGCTCTCTACTACATACATGTCGCAACCCCAGAGGATGAGGCTGTTCTTCGAGCAATTGAAAAGGAAAAGCACTCCAATAAATTTCTCCCGAATCCTCACCAGTCCTCCTCTTGTGTTACGCGGTTGAACTGCGTTAACAGAAAACCAGCACCAGGCGCTAATACGCAGACTAGAGAGAACAAACGGCATTCGATTCCCAGACGGCCTGTATCGTCAGAGAGAAATATCCCAAGCGAGGATGCTCAAGCATGGGACCCTCGGATTCCTGATGCACAGGTGCCCAATAGCCAGAATGAATCACGGTGGAAACGACACCTCCCTCTCCGGAAACCGTTACCGCCTCCTCCCACAGGCTCCAGCAACGCTGCCCTCCCTCAGCCAGCCCCCAATACTGCCGAATCTATCGCAGAAGAAGTTGACCCGAGATGGAGAGAGCAATCCATAAATTCGATAGCTCGAAGCAATAGCGAATCATTGACATCATCCACTGTTCCTACGATGGAGAGACAACATAATGGACGAGCTAGCTGGCATGACGGAGGTTCGTCAATTACGTCCGAACGGCCCCAGAGGCAGAGCTTTTTCAGGCCCTCACATCTCCTCACGGATCAGATCTCCAGAAATTGTCGTATATCTAGTCCGTTTTCCAAACCGGGACGACGGCGGATGAGTGTGAAGGCCCGGGAACTCCCTCCCCCTTTCCACCTCACGCTTATACGGCGTGATACGACCAATGACCACCAGTGGAACGTGGGGACAATAACGAACTGCGCTTCCTCATCCTCGCCAGATGTAGCATTGGACGGCACGATAGCAATCGAAATCCTCACGCCGGGCTATAAGAAGCTGGCAGGAGAGCGAATGCCCTTGTTCCCAACAGAGCGACACACCCCTTCCACATCCACGAATGGCGAACCGTTAAAATTCATCCGCCACCTCACCTTCACCTCCCCGCAAAGCCGTCGCAATGGCCATGGCCACATCTGGACCTCCAGCAGCAGCTCCCTTTCCCTAGATCTGGCCTATAACAAAGATCCACCTGCTTCAAAAATACAACGAGGCAAATACTACTCTTTCACATCGCCTTGGGAAGGCATCTGCACCTTCACCACAAGCGTCAACGGCCGCACCCTAAAGTGCAAACATACCATCCCCAACAGCATCCCCTCCCTTGCCGGCCTAAATCTCCCAACCACTACAAACAGCGACAATCCAGATGACCCCAAGCCCCGTCTAAACTTACAACAACTGCAATCCGCCCTCGAATCCTCAGCCGCAGCTGCTAGTTCTGCCCCGTCAACACAGGGATCAACCGTCACAGCGGCAGAGATCCGCTTCAATCTACCCATGTTCTCCTCGCAAAATAGTGGACATAATTCCAAGAGCAATACCCCATATGCCAGCCACGATGCTACGAATGAGACTGCCCTGATAGCGAGCGTCCTTCGAAGCCGTGCGGAGGGGCTGGCTGGCCGCTTGGATCTTAGTTTGGGTCGTGAACGCGCCGGCGGGGGTGCGTTTGGTAAAAGTGCGAAGTTGGGCAAGTTGATTATTGAGGATGAAGGGTTGAAGATGTTGGATCTGGTTGTGGCGGCGTGCATGGGGGTTTGGTGGGGGGTGTATGATGGTTTATGTTGACTGAAAGAGGTTGCTTTAGTATTTGAACTGGATTTGATATTACGTACCGCGATATATATGGGTGCAGGGTAATATTGAGGTATGAGTTGTGTGTTGGAAGACATAACGAAATCTCAAGGCGTTGGAGTTGGATAATTTGGAGAGAAACGAATCCTGCTGTTTTTTTTTTTTTTTTTTTTTTTTTTTTTTTTTTTTTTTTGCCCGCTGCAAAAATGGAGCCGTTCTTGGATTTGATACACTGTACTTGGATAAGTTGACTGGGAGGAACCTGACCACATCCCGCTGTACGGGGTTTTACCTCTTTGCGTTGTTGAAGGAGGATGATATCCCTCCGTCTAATGATGAAATACGATTTACATCTTCTTCCACTCCTCCCTTTTTCTCCTCCCTCTCCTTTCACAACCACACGCACTTAGGACCGTCTAGACATCCCACGGAACAACATCCGCACGTATATATACCCCCGCTAGAAATACACAGCAACAATTCAATTGAAAAATAGACTCGCTAAGGCTGGGAAAGGGGTTGACAGGGTGCTATTATACCTGAGATGCAAAAATGCATGCCCAACAGATCAAAATCTCCCCTGTCCTCCATATCTGAAAATCCACGGTCCAAAACACAACCCATACATTCCCATCCACCCTCCCTCTGTAGTCCTTTAGCAAAAAGCTACACGGTGCTTTCTGAAAGAATAGAAAAGAGAAACAGACAGACAGACAAACAAAGAAAGAAAGAAAGAAAACACTGAATGTAAAGTCGAGTTTCATCATTTTGTTGGTGTGGATGTCTCTTGGGATTTTGGGTTCGTTGGTACGTATATATATGGAGGGTTCAATGGTTTGCAAAGGGGAGAAGGGGAAAGCCAAAACACAAAAAGTGACTGTCATTGGCCGTGAGACTTTCACTTTTCTTGGATCGACATCTGGATGTGAATGCCGGTGGAGCGATTGACTAGGGATGGCGGCTCTCCTTTTTCTGTCATCGGTTGAATGTATGTGGGTAGTATCGTGAAATTTGGAATAAACCAAAAATTAAAATAAAATAAAATAATTAAAAAAGGAATAGATAGCTGTATCTTGAGTGTCGAGAAGGGGAAACGAAATTTTCTTCGGATTCGATTCACCAAACATATAAAATCTAGATAAATGAAAGGAGAGAGAGGAACAAACAGTTGGGGGCATACCGGACCTGAGTAGCATATCACGATGACTATAAGGAATAGTAGCAAACACGAGGTGAAAACAATGGGTTCTCAATGATACAACGAGTTACATATATGAAAAAAAAAAAGGTTATGACCAAAAAAAGACAAAAATAAGAGAGAAAACGAACGCCCATGATTGTTTAACCAATGAAAGAAAAAAAAAATGTAAAAAGAAACGAGGTATATGGGGTAAATCAAAAAGGATAAAAAAAATCCTTTCCTTTCCCCGACATACTTTCTTCGGAAATACCCGTTTAACCACACAAGCCGCGTCCCGTAACCAGGAAACCCACACATCCGTGATATGGTATTTGGGAACAGTTGAAAGGAGATATTAAAATGAAAAAATAAGCCGGAGAATGGTAGGGGTGTGATAGGATCTAGGTGTGCAGCGCTTCTTGGGCTAGCACATTACGCACTAAGAAGCAGAGAACCAAAAAGAGGACAAAATAAGAAAACAATTCAAAGGCATGAATGAAGCAGCGTGAGTATGTTGGGGTGAGAAGAATTTTTTTGAAGAGTGTAATAAAGTAGGGACCATATTACAACATGTCAACCTTTTCCATCATCATTCACTCGGGTGGATAGATTTCAAGTTGTTTGGTATTAAGCAGAGGCCAGGAGTTACGGGGTGAACCAGTTCGAACCTTGTTAGGAGGAATCCCCGTAACCTATTCCACTGTCTCTCATATACTGGGTAAATCAAAATTGGTAAACAATGGGGTTTTTTTATGTTGACAAACAGGTCGTCCGCATCATCACGCTTCAAATGCCATAACGCCAGATACAGTTGTGGATAAGAGCTCGTTAAGAACAGTCGAATGTAGATCGAGGAATCGGAGGGTGAGAGGAGGTGAGAGGGAGTGCATGGGAAGAAGAGCGTGCGTGAACATAGGAACGAAGGAGGAATATCGAGAGTTGAAATATAAGTAAACGTAGCAGCTCGACGAGAAACGGGATGACAGCGTGCACGTAAATTCAGAGGAAGTAGAAGAGAATGTTCACGCAATTTGTAACCTTCTGGAGAGAGGGGTTGTTGGAAATTATAGACAGGCTTGGGCGAGCCAGCTCCTTCCAAGAATTCATTAATAATTACTGCCGTCCGGGTTGGTAACCTAAAAGAAGCTTGTTAGTAGCTGACAAACGGGGAGAGAACCAGCTGGGGTATTCTGGCAGCAGCCATACCTTCAAAATCCTTCTGGAGAAATCTTGGTCATCAGCGATGCTACCATTGCTCTGGCGTCGTTGTGACATCATGGCTGGATCCAGGCGGGAGTCGGACATTGAGGATTGCTGAGAATTAAACGGCTTCCCCCCAGAAACGAAGTTGCTAATGGTAGCGTTGCGGCGATATTCCTCCTCCACCTCCTTGCGCTTTTTGTACTTCATGTATAAGAACCCAACGCCAATTAGGGCCCCGAGAGCAATAACGCCAACTACCACACCAGCTGCGATGCCAGCTTTGTTCGAGCCACCCTTTGGTGTTGCAGAAGATGTGGGCGTGATTATGATGGTTTCCCCTGCACCAGTTGTGAGAACTGAAGAAGAAGTGGAAGTGCTGGTACTCTGTGACGAGGTCCTTCCGCCAACTACAGGGATCTGCTTCTCCTTCAAGAGGCCAGTAAGGTGAACGTTATATGCATTGAGTCCTCCGCCTGGAAAATGGTCAGCTTTTGGTACTTGAAACGAGTTTTGATTGGGGACATACACGTCTCATTTGGAAATCCTTGGCAACTTAGCTTGCACTCTTCGGCTTCTGCCTTATCCGAGTCTGCTGGTATTCTATCTCCGCAATAGCAGTTGGAGCCTTTGTAAAGTGCCATGACAGATTTTTTCAGTTTCAGGCATTCGATCTGACAATAACCAATTGACTGCCAAGTGTATTCTCCAAGATCCTCAAATGGATTCACCGCTTTGTAGCAACCTATGTCGACGGTCTTGTTCTTTGGCCCGATAATACCATCTCGAAGAACGACATGAATAGGATCAGATGCGGCCATGGTAAGGACGGAGGCCAAAACAATAGCCCGGTACGCGAATGACTTCATCTTTAAGAAGGTGTGAGGTATTCGAGTAGAAGATATGGAAAAAAAAAAAAAAAAAAAAGAAGAAAGAAGAAGAAAAAGTCCAAATCGTGATTGGAAGTCGTATAATCCAATACTGGAGTCCTAGGGCTCTCAAGCAAGAAACCAGCAAGGACAAACTAAGATTCTATTCTCAGTTATCCAACCCGGATTTACCTCCCTATCCTTCTATCGTGACGAAACTGCTGGAACGTTTCTCCAGTTCCTTTCTCTCTTTCTGTCCTTCCTTCCTTCTCTCTAGAAGGACAGCAGATTCCTCTGAATATCGTCCTCCCTTAGCAATCCACCATCGAAGCGGTTGTTGTTCCTGGGTGATGGCAACGATAGATAATTGGCTCCTATCAATGGGTGACTGACCCACGGCAAATCCGGGCCCAAGCAGGGGTCTTCGATGGAAGTAACGCTCGATAAAAAATCAAACAGAGGTGTACAGATGGTCGATATACGAGAGACACGCAATGTCTGGATGTGGATGTGTATCTGGGCGGTAGGGTTGTTAAGGAGTGGGGAAGAGGAGTCGACTCACCCCCTGATGTCTCTGTGCAGGACGATCGGTCAAACAAGAGGGAAAATGAATGAACGCATGAAGGAGTATTATTATTCTGGAAGCAGGAGAGAATCCAAGGGAACAGAAAGACAGTAGGACGACTGCCACAGTCGATAGCAGCCAACTAAGGAGCGGAAATGGAGGGTGGAGGGGAGGGCGGACTGGATAGGGGGATGTTGTCCAAACGAGCGTGGATGAAAGACAGTGTTTGGGGATTGCAGACTTTTGGGAGCGGACGAAGCAGCAGCAACAACAACAACAACAACACCACGAAGAGCGGACCAGGCAAAGGTACAAGGCACAGACAAGACAGAAACAACCACAGGCAAGCGACTAGGCCGCTTTTGGCGGGAGCGTGAGAAAAACCGCCTGGTTGTATATTACGGCTGTATCTTGCTTTGTATGTACAGGTAATGGGCGGTGGACAGACAGTATTACTAGTGTAGCCTCTGGGTGCAGGCTTGCGACGGTCAGGATTCTTTCCCCCCCTCCCCAGCAGCAGAGAAATGGGTCCGGCCGATATCTCGATATCTTAGTCGGCTCTGATTGGCGAAGGCGCCATTTAAGATCCGTCGCTTTGACACTGCGTTCCTGGTATGTAAGATACGGATACTTACGGGCTCTTCCCGACGGAGTTGACCTGTTTTTTACCAACCAACCACACGTATCAGTACTGTACCACTGCACCTGTCCGATACCTGGTTGGTTCGTCAACGTTGGTCGTTACCAGGAACACCCTAGCTTATTCAGGCTAAACCTTAAACCTTCCACCTTCCACCCCCGGGTTTGCTTCCTTGGATGAACTCCTATATCAAAGAAGATTCTCAGCAGCAGCTCTAAGCAACTCTCAGCGTCCATTGTCCGGTCCTCGGACACAGCAGACGATGATGGTAATTGATTTTGGACTACCGGCATACTCCTCCTCTCCCTTTAGAATCCAATCGAAAATAAGAACACCCAAATAAGTAACCTCTCAAAGAGAGAGAACAACGCACACACAGTCAGTTTTTCCGCATGCCGGGTGACGTTATCTGTCAATCCATCCGTGGATTTGTTTGCCCCTTGGATTTTTGCCTCTCGTTTCAAGGTGCTTGCTTGGAGACATTCTCTGGTTATCTTTTTAAGAACAAGGTTGAAAACAAGACTCAGGAGGCAAAAACTCCCCTCTTCCAACTGCCTCTTTGTTTTTGACGTCCTTTTGGTCTCCACCCACCCCCCACCACCTCTAAACCTCCCCTTGGCACAGTACAAAATACAATCTCAAAGAAAACTCGAGACTCAAAATATTCATGGGGTGAGATGGTTCATCGAGTCCCTGAGAAACCAGTCTTGACATTCCCCAATCCGCAAACAACCACGTATGTAAAATAAACACGTCAGAACCCTTGGAGGCCTCGTAACACAGCAAACGCCACAGCTTGGGTAGGATCTCGGAGCAGGGATTGGCCCTATTTGGGTCCCATTTTACCAGCTAAACACCCCCCCTTTACGACTTGAGAACTTGAGAAAAAGTTAGCGGTCGACCCTAAACTCAAACTGAACAAGCGTTGCAAAATTTCAAGTTTTCATCCCTGTGTTGTCATTAGCACAGAGCAGCCAGCAAACATGCAGATAAGCCATGAAACTTCAAACAAAAGGGTAGCAGCTTGACTCTTTTTACTCGATATTATCTGAGGTTGATCAGGACCTAGTTTGTTTCAATTTGATGGGTTGCTTTTGTTTGTTGTTCCTGCCACTCTATTTTCAATGGTCTTCGCCCTCCAAGCTTGGAGGATCCCATTCCAATAATCCTAGATGTTTGTTGGACTGCATGGGTATTTTAATCTTGGCTCAAGAGCGGGCTAGGAAGATGAGGAGAAATACTCGCCCCGGTTGGAGGCTCCCTCGGTCATCTCATCTCACCGTTTACGTCTAAATGCCTCGAATTTAAGACAGGTGGGGAATGCTCGAGGTCTTGAAAACGACCCTCATCCGGGAATTAAGAAGCAAATCGCCGCTTAAATAGCTCTCGGGGAGACCGTTCTCATCATTCCTCTTCCAAGCACAATCCGACAGGTTTCCGTGAAAGAATTGTCGTAGTTCATTTATCCTACACGAGAGTACCCAGTATATAATATGCATGCACGTTACGACTCGGGTTCCTTTCGACTAGTAGGTATTCTGCAAAGTAATCGCTGTCTTAATGAAAACAAGACATTTTTTCCTCAACCATCAAATCAACCGTCTCTCGTCCCTTGCACGTTCCCCTGTTAGCTGTTGGTGGTGTGTCGTTCATCAACCTTGCCTATCGCAAGCTCTTACCGAGGACTACAAGACATTATCCGTCAAACATCCCTGGAATGGACGTGCGGGTAACCGCATCAACCCAACGACAGATTTTTTCCAGTGCTGGTGTTGCATCTTTAAAAAAACACCAAAAGGATACGAATGTCCACACTTGTTTGTCTTCTAGAAGGAAAGCAATCAGGAGGAACGGTTCCGAACGGCTTGCTATCATTTTATTTTAAGAAGAAGGTGGGAAAAAACACCCCACTATCCGGTTCACAGCCTCCAGCAAATCCTATGGTTCTCATTTTTATGTTGACTATTTTCCAGCCACGATGTAGGCCATGTATAAATATAACCACTTGACTTGTTCTGGACCTATTTAGGAGGAGGGAAGTGTCTAGACATGCATTGTTCTAAAATAAAAACGTAGTTGATATCTGCACTTCGGTTAAGATGAGTGAATGATACTGTGATACTGAGATGCGGAGACGGTTTGTGTTTTCCGTTTCACGGTACGGGAAAGAAAAAGATTCTACCTTTCCTGCAATACTCCCAAAATCCCGGGGGACATGATTAAGAAAGACAAACTTCAACTCGTTCCGGATATCTAATCGAAAATCAGGCAGAATGCATGTTAGGTTAACATCAAGATGACTCTGCGCATAACTGTAGCTGAAGACAACAATTCTACGGAGAACGGACCTGGCCCAATTATTCCGAACCGCATAGAGAAATCCTCCCCTGCGATTCCACAGTTGGATGTTCACCCCCTTGAAGTTGATCTCCGCTCAACTGCGCGGTTGGGCTCTCCCCAATCGCGGATTCATCAGTCAGAGTCTCCAGTCACAGTTCTCTTTCGCATCAACAATAACCGCTGTCGTCAACTGCCAATGCCATTCACTGTTTTGAAACTTGCCGTTTTACATGTGCCAGCCATACATGAGTACCACCACGCCTGGCTGCAGGTGTACATCCATTAATCCATGAATTTTAAATGTTGCGATTAACCGCCATGCCAGCATATGTTCATGTTTCGTTCATGTTTCGAAGAGCCGGCTTCTCGAACTCACATATCACTTGACGCAAGCTGCGGTGTATTGCACTTCCAGCTGAACCAATTACATGCATTAATTATTTATTTATTTATTTCTTGCCCCCACCCATCCAATCTCGACTCACCCCAGCCATCATTGCAGCTTTTGTACAAGTTTGGCGCGTGGATGAGCGAGAAAGCGGGGGGAAGGCTGTTCGATTCGCGCCAACCACCCACGCGCCAGGCATGTTGTGGCCATCCCACAGCGTCATGCACTCAACATTTCACAATTTCTGCACCCTCAGGCCCTCAGTGACATGTTCTCTACAAAGCGGTTACGTGTGCATGTACGTATGGACGTTACATATAAGCACCATGCAACCTGTATAGTGGTACCAGCAGAGAAAGGGCTTTTGATATTGCGGATCGACATGCGGAAATCCTAAAACGATGCGATGATGACGATGGTGTATTTATCTGGCTAGTGCAGATCGTTCGCCCTGCTGCTTTGTTATTGGATGTTTGGATCCTTCTGATGTGTTTCATGGCAACGATGTTGAGAACGACGTCGCCTTCAGAAATAAAGGAAGCGGGAGGCCCGGAAGAGGAAGAAGAAATTATGCCCTTTCGAGTAAGGGTTGTGAAATGCTCCTCCATTATTTCCCTTCGGGGTTGTGTTTATATTTTTAATTCTACCCAACAGCAAACGAAGAGCAACATGGTAGCTATCGCAGAGAAAGACTAGAAGCCAGCCAAGGGTTGATAAGCAGAGGCTTTCCGTGCACTTGAACTCTCTCGAACACGTCAGACTGTTCATCACATGGCGGAACGGATTGAAGCAACGCAAAGACTCAATTTTAAGGGCTTGCAACGGAGGCATCGTTGCGTCCTGGTCCCTTAATCGCTTCACCCAATCGTTATATTATTTTCTCCCCCCCCCCCCCCCCCCCCCCCGTGGAAAGTGCTTGTTGATAATAATGTATTCGGGATCTATGGAGTACCAGGCAAGACTTTCGAGGAATGAATGTCCTGCCGATGATGCAAGAGCCTGGATGCTGGAGTTTAAATATAGATTTGCGTTTTGCATGCTTGCCTCGTATGAGCCGCTATTCTCTTCTTGTTCCATATCCGTGCCACTCAGTGGCATACAAGTCATCGCTTTCGCTCATGTTTGGGGGGAGTGGATTTTAACAATCTTTCCGGAGGACATGTTTACCAATTGGGAACCGGGGACCGGAATTCTTGAACCCTCTCTTGCTCTGGCTAATGCCACCCTCTTCTCAATGCATTCTGGCCTGTGTTGCTTGTATACAAATTCGAAGATTGTTCCCGGTATGCACATACATGTCCTTATCGAGGATGGACTGCGTATCTATGATGCGTTGTGACATATTTATCTATGGGAACAGTGACATATTCAGCCCTGTCTTAAATATATCCTTTTTTTTCTCTCCCTCTTCCTGATTTTATTGTTTTTATGGCCTATATCCCACCTTCAGGGTTGAACTTTACAGGCACTATCCGAAAAAAAAAGAAAGAAAAAAGAAAAGAAGTTCCGTCCTCTCCGTTCATATATGTTCATTATACCCGGTTTGTCTTTGGCTACCTGTTCGGACCGAAATATCATATGTCTGTTCCTATACTCTCCTTAGTCAGGTGAGGGCCTGAAGCTCCCCTGTTTCCGTGGAGGCCGCCATTCGGAGCTGCAGACCTCACAAACTGCCGTACTCATAGCTTCAGCTAGTTTATGGCTTGCTTTTGTCGTTTCGTGCGTGAGGGTTGTAAAGATGGCTGACTTGGCATATCTATCACAGACGGTTCAATAGATATTTGCAGATTTGAGGCCCATAGTAGTCAAGTTTGTCATGAGTTATCTCGCTCGCACATATTCGAAAACCTTCGTGCCGCAGAGTTCCATGGTAGGAATAGCATGGTGCCGATATGGACGAGCCGATAATCGCGCAGAATGTCATAAACGCATATTTGCGTGGGCATTTATGGCTTCCTTGTACATAAAGCGCCACAATAACATATCTTGAATATATCCATGATCGAGGAACCCAGATATGAGAGCCGGAGATATTTTCCTTTTATAGATGAACAAAAGGGATATTCCTTGATGTTATTCGGAAGATATGCCATTAGTGTGACATTCCCTATCCCTTTCCATCATCCCTTTTAAATCCTGAAAACATAGCAGAAACAGACAGACAAACATGCAAACAGCAATAGGTATGTCATATAAGAAGCGTGGGGAAAGGGAAACAACACAAAAAAACCAACGTATCCCACTATTTTGTCTTCCTTTGAAAAGGACCAAAAATGTAACAAGATATTGCCCGCCCCTTCTCACTGCTTTACTATCAAGAATCCCCCCTTGTTACGCTATCTGTCGTATACACAAAGTTTCACTCCTCCTTTGCACCCCCCGTGTCTTTCACATATGCTTGATTCCTTATCCCTCCTCACAGTTTCGGAATATGTATCGTCCTACTAACCATCAAACAACCATGAACCACAAACAAACCAACAGCCGGGTGAAATTCCAATAGTGAACCGGCACCCACCACGCCAAACGGTATTTCCCCCAGAATCCAATCCTGCGACACCCAATACGCCATCAGCGCCGCAATCGCCAGTGTCGTCGGAATCGGCGTGCCTTCGAAATACTGCGCTTTGCCCGATGTATCCTTGGGCAGAGTGGCGACGGTCACATTGAAGCGGGCAAGTCGGGTAAGGCCGCATAGGACGAAGAATGTGAGGAATATGTGGTCCAGGGGGCTGCGCATGCCGATTGCGAAGGCGGCGGCAGCGGGAGCGATGCCGAAGGAGACCTTGTAGATTGAAGAAAGATTGTTAGATGGGGAGTTCAGCAAAACATGGCGATCATGCATGTATTGTAGTTTTGGTATTACCAGGTCAGCTAAAGAATCGAGTTCTTGGCCCATCATTGACGCTTTTCGTCGCCACCGGGCAATTTTTCCGTCCATAAAATCGAAGAAGAGACCAAATGGCATGAATGACAGGGCTATCCAAAGATCCCTATATTGGGTCGACTCGCCTAGACAGTATCGCATCGATGAGAAGACAGACATGACTAGACGCATGTTAGATGGGAAGATTTCGGATTTCGGGTTTCATATCAGGATGTCGACTTGCCTCCGCAAAACCCTTGTAGCGGTGCAAAATTAGTTTTGCGCAACGAGAAACAGAGAGCACAGAAGGATAGCCGAACTTACCATTCAATTCGGTAACAAGATCGGCCAGATGTAGCGCCCTGTATATATCGAAATAATAACCACGTCAATGACTTTGTTTTCTTATTTTAAGACCTTGCGATAGGAAAAGGTTATGTAAGAGTGGGAGCAGACCTGAGCAAGCTGAAGTGGCCCGAGTCTGCCGAGAGCAGCATTTTCTGCTTGTCTATTACTGTAGCAGCATGTTAGCTGCATGCGCCCAGCAGCCATCCTTTAGGGATTTAATATAAGCGCTCACCACGGTCCTTGCTGTTTGTATCGTTGCTGGGAGCATCGCTGCCAGCAGGGCTGGGAGCGGCGGAGCTTCTTCTCGACATACGGAGTAGAGGGGGGTTATTATTGTTGAGTTACTACAGCACTGGATAAAGTAAATTTACCCAAGAGAGCAAGAAAAAAAAAAGAATAAAATATCTGGTTGGCAGTGGGGGAGTGGGTGGATGGTATGGAACGGCGATGGAAGAATAAATAACGAAATTACAAGTTGAGACTCGAGAGTTGTCGAGGTTCACCAGAAACCAGCCGGGGAATAACATTTCGTCATATTTTGAGGGGAACCAAGCCCCCGAACCAAAACTGCACATGAACAGAAAGAAAACGGCCTCTTCGAAAAGTTGGAACCGCTGAGTTTCGATGAAACTCAAATACTAACCTTGGAGGTTCTGGAAGACTATATGCTCTCTTGTAGCTAATCTTTTATGGAAATTCTTCAATTGGCTCAAGCAGAAAAAATGCATTGTTTTTACAACATACACTCAGGTATCTTAGATATTCAGTCCGTCCCACAATTAAATAGTTACCCAAATTCTCCAATAAAGCAGAAATCGAAAAGAAAAATAAATAGAGATGGAGAGAAAAGAATCGTTTTTGTACACAGCATGTAGCAGTTGGGTAAATTAATAACCGTCGTTAAGAACTCCCAAAACGCCGATAAAAGAAAATAAATAAATATAACTAGAACCTCTTCCCGCCAAATCCCCCGCGAGACCCGCCCCTAGAGCCGCCCCGGGATGAAAAACCTCCTCTCCCACTTCCTCCGCGCGGCGCCCCTCGTCCTGGCCCTCCGCCTCGGCCTCGTGGAGCGCCTCTTCCTCTGGGAGCTCCGCGACCACCACGCCCACCACGCGACGCACCCCGCCCAGCGCCACCCGCTTTCTTTGGTTTTGACACACCTAGACAGGGTAAGAAAGTATATTGCGATGTAGAAAACAGGAATTAAATGGGTATACCTACCTGGTGGTGGTTTTGCCTTAGGCAAAAACCTGGGGGAAGAAAAAGAATATGTTAATTGACTTGCTCAGTCGGCATATTTGGTGCTTGTTTGATAGGTTGGGTTACATACTTTTCCAATGGCAGCAACTTGTCTCCTCCAATGTAGAACTTGTCGCCTGATTTGAACGAAGTTGCGATGATTCCTTCCTGGGGCTTTATGGTGAAGTAGACTTGGTTGATAGGGCCGAGGACTTCATCAACTTTTCCGACGGGAGTCTAATGCGCACGCATAAACCATTTATAAGTATTAAAATCTCATGCCTCCTCCTTCACATGCGTAACTTTGGGTTAAGTGATTTATCCGCACCTTATTTTCCAAGTATATCGGCGCATTGAAGTAGGGGATTTTAGGGTTGATGGACTCGCAAACCATCTCTCCTTCACAGGCGTGCAAGAACGAACCCATTTCTGCCCACATTAGCTTCCTACGCAGGAAAGGATTCGATCGCAGGCTTAAGGCTCACCCAATACTGAAGGTGGAGGGCCGAATGACGACTGGAAACCGCCTCGTCCTACGGAATTATATATGTCAGATTAAAATCAAGTCAACAGCAGGCTTTGTGCACTGCGGGAGTCAACCTACCACCACGTCCTCCGCCTGAGCCGCCGCGATTGGCTCCAGAAGCAAAGCCACCGCGACCTCGACTGCCTCCTCTAAACGACATGATTGCGGGTGATTGAGTCGGTGATGGGGAGGAATGCAGCACTGTCGAGGGCTTTTTGGTAGCTTCAATTAATTTGTTTCTCCGACAAAATTTGGTGGGAGCAAAAAAGCTGCACACGTGACACACCGCTTTCCACGATTTCTTTTTTCTGCGTGTCAATATATGATATAGACAAGGAGACACAACTGGACTTAGACTTGTCTCACAGCAACATACAGACATTGCTGTATGAGGAATTAGCTGTGCCAGTCCATCACCGTGTACCAATATGGCTGGAGATACCTCCAGCGTTCCCGGTTCCGAAAATCAGCACCAAGGCCTTCCTTTCCGTCCTGCCATGGGTCATGCCTCCGTCGATTCATCTGCCCCGCCTCCGGAGAAAGCTGTGAATGCCAAGTCGAAGAAGCCCGAATCCACAGCCGAAGAGCCTCTACCGGATTTCATTGTAGAGCGGAATAAGCTGTTTGAGGAGCTGAAGCGAAAACATGACGAAGAATTAAAACATAAACCCCGCTTCGATATCAATATCACTGTTGACGTTGGCGACTCTCACCCTTCCACAGTCATTGGCAGAGCGTGGGAGACCACTCCAGGCTCGTTTCTACGTGATATACCCAAGGAGATTAGTTCTACTGTGGTGGTTGCAAAGTTGGATGACAAAGAACTTTGGGATTTGGACAGGCCGTTGGAAAGGGATTGCAGGGTGTCTTTCCTCCCTTTTGACTCTTCAGAAGGGAGGGAGGTTTTCTGGCATTCTAGCGCCCACGTACTGGGAGAGGCATGTGAGTGCTATTACGGCTGTTTGCTTTCACATGGCCCGCCGACCCCTCAGGGATTTTTTTATGATATGGCCTTGGAGCCAGGGTGGGTTTTTTATTTATTTTATTATTTTACCCTCCTAGAGAAACTTAGTGTACTAAGATTAAAATTCTCTATAGTCATGTTGTGAAAGAATCCGACTGGCCGGCGCTTGATTCAAAATCAGTCCGTATTTTCAAGGAAAAGCAGCCTTTTGATAGACTCGAAGTCTCCAAAGAGAACCTGAAAAAAATGTTCGCCTACAGCAAATTCAAATTGCACTATATCAATAATCTCGTTGAAGGGGAGAGCAGCACAGTATATCGATGTGGTACTTTGGTCGACCTTTGCAGAGGTCCTCACATCCAAAATACTGGAAAAATTAAGGTCATGAAGATCATGCAGGTTTGTATATACAGAATATTTGACTTTGCTTTGAAACCAAGAGACTAATATTACCTTAAGAACTCTGCGGCCTATTTCTTAGGTGATCAATCTAACGACACTCTGCAACGGATACGTGGCGTCGCCTTTCCCGACAAGAAGCAAATGCAGGAGCATCTGAAATTCCTCGAGGAAGCAGAAAAGCGGAATCATCTGAGAATCGGCAAGGAACAGGATTTATTTTTCTTTGACGAAGTTTCTCCCGGATGCCCCTTTTTGCTTCCCAATGGCACGAAAATTATCAACGCCTTGCAGTCCCTTCTCCGAGCTGAGTATCGTAAGCGCGGTTATCAGGAAGTTCAATCTCCAAACATGTATGATGTTGGAATCTGGCGCCAATCCGGACATTGGGCTCATTACAAGGACGACATGTTCAAGCTTGATGTTGAGAAGAGAGAATGGGCATTGAAGCCTATGAATTGCCCAGGACATGCAGTCATGTTCGGTCACAGAGAGCGGAGTTACCGAGAGCTGCCTCTTCGGATAGCAGATTTCGGTGTGTTGCATCGAAATGAAGCGTCTGGTGCACTCCACGGACTGACGAGGGTGCGAAAATTCCAGCAGGATGATACCCATATATTCTGCACTGAGGATCAGGTAGATATCCTATGTTTTATACTTCCCTCGTTGATCACTTCTTACTAAATCACGGGGCAGATCATGCAAGAGATCGATGGCCTATTTGATTTCTTGCGTTCCGTGTACGGATTGTTTGGTTTCAGCTTCAAATTGAAACTGTCTACCAGACCCGAAAAATACATGGGAAAGCTCGAAACCTGGAATTACGCTGAAGAGCAATTGCGTGCCGCCCTGACTAAATTCAAAGGCAATGACTGGGAGGTTGACGAGGGTGATGGCGCCTTCTACGGGCCGAAAATTGACATCACTATCCAAGATGCATTGAAGAGAGAGTTCCAGTGCGCCACCATCCAACTGGACTATCAAATGCCAGTGAATTTCAAGCTCGAGTACATGACTGGCGAGACGGGAGCCAAGGCGAAGCCCGCAGACAAAACTACGGAAGATGCTGCCAACCCAGATGCTCCATCCACCAGTAGCAATGAGCCAGGCCCAGGCCGTGCTCGTCCGGTTGTCATCCACAGAGCTATTATCGGGAGCTTCGAGCGGTTCTTAGGCATTATCATCGAACATTTCGGTGGTAAGTGGCCGTTCTGGTTGAGCCCGCGGCAAATCTTGATTGTACCTGTGATGCCCGCCGTCAACGATTATGTGGAGGAGCTACGGGAGATCCTCCGAGGGGATAAATTGAACGTTGACATTGATATCAGTGGCAACACAATGCAAAAGAAAATTCGCAGTGGACAGATTGCGCAGTATAACTTTATCTTCGGTAAGTAATCCTTTTTTTTTTTTTTTTTTATCTCAACTTTTTCTCTTTGGGTGATGTTCAGTCATCTCTCCCTTGGCAGGAGAACGACTTTTGATACTAATTGCAATACTTTGAAACTCTATAGTCGTGGGCGCACAGGAGAAGGCAACCCGTACCGTGAACATTCGTAACCGCGATGATCCTAGTTCTCAAGTCAAAGGCAGTCTCGTTCCACTCGAAGAAGCTCGTGTCAAACTGCGTGCTCTCCGCAAGGAGCGTCGCCTTGTCAACGCACTTTAGATTGAGGTAAAAAGGGTTTAATTTCAATAGCGAAATCGGAATACTAAGCTTATATAAGATAAATTTATATAACTGATGTTTTGATTTGGCTTTTTGTTATATTTTACTTCCCTTAATCCGTTGTTGTCCCAGCCTTCTGTTTTAATATACTTCGCCGTCGTGGTGGTTGATTGATTGGTGACGGCTAGAGCTACCCATAAATATATAGAATTGGTCTCTCACAAGACTATCGCTTTTGGCAACACTTGTAAAAATCATATTCCGATCTTTGATGCTGGCATTCTCCTCGGAGAAAGAGTCATTAAAAATGTTTTAACTGAAACATTGTAAGACCCAGCCGAGGTATGGAGTACAGATTTTTGATTTCAGACAGGAAAGAAAAAAAAAAAGGGATTGGAAGAGCACAACTTGACCAACAAGAGAGATTTTGTCTAGATCCATCTTAGATTTGGAGCAGTGAAGGGACTTTCTGTGTCGTTGGATGATGCAGGAGGCGGAGGCCTGGTTTCCCACTTTTCTATCAAAATACGATTCCCTCACGAAGTGGGCAATTATGTTTTGCTTAGTCAACAGTTTCATGCCTCCAATATCGTAAATGGCATTCGATTAATAGTTGGAGAGAGCTTATATTTCACCTTTCGCCTCCACGACAAGAGCATCCATGTAGCTTATTAAAGAAATAGCTTGCATCCGTGATTGGGAATGGGGTGGTGGGGTTGAGTGTATGCACCAAGGTTGGCAGCAGTGAAACTACGCCGTATATCGCAGGGCCGTCTAGAGAATGAAAAGAGTCGTGGGGAGTAGAGGATCAACATGATTGTCAGTGGACATATCAGGTATCAGGGATAGGACATCCAACATCTCCTTAGCTTCTCACTACGATTTTGTTTGATCTTCAACTCCTAGTGGCTCAGTTTAGTTCCCCAGCAAGTTTCTGTGGCATCCGGTGTTAACCTGTATTTCCTGTTGCTCTTACTGTTGCTCTCAAGTCGCGATATGGGGTCCTGGGTAGTCAAGAGAACTTCATCGATCGCCTCGGTGGGTCGGTCGCACTTCACCACTGGTCTGGTCCCATCTTATCGCTGCAGTTGATTTGGTGTCGACGCTTTAGAGATGATGCTTGCTGATGGCAGTTGCGAGATCTAGTTAGTTATTTATCAAAGCTTGGTTCCTCCAGCATTCAACCGGCGTCTTGGATGGCTGAAATCCAACCTAAACCGTTCGGAGGATCCGGGATTGGATTTGAACCTCGAGAATCAAAGGTCTCCTGTAATTTTCAAAAACCCCGTGAAGGCACGGCCAATTGATATAATTGATCCTTGTTGGTGCCGTGAGCTGGGCTTCCTTTCGCAAGCTCGGCCTGATCATTCGGAAATTTCCTGGATGAAGGACAGGGAATGAGAGGCAAATCCCGAGAAAATAGAAAAGTTGCTGCCTAAACCCCAAGGAAGGTGCAAAACTGCAGTCATAGCTGGGTTGTAGTGTTGTCTCGCGCTCCGTAAAATGACGTTGCTACGGAACCCTGAAGGAGGGTACGCAGCAACAGGAGCCTAGGCTCAGCTCAACTGCTGTGGGAACGGTTGATCTACCAATGTCCCCTCCTCCACTCTCGTGCATCAGGTGGTTTCCGCATGGGGTCTTGATTGATGCTTATTGGAAGGGGGTAAGGTGAGATTGGAAAACATTGGGATTTGGACTCGTAGGAAAATGGAAGATCTGTGGAAACTGTCCTGTGCTCACATACTGAGTGGTTGGCAGCACAAAAGGCTGGTATCTCAACCTGTGACTGGGGTCCAGATTTCAACGATAAAAATATGGGCAAAGTTGCGCTAGGGAGCTAACATTTTTTTCTTGCTTCGTTCCTTTGACTCATGGCAGGCTGATCCGCCCAGAAGACAGCTAAGGTTGGGTGCAAAATTAAGTTATTCATGGGCCTGCGCCGCCAATCAATACCTGGCCTGGGGGAGCCTGCTTAGCCTGATACATGGATTTAAAAGTCTCGGGATCGCCATCGGGTGGTCAAAAGGTGTAACAAATGCCAAACCAGTTGGAGGTGACAGAGAAGTTGTTTTGGGCTCGTCCCCCTTCCGCAGACGTGTTGTGTTTTTGACCTCATTTCTCCATTCGACGTATCTTGACTGGTCGAGTAAATATACTTCAAGGGTTCCTCGTATTCGGAACCAATGTCATTTGAGTATATTTGATAGAGCAAACAAACGGAGGCATATTTCCCTCAAACGACAGTGAAACTCAAGAGACAACATTTCTGGGCGTTTCACTTCCGAAGAAGGGCGGAGAACGAATGTTGAGTTGTTGGCTTGGCTTGGCACGTTGAATGGATACTTATCACTTGGTACAGGGTAGATATAGTTATGGATCCCCTGCAGCAGCCCTTTTGGGCATGGCATGACGTTAGGGTTCGGGGGAAATGTGTCAGTTCTTGTCCTCTGAAGATCAACTGGGAAGTTCCATTTGTATGTGCCGCACATATGCAAAGCACATTCCCATACAGATAAGCTGAGAGATGGAGTGAATTGGGCAGCCCGCCCTTGGACACGGGGCATGACTTTCCGTTTGCTTTAATCCACTTAACTCCTCTCGGGCCATGGGATTTGGTGCGCACGTATCCAGGACTAGAGAAGCTGCTAAGCGCTAGCGTAGATCCACGATGGAGATCAACTAGAAGAAGAGGTCAAAAGCAGCTTCTGGATCTTGTCTCGACTCTCTAGAAGTAATGGTAGAGAAGAATGGTAAAGGTTTTTTTTTTTTTTTTTTTAAGGTCAAGACTCTGGGAGGTTGGACGGATGCAGCTGATAGCAGTAGCTTTGCGAGAATCGAAGGTACGTCGCAGGTCAAAGGTCGTAGTCATACTGAAGTGTGGTGGTAGTGACATACTATGTTCCAATTGCTGTAAGGTTTTTCTTTTTTGAACTGTGGGTCTCTCTCTCTCTCTCTCTCTCTCGTTGTGGGGTAGTTAGGCAGCTGTTCCGTACTCCGTCCTGGACTCTCTGACAAGATGGAAGAGAAACGGATGCTGGAGTTCACGGGTTGACCAACATCCATTTATTGTTGTCCCCCCAACCCGACGAGATGCCAGCGGTTCCAAGCTTAACTGGTTGCCTTTGGAGGAAAGATCTGCTAGTGTGTTGGCACAAAGTTCCAAGGGTTTTGGGAGAAGAAGGGATTGCTCTTCTCCCCCAATCGATAATCTACTTAGGTCTCAGTCTGAGGTGTTCCAAATTCAATCATGTAAATGGTTTGTTTCCCTTGCCAATATTATTTCTCTTAATTGTGGTCAAGGAAACGGAGGTCTAAAATGAACCTTCATTGGGTGGGCTGAGCTTGATAGAATTTGCCCAGCATTGGCACAGCCTCCAGGCTTGGAAGTGCTTATTTTCTGTCTCGCTAGCCAATGGTGTTGTTGGTGGCTGAGGGTGTGCTTCCCCTTGGGCGCAAGACTAGATGGTTGAATACAAACATATCGAAGAACAAATAAATCTAACAACAATTATACCAATAATAAATTAAGTGGCTTGACTCCAGAGATTCAAGAGGATCTTCTTAGAAGCTCTGGAGAAAGTTGACGTTGATATACCCACTGTTATCTAGTTATATCACAGAGTTATTTAACTATCGCCAAACGACAAGAGTAGTTTTCATCGGTTGACTTTTTAACTAGTTAAAAACCAACCGACTAGTTGACTATAGTGAGGGTTAGGGAGGAGTTGGTTGGTTTGACTAACTACTTCTGCTGACAAAGCGTCGGTGTGCTTGAGCTGACCCAATCGCCGATGGGTGGCTAGCCTGTTCAGGCCTAGCGTCTCCCCACCGGGGATTTTTGGTCCGGAACAAGGCGCCGCCAGTCTGCTTCTTAAGTCCAGGCGCAGCGGTTTCTTTTTCTTTGCTTTTGTGCGCTGTTCGAGGCCATGAGTTGGGACGAGGAAAACTCTTCAGTTCTTTTGAAATTTGAAGGGTCTCTTTTGCGGTTGCGTGGTTGTTCATATGCGCAGCCTTCCCCCCTTTAGATGACGAGGCGACAAAACAACATGCCACCTCGGTTTAGTTGTTGACCGGAGAACTGAGTATTATTAAGCATGAGTTTGGCCCTCTTCCAACCAAACGTCCTTTGGCTTATCCATGACTGTTTTCACCCGCTACAGCAATAATATATTTCGCTAGGTGCGCAGCAGACACTCCCAGTCCAGCGTTGATTACCTATGCTAGCTCTTGTTGCATGGTGATACCCCGACAGTCTGTGACCTACTGGCTCTCGTCCCCCAATTTCCCCAATCCGCCCCCGGGTTCTGACTTACGAGACCACCGCTATTTATTTCCGCTGGTGAAGTTGCGCTGAAAGAGATGGATAATCTTGGTGGAGAAGATCCAGATTCCATGGCATTCGACATGAATATGGGGGACAATCAACCCCCACAGATATTCGGCGCATACAACCCAGATGGTTCACCCATAACACCAACTCTTCCGGCGGGCCCGATGTTTTCTGAAGATCATTTGTCGGGCAATATAGATGAGAGCAACGATGCTAAGCGGCGGAGAATTGCAAGAGTATGTCTCTATAAAGATTAGAAGAAAAGGGAAAAGAAAAAAGAAAAAGAAAAGAAAAAAAAAAAGAAAAGAAAAGAAAAAGTCATCATTATTCTCTTTCGCTGGGCAAACGCTGATTGTTAGGAAAAGGCATGCGATATGTGCCGAAAAAAGAAGATCAAGTGCGACGGGAAGATCCCAAAATGCTCCCACTGCATCAACTACAAAACAGTGTGTATATTCACCCAGGTGGAAAAGAAGCGGAATCCGCCCAAAGGGTACGGCTAGCTGTCCCTGAATCTCTTCAACACGGGCTGACCTTGACCAACAGAGCCAAGTATATAGAAGGACTGGAAAATAGACTGGGCCGCATGGAATCTTTACTACGCCTTTCCGGACTGCTGACGGAAGCAGACGCTGGCAAAACTGACCTAAGCGCCCTTGAGAAACGACTCGTGGATAAGTCCAGTCGGTCTGGTGGCGGCTTATCATCCAAACCATCAACCTCATCATTTGGTTTAAGTAATCAACAAAGTCAGCCATCACCCTCGACTTCCTCTACGCCACATGTAGATTCTCAAACCAGCCCCCGGAGCTCTGGTACCTCGCCGGAGTCTCAAAAGGAGACAGAGGCTGAGCTAGATTCCCTTTCTGATATGATGTGCTCCTTGGTGACAAACAACTGTGGAGAGACTCGATACATCGGTACGTAACCCTCACCCCAACCCAGCCAATCATATTGTGTTGAAACATATTTAACAGAATGCAGGATCGTCCTCTGGATTTTCGATATTTTCTCCAAAAGGTATCCAATGGGTCAACGAAAAAACGGGAGATTCCTCGTTCCAAGATATGATATCATCTGCATATGTAGATGATAATAAATGGATATATTGGAAACCAGAGGTGTTTAGTGACATATTTGCTCGTCGTGTTTTCAAACCATTACCTCCGCGAAAAGAGGCTTTATCCCTCTTCAAAGATTACTTCGAGAACTTTAATTGCGTCTTCCCTCTCTTTCATGAACCTACCTTCATGCATTTGGTTGAACGTCAATATTCCCGCGATCCGTACGAGGGCTCAGGGTGGTGGGCGAGCATCAATGTTACACTAGCCATAGCCCACCGGTTACGAGTTGTGAGTAATCTGGTGCCGCAGGAGGAAGATAAAAAGGCTTGGCTCTATCTGAAGAATGCAATGGGCGTCTTGACGGAGCTGACAATGAGAAACACTGATCTCCTGAGCGTACAAGCACTTCTTGGAATGGTGGGTTTAATTCAACTGTTTGCCCTGGTCTAAAATCACTACGAAATTGTTGCATCACGAGCATCGCACTGTATCTAACATCTACCAGTCACTATTCCTACAAGGAACCCCTAACCCACAGCCAACATTTTTCCTCGTTGCTGCGGCCATCCGCCTCTCCCACAGCATTGGTCTTCATAAACGCGGTTCCGGATTCGGGTTGAACCCGGTGGAACTTGAACAGCGGAAACGAGTCTTCTGGATCGCGTACATACTGGACAAAGAGTATACCCTTCCCCCCACCAGTTGCCCTCTTACAAGGTCTATTCAATGGCAAGGGTTACTAACGTTATCTAGTATATGCCTTCGATCCGGGCGACCCCCCGTGCAAGATGACGACGATATGAACGTCGAGCTTCCTAGCGAGGATCCTCCAGATAACATTGGAAATGTGCCCCTCTCTGACGGGAAAGGGAAATTAAATCTTTTCCGGCTGATGTGCATATTTGCAACAATTGAAAGTAAAGTATACAAACAGTTGTATTCTACTAAAGCGGCACGACAATCGGACGGAGAGCTTCTCAATACAATTGGGGAACTGGATCGAGAACTTGAAGAATGGAAAGACAGTATCCCAATAGATTTCCGGCCCGAACACGAGATCAAAGCTACACATCGCCCGTTAATCCTCCATATTGTGGTGCTACACTTTGCCTACTATAACTGTTTGACCACGATCCACCGAATGTCTGTTCACCATGGCTACTGGACTAGCCGTTTATCAAACTATGCGATCCAAGGCTTAAACGCGAGACCACTGAACCCTCGCGTATTTTCGTCTGCTATTCTTTGTGTTTCTGCTGCTCGTGCATCGATACATTTGATCAAGTATATACCCCAAGGTGACTTTGCTTGTGTTTGGTAAGTAGACTTCCAAAAAATACAACATCAGCTGGAGTATATCAAGCTTACTTTATATGCCTAGGTTAATTCTGTATTTCCCAATTTCCGCACTGGTCACGCTGTTTGCCAACATACTACAGAACCCTCAAGATGCCCGTGCACGGTCTGACGTCAAGCTAATGGGCCTTGTCGTAAATTTCCTCTCCATGCTTGTTGCAGACGAGTCAAATGGGAGTGTTAGGCGCATGCTTGGCGTCTGTTCTGAATTTGAAAGAATTGCAAAAGTTGTGCTGGAGAAGGCTGAAAAGGAATCACAGTCAAAACGCAAACGTAGAGCTGGAGGCGATGAGACCGACAACAATGACATACCAGTGCAACCAACGGGCAATTGTTACCAGACCAAATCGATGCCAGATTCCAACATGCCAAATCCTACACCCAGATCATCTCCACCGTCCCGAAGCTTTCAAGGAAATATGGACACCACCAACAATAACAACAACAACAACAACAACCATAACAGCAGCAACAACAACAGTAACAACAGCAACAACAACAACAGCAACAACAACAGCAGCAGCAGCAACAACCATTCGACGAGGAGTAATAATTCTGAGTATTTCTTCCCTCAACCTGCGAGCACGGGACAAGAATCACCACCGCCAACAACAACAACAACAACCATGGGAACAACGACTGAAACATCAGCAACGACTGGAGCTAAGTTCGAAAATGGCTACGAGCAGGATTTTCCCGATATGTTACCACCCAGTCAGCCAAATCACGCGTTCACTGGCAGCCCGGCTTTCCCGAACGTCCCCCAAATGCCCATTGATTTCTCCGCATTTCAGCAACCGTTTGTGCCGCAGGAGCTCTGGCAGATGCCAATGACATTAGAATGGGATTGGGCAGATATGTCTGGTGGCTTTCCTTTTGCAAACGGAGGCGATCACAATGGGTAACCGCCGCCCCGCTGCCAATTTACGTGCATCCTCCTACGTAAGGGGGTGTTGTTCAAACTGAACCACAGTTAAGCAAATAAACCAGGGACCCGCGTAAGGAGTTTATTTGGGATTTTATTTTCACAGTGAAGTAACAATATGATAACTATGGATGAGAAGGCTTTTCGGCGTTTAGGGATCAGTCCGCCCCTAATTTCGTTGGAGGATAGGCTTTCCTGGGCATGGCTTCACTCCCTTTAGAAACGGGAGGGCCGAGGCACAATTCGGTAGCCGTACAGACGCCGCCAGGCAATTTATGAGCTTTTATTGGCTCCTTATGGCTAATCCAGGCAGCAAGCACATTGGCCAAATTCCGGCAGTTTAAGACAAGGACGCTAATTGTGCCTCTCTGCGATCAAGATAAATTATAACTATGTATAATATATCTTAATTTCCTCCTAGGATTATGGGCGGCGAACAATTCTCAACCCATTTATGTTGTTAATTCCGTAACAAGCCTTACATGGGTTGCTGTGAGCTGACAGCGAAACCTCTTAAAGCTTACTCTTGAGTTTACGTGAAAATGGCTCTTGTCGTAGAAGCTCATTTCTGGATGGCTAGCAATCAGTGCAGAGGTGTCTGGTGTATATGCTCTATGTTATATGGTCTGTATAGATTTTTCTATGTTCATGATTGAAATATCTCATATGCAATAGAAACTTCTAACTGGTTATTTTTTGAATATTGCTATTTCGTAGTGAGTTTAATTTTTGTACTATTCAACTATTAAATGAGAGTCCCATTCAATTGAGTTGGATGAACCTCAAATTCCAGCAGATCACAGGCCAGCGGTATATGGGATTAAATGAGGAAGCAAAGCTGGGCAGCCAGCAATGGCGGAGGACTGGGGAGCTAGACGTTTTCAGAGTACAGATTTGATTTGATTTGAAAGTCGATTCTGGTATCACTCGTGCAAGGTAGTTAACTATACATACACATCTGTGCCTGGAACAAAGAATTAGTTTAACAACTCCTTTTCCTAGCATTTTCGTGCAAGCCTTCAGGCTGCCTTTTACACCGGGTTCATATTGGCAAACTGAGATGGTTCTAGAACTTCTCCCAGCCAAAGCAATTTCATACCCGGTTTACGGCGTTGCCTACCGGCAACATTCAAATCGGAATGTATTTTCGACAACAAACCTGCCATAAAACCCGACATATCGACTAAATTCCTAAGCAAAGAGTTGATTGGCAGTGTAACGCATGACAACTACCCTCGCATCCCAACCATATGTCAAAATACGCCGCCACCGGGGAGGCAATTCCATGGACCGAAGAGGCTTTATCCCGATCAACCAATCCGCCGTTGCCAAGAGTGGACTGCTGAGGTTATTCAAAAGTTAGGCGACGCGCAGGTTTTAGAGCACCAGTATTGGTAGGAATTAACTGGAAGGGGACCTGTCATCGTAGGTGGCTTTGTATTGAAGGGGAGGAGATTGCTATATGAAAAGAGAGAGAGAGCACAGACATGATGAATTAAAATAAGGAAACGGTCCAAGATATGATGGTGGATCGATCAAGACCAAAGCTCTAGGTATGCATCTGTAGCCGGGAATATTCCGCATCAAAAGGTTGTAGGATTTTCGCAGCAAGTGCAAGTATTGCTTCTGATTTCCATTGTCGGGAAGTTGCTTAACGATGACATTCTTCCGCTGGCAGTCCCCATGTGTAAATTTTGATATGCTGTCGTGGGAAACATTAGATAGCGATCGACGATAGAGGTCAGCCTTGTAGGTGGAATGGGTTTCAGATTCTTTGATAAATTTCAAAAGCTAGAGCTTCATTCAATGCAGTTTCAGGATCGAAGGGGCCGTTACTGGCAGGCACAGGTCGTGGGGTCCAGGAAATACCATGCAGGAGCTGATCCCTTCCGATACTGCCGTAGAATCCAGGGGAAGGGAGGCTGCACAATTCGTCGAAGGATTGTTTTAAGGATCATCGAAATCTCGGATTTCTGGCATTGAGACAAATATGCCCATTGGGCATCCAGGGTGCAGCCTTCGATGAATTCCATGACAATATGATTTCATCGACGTCTTGGGATCGTTGTAAACTGCGTAAACTCGGGGGACCCTGATTTTTCGTAGATTCTGGACAAAGAGCATATTCAGCCCTTCGATAGTAGGACCGAACTTGACAACGAATTCATTACTAACTTTAACGACCTTATACCAATTATGCTTCATGAGGAATAGTGCCTTCCTCTATCTCTGTGCTCGTCGGCAGAGGGCATGGGATATCGCTGGTGGAAAACGGCAGCTTATTGAGCAATAACGTTGAACGGGCTTGCTTCCGATCTCCGTACAATCGGCTTCCTATAGAGTAAATGGTCGGCAAAGCTGTGATAAGAAGCGCAGTGCCAGCTCCAAAAAAGAAGGCTCCGGTAGCTACTCCAGTTGGGATGGGAGAGCGCCATTCCTTGTCGTGATTCCAATTTATAGTGGTCCACAAGGCATTTGAAGAGTTGCAAGGAGTTGAGGTCCACCCCAAGGGAGTTCCAAGGCTGGCCAGGAACCGACCTAATTAAGCCTGGCTGGCTTATGTCGTTAACTGCTCGGACACCCCCTAATCCTCAGGCACCGAAAGGGCGGACGGTTGTACGGAGTGGCGTACGGGAGACATTTAATCACCCACAAAGCGAGTTTAATGCCTCGGAAGATAATCGGACTTGAGCTCAAATAGAATAGCTAGCACAAGTTGAAAGAAAATACTCCGTAGACTATAGCATAATAATCGCTGTTCGAGGTGCCTGACTCCTCTTCAGCCGTCGCAGGCTCACAGCTCCTCTATTAGAGCGCGAACAATTCGAGGCGCCCTCTGATATTCTTCTTAGACTGGGTTAACTACTTGGGTCTCTTCTCCTCGGCTGCTGCCATCATCATAGCCTGAGCTGCTGCTTCTGCTGCCTCTGCTGCTTCTGCTGCCTCTGCTGCCTCTGCTGCCTCTGCTCCTTTCTAATGGCCTGACATATCAACGACTCGGGAAGCAGAGGTAGTTGGAGTCAGGTCCTGAATGAGTTGATTGTCGCTGTATTAAAGGCGTTGATTGTGACTAACTCTCAGTCAAGCTGTCAAGCTGTTTGCTGATGAGGCTTGGTTGAATTTTCCCTTCCTCTCAGTCATCAGATAGATTAATTTATATAGGTTCTGCAACATTGACGCAGTCTTGTAAAATGAACAAGGTCAAATGCCTCATAATCTGGTTTTCCCATATGTGTAAGAACTGTACCTATTCCCTATTCGTTTTCTCAATCGTTGAGCAGTGCTCTAGAGATATATGATTAAAAGCTTGTGATTCTATTAGAAAATGCAGTAAGCGTTTTCATTTTGGGTATAGACATAAATAGTCGGCTGTGCTAGATGCTTCCGTCCGGGGCCGCTGAGTCATCCCGAGCAAAAATTGGAGGCGGAAATCCAACCACCGACTCATCAAACCCCCCCCCCCCCCCCCCCCCCCGGGGAAGAGACATCTCAACAAAACTCCGGTTTTGGTTTTTGCCCTTTCTATCTCCCCATTTCCATCTTTGTAACTGCTAGCGGAGTGGACGCTCCTATGGGTTATTTACGTCCTGTCAATTGCTGAGCGTCTGCCAAACTCGTATCCTTTTCTGAACCCTCCGCCTCCGCCTCCACCTCCACCTCACCCCTCCTCCGACAATGGCTAGCTTGATTCGACGGCCTGGCAATCTTGCTCGATATTCGGGGGTAGCAGCGGGGCGCTCTATATACCCACGATTATTGCCCTTATCACTGTGGCAATCCCACCTTTCCCCCATCGTTGTGAGCGCTCGCCAGTCCCGCTCATATCTCACTAACTTCCGGCAATTTCCAAATCCTGGTAAAGAAAGTGGGAGTACGACTCCGCCTGGCAGTGATGGGCCTTCCGGGCAGCAACCCCAACCGCCTCCGGAAGGGCCAAATGGGGAGAACAATGGAAAAGAGCCTGAAAAACTTAAGTACCGTGCAAGTCAGGAGGAAATCGAGGATCTTGATTATGTTCTAGGACTGGTGAGGGACAAACTTCCGGAGTCGCAGAGGCAGCTTGTGGAAGAAATGGCGGAGGTTTTCAAAGAAGAAGGGTTCCCCGATGACGTGAAACTTTTTGTCAAACAAGTTAAGGATTCTAAGCAATTTACACTTGCCAATGCAACTCAGGTGTTCCGGATATGGACTCGACATGGACCATTAATTGTTTCCAAGATGTCGGATAGGAGTTTACACAAAGGCCCTCGCCGAATGATGGGCAAATCCGAAGAAAACTTCCCAGAACAACAAGGCCATGCACAGAGCAGTGGCAAGGCCAAAGATGAAACCGGTCGGTCTGAGGGAGAACAAAAGCAGGAGCAAAAGCAACGGGACCAGAAATATGGATTCAAAGGGCCGAAATTTAACGCTCAGACACCCTTTGATATAAAATTCAAGTTTGATCCGGCGTCCTTTCTAGTCGCTACCTTTCTCTCATACTACATGTACCGGAGCTTTATTCCCGGTGATGTTACAAAGGATATTACATGGCAAGAATTCAGAAATACCTTTTTGGATAAGGGATTGGTTGCCAAGTTGACGGTCCTCAACGGCAAGAAAGTGCGAGTCGAGCTTCATCGTGAAGCAGTTGCGAATGTGTACCCAGAATCGCCTGCGACGCAACCAAATTTCTACTATGTCTTCGCAATAGGATCTGTTGAGGGATTTGAAAGGAAGATTGATCAGGCTCAAACGGAGCTCGACATCCCAACCACTGAACGAATTCCTGTGGATTACCAAGATGAAGTTTCCTGGGGTGCCACATTACTCAGTCTTGCTCCTACGCTTGTCCTTATTGGCACTGGCATCTGGCTCTCGAGGCGCGCTACGGGCGGAGGTGGCCAAAGCGGAATATTTGGCATGGGTAAAAGCAGGGCGAAGAGATTTAACCACGAAACTGATGTCAAGATAAAGTTTGCTGATGTAGCCGGTATGGACGAGGCCAAGGTTGAGATTATGGAATTTGTCAGCTTTCTTAAGAAACCGGAGCAGTTTCAACGGCTTGGTGCCAAGATCCCCAGAGGTGCTATTCTTTCAGGGCCACCGGGTACCGGTAAGACGTTGCTAGCAAAGGCTACAGCTGGCGAGTCAGGCGTTCCATTTTACAGCGTTAGCGGGTCTGAGTTCGTCGAGATGTTTGTTGGCGTTGGCCCCTCCCGAGTCCGTGATCTGTTTGCAACCGCCCGGAAAAACACACCTTGTATTATATTCATTGATGAGATTGATGCTATTGGAAAGTCGAGATCGAAGAACGCTTATGGTGGTGGAAATGATGAGCGCGAGAGCACATTGAATCAGATCCTGACCGAAATGGATGGCTTCAACACCTCGGATCAAGTTGTGGTTCTGGCTGGAACCAATCGAGTCGATATCCTAGATAAGGCGTTGTTGCGACCTGGTCGATTTGACAGACACATTTCCATTGATAGGCCGACAATGGATGGAAGAAAACAGATTTTCCGTGTTCACCTGAAAAAAATTGTCACCAAGGTCGATTTGGATTACTTGACCGGTAGATTGGCTGCATTGACTCCTGGTTTCTCTGGAGCGGATATTGCCAACTGTGTAAACGAGGCTGCACTAGTCGGTAAGTAACTGCTCAATGAAGATGCTGTCGTCTCTTTTGGAAATATTAGTGTGAGATAGGACTAATGGTTGTTCTAGCTGCCCGCTACCGCGCTGATGAGGTAACCATGTCCCATTTCGAGCAGGCCATTGAGCGAGTAATCGGTGGTCTAGAGAAGAGATCGCTGGTGCTCTCACCAGAGGAGAAGAAAACAGTGGCGTATCACGAGGCTGGCCACGCTATTTGCGGCTGGTACTTCAAGTATGCTGATCCGTTGCTGAAAGTATCCATCATTCCTCGTGGCCAGGGTGCACTAGGTTATGCCCAATATCTACCGGCACAGGGTGACACCTACCTGATGAATTTCCACCAGCTCATGGACCGAATGGCTATGACCCTTGGTGGGCGTGTCAGCGAGGAACTCCATTTCGATACCGTGACCAGTGGCGCCAGCGATGATTTTAACAAAGTCACCCGGATGGCGAGCGCTATGGTAACCAAGTTCGGAATGTCCCAGAAAATTGGCTATTTGTACTACGATGAAGAGCAGCAGCAATTCCAGAAGCCCTTCTCAGAAACTACCGCCAGGAATATTGACATGGAAGTTCGACGAATTGTCAACGAAGCCTATGAAAAGTGCCGTAAACTCCTAACAGAGAAAAAGGCCGAAATTGGTATCATCGCGGAAGAGCTTCTGACAAAGGAAGTTCTCAGTCGTGATGACATGATTCGGCTTCTTGGCCCAAGACCATTCCCAGAATCTGGCGAATTTGCGAAGTACTTCGATGGAGCAGGCGGTGCAGGAACGATAGCGCCTCCACCCCCACCAAATGAGTCTCTTTCTGATAAATTAAACACGGATGAAGTAGACGGAAAAGAAGGTCCAACACCATCTAATCCTGCATGAGGTGAAGTCAAACGTTCTGTTTCTGAGCTTAACGTTCCCTGCATCTGTTTTAGGAATCAAATCATGACGTCTCCTATATCTCCCCTTTTCTATTTCTTTCTTTGTGGTGTTACTATTTCTTCACTAGTTTGTTCATCTGGTCGCCTTCGTTTTCTTTTCCCTTTCTGTACTCTATTACAGTATCAAGTGTCCAGGTTACTGTGATTAATTACTACTTTAACTAAGTTTCTACCAGCGGATTTTATCGGGCCATATCCTTGACCTACCTTGACTGTATCCCAGGGTATTTGGGGATACTTTCTCCCAGTACCAACCCTTCTCCCCAAATCTCCACATCCTGACTTATTCTTGATCTATAATTTATAACTTGTATATTAAATCTCCAACTTTTGACGGGTTATTGTTTATTATTTTAGAAAGATGCCTAAATTGGGCTGAGGATATCCATAAAGGAAAGATGAGAGAAGAATAGGACTTTCAGAGAATCTTTTTGTTTTACAAAAGAAACGAAAATCAAATATGAACTTAACGCCCACTGCCTAGACAGACATTGAGAGCTGTGTATAGAAGATCCGACATAATTCCTGCAGAGTCAGCTCAGCTACTCGTTTTAGTGATTTGAAAACATAGGTATAATTTCATGTAGGAGGTGGAAAGCCTTTTTAGCTCCTGGCTTCAAAATCTTCACATATTTGGCTTGATATAGGACGTTATTACTGGAAGAGGAGGTGGAAGCTAAGCTATAGATTGTTTATGTTATCTACGAGAGCTTAACAAGTGGCACTCGGACGAATACATACAGGTGAGGGATGTCCCTGTGATCCTATCTAATGCAAACTATAACAATGGTAAAACAAAGAGAAAGGAATAAAAATCTAGAAGAAAAAATATCAGCAGATGTGATAGGGTTAATTATTGATGTAAAGTTGTGAAAAAATATATTTTAGAATATGGCGCTGAAGTATATGGAAACAAAGTCAACCGAGGAAGGTTATTGGTGTTGCAATACAAAATGATGGAGTTGAGCATATATTGAAAAGCAGAAGACAGGATGCCGGAGGAGGTGTATAAATTTAATTGATAAAAGAAAGTTAACTCAAGCTTGAAAACAGGTAGTTTATTTTGTCTTTTTCGCGGCAACTTTCGCTTTCGATGGCAGGCTGGTGCCCGACGGCGACGATGGGTCTTCTTCCGAATCTTCTCCCGATGAGTCAACGCTTAAACGTGGGATGAATTTCCCAACCAGACGTTGATACTGTTTATAATCTGGGTATTTATTTGCCGTGATACTTTCTGTGAAGGGCGTGCTCGCTTGGAAGAGGAGGACATAGCACAGAGCCCCGATCCCGGACCAGTTATAGTTCTGATGGCTCTTGAAGCAAGACCACTGATGCAACGTTAGCCAGACAGCCTGCTCGGCCGCGAAGTTCGGGTGTCGGCACCAGGCCCAGAGCCCGGAAACAACGAAGCCACGATTCAGATCATCGCTTGTGAATTTCCCTTTGTACTTTGGTGGAACCCGAGCAATCTGGTTGAATTCCTTCTTGGCATTTTGGAAATTCCACTGTTGTTGATCTGCAAGCGTCTCGATAAAGACGAAGAAGACGATTATACAGGAAAAAAGGCAGTCGAATGCTTCGTATTGGGAGCCTTCGGGTGTAGTGCTGAGCAAAACGAACACATAAGTTGGGGCGGTAATGAGGGCTAGTAGAATAGGTTGGACGAGAGATATGAAGGTGAGGTTAAGTAGGAAGAAGAGAAAAGGACTGTTTAATTTGTTCCGTATAATGATCCAACGGTAGTCTTCGTATCCGATGCTGTAGCCTCCTTTTCTCCAGTAATTATATGTGAGACGAGCCTATTGTAGCAAATATGTTTAGAGTTTTGTTTGATTATTATTTCTGCTGTAGAGAATGACAGAGCATAGGAAAACAGTGGTCAATCTTACACCCCAGATGATGCTGACTCCGCAAATAGTGTCGATTATCCCAGTTGGCAAACTATTCAAACGAGACCATATTGCGTAATGAGCATTGTTAACAATGGGAAGAACGCCCCAGCAGCGGTCGACTTGGGAATGATTCCTGGTTACTTCGGATATGATTAGGAATATCGGTGCTAGAAATAACGCAAAAGCGATGACTGTGACAAAGGGGTTTGTGTTGACATAGACTTGTTTGAGTGTCTCGATGTCCGTGACAGAGTCGATCAGATTTGAAGGTAGGGATATTAGTTGAGATATGAAAGGTTCGACTGTGAGGGAAAAGTTCACGCAATCCGCCGCCGTATGTACAATTGGTAACGCCATATTGCATCCACAGTTCAATTGTCGGAATCTTGTCGCACTTTGGTCAAGAACCCCTGGTGTAAGGGATCGATCTCCTCATGTCGCAGAAGGTTGGTGAACTATTAGTCAGCGAATTAAGATGTGGTCTGTGCATTTTATATTGGAATAACGCGTTTACGCGGCTCAACTTTAGCGACCTCTAGACGACCTGATAAGAGGCTCATCGAGTCATCGCAGGCATGCTGATACCCGTATGGAAAACCATGGATAATTGACCAAATTTTTCATCCATCGAGGTGCGATCACAATGGATGTTATGCTTAAGGACCTCCAAAGTGCATGACGCACTTTTAAACTTCAAAATTCCCTCCCTGTTCATTGCAAATGGCCCGCAAGATTTTATGTGTTGCAGAGAAGCCTGCTATCGCTAAGGCGGTGGCTCAGCACCTCTCTGGTGGTGCACTTCGTACGGTAAGGGTAGGCCCGAGATCTAAGGGAATTCGAGAATCAGAAGTAATTAATACCAGGCCATTATTTCTTCCAGTTGTCGATTCGGGGGAATGTATTTGTTAAAAACTACGAGTTTGACTTCACCTTTGCACCGCCATGGGGGAGGTGTTCAGTGACTATGACAAGCGTTATTGGACACTTGACAGGGCTGGATTTTGACTCGCAATACAGAGGTTGGAATTCTTGTCCTCCTGGCCGCTTGTTTGATGCCCCTGTGCAGGTGTCAGTTCCAAAAGTTTGTTTCTTAAAAATATCAACTCAGTATTACAGCCATCAATTAACACGTGCGCCCTAGGACAAACAAAAGATTGCCGAAAACATTCAAACGTTGGCCAGACACTCGAAAGCTATATTCATCTGGACTGACTGTGACCGTGAAGGAGAACATATCGGGACGGAAGTACGGTACCAGGCAAGAAAAGGAAACCCACAGATCGAGGTAAAACGGGCTAGGTTTAGCAATACAGAGCGAGCGTTAGTTAGCCAACAAATGTCACCCTTTTCGGACTCAAGTGTTGATAGCTTTTAGTCATGTTCTACATGCTGCCACAAATCCAATAGAACTGGATGAGTTCCAAGCAAATGCGGTAGCTGCGCGAATTGAATTAGATTTGAGGATTGGGGCGGCCTTCACCAGGCTACAGACACTCCAACTCAAATCACTGGGGGGTGTGCTAGAGGACCGAATTATCAGCTATGGTATTTATATCACCCCTCTAACTTGCATATTACACACAATAATTTGACGATTTCAAGGATCCTGTCAGTTCCCGACGTTGGGATTTGTGGTCGATAGGTATTTCCGGGTAAAGAATTTTAAACCAGAGCCATTCTGGGCTATCAAAGTTTCTCATCTTCGTGACGGGAAAACTGTCAACTTTTTGTGGCGGAGAGTCCACGTCTTTGACAGAGCCGCCGCGGTCGTCTTGTTTGAGCGGTGCTTGAGCGCAAAAACCGCAAAAGTTACGAAAGTAAACAAGAAACCAACGCGCAAATGGCGCCCGTTGCCTTTGACGACTGTGGATCTCCAGATGATGGGAAGTAAATATCTTCGGATGGACAGTCAGAAAGTCATGAAGGTTAGTCTTACTCTACTCCATAATACCAAATCTCGCTGATATGATCTAGATTGCAGAGGGGCTATACACGAAAGGCTTCATCAGCTATCCTCGTACGGAAACAGATCAATTTGATAAGGGAATTGATCTGAAAAAGCTTGTTGAAAAGCAGATATCAAGTGAAGATTGGGGCCAGTATGCACAGCGGTTCGTAGTTTCGACTTTACTAATATATTTCTTCAAGTGTATATAACTAAAAAAAAATTCTGACTTCGCTCCTAGACTCATGGATGGTGCTTTCACCCAACCCCGAGCCGGTCGTCATAATGACAACGCTCACCCTCCGATACATCCAGTCATATACGCTGCGCCAGCGGCTTTATCATCCGAAGATGAACGTCGTGTTTACGAATTTGTGAGTCGCCGTTTCCTCGCTTGCTGTTCCGAAGATGCAAAGGGCGAGTCCACGGAAATCGAAATAAAATATGGAGACGAGATATTCCACGCCCACGGCCTTCTCGTTCTGGAGAGAAATTACCTGGATGTTTACGTGTATGATAAATGGGAAAGCAGCCAAGAAATGCCCGTTTTCACAGTTGGGGAGGTTTTCGAACCCACTGAAGCTAAAATCACGGATGGCAAAACTGTTGCTCCTGGCTATCTAACAGAGCCCGAACTTATCGGACTTATGGATGCTAATGGTATTGGAACTGATGCTACGATGGCTGAGCATATTGCAAAAATAAAAGAGCGCGAATATGTAGCAACGCGACCCCGTAGTGGCGGAGGTAGAGGTAACAATACTGTGCAAGAATTTATTCCCACGCAACTTGGAGTGGCTCTCGTTAAAGGCTATGACAACGTCGTGAATGGCTTACCGGATAGTCCCAGCTTAAGCAAGCCATTTCTGCGAAAAGAGATGGAATTGCGGATGCGAGAAATTTGCGCTGGCACAAAGTCGAAGACGGAAGTGGTGAATGAAAGCTTGCATATGTATCGCGAAGTTTTTATACACACACAGCAAAGAATCGAAGTGCTGAAGGCTGCGTGCAGCAGGTATATCTTCGAACAAGTCGGTGGGTAATAATTTATCCACTTATCTTACCTTCCAGTCGACTCACCTTGTTGCTGCTCTGTTGCCTGGAGGGATCATGTCCAGTCCTCCCGAATATTAAGAAGTGTCCTACAATCTTGGAATCCTTCATAAAATGACTTTGAGGAGGATGGCTACAGCAAGTATTGTCCCTGCTTATACGAACACGAGTTCATCCTGGGCCTACCATTTTATGAGGATAGAGTACTCCACGGCCCTACTGGATTTAAGTTCTCATCAACCTTATGGCAGCAATTCTCCTCTCTCCCTGTGCTATTGTTATCTACCTCACAACCATGTTCTCCTCCCACAAATTTTATCTACGCTTAGCCTTCGTCGTATCTGATTTCCACTTGGATGTCTTCGCATAGCCCCAACTTAAGAGACGATGACAGCCTCCTTTCTAAACTTGAAAATTCCAACATACCAATTTCGGTTCGCAAGTACATTTACGTGTACGTCAATGGACCGAAGAAGCACGGTAGCTTATTTTCACCCTTCTTTTCGATATTTTCTGCGCAATAGAGGTTGTCCCGTAGTAATTTCTTATGTTTTCCTATTCTAGACGACTGCACGCAAGGAATAGTCTTCCACCCACATCCTCTCTAGAGAAAAATATCTACCATCCACATATTATACCGTATATAAAATTGTTTCCGAATATATTGATATCGTGTTGATCTCCAATCCTCTTTCTAATCCTGTTCACCGCAGCCAGCAAAACACTCTAACAAACAGAAATACAAATCCACAGACCGTGAATCAGCGATTCCATCATCGCTACCCTGCCAGCAGATCGAGGTTACTAAAGGTAGCCACATACAGGGAGCAACGATTGTTTCTGAGGACTGATTCACAAGGTCCCGGGCAGGATTCCCTTTAACAACACCACAAAGCAAAACATGTTGCTCATAATGTATCTAGAGGGAGAAGGCGTTGCTCAAGTGCGCAAAAAAGTAATATTCTCGAATATAAACTTGGATCCGATAATGGGCCAACAAGAACTCATTTTCTAGACTTCTACTTCTTGCCGCCTGTCTTGTCAGTTGGGGGTGAACTTTCTGATTCTTGGTAGCCAGGATCCCAAAGGCTGATATTTTATTTGTCTGGTTTCGTAGGGGGTTTTGTATTTGGTTCAGAAGTGGACGGGCTCTGTTTGTCCACGGGACATTAGATGACCCGTTAGGTTTTTTTTAAGAAATACTTCAAATGTTCAAGAACAACTGACTAACGAGGGTGGCAGAGACCGGACAAAGAGAAAATCTTATTTTCACTTAATTGATCTTATATCCAAGGGATCGTACTCCCTTCTTCGGAACTTGCTAAAGTGAACTACTAGCCGTCTTGTCTGGTGATCTGATAATAATCCCGTGTCTTCAATGCCAAAAGCGAACCTCCTAAGGCTCCAATCCATCCAAGGATGCAATCACACCAGAGCTCCAAGCCTGCGTGTCGTAAACGCCGAGAAGCTAGGCAGATCCGTGGACATTGAGTTAATGGACGGCAGGGACACTGTCCACAAAAAAAATAAAATAAAAATAAAAATAAAAATAGAAGGTATCAAATGTCATAATTGCCTTTTATTAGCGGCGCTTGATTCGGCCACACTCTGGCGTTTCTGTTCTCGTATCTTCGAATCCTCCTCCAGTTTCGTGGATATGAACTTGCTCATCTCATTTACCTTGGCCAGCGCCACATTTGAGCATGAAATCATGCTTAGAGGATCTGCAGGTGTTCCGTCAGATTTTATATAGAGAGCAAGCTCCCCGGTCTTATTGAGAGCAATGATGAGGTTACCCTCACTGACCGCTTCCTCTTTCGACACCGCATCTAAAACAATGATTCTTCCCTCATCGTATATGTTGAACGTAGTAGAGAGTGGGAGTTTGGTGAGATTCAGAGGTGACGGGACCCTTTCCTCTGGGCTGAAGACAGTTACCCGTCCTTCACGAACAATGGCTTCCGGGAGACGGAAATGGAGCAGGGCAGTCATGATGGCAAGACAACAACTATCCACCAGTCCCCCGTCAGAGTCAATGACATGTACATCTGCCCGAATATGCCAGCAATTTTTGCCAGCAGCTATGCACAGTGATTCTGTATCGAGTGCATTGGATCGCCGAATTATCCTGTCAAGGATACGAGCGAGTTGTGTTTCCATCTCTGATTGCCTGAAACGCATATGGTTAGGACTAAAATCACAAACAGGTAAAACATACCCTGTTTATAAGCAAATAGACAAATAGATCAAATAGACGTACCACCCCGTCTTGAAAGCAGGTGAAGCCATATCATTAAGTTCCACCACAACTGTAAAAATTCCATCGTTCTCCCGCTCAGGGTGGGGTTTTGTCACCTCCGCAGATATGCGCACGACAACGCTAGCATATTGTCAGTTATGGTATTTAAAGTACATTCTTCAGAGACAACTCTGAATAAAAGAAACAAAACACCCAGCAAACCTGTGCAATTGAACGAACCTAGTTTTGCCCAATTGGAGCTTGACATGTCCGCATTCATTCCCGAACGACACCATGAGCGGACGGAGCTGATCCAAAGCACGGCCATCAAGGCGAATATTTTTATGAAGGGCCTCCAAAATAAATTCGCGTTCATTGGCTGAAATATCAACTTCCTTCAACATACTCAGACACTTCTATCCAGTATTTCATGGGTATAAAAAAGTTGCTCTGGCATCTACGAAGGATTGACACTTTCTCTAAGTTTAAATGCTCCGACAAAAGCTTTGAAGAATCGAGATTCTAAACAAGCGATGTTGATGAATATGACTAAGCAGTTTTTTCTTAACTAACTAGTTAACTAACGTAACTACTTCAACCACCGAGCGGCGGATTCTCTCTGAAATCATCAAATATTCAACCCAACTATCTTCAACACATCATTTCTTCACAATTTTTCTTCAAAATGTCTTTATCTCAAGAATCTCACATACAGTTGGTCATTGCTTCATATAAATCCAAAAAAATTATATCAAAGACAAAAGCTTCAAAGATATATGAGGTTTCTGAAACTACTCTGTGCAAACAACTTGCTGGCATCAAATCACACTCCAAGACATGCACAAATTATCACAAATTGACAGAGATTGAAGAGGAAACCCTTCTCAAGCTGAATGCAGATAAGTGAAGCTTTTCAATTTGACTGAAGTTTTTATGTGGAATGACACAGATTCTACTTCAAGCACATACTCTTGATTCTATCATCATTCTTGAAGTCAACTGGACATCTAGATTCATTCAACATCAATCTCAATTACATGCACACTATAATTGCTGTATCTTCTATCAACTGGTGAACCAGAAGAATCTAAAGATTATAAAACAATGATTAGAGATGATACATGAAGCTTTTCAAGAACATGGAATTCATGATGATGATGATATCTGGAACTTTGATGAGACTGGCTTTGCAATGAGACTTTGTAGAACCTCTAAAGTCATTGCTGCAGCTGAGTGCAGTGAGAGACCACATACAGTTATCCAGGGAAATCATGAATGAGTCACAATTGTTGAAATGTATAGGATCAAATGGGTGTTCTATTCTTCCTTGGTTCCGCACACAGCTTTCGGATCCCATGCACAGAAGAACACTTCAAGAGAATCATCTAAAGTTTATTACATGTTGTATTGTTTTATTTGCGCTTCTTCTCAGTTTTACTGTTGTCATGAGACCCAAAATGACTACAGGTATGAACAACTTTCATGTTTAAACGGATCTTTTTATCAATAACGCTCGCCCATAGACCAACCTTCTACCCGTAAGTTCCCTCCAGTGACAATTGCATAAGCACGAGAAGCTCACGTTTAAAATAGGTGCGCGGAAAAGAGGCACTGAGAGGGTCCGCTATTCACCGTTTCCTGCCTGCGCATACACTCCTGAAGTCCAGGTATAGACCTCCCGCACTTCCAGCCCTCCGGACCCCTCCAACATCTCCAGCATCCTTATCCAAAACGAAAACCAGGTTAAGGTGGCGACGCGGATAAAAGTGCGATCTGAGAGCTGAACTTTTGAAAGCTGAAGCCGCCCATTTTGCCAAGAAGGGTATTTACCCTCTGCTACATCCTGCAACCACAGGGAAAGAAAGCTGAGAGCTTGTGCAGAGCGATAGTATTAATATTGGGAGGGGAAATTACTTTCATATATGAGTATCTCTAACAGCCGTGAGAACCATCCTGGATTTTGAGCTTGCATAAATCCACGGATCTCAGTTAAAGTTTTGTGAGCAAAGAGACGTTTGCATTATATTCAGATTTGCCGTGGTGTCTGCACATATCGCTTGTAACTGATGCAAGACTAGCAATTGGTACAAAACTAACCGGCACTGGCGCAGCTAGCGAGCTGTCATTTGGTGGAACTGTGGGCGAAGGGAGACCTCGGGGTTGTCGTGGGTGTAGCAATTTTGCCTGTTGGAAGAGCCTGTTAATTATTTTGGCCAACTTTCCCAAAGTATATCCAGAATTTATTCCACCCCCATGTGTCTTGGAAAATCATTTTGTGGCCCGATTTCAGTGAATGGAACTCTTTGGAAGGCCCAAAACAGAGCACCAAAGAGAGAGGGGAAACACAACTAATCTGACTAAATCCATCGCGGGACCGTGGCATGGTAGATAAATAGTGTAGGTATATACCGTATGTCGAGGGCAAAATATCGATCGTATGTTGGTAGTTTAGAGGGATTTTAGATACGTGTCCGAGGTAACTAGAAAGGAAAAGTTTGTGAGATTGTAGGAAGCTTCGAACAGGCAAATATTGTCGGTTTTTGAGAAATTATAGGACTGGGATCTAGTCCAAGCAAAGCAGGGAAGCGGGAAGCACCGTAGATTGTAATGAGTCTAGGAGCAGTCTCGTGGTGCAAATTTAGCGGGGGTGAGACAAGATGGGTTGGATGAGGTTGGCAAGGGTGGACAAAGGACTGCTAATGTAGGTGAGAAATATAGGGAGATGGCAAAATTTCAAAGGAAAAACAGCTAACAACTAGACATAGGGAGTAGAATGGCACACTCTACATTAGATATCGCCAAGAGAAAGATAGTGAATAGAAGAAGTTCAGTATGAAATGAATGAGAATGAGAGCAGATGTTTGATTATAGCAATGATAGCTATTATTGAACATGCTGAAAGATAATTTTGTTGATGCATGAACAAACAATGAAATGAAATACATGAAATAAAGACAACAATGGAGTGATATTTGCAAATCAGTCAAAGCTAGGTAGGTCATAGTAGATAAATATGTACACACTGATCAGATGTTAACATCTTTGTATCCTATTCACTTTACCTGTTGCATATAAAGAATGCAAACAAGGATCTGAATAGACAAACATATAAGAAAAGTGATTGATATTTTGCAGACTGGATGATGTAGATATTGCAAAAAGGCATTTGGGAGATCGAGTGAGAAAGTCCTGAAATTCGGGGCCACTCTCAAACGCAAATGCATAGGGGTAAAATGTAAACAGGATAAACATGGGTGCTGCCAATTATCAACAAAATAGCAAACCCTTAATTCGCCGTCGTATTATAGTTATTGATGGAAGAGAGCAGGCATGGACAAACTCAGATATTCAGTCTTAACATATCCATTGAAAGTGGCAAAAATCGTTTATTAGGCATCATGAACCGGGTAATCAGTGTTACGGCCATATCACCAGCAAAAAACATGTTGAAGAGAGGAGGGATAGAGCTAGTTACACAGTGTCGAATAGTGTAATTCATTGGCGGAAAGCTCAGCATCGTTGTTTAGTCAAGGCGATATGCAAGAACGAAACCATACCATACTGTAGAGATGAGTCCTAGAAGGTTAACCATGGAAGAGATCCCGTGAAACCGAGAAAAGGATTTATTTAGGCGAATCATCTCCTTGGAATGGGGATGTGGGTCGTAGCTTTTTTTCCCATCAATCGTCTCTGAAAGCAATATCAGCCGTACATCCCCTAGATTGAAAGCTGGGCAAAAAAATATATATAAACGGACCCTGATGCTTTCTTTGCTTCATGACCTTAACGGTCATCGGCCCTACGACCAACAAATTTGTCAAGCCAGTCAGGAACATGGTAACGATTGGAAGCAAAGTCGTGATACGTGGGCTCTCAGCTAGTAGTCCGAATAGGCTTGATGGACCCCGTTCCATAAATGTACTTTCTCCTGGGTATGTAATAGCCATGACCAACGGCAGTGCAGTTTGTAAGGAGAAGTAAACGGGAAATATCGACTCTTGGAGGGTAGAGAACTGAGGGCGCGGCAGGGTTCTGAATGCGATGATACCACCAACGAAAGTCTCCAAAACCTCAGCATCAACTTCCAGAACATATCATGCGACGAATTGCAAACGAACCTGATAGGCCTGGGCACCAAGCAGCGTGCCATAACTAAATCACGGGGTATGAGTGACGGTTCTCTCGGTAAATCTACGAGGTAAACAGAATGATGCGAACCTGATAATATGGAATGGCGCAAGAAGTGATACGGCCATTGTAGGCAATGGATTTGGATTCGTGTTTTCGTATGACTATAAGTAGCTATAAGTAGCTGATACTCCTGCAGTAAAGCCAATGGAAGAAAGAGTACGAATAACAAGATTATCTCCGTTTCAAGGTTGGAGGTGACGTATGTAGACACACATGAAGTTGGAGTGATTATGTAACTAGTTAACTAAACCCTCACTCAACATCGGATTAACTGCAACTAACACGTGACCCCGCGCCTGCGGCGTGTCTGCCTTGAATGAAGACGATCCTTTTTCTTTACATATATCTCTTTCGCGATGGTGGAAGTTCAGCTTATGATCAATTTTTCCTCCTCTTCTTCCTCTTCATCTTTCCATGTCCAAGTGCAGTACTAAGAAGAAAGATGGCGGACAAGGAAGCCACTGTGTATATTGTGGATGTCGGAAAATCTATGGCCAATTGTCACCATGGTAGATCTATATCAGACCTCGAGTGGGCGATGCGCTATGTCTGGGACAAGATCACAACCACGGTATTTATAATTGATAATTGCCTACATCGGATCTTACTCAAGGAACGTTTCTAGGTTGCCACTGGCAGGAAAACCGCGAATCTCGGAGTAATTGGTCTCAAAACAGATCGTTAGCAGTTCTTCTACCATCCTCCACTCTGTACTGTATTTGACTGACCACTTGCATTAGGCTCTGACAATCCATTATGGGAGAAAGAGGAAGAGAAAAGCTATGCCAATTTGACCGTTTTTCAAGACATAAGCCAGTGTGTTGACACTTTGACCTTCCGTCTCAATTCCATTTCAATGCTGATGAGCGGATCATAAGGATTAATATGCCTCAAATCCGCGAACTGCGTAAAGCGATCAAAATCAGCAATACAACTGAAGGAGACGGTATGTGTAGCTGATCTGACTTTTTATATTTTTGTTCTTGATTTGCGGCTCACAATGCGATAGCAATATCATCCCTTATCTTGGCGATTGATATGATTGTACGATACTGCAAGAAATTGAAATACAAAAGGAAAATCGTCCTTGTTACGGATGGAACAGGTGCTATGGATACGGATGGGATGGAGGGAATTGTGAGCAAAATAAACGAAGAAAGTATTGAACTTGTCGTACTGTCAGTTAGGTGTTTTTCCCGTTAGGCTCCAGAACTATATCTAACCCGAACCAGAGGAGTAGATTTTGATGACCCGGAGTATGGGTTCAAAGAAGAAAATAAGGATCCATTGAAGGTAAGTTTTGTCATGCCGTTGTACAAGAATAGCGATGGTGACCACCTAGCCAGGCCGAGAATGAGAAGCATCTTAAGCAGCTCGTGGAGGATTGCGAGGGTAGTTACGGTACTCTGGAACATGCAATATCGGAGATGGAGATACCTCGAACCAAAGTTGTGAGGTCGATGCCTACTTTCAAAGGTGATTTAAGGCTTGGAGATCCGGAGAAATATTCATCTGCCTTAACTATCCTGGTAGAAAGATACTACCGAACGTATGCTGCTCGCCCACCAGCTGCAAGTTCATTTGTTCCCTCTTCTGTTCTTTCAGAATCACACCAGGCTACTCGATCATCGGCTACTCTGGGGGGCGAGTCAGGAACGGGGGCTGCTTCGTTAACTTCTGTGAGGAATGCTCGAACGTATCAGGTTGATGACAAAGAGGCTGCTGGGAGGAAACGAGACCTGGAGCGAGACGAGCTCGCTAAGGGATACGAGTATGGACGAACTGCCGTACACATCACGGAGTCAGATGAAAATATCACCAAATTGGAAACAGATGCTGCATTAGAATTTATTGGATTCATCGCCAGCGACAACGTATGTTGGTCTTTTGATATCGAACTGTAATTCCAATTTGCTAATTCATAAGACCAGTATGAGCGCTACATGAATATGTCGACTTCAAATATTATCATCGCGCAAAAGACTAATAATAAAGCAATACTTGCGCTTTCATCGATAATCCACGCACTATTCGAGCTTGAATGCTACGCTGTTGCACGACTGGTTTCTAAGGCTGGCAAAGCTCCACTAGTCGTTCTCCTTGCGCCTTCAATCGAGCCTAATTACGAGTGTCTTCTTGAGCTACAGCTACCCTTTGCAGAAGATGTGCGCCCATATCGCTTCCCCCCGTTGGATGAGGTGGTCACTGTCTCGGGGAAGACGGTGACTGAACACCGGAATCTCCCGAGCGTCAACCTTCTCTCAAGAATGGCCGACTATGTTGATAAGATGGAGCTTACTGAAAAGGATGAAGATGGGTAAGTTGCTTGATTCATGTTCAGCTGTTTACAGAGCTTATTTTCTATACAGAGAAATTGTGGAGTCTTTGTCTATTGAAAACTCATTTTCGCCCCTCCTACATCGTATCGACCAGGCCATCCGATGGCGTGCGGTCCACCCCTCCGATCCCCTTCCTCCGGTTCCTGAAGTCCTTCAGAGGTTATCCCGTCAGCCAGAGGAGCTACAAGCTCAAAGCAAGAAAGAATTAAATAAGCTCGTAGAAGCTTCTGATGTTAAGAAGGGTATTCTATTCTCCAAGCCCTGTCTCTTTAACTTACACATCTAACCTTTTCTTCTCAAAGTACCACCCAAAGCCAAAGGTCGCAAACGAGTCAGAGACACAGAAAAGCCACTTTCAGGCTTAAACGTCGAAGAGCTTCTCCGGACGGAGAAACGTGTGAGGATATCCCCGGACAACTCCATACCCGAATTCAAGCAGTCCCTGGCGAATTCTCAGAACCTTGATACAGTCAAGGATGCCGTTAAGCAGATGTCCACCATCATAGAAAACCAAATAAAGCATAGCTTGGGCGATGCCAACTATGATCGGGCCGTTGAAGGCTTGGGCACCATGAAAGAAGAGCTGGTTTCCTTTGAGGAGCCTGGTCTATATAACGATTTCATCCGTAGCTTGAAAGCGAAACTGCTTGGGGGTGAACTCGGTGGAGATAGGCGCGAGATGTGGTGGCATGTGAGGAAGAATAGACTGGGGTTGATTGATAAGAATCTCTCAGAAGTCTCTGAAGTGACGGTGGAAGAAGCTGGGAATGTAAGTCACTGTTTCCCATATCGAATTTTACATTCCGGACAACCATTAACATCTTGACAGTTTTTGTCCACAAAATGAGTACACTAGTTTCGGTGAGAATATTCCTGCCATGGTTTTGGAGTGTTCGACATTATGAGCGAATCCGTATCCATACACGCCCCCTCAATGGATGATTGATCATCAGGGTAGATTCCTTGTCTTAAGTCTAATAAAATTGGATTATTCATATTATCACGCCCATATATAACCAATAAAACTCCAGCGGAAAAGGGCAGGCCATCATTCAAAATCGACACGATGTATTTCTCTGTGTAAATGTGCTCGCTAAATTGACCCCACGCTCAAATAAATAAATGCAAAATAGGGTAAAACCTGAAATGTACGAAGAGCGGAAGACCCGCAACTATAAAAAAAATATCTTAGGATATATTTAATCTTAGGATATATTTCCTATTCTCTTTTTCCCAATTTGGACCTTGCGGTTAACTCTGTACGTAGTAATTGTTAGCAAAATTCCCCTATCACGAACGACAACATTATACGAATTTATGCAAAGGAAAATCGAACACTAACCTCTCAACATCCTCATCCACCATACTAAGCATCTCATTCTGGATCTCTAACTCATTATTAATCGCAATCCCCAACTCCTTCTGTCGTGCAATGACCTTGCGTAGATCCTCCAAACTAAGATCTTGATTCTCCATGATCTGCTTCTGCAACTGCAAAACGCCCTGATTATCCAACTCTCTCGTCTGATCCGTCTCCTTGCCCAACACCCGGCCCGGCCTAGGTTTTGAAGCTCCAACAAGCGCTTCCTTATCCTGAACGGAGGCCACAGCACTATCCAACTTAGACTTGGTCATCATGGCGTTTAGCAAGCTTTCTAGCCCATCCTTTTCCTTCCGGGCACTAGCCAGCAGGTCCTTTCTTCTCCTAAGCTCACCGCTGCCAAGTTTATTTCCGTCCCATGCAGATTTATCGCCTAGATTCTTCAATCCTTCATCTAGGCCCGTTAGCAACACCCCCGCCCGAACAAGACTGCTTTTCGCCTGCGCAGAGCTCTCATGTTGTTTCTGTGGAGTAGAGCTCTGGTCGCGTCGTGTAAGGTGAAGCCTGGCATCGTGCAGTTGTGACTTGACATCTCGATAGCAATCTAGCCACGTTGTTGGGTCTGTGATAGGGGCTGCATTACCACACGCACCGGGAGTTGTGGCAACAGCATGCAAATCTGATAACGCGCGGGAGGAACCATTGCTTAGAGCAGCACTGGGCAGATTCAAGAACGTGCGCCACGCGTTTGAGTTACGCCACTGTGGATTTTCAGCGTCGTTGATGGCGCGCAGATACTCTTCAAGGCCCTCTCTGCGCTTCTCTCGATATGTCGGGTTGGAGTTTGTGTTTACAAACCAAGATTTTCCGGGCAAGGGGACGGGCGGAGGAGTGGTCACTTGGCTTGTTAGCGAGGAGTTAAAGGCGACAAAATCTGAGTAGCGTTTCTGGATGGTGAAGGTGCGGAGAGGGAGTCTGATGGAGATATTGTAAAGGGTGTAGGGACTCGGAGTGGTGGAGAGGATGGTTGTTGGAATGGAGATGTCGACGGGGGGAGCCATGGTTAGGACGAAAGAGCAAAATGGGAGGACGAGGAAAGCGAGTGTGCACGGCTAAACTAAACTCATGCTCATCAAGTCTTTGAAAGGAGCGTGGTTTTATATCTTGTCTGTATGATGATCAGCTGGGCATGGTTCCATGGGTGGTTGGTTGATGCGGAGATGAGTTTTGATGAGTTGATGAATAAAATATTTGGAAAGCCAATGACGGATGCAGAGATAAACTTTCAGTTTGGTCCAAAATGTAGGTTGCAGCCGGTAAAGTTATTTATTTTAGGCGACAAAACAACTTTGGAAAAACTCCTAAATAGTTTTTGAAAAAAGAAAAAAGAAAAAAGAAAAGAAAAAATTCTCCAAGATGGAGATTGAATTTACTAAGTCACTCATAGGTATCGATACACCCGTTTTGCATGCAGATGCGACGTCATGGTAACTACCTGCCGATATGAACGTCTGTTTATTTACCGCGGCGAATCCCCGCTTCCCCTAAAGCAGAACCGTTCATCAAAACAACCCACCAGCAGACATAAAATATCACCAATTAACTATAACTACAGCTCAGACCTACATGAATGCATTCTGTCTTCTTCATACTGATGCTCCTATGCCGGTGTTAATGAGACCAAATATCACTTTTACAGTCTGTGGCTGTTCCGATCCTCTGCCATCTTGGAGCTACCAACCCGTCTTCGTATGTATAAAGTGTGTCTGCTGAGCTCATGGGTTGTACGTTGAATTGCGCACACAAATAGACCGTTTCATTACCGCAAAGATGTCTGAGGAAAATCAACAGAGGCCAGCTTCACCTGGCGGCTCGCTGGATATCGACATCCCATTGTCTGGACTGCAAAGGAAGGACACCATTCATTTGACTCCATACTCCGCACCCCTGCTCTATGATGACAATGATGATGATGATGCCCAAACTGGTACAAGAGGGCGGCCACAGACACAATCTCGGAGTAGGGAAGATCAGCGTTCTCCGTCTATGCAGTCGCTTCTCCCCGTTGACTCAAATCGAGATGGACGAAGGACATTGTTGCTCATCTACATCCACGGCTTTGTGGGGTCGGATACCAGCTTCCAGAAATTTCCTGCGCACGTTCATAACTTGCTTGCTGTCATGCTGTCTGAATCTCACGTTGTTCATTCCAAGATTTATCCCAGATACAAGACTAGAAAAGTCATCGAGTTTGTCAGAGACGATTTCAGTCATTGGTGAGTGTCCCAGCCTGCAACAATTCCTTCTTGATAATTCGATATGGCACTGATGTTCGGCATGAGTGTGTTGGTAGGCTGTCACCTCACGAATACCCTGAAACAGATGTCGTGCTGGTAGGACACAGCTTGGGTGGTATTCTTGCAGCGGAGGTTACCCTCCTTGGACCGTCAGAGCCGCTGAGCCCCCAGATGTTTAAACATCGAATCATGGGAACTATCAACTTGGATGTTCCGTTCCTAGGTCTGCATCGCGGTGTCGTCACCACTGGTATTGGCAGTCTGTTTAGACCTAAAAAGGACAAAAAGGATGACCCGCAGAATCAGCCTTTTCCTGTTGATTCCTCAATCCTCGCACCTCTGTTTTCCTCCCCAGTCGATCCCCATTTCAACCCTGCATTTCCAAATGACATCCGGCTCACGGAACGCTCGCAACTAGATGGAGCTATGAATTTCATATTTAAAAACTCCAACCACCTTGTAGATGCCACGAAAAGATATATATCTTCGCATGTGGAGTTTGGTTTTTGCATTGCTGACTATCCGGGTCTGAAACGGCGATACAAGCGTTTGAGGGAATTAGAAGACATTGACGAGTATAGTCAAATGCGGGATGGGAGTGGTCGGCTATTCCGCCGCATTCGATTTGTTAACTACTATACTGCAGCCACTGGAAGAATCAAATCTCCTGTTAGAGGTAGTGGTGAGGGAGCGTTGAACAGAAACTTGGTTGATGGGCAGCCAACAAGTTCAGGTCCCACATCTTCCCCTGGGCCAGGCCACGTAAGGTCATTATCCGTGGACCCTAAAAGGCGAAACGAGGAGCAGGTTGGAGATATGGTTTCCGCTGTCCAAGTAGAAAATGGCAAAGAAAGCACCGCTGGGGTTCCCGTATTGATGGTACAACCTGCCAATAGCTCACCAGAGAATCCCAACACTACCACTCCATTTGAAGCTGTATCTCCGGATATCTCACCTCCCCTCTACCAACCACCAGAGTTCAACCCTTCATTATACGATTCAAAGGAGCACCTAAAAGAAGCGAAGAAAGAGCATTTTTATCAAGTGAAAGCCTACGAAAGGGCATTGAAAGACAAGGGGAAAAAAGTAAAAGCTCATAATAAACTAGTCAGCAAACAGGAACGAGCTGCAGAAAAGGAACGACTGAAACAAGCCAAAGAGACCGCGAATACCCCATCACCTCACACGGATCCAGAACCATTACTCCCTCTATTATCACCATCCCTCCCCTCTTCCCCAGCAAGCCATATAGACAACCTATCACCTGCGAGTGGAGCGCCAAACAGCATTGATGACATTGAATCCGCCTGCAGCACCCCTCCCATTAATACAAACGCGCACTCCAAAATCAAGAAAGATCGGAAATTCTGTGCACTGCCTCCAAGAGAGGCCAATGGTGAACGAGACCCATTGTGGGTGCGGGTTTATATGGAGGGAGTGGATGAAGTTACTGCCCACCAGTCCCTATTTGTTTCTCGAAATGCTGGCTACGATCGGCTAGTAGGAGATGTGGCTGCGCGCATTGAGGGTTGGGTGCAGGATGACCTAACGGCGCAGATGATAAGGAATGATTGCAAGATAAAGAAATAGGTTAAACTGGTGTGAGGAGCTAAGTAAAGGGGGACTTTTGTGTTTTTGGGAGGATGTTCATGCGAAAGCGACACTGAAACTTGACTAGGATTCGATGGAACATAGAGCGCGGGGAAGAGTTGTAACTCATCAATTCGTCCGGCTTGGTGAAGTCCTGGATTTCTGGTCTTGCTTGTATTCTATAGCCGCCGGCTTCCAGTCCGTTACTTTGATACCATGATAGTGATAGATTTGCATGTTCAGACGCCTTTGGTATTTGTCACATTATAACCTCCATAATGCCTCGTTGTTTGTCTCGTTTCATTCCCTCCCATAGATCTGAGATGCGACATATTCATGTTATCAAAATGCACCCGTGAGCTCCTCATTTGGGGGCTTATATATAGAAAGAAAGGATACATTCAAAGGCATCCTACATAAATGTACATACATCTAACACTAACAATATGTTCTCTTCCTAGGGTCAATTTACTCTATCTGGCTCCCTACCAGGCCAAAATTCATATCTTTCTCCCATATGTCCCGAAATTCAAGCAGGTCCTTCTGGCCGTAAAATTCTCCAACGACGGTAATCACCATATCGAGCATGGCCCGAGTATATCGATGAGCAACGGCAGATTCGTCACCATCACATTGGTCGTCTCCATAGCTGTCGTCCAATTCCCCTTCTTCCCCTTCTCCATCACTGTTCTCTTCTAATTCGACCTCGTCACCCCTAGGTTCCATGGAATCGGATGGTTCTTGGAATTGTAGTCGTGCTTGGAGACGCGCTTTAGCTGCGTCGAGTTCGTCTTGGATGTCGGTGCTTCCCGTGGGAGGAATAGCGGTTTCCATCGCTTTTTCTTGGGAAATCATCGGGCCAGAACTATTTCTGTAGGTATTCACATCGTTTTTCATAATACTGCTTTTCATAATACCAGGCCCATCTTCATCTATTCCATCCTCATCCCCATGACCTTTATCACCTTCCTCGCACCCAAATATCTTTCTATATTCTTCAGCGCCTTCATCCTCTTCCTCTCCTCCATCCTCATCTTCCATGTCAAATTCATCCCTCAAATCGTCCGTTTCCCCCACACTTTCAAGCATCACCTCCTCACTCTCTCGAACTTTCATTAAAATCCTTGACGCCCTCTTCCCCAGCTCCCTGATATCGCTCACCGCCTCACTCCCCAACTCCCCTACAGCCCTGCAGCGGCCCAAAAGCCCCCACGCCCACGCACCCAATCTTTTCACCCTTGCACTCTCGCCGCTCCTGACTGCCGTAGATAACGAGCGTGCAACAATTGCTAACAGTCCCAAAACACTTTCCATGTCCATGCATGCCAACTGTGCCATGTGCGGGTCCATAGTCTGTAGAATTTGTTCCCATTCTACCCTGGCACGCTTATTATATCGGGGGAGGGAAATGGGGCGCTCCGCACCCAACGAGGCAATTACGGAGGCTGGAGGAGTGCAGTTGAGGGTTGAGCGGAGGAGGAGAAAGCGATGATGGAGGAGGTTATAGTATATTTCTTGGGCATCGGCATTGCTTTCGTCAGGGATGTCGTTGTCTGGGATGGTGGTGTACGGCGGTTGGGAGGGAGAAGCGAAGTAGACCCCATCGGAGTAGAAACCAGTTAGGTTAATTCCGACCCCCGTCTTGGTGGTATTTCCAGGGTCATTCTTTTGATCGTTTGTGTTATACTTTTCTGAAAGGACGGTGCTTGAGACGAATATAGAGGGCAGCGTTCTTGCTTCAGATCTGGGTCAAAACGTTTGCACCGCGCAGAACGTGCGGCGGGCAATAAATATTAGCATCACTAGTTGTATGGGGAATAGTAGGGAGATAGGCGAACAAAGGTACGGTGTAAACACTGTCGCAGTTCCGGGTGCTTTTGGAGGTGGGATGACAAGCAGAAGCATAAAACGGAGAACACCTGGGTGCTTACCGGACCATGCAGAGGTACTCGATGCCGTCCTCTGGAGGGCCATATAATAAACGATCTTCGTCTACGGGATCGTCCAGACCAGGAAATGCGTATTTCTGCCCGTAAATAGGGTCACTTTTGGGTTGTGGACGAGCTGTGGTCGGTGTTATCAGGGTGAGCAGCGACGGGGCTTCATCCTCCTCGTTGGGTCCCGTAGACCGGGGCTTTTTGGTGTATGGAGATACGCTCAATTCCGAGGAGGGGACCTTTCGCTTCTCAGACATACTGCCCATGTATTCTGAGACGGATTATTCTGTGCAGTTAGAACATTTTCACTCACATCTTGTGGGCGAATAAATGTGACAGTGACTGTTCATTTGGCTAGATATTTTAGCAGGATGGAGCTTGGGCCACACAAGACCCACTCCGCAAAGTTCGAGGCACGGCACAACAAAAGATGCGGAGGTCAATGTATGGAGTAAATATAAAGCAGTGTACTCTTTTAGGGGATTAACATATTTGAAATCTGTCATGATACAAAAATGAAGGTCAGAATTGTTGGCTCTTTATTTAAATTTATTTACTTATTTTAAATTCTAGCTAACTACAACTTCAACATTGGTCACTACTGAGACACATTTGTGGGATCATGGACGCAGTCGTTGTGGATCGCGAGGGAACAGTGTTGCTAATCGAATATTAGGAAGACCTAGGAAGAACATGACAATGCGATTCAGGCCAAGTCCTCCGCCAGCATGAGGAGGACATCCCTGCCTAAACGCGCCAATGTAGTCTTCGAATCCTTCGTCATTGGGGTCGAGGCCCTTAGAGACCATGGCAGCTTCAAGCTCCTTTGCGTCGTTGATTCGCTGTGCGCCAGACATAATCTCTTCTCCTCTCATGAAGAAATCATATGAATTCGAGAAGGTGGGATCCTGGGGGCAGGCCTTTGTGTAGAATGGCCTGACAGCCATGGGGAATTTGTCCAGGACGTAGAAATCTGTATCGTACTTCTCTCGAATAATGCGGCCAAGTTGCTTTTCCATGGCGGTAGTGAGGTCGTTCTCAAACTTCTCTTGCTCAGAGACATCTACGCCAGCTTCCTTTAAGAGTGCCACACCATCCATGTACTTCAGTCGCAGTGCTTTTCCGTCCTTGGGGAGTCTGAAGTCGCCGGCTTTTGGGTACGAGCGTTGGACGACTTCGATTTCCTTCTTGAATCGCTTCTTTAGTTCGCTGAGAATGAAAACCAGGAGGTCCTCTGCAAAACTCAAGACTTCGTGGTAATGGCTTTGGAATGTTTTCTCGAAATCAAGACCAATAAACTAGGACTATGTTAGAATGCGCCAAACATCATTTCCGACAGCAAAGGATTGGTTAACTACTACTTGCCTCTGTCAAATGTCTGTGAGTGTTGCTCTCCTCAGCTCTAAACACCGGGCCAACCTCAAAAACGCTTCCCATATCTCCCGCAATACACATTTGCTTATACAGCTGGGGACTTTGCGCCAAATAAGCTTTCCTCTTGAAATACGTCACTTCGAAGACTCCAGCGCCGCCCTCAGATGCATTCGCAGTGAGTTTCGGCGTCGAGATCCATCGTGATCCGCTCTTAAGCATGTATTCCGTAAACAGTTGAGCGACGCCGCTAGAAATCCATGTAATGGCCTGGCTGGTCTCGGTCTGAAGGTCGAGAATACGATTGTCCAGGCGGGTCTTCAGCGTAACGCATGGAACTCCTTCCGAATCAACCTCATCCGTGGCGGATTCAGGCGGAGGACGTTCTGCGTCCTTGACCTGCATTGGAAGCATGTGAGACGCCTGGGAAATCATATATACTTTGCGAATATGCAGTTCCAAATGAGTCAGTGTCGCCGACGTCACTGGTATTTCCGCCTTTTTCACGATGCCAGTGACCTGGACGATCGAATTCACATTTGTTCCTCCAATCCATTTCACCATCGGTCTCGAGATTTCCTCACTCGCGCTCACCACAGCCTGTACCTTTTTCCCCTGCTGTCGCAACATCAGGAAGGCCAGCTTCGCGCTCTGCACACGGGCATTGTCGGCACGCGCAACGACTGTGACTTCTTTCTCGAAGAGTTCTTCAGACAGGTCGGCGATGTTCGTAATCTGGACGACATCTGCATCGTCTGGGATCGGTCCGTAAAGGTGCTTCGAGAAATCTGCCGCCTGGGTGACTTGCACGGCTGCTTTTTCCTGCGCGGCGCGTTTTGCAGCCTTCTCTGCCTTTTCCTTCTCTTTGGCGGCTTTCTTGAGGGCGCTCTTGCTAGGAGGGACGGCTTCTCCGGCGGAGGGTTGGGAGCCGGGAGTTTTATTTGGCTGGTCTCCGTCGCCCTTGGAGTGAATCGGGAGAGTGGACTGTTGCTCCATATTTATCTGTAAGCTATGCCAAAGGCAGTTGGCAATTCGAACTCCTCTAGGGGCGAATTCGGTGGTTGAGGCGGGCGGTTGGTTGGTTTTTTTCTTCTTCTTTCTTTGGGGTCTGACAGCTTCGAGTCAAACCCCACACAAATTAGCCTTAAATAACTAAGCCCTATCAGATAGTTAAACCAGATGCCTGATGTCGATAGCGTTTAAGTGACAGAAACGCTATACGATATTTGATCAAATACAGACATTAGACTATTTGTAATAGTTACATCAGCAAAGGCTCCGTGAGGATAAATCTATTGTTGGTTTTTGTTTCACGGAACTGTCTATTCGTAAATATAACCACCGAAGGCCTTCGGTGTTTCTATTTAACGACGCGCTTTACACAAGAAGTTTACAACGTAGCAAAAGAGCGCCACAACAAAATTAAATCAACCGCTAAACGTAGTTACGGACAGCGGGAAAAAGTAGCGGTGTAATTAAAAAATAAATAAATAAATAAACATGCAAGCAGAACTCAACTACGGGGCCACCGCGATTGCATTAAGCCCCATTCAACCGCCTGCTTCACACCGTCAACTATGATCTTGGGCGGCCAGGCAGGTTTCCCGTCGGAGTACACCCCGGTTTTTACGAGAATCGAATTCCACTTGGTCCCAATGGGACTTTCATAGGAATTGGCTCCTCGGATATCAGACTCAGGGTTGTCGCCAATCATATATACAGCCTCAAGAGGCTGTAGATCCTGAGTTCCAAACATCTTCTCCCTCCCCAGGTTCAACCTCTTCTCAGCAAACCTGTATGTCAACTCGCAGGGCTTCCCAATCACCGTCGTCTTTAGAGAGGCTCCGTTAGTGATAGCTGCCCATACACCCTCGAGCGCAGCTTTAAATCCTCCCTGGCCTAGTCTTGGGTGGTGATATTGGGCCGACCATAGAAGATCGGGATTGGAAAAGTACAACGGTGGCTGTCCATCTTGCTGATAACCCCTGTTTGGTAGGTCCGGGTTATTGTTTTTGGGTGAGTAAGTTCCGACGATTCCTTGAGATGACAGTAATATGTCAATAATAAATTGAATATCCAATGCCCAGTCCCTCGGGTCATTGAACACGAGTATTGCATCAACTTTAAGGCTTTTGGACGGATCAACCGCGTCTATTTTCCTGGGGAGGGGGGTTGTAAATCTCCTGTAGAAGTCATTAAAGGCATCTGAGAATGGCCAGATCTCAGGGTGAGAGCTAAAGACATCGCCAGGAGTCACGACTGACTTGAACCCGTACCTATACGCGGTTAGAATAGTCACTCTCCAACAAAACAAAGACTTGAGAAATAGCCATGGCATACCGTTGTGCAACGGCGCGACACTTCCCACCAACCCCACCAACCACCAAAACACATTTGTCCCTAAGAGAATCTTGCTCCTCATTATCTTTGACCAACTCTGCGAAGGGCGTGTGGCTTTGCACGATCATATCGGCATCAAGAGGAATGTGGAGGCGTTCGCTCAATTGAGCAGTTCTCTCAGTTTCATGCATTCCCCCGCCGTTCGTTAGTAGAACGAAAGGTATGTTTTCCTTCTGTAAGAGCTGGAGGGATTCAGACGCGCCTGGCAGCGCTCTCGATGATCGGAGAAGAACGCCATCTATGCTGATCTCTTATATTAGTACCACCACCGTCAGGCACGGGGAGGAAAGACTAGATGGACGGACTTCGACTCCAACGGACTTACTCGAAGGCGAACGCAAAATTGGGGATTAGAGATCGGGACGCAACCGTAGACCTGAATTTCCTCTGTATAATCGACGTCTGGTAGCTGGATTGCGATCGACTTAGCAATTGGCACAAGCAGCGTACTCGCATGGCTAGGGTAGAGGAATGCCACAATGTAGTCTGTCGAAATGGCATAGCCATAGCCTGCTAGTTTAATCCAAGAAATCTCGCACCCGGAGCATTTGGCTGGTTCTAATTTTGGTGCCGGAGACTGGCCGTTAGTTAAACATCGACGGTACCGCCAAAAACCCGAAAATCCATCGCCCTCCAAATTGGCCGTGATGAGAGTTATATATATAGTTCAACAGACGAAATAAATAGCCGCCAGCAAACTCTGGACGTGAGATTCCTCTTAGCATCACAATCACCCACCGGAATGGTATCTGAATCTACAAGCAAAACAGCTACATTTGTTCCAGCGGAAATTATCATCCATATCCTGTCGTATCTGCGAGATCAGCCCGCCGGCCAGCACACGCTTTTACTCATGCTGCTTGGTGTCCCGGCAGTGGTACTCAGCTGCACTCCCTCTACTTTATGAGAGGCCATATATATGGGGGAGCAACTTTGAAAAGTTCGCTTTAGCGGTCTGCCCGCCAGCTGCAGCGTATGCTCCAAGAGGCGACCTCGGGCGCTTTGTGCGATGGCTGGATTTTGGCGGGCTGGTGCATCATCTTTCCACTAGCATGACAACAAGATTTCTAGGAAGAGTCAGAGACAACGTCGAGGTTTTTGTTGCACCAGCCAGTGGTTTTTCGTAAGCACCGCATAGTTACTCCCTTTGTACGATTGTTTTAACTTGCGATCGCTTCCTGTCAAATGTCCACCGCATTTCCTCATGTTCTCAGGGGCAAACTTTTCCCGTCCATGTTCAGCGCCCAACTGCAAGAGATATTTTACCAAAATCTAATCAATTTGTATAGATCAGTCAATCTCAGCGCCGTTTCTAAATGTAGAAGGCTTCTCACACTAGATTTAATACACGTCATTAAACAAATCGACTTCCAAGACATCAAAAAGGCCGTCCGGCGACTGGATGATCTCCATCGTCTGCGACTCCCCCGTGGCACAAACATAAATACACCAGCAAGTCATGTATCGTGGCCGCCAAATCTTAGAAAGCTGGAAATCACTGGACGGCTAGATCTCGCTCTTATGGGTACATTCGACTGGCCACCCAGAATCTCCAGTCTAGTATTGGCCGGGGAAGCTCTGAGAGAGCCGGTGATGATACCTGCTATACTTGAGAATCCGTATCTACACGAACATTTGCGGCGGCTAAGAGTCCCCTATGAAAGCCACCATACACTCGAGCACGCTGAGATGCTGGCCCGACATATCTCTAACCTTTACTATCTTGCAGTTCAGGGAGATCTAGTCCGATCTTCCTTCTTCCGCGCCCTTGCTTTGCTACAGTCGCCTCTACCTTTAGAGATACTCTCCTTCGAAGAATCCCAAGAGTTTCCGGACTTCTCCAAGAACGACTTTATTGACGCGCTGGATGGAGGTTTGGGGAATCTTCGGCTGGTTGGAATACATGAATCCCTTTTATCCCCGCTGAGAATGGTCTCAGATGATGAACTCGACGAGTAGCTGAAGTGGAATGCGAATAGGAGGGGATATAGTAAAAAGGAAATCGAGAGTGGGGATATTCCCGTTGGAGTTTATTATTTTGGCTGACGGACTACCCCATATTCAGATTTCTGCTGTATCTGCTGGTTGAGCGTTTTGGCCTTATTAAAAAGGAGGATTAATTTCGATCAAATTATGTGCACTTTGGCGAGTTTTCGGATTTAAAAATACATGGACAATGGTTATATAGAACTAGACAATCAGGGGAAAAAGTTTACCATATAGTTTCAACACCAGAGGTGTACCGCACTAGCTTTCAAAAAAAAAGGTCCGTGATTACTGCTAAGAAAGAAAATCCGCGGGGAAGATAATAGGGATGGGAAAGTAACAAAGGAATGAAAGTTAGATGATAAACGTGGAACTAGGAAAGGAGAAAAGAAGCCGTTGCACTCGATACGAAGAACAGGGCGTGGAAAAACCAATATATGCATGGGTTTTATCCACTAAAACCCCCAGTTAGCGTTTAAAAAAACATTTGAGAACCCTCCGGTTACCAAGGGTAGAGCAAACATCGAACACCTGTCCTTCATTGGGCTGAAAAAGAAAGAGACCTCAATAAAAGCATGCTAATTATCTACCAAAACCTTAACCCTCACTGATAAGCCGCATTTTCCGATAGAAGAAAAAAATTATTAACGGGGGAGGGCTGTTAAACTATGCAACAGAAGCGATTACTGTCGCAGCAATGCCTTCCTCCTCAGCGCGAATCGTTATTTTGGTCGTCACGCCGGACTTAGCTGAATATGCCATTCTCACTAACCCTGCGACTCTGCCACCTGAAACAGTCTTGCCGTACAGTTTCAGTGAGTGCGTGGTATTGGTGAGGACGATATCAGAGCCTTCAAGTGGCTGAAGTGACAGCGTTGCAATAAGTTGCTCGGTTGCATCTGTTGTGTTTGAGAAAGTAAGTAATTAGGCAAATATAACTTGATGGCATAAAGACGAAGCTTACCAGCAATGCCTTTCACGTTGGAAAGTTGGAGGGTTTCACTGGCTTCTTCACCATTGGCGCCAGTTTGTTCCCACACATGATCGAAGCTACCAACAAATGCGGGGACGACGTAGTCACTGCCAGTTAGATCCAGATCTTCAACCTGATACTCATCCTCGTAACCACTCTCCTCTGGTTCGCCAGTGGTGGGGTCTATTTCCTTGCTCGTGAACTTCAAGTTGTTTGTAAATGAAGTTACAGGGAAGTTATGTTCGCCTCCAAGTTTCTTAAACGCAACATATACTATTCCAGGATCATTCGAAAGAAGCCTGGGTGCTGGCACAGTGAAATCTTCTTCTAACGATTCGTCGTCGTCGGAAGGAGAAACCACAACGGACACATTTTCGAGAAGTGTGTCTGGCAGCGTATTTTTGATGTCGTACTGCAAGACAACATGCTCCTTAAATATATGCTTAATTGCACTGACGACATATTCCGTCTCGCTTTCGGTGAGCTCAACAGGAGTGGATGATTTGAGCAGAGTTCCGTATGCCTTGAGCTCTGGTATTTGTGCGAGCTGTTCAGCATATTTCTGTGTCGCAGCGGCAGCGAGAGCAGCCCTCTCTGCTCCAGAAGATGATATGGCTTTTGACGGAGTCATCGACGGAGCTTTGAGGGTTGGCGTCGCAGTCGTGAGCTTCTTCGTTCGTTCTTCAGCTAACGCTTGCTCTTGCGATACAACGGGTATGGTGTTGAGGTCAAATGCTGTGGCAAATGTCTCTTTATCCGTAGAAGTCACGTACATGACAAGCTGGTGTTCAAAGGTGGACAAGGAAAACATCGAATCTAAAGAGAAATTAGCTCATAAAGTGCCGCTTAAAACCTATAAAATTGATGCATATTTCCTTACCGTTTTTAATAAATCGCTCTGCCATTTCATCCTCTTCCTTCATCAGTCGTAGGTTAAGGGCCGCACGGTCGCGAACCTCGTCATCCGTGTCATCCAAGCATCGCGTCAAAAGAACATTTACGCTTCTCTTAAGTTCTGGGTCCTTTTGACCGACGCCAAATTTAGCTAATGCTGTCACAGCAGCAGCACGGATTACAGAATTTTCCAAAACAACTCGGTTATAAATATATCGGATATACTTCGTAGGTTGTGAGGTCTTTGGTCCTTCAACACCCAAGAGGTGTAGGATTCTGACTGCGAGCTTGGTAAATTCGCAATCCTCGATGAATTCACATAAATGTGCGAGTGCTAGGTTCTGTCAGTTTATCATTCGAATTAGCACGGACAGTGGACGCCCATTACCTTCTTCTTTGCTTCCAGGCATGAATTTAATGAGGTCAAACATGCTCTCAACCACACTTCTCTTAAATTCATAGCCCCCTTCATCTCTCAGTATACCACTTAGGAAAGTAAGCATGCCTGCTTGCTTGTTTGGAAACTTAAGGCAAAGAGTTCTGATAGCCTCAACGATTGTGATCTTAAACTCGTCGGTTGTGTCAGCCATGAACCCAGAAATCTGAGTCATCAAACGATCTACACTGGCTTCGTTTCCGGTTTTAAGTAGAGTCGTAATTGCAAAAGTTGCAATCGATCTGTTGCTATTGGAGATCAAGGCTTCAATATCTTGATTGCAAGGGTTCACAACGTTGGGTTTGAAGGAGGCCAAGCTGTGCAAAGTTCTGATGGCAGCAAACTTGCTAACGGGGCGAGGAGATGAAAGGAACAGTTGCAGGACATGGACAGCCTGGGATGCCTCCGCATCTGTGACGTCTCGCATTTGGCAAATTGCTCTGGCAGCCTCGAAATTGACCATTTCATGTTTATGTCGTAGCCAGCCATCGAGCATTTGCATCATCGGTTTTCGAAGGCTCTGGTCCTCATCCGCTAGTTTGGCAGCCAATCGTACAAGCAGCACAAGAGCAGCGGGGCTCCTGACAGCGCCCGCTGTGCCATACTGTTGAACCATTTTTACCAATGCCATTCTATCATGAGCACGCATTTGATAAAGAAGACCAATGGCGTGGTATTGAGTCATGTAATTCGTTTGCGAAATAGAGTGCGCTTGTCCGCTTGTTGTAAATCCGAGGAAACTGGTAGACTGCTTGGCCGAGGACGCAGCCTCCTGGGTTTCGCTTTGCCACCTTCTAACGACATCTCTGGCAACGGGAAGGAGATGATATGAGGATACAAGTGCGGCTGACGAAACTGAAGGAGTCTTATCAACAATTGCCGTTTTTATAAGCCGTTCAATCGCTTGAACAGTTGTAGCCTGGGATTATCAGTACACTAGCCAAAAACTTTGGAGATAAAGAGGGATAGGGATAGTACATCTATTATACGGCACAATGCTCGAATGGCATTAGCCCGATAAAGAACATCACTTCCAACAGAGGTATCCTTCATGATGATAGAGGTAGACATAATAACATCCTCAGCGGTACCCGCCAACTCCTTCAAAATTAGGTACACCATCTGCCGTAGGGACGGATCCTTGTTCTGGAAGAGTTTGGAGATGCCAAAGAACAGCGTCGTAGCCTCATTCGTCGGGAACTTCTCCCCCGTAAAGAGGAGGATGGCGATCTTTGTAAGAAGGGTTCGACATCTTCGCGGGGATATGGGAGAGGAATTGAAAAGTCGGGCTAATTCCAACATCAGTAAACGACGCCCAGATCCCAAGTGTGTCCCCCAAAACAACTACCCACCGTCTTGAAAAACCGATGTTCTATCCAACTTCATCATTATCTGATCGGCATCCTCATCTTTCTTAACATAACTCATCTTGGTAATGGGGGAGTCGACTGGAGGGTTGGGCTATGAATCCCCCGAAGCCAGGAGTGATTAGGAGCCGAATGAGGTGAATTGTGACGAGTGGTTGACTATCGAGCCTTCATAATTTGCAAAGGCATGAAGAACAGTCGAGGTATGTGGTATTCCGCCAGCAGCAGATCGGAGACAGGAGTCAAAGTGTGCAAGCGGTTGTTGAGAGGCCGATAAATGTCAGTCATCCGGGTGCAAAACTTCAGATACACGTTGCCTCTGTGCTCGATCAACAAGTGGGTTGGTCTGTGCGGCGTTGGACACCAGCCACTGTGGCTGAGCAAACAGTGCAAACATTTTGCACTACTTTGAAACCTCGGCCTAGTTTCGAAGGGATGAAGATCATACCCGGTATTCAAATATAACTGTGAAAACAATAACAGATCAATTAAAATATATATACTCCCCACCATGGATATGCCAGTTAATGTCCCTGTTGATGACACAAATGCTGACACAGAATGGTTTGCATTCTCGCTTTCTCATATTATACTCTTAACAGCTAGTTGGGCAGCTAACTATTGCGTAGGAACGACATTCTCCGCAAGCATGGTATAATTCCCGAAAAACCTCCCTCCCCAACACCAGTTATAGAGGAAGCGATTCTGGAAGCTGCAGAGCGAGAACATGAAAATCGACTTGAAAATAAAGACCTAGATGAACTTGACGCTCTCGAAGATGAAGAAGACGAGGAGTTTCTTGCGAAATACCGGTTCGCATACCCCTTCTCGCACATCTGTCTATAGCTACATATTTATTTCCTGGTAACCGGCATTGTCGCTAAGGATAATTAATTCAGCCAAAAGCGCTTTGAGGAAATGTCCCGTCTTCAAAAAAAAAGTATCCACAACCAGGTCTATCCTCTTCAAAAACCAGACTACGCAAAGGACGTGACAGAAGCGTCTTCAAAATATTTCGTTATGGTCAACCTCACCTCCTCAGCAGTTAATAATATCGAGTCACAACTTCTCACGGAGCTGTGGCGACAACTTGCTATGAAATACGGAGATATAAAATTCTGCGAGATGCGCGCGGATATGTGTATAGAAGGCTACCCCGATCGGAATACACCGACAATACTCGCCTATAAGGACGGCGACATCAAAAGGCAAATAGTCACACTTAAAGAGCTCGGGGGGCCAAAAACCACTCTCAAGGGTAAGTGTCCCTTATCTCCTCTCACAGAGAATTCATTTCCCTCTTTGGTTGTTTGTCCGAATTCTGAGTCGCAAATCCAAATCCAATCCTGTTTTCCTTTTGTCCTAATTCTCTTCTCCACTTTCCCGTTTCTCGACGAAAACATCTCCGTAGCCGTAGCCTGAAAGGGACGAGAAGCTGACATGCCAAATTTCACCATGCAGATCTTGAAAAAGTCCTCGTCTCCTTGGGCGCCATCGATGAAAACGATAGCCGCCTCAGAAAAGGATCCACCCCCAAACCAGCAAGCAGCGATGACGAATATATCGACGATTGGGATTGAATTTACATTAAAAAAAGAAAAAGAAAAAAGGAAGAGGGAAATCATGTAAATATGTCTCTCCTGTCCCTTCCTCGCGATACCTTCTTTTGTCAATCAGACGATATGGATCTTTATCACAGTGGAGTCTTCTGCGCTGTGCTGCGCTGCACAGTGAGCATGCTAAGAAAGTGCTAGGCTGCCAGCCGCTACTCAATGACGTATTTGAAGAGATCTCTACATTGAAATCCCATCAACACTACAGGTACACACCCTATCCCCCTACCCCCCTACAACATCCATGATGATGGATGGAGCAATGCAAGGGAACAATAAGCTACATATTTTGATTCAATTTTGAGAGCATATTTTTCAAAACAATTATCTTCGGGCTTATTCATTCCAGCTGTATATATCCTGTATATTGATCGCTGCGGATTAATATCCCCAATCGATTAACCTTCCTACACTTTATTTAATTCAGAAACCTGGAGGAAATCAATCAATACAACAAGACTTGAGGATTGCCTCAAATTAAATTCTCTTGAGCTATCAGAAGTTGCAACTATCTACTTCCATGGAACTGTTCTGGTAATCCAGGGTTGAACAAAGGCCGGAAGCTACTGGCACCAGAATACATAGATTCGTTGCATTGTGGTTTGAGTTCATAGGTATCTATGTATTTTAACTACACGTACGGCCAGGGAATGGAAGACAAGTAGATCAAATCTGATTACGATTTCATTCTTTTGTTTCTTTTCGATTGTGTCAACATATACAATTAACTGACGTAAATCCAAAGTATATGTGGCACCCGGGAGGGTGTAACAGGTGTGACCCTGGCATGCGGGCGGGATAAATAGAGAGTGTACGCGCCTGTGTGAAGTAAAGAAAGGGGTATTGTAGAAATTTCAAAAGCAAAGTATACATAGAGACGTCCTCCAATATATAGAGAGAGGCCAAATTCAAGTAGATGGAAAGCGGAAGACGACAATGGGCTAAAGACAGGCTAAAGTGGCAAAGCTCAAAACAAAAATATAAAACTAGAGGCAAGAAATAAATAAATAAATAAACCGCATTGTATATTTCCAATATGCATGTAGAAAGCAAAGCTAAGGAAATCGTTGCTGGATTGTTAAAGAAGTGAACCAAATACACAACATAAATTAAAGGCAAAGAATTAAAGGTGAAGGCGAAGGGGAGTCCGATATTGTCCATCAGGAATTCTGCCTCAAAAGAGTTAAAAGAATCTCGGCATTGGCTAGCAGTGCAGGACGGGATGTAGCTTGAATCGCATTCAGAACGAAGGTAAAAGATGTCAACGAGAGTATCGGTTTATATATCAAATCTTGATTAGCTCGCCGCTCCCAGATGCGATACTCTCCTCTCTAGCCTGAAACACATGTGCTTCCTCAATAACCGGCCCCTGTTCATCACATTGAGTATGTCATTTTAGCCTGTCGTATATATCCTGAACATCCAGGTTCAAGCCCTGCTTTGACAAATAACCCACGATCAGATCCCACATGGCGGATACATCTAGCAATTTCTCTCCCGTCGTCCTGCTAACCGCGATGCGATGAACTGGATGCTTCTTCTTTCCAGTGCTCGAGAAATTGTCGGTTGGCAAATATCTTAATGGCCCTGTTGTGGTGGGTTGCGGATCGTGGTCATGACCGCCGCTTGCGCCCCTATTGTTGACTGACGTAGCTCGAAGAATTTCATTTTCCATCGCAACTTTTGCCATTTGCCTTTTTAGGCTTTCGTTATCTTCCATTAGAAAAAAATAGTTACTTTTGTATTCATTTAACTCCTGCTCAAGGTCGTGAACACGTCGTTCCTTTCGTTCTCGAAAGGCTCGTTGACTGGTTTCTCATGAAACAGAGGTCAGTTTATGGACAGTAACTTCCAGGGTTATACATAGCGCTCTGAGCTAGCCTCCTATATATATATCTCAGTAACGAGAGATGATTGCATACGCAGCTCTATTTTGTGCCTTCCGTCTGCTTTGGGCTGGCGTCAATGTTTCCTTCTCCTCACTGCTGCTTCTTTGGTGGTTGAAGTCTGCTGGAACCTCCTGCATTTCGGGTCCGCCTATAACTTGCGTAGCGCCATTGCCATTGCTGCCATTGTCGTTATCATCAATAATATGGGAATTGAGTGGATATTTCCCATAGTTATCTGATGACGGTGGCGCGGGGCGTTCCGAGGAGGGCGGAAGAATCGAAAGCGAACTGGCTATCAAGCGGTTGGTATGTAGGATCGAAATGCTCCTAATCAGAGCATCAGCAAGAGATCAAGTCAAGTATTATGTTGGAGGTAGAGAATGATTTACTTGGTCAAGCTGGAGCTGGAATTGATTGGGCGGCGGAGTTTCCGTTGGCTGAGGATGTGCTACCGAGAACAGCGGGCATTGCTGAGCAGCAGAGTAGAAGGGATATTCCATTTGGCGACCACTCCCCAGCGGGGTGACAATATTAACGGCTTACAGGTGCTGGATGAGCACTGTTTCTTGCACAAACAACTGTTTCTACGACAATTCGTTGAGATTAATGGTTCCTCGTCGCCAACGAGAGGGCGTTGGAGAACGGTCTTAACTTCATAAAACGCTGGGATGCAAAAAATATGAATCACAACAACGTAAGGTTGATTACAGTGTTGAGGAGAGATGTTAGCAGTTGTCGAAAGGGCGGAGAGTTTGCGCATTCTCGTGGGACTGATAGAGGAGTTGCAGAGGATGGAAGTCATGATAACTAGATAACTAGTTATTATGGCTTTCTTACTAGATAATTAGTTAACTAGTTAGTTACTGTTTTTGGTCCGTACAAACAGCATCTGGACGGGGTTTGAAGATTTTTTTCGTACAGAAAAATGCAAGCCACCCGCTCTTCTAATCTCTTCTTAATTCCAGAGAGGATTTCCTCAATCCGGTAACTTGGGGGTTCAGTAGCCCCGCCATTTTTCAGCCTTGGACGAAGTAACATGCCCAGGGATGCCCAGCACTACATCTGGGGAGTTTTACGTCCCCTTTGCTGTTTAGGGTCAAATGGCCGTAACTATAGAAGTCCGAGGAGAATCCACCCGAATCTTGCAAGCCAATGCTCAATCTAGCCTCACCGAACTGTAAAGGGATATAACAAGCGGGATTAACGTCTAACTGTTATTTCCCTAGTTAGTTATGTCCGTGAGATTGATGGTGATGGGATAGTTAACGGGGATCGCGAATTGCGCCATTGCCCGGCCATATAAACATCCAACCAAGACATGAATTTATTTTATTCGTTATTGTTTTTTGCATCTTATAGTTATATGCAGCTTCCCGAGGTTAAGACTATACAAAACAACCGGTCAGTCAATGTGTCTCTAGGTATGGTGGTATGAATCCTATCTGGTGAATAACTTTCCAGCGGAGACCCTGTAGTCTATGCCGCTCTTTGGAGATCTATGAGTAAGAGCTCAGCTGCTCAGTAAAGACCCCCCCCTTGGGCTATGCTCCGGGTTCCGAAGTTATTCAGATTGTGGTAAAAGATTTCACTAAACCTTTCATTAATGTTAGTGAAAGCCCTATCCACTACCCCCATTGCAAAGGCTTAATAACAGGTAAGAAGCGCAACAGTTTTGTTACCTACCTATTCCATTTTTAATCAATCCAATGATCCGACAAAAGGTGAGGAAACACCAGATCTGCTAGTAATTTTGTTGCTAAAGAAGATCATGCCTAGATGCTTTTTCGAAATGCCTGTCACTACAGGGCGGGGCCTTATTCTCCGGTGTTGATTGATGTAGATAGCATTCAGCCCTCATTCTGATGCTTGAAACATGAATCAAAACCAGCGATATTGATCATTCATCTTCTGCAGTTTCAGTCATAGTAAAATACAAATCAAAACATTCAGGTTTCTGTGTATATCTGAATTTTCAATGCTCCCTTCACGCCAGAATGTAACGTTATCTGGTAAGTTTCTCTTGACCAATTTCCGGCCCCCGTTTCCTTCGAGACTGTCCAGTGACGAAAATTAGTTTCCTGAAATTGGCGAAAAGTTACAACTGCTAGGTGCTTGTGAGAGTAGTTAACGGAAAAAGATAGTAATGAACACATAATAACTCTTTTACAATATTTTCAGGAAGAACATAGAGTACGCCTATCCACGGGTAATTACCATACCACATTCTATATATGGTTAATGATCCGCTAATTCTAAAATTATAACTCGAATGGTGCTATTCTAGTCGATAATCTCATGGGCAAAATCCAGTTGAAGCGTGTACGCGCAAAAAGGAAAATCAGAGAGGGAGATCTCTCTGTAGCATGTATTTTAAAAGTCAATGCTCTATCGTCCATCTTACTCAACTCATCAGGATTATAGTGATTTTCCCTCCTCTTGTTGATTCTTTGGTAGGTTAAGTCGGAAGACGATGATAGAGAACAAGCCGGAAACCGCAAATCCCAGTTCTAAACCGTGGCCAAGGTAAAACCTCGGTCCATTCTGACTGCGGTAGTTAGAAGTTTGAGGCCATTGCTATGAATAAGAATTGACATATTTGACTTTTTTAGACAAATAAGCAATCTTACCCTCTCATACGGTTCACTCTTTGCATGTGCTATGTACATCATTCAAATTTTACAATATCAATTTGAATTGTCATATCAGATGCTTGTTTAAAATCATCAGCCAGGGTTGTTGCTTAGTCAGATTACAATTCCAGAAAGAGCAGAATATATTTCTGAAACATCATCTGAGTTAGCTATATACACATTCAGCATATTCAAGAGAGAAAAGAACTGATAATATACATCAGATATAATCACAAATGTCTCAAAATATACAACATCTGAAATTTCTCTACTCAAAGTACTAATGACAATAACATAGTCAACAATCATGCAGAGCAAATAAAAGAAAAGAAAGATTAAGCACTGATCAGATCTATCTGATAATCACACAAATATCACACAGATACAACTGCAATTATCATAGTAATTATATGTATCTAAATCTAGAGAACAACTTTTACTTGTCTTCAACATTAAGTGAATTCAAAGATAATTAATCTCATTGTTAAAAGTTGTGTTATCAATAATGTATATTTTAGATCTTTGATAAATTATAGATAGAAAAAAGAATATATCATACAGTAAGCAAATAATACTGTATCAGACTAGTTGAAGTTTGAAGTTAGATTCATTATAATCATCAAAAGTCGGTAGATGAAAATGAGAAATTGAATTATCATATTAATCAACAAAAGATACACTTGTCAATCCAGGAATGCTTCTTGACATATTTCCATTTGAATGTTTTGTGCTTCATGGCTGTATCAGAATACTGATATCTTAATTAATGAGTAACACAAGCTCATTCATCCTTAGTTAAGAATGAAGTAATTTGGGGATAGTCATTAATAAGAATGCAAAGAGAGCGACCACAACAGTCATGATGCCTTCTAGGATAAAGTCCACCACCAGCAGGCATATGCGGCAACGCCGTCCTAGAGAAATTGTTTTCTTTAAAAAAAACTGTTTCATTACGCGAGGGAATGAACTTTCGGCAATTGCAAAAGCGCAGGCCGGAGAAGGCTCCAGCAGCACTTGAAGCGCTGAAAATAAAGCTTGTCGGACTTGGTTTTCATGTCTACAATACCACTCTGTAATGTAGAACGCAACACCTGGGTAAAGGCCAGATTCTTCGGAAACGAGGTCGCTTAGTTTGGAAATAAGACATGGAAGGGGAAAGCGGCACATAACATGGATAAATTGTACATACCGTCGAGCCCAAGGAAAATCCGAGTGATTAGAAGGCTATTGTAATTTTTGAACAATTCCCATCAAAGTCAAACTATCGAATTAGATCCTAACGTCAAAATTCAGACCTAGGAATGTGCTCAAGTATTTATCATAATAGTACCCCATGCAACCATAATCAATGGCAGCCGAATCGACGGCCTCATCTTGCTCAAAACGAGATTTGAGGAAAAATCAAAAATGGCATAAGGGAAAAAGAACACGGTTAGTACAAGAAGTACCCACATGATTAGCACTTTGTCAAATTGTCACCCAGAATAGAACAAACAAAACCAAAAGTAAAAGAATAGATTAAAGAAAGGGTTTCCTTACGGCACAAGTTATACTGAGAACCAGTCAAGTTGAGATCCTCTGTCTAATCTTCAACCTTTGCATTCCCAATATATTTCTCCGGTCAAGAAATGCGAGCAAAGAGAGGAGTGACATAATAGGAATTAGCCGGAGATCATTTTCTGGGGAGTCTTCTTCTCTTCAACATGGCTGAAATCCACCGTTTCCCCGACCCCTTCGGCATCATGGCCCACAGGCTCCTTTTCGTCAATCATGTTGGCCAAGTTGCTCAGAGACCAAGTTTCCAAACCGACTTAGGAAGGGAAATCGGACAAAAAAGGTTTCCAAAAATTGCATTTGTAAAAGCATTGAACACCTTGGGCACTCGATAATATATAACTAAATCCTAGAACCTGTGCCCGCCAAAATTGCCCCGTAGGGTTGTCAGCCGCAACCAAAACCTGAAAAACTTGGGGTTAACTCCTGCAGATCTCCATTGACGCCAGAGACCAACCCTCATTGGCAATAAAAGGCTCTAACATTGTTCAAATAATATAGCGCCCCCCCCCCCCCCCCCTTCCCCACCAGCTAGCAACGGCAGGAAATGCCCTCATTTCATGGTTGGCTACCCCGAACCCAACAGGAAGAATCCCCGGCTGTTGAACAACGGTAAATACCCGAAGGCTTCACAGCTCGCTGGGCTCAGGTGAATTTAAAGTTAGGTTTGATGGAGATAAGCTATATTTAGCGTCTTGGCGTCCCAGCCTTCGATTATGGTTGAGGCTTAAAATCCACCTCCCACAAGCGTCGGATAACATCATACATTCAATTAGCTCTCAACTTGTCTCTGGAGTGCAATAATGACTTGGAGGGAAGGGGGAGACAAATTTTAACACCCTTTGAAACTCCAGTTCCCATCTCTGCTGTGTATGCTGATGCCTCCACAAATAGATACTCTATGCGACAGTCCCAGCCAACTTCGATTTTCGCTATCAAGCTGGAGTTTGCTGTGGAATACGATAACTAGTTACATAAAGCCAGATGATCTGTGTCTAGATTATGAATCCACAATTGCGGAGAGGACCCCACGAGCCATGGAAATGGTGTCATTGCTGACCATGAAGTTATTAGTTTAGAGCATTTAGAGCCCCCTCCATGCCGAATACTGTCTACGGCTTCGGCGTTCCAGTTTGTTTTTGGCCTCCAGGTTCATAGAACTGCTGCTGAATCTCTAGTTTCCTGTAATACCTTTGGATACGTGAATTTGCTAACACAATATGGCACTTGCCATGAAAGAGTGTCTAGTACCACAAACAGTAGCAAAAATTCAAGGAGGGGGAAATTGGCCATTCAGACTTATCATCCAGCGCGAAGGTGTTTGGAGGAATCCTGGGACCTTTTTACAAGATGAAGGAAAATCAATTGGCTACTGTTCCCGCAACCATATGGAATTAGTCAGGTTTCAATGGCGCACAATGCCATGTAGATCGTTCCAGTATTTCCGTTCACCCCGATACGATGTCTAGACTCCGTGTCTCACTTCTAACCATTTGCAAGTCACGTATTCCCCGTCTTTGCCCCGATGATTAGGAAGTTGTATTAAATTGTGTCTATCCTTACTGTTTAAATGGATGCCGAAATCCCCTCACTAATATTATATTGTGATTCAATTTTCTATTTGCAGATTTTCATATTCCCATTGCTATATATTCGACAATTTGATTGATAAAAAATGATATCATAATCTCACATGTTTGTTTGGTCGTTGCTCTTATGTTAGTTACATGTAAAAGTAAATACCAAAGTATTCACATCCTAAATTATCGACCGCAAAAGCTTTCACCTCTGGCCATTATTGGCAGAAGATTTCATTATTATTGTTAGTCGGTGCTATTCGATTACTTGACGTTGGGGTATGTATAAATCACGAAAATAGTCCTACAATTACATTTGTTCCGACTATGATGTGCTAAACAGCTCAAGAATGAAGGACTTTGTTGCAGTCATTCAGATTCAAATTCATGCTGTTTTCACTATGTGAAGAACAATGACTCATGGCTTTCTGTAAGTTGATGCTGTAGTGATACTGACTTAGATAGATGTCAATTCAGTACAGAGTCAGGCCCTCAAACCTTCAGATGCTGGCAGACTCTTGTCAGCACAGAGAAGGTCTCATTGACCTAACTTCAAAGAAAAGAGCAAAAGTGAATCTCTGAGGTGGAAAAACACCTCTGAATAACTACTTCTAAGGAGACAGTTGACACTGTCTCTGAAAGCATCACAGAGACTGTATGAATGCTGAAGCAACACTGCCACCTCCCATCATTCATATCATATGTCAAAGTGGTTACTGGAATAACAGGATGCATATCAAGTGAATTGATTAAGTGCGGGTGGCTCTAATATTTCCAGGAATTCCCAGCACAAACATCTCCACAGTAGTTTGTTCCAGAAACCCTAAAACGGGAACTCTGGATTCCCCTTTCCCTAACCTGCGTCATTCTAGATATATAAAATACACTCAAATATTTCAATCAGGGTCTGGGTATTCTAAATGGATGTGCCTCTGTATTAAACACAAATTCATCCAGACTGATCAAGTCTGGTTCGCTGAAGATCAAATAAAAATATTTGAGAGTTTCTCCAAACCAAAAACTCTCCATACTATCCTCGTTCCCCAGTTCTGGCTGCATCACATCCCTCAATGAGGCGTTCGCTAGATCCGTATGCGTGTGCTTCTCAATTGCTTGGAACATCTCCCACGCGGTGTCCTGAAGCTTCCGATCACCGGTGATACGATAGAGGTAAAAAACACTCTCGATAGCTTCCGGGCGAAGCCTATAGTGTCCGTCACGGACTAATGTGAAGCCTATGTGTTGTGAGCCGTGGTCAGATATCCATTGTTTGAAGTCGAATTTGCAGTTGAAAGGTGACTTGCATGCCTCCATGCGGAAAATTTCGGGCATAAGGCCAGTGGGAGTATTTTGGTAAGTCCAAATACATCCATCAGTAAGTTTACGACCAATTTCTATGTGGGTTTCGTTGGAGAGAAGACGACCTCCCAGTGCTAGTGTGCCCCCAAGGTAACAAGTAAGGTGCTGGCCTTCTGCATCAAGGGAGGCGGACGATGGATCCTGAGCATTTGTTTCACCGGAGATGAGAATGTCAGCATTATCGGGAACCATGGGCCGGAAAAAGAGGTATTGCATCGCAGTGTCCATGGCGTTTCGGTATAGTCTTCCATATTGAAAAGCTGCTTGTGTCCCACCAAGCAATGCATACATTTTCGGAAGGTATTCGTAGGCGGAATCAGCCATAGCTCCTAGGTTGAAGGTCGAATCATTTGTGAAGTCAGCAGAAAGAGGACTGCATCCTACAGGCCATAGACCTGGTAGTTTCGTTTTGTTTTGCTGCTTGTCCAACACATTGGTTATGCGCTGGATGGCATCGAACCACCGCATGTCACCTGTTAGCTGGGACAAGCGTGTGAGTTCCATACTCGACGATGCCACCTCCGCGATAATACCTTCCTTGGCGGGGTATTGATTTGTCCCTTTCACCGCTTTCTGTGGACTCCACCGCGTTACAGGCATCCGATTTGGCGTATCAAACGATGCATATATCATATCCCCAAGCTCGACAGCTTTATCAAGCAATCTCGCATCTTTGCATTCGGTCAGGTCATAAGCCGAGAGGAATCCCCCCAGATATCTGATTGTTGTTTCAAAAACATTGATAGTCTCTAGACTCGCTTTTGCTGGGTTGAAGTCGATAGAGACCGCCGCCGTGACGGCTTCTTCGAATTCAGCTTTCAATCCCATGATCCAAAGAGTGTCCAAACTGTCAACGAGCGTTGCTCCCCAACCCCCGAAAGTATCTTTCGAGGTTCCGGTCATTGGTGCAAGCTCATCACTGAGCCATGCGTTTTGCTTATAAGAAGTCCAGCCTCGCTGGAATACTTTCTTCACTTCTTCTTGGCGCCGAGCGAGTAGCGCAGAGGTTTCAGACAGAGAAGCTTCAAACGCATGTTGAATTTGTGGCAGAGGAGATGGTCTTTCACTCGGAAGCTGAATAAAAGAACTGACAGTGTGCTTAACAGGAATATTCCTCCATTTAAAGCGACTGTGATTAGATGGTATATATGTCGGTGATGGATTATGACAAGAATGTGTTTGCACCCATGTCTCTTTGACGGAGGGTTCAGTTATTACTTCTACATGCAGTGTCTGTGGTTCGGGTGAGGCGCGGTAATAGAGGTAGAAAAGAAAAACTAAAAAGATGGCGATAATTCTATACTGTGATCTCCTCTGAAATATCATGATTGTGTGAGGAGTTGTGACAGATGTGACAGAAAAACGCCCGCCAGAGGGAGGCGGGGGTTGGAGAAAATTTATCAAGTTGATACGGTAGTTAGCTGGCAAGTCAGCTCAGCCTCATGACCCCCTTGCTGTGGACAGAGAGCAAGAGAATCGACACAGCCAGACAACCTAATAACAACATGAAGCAAAAAGGAGCCTAACCAACAATTAATAAAGAGACTGGCGGACATGCATTTCGATGTTCTGAGAAGGCGAGGATGTTGCTCGCCCCGATCAGATTCAAACGAACGCTGAAGCCCTGGCACCACATTTGGGTTTGGCGGCGGTGCCAATCGAAAGCGCTGTAATGGAAAGGTAGTTACGGGGTACGGAGCAGAGATAGTTCAGGGGAAAGAAACTAACTACAAAGGATGTTAGTTAGGGAATTAATAGTTAAGGAATACATAGTAGTAAGTGTCGACCTAGCCAGGTCGGTTCAAGCGCTTTCGGAGTCCTTAACGAGAGAATATAGCGGCGTCTCCAGCACAGTTCCTCGGCAATGAAACACGTTTATCGTATGATATTACGCTTTCACTGCCGGAAAGAAAACTCAGAATGGGGTGACGGGATTCGCATAGGAAGTCCAAAAGACTCTGAGAGACGGCTGTTCTTGTGCATATCAATTCCAGAAACTGGGATTTGTCTCCTAGCATGTGTCGATACGGAAAATCCCAAGGACTGAGGTGCGCCCCAGAAATGTTTAAAACAAGGGAGCTCAGTAAGATTTTACTTTATTCTTTCCCCTGAGAGGCGCCGTGCAGATCGGAAGAAACGCTGCACCATGCTGCACGTGATCATATAAGTTAGCGAACGAATTGGGGATCAACAAAAAGATTAAGTTATATCAAGAAAGCAATAACGTATCCCCAACCCAAATCTATCCACATTCATCAAATCATTTAAAATGCCCAAACCAAAAGATCAAGTTTCTAATTTGGAAGGGAGGTTTTCCTTATATTGAAGCCTATAAAAGTAAAATTAAAATCACATCTATTAGAGCTGCTGCCAAGATATATGATGTCTTTAACTCTCTATCTTTCATAGTTGAATCACACAAGTCAGAACACACTCAAATGCTCAACTTTCTAATAGAAAGCTATCCTCTACAGAAGAAGAGTCTCTAGTTCAATGAATAATCTTAGTGAATGAGAGAGATCAGCCTTTCTGAGTTGAAAATGTATGAAATATGATAGATTAAACTACTCTCTGCTTAGATTACAGCTGCTGTGAGTGAATGCTGAGTGAATATAAATATTATGAGAATCTAAACACTAGATATTCATAAAATACAACTATAAGTTAGCCTTGAAATGAAGATTCTAAGATTATATGAGAGTGAGTTCAATAAATAGAGAATACAATAGAGAGAAATATGACATTGTGAATGAAAATATCTATAACTTAGATTAAAACTGACTTTCAAATGAGAGTTAAGTTATATCAACAGACACTTCTGTCACATGACATAGTTCCAATCATAATAAAGACTTCAGCTTCAATCAATTTTTATAGATTTATATATTAATTCATTTATGCCAATTAGTTATTCAGTCTACAAATAAAAGTGAAGTGCAGTATATCAAATAATCATGTAGCTTCATGAATTGAAATATTTCTTTCTTTTGAATAGCAAAAATCACGAGTTCAATTCTTTTCTCTATTTCCATAGAGTTTCTTGCATTTGATTGTGAATTGAAGGCATTCTGACGTAGAAGAAAATGGACTAGAAAGTTAAAGATATGTTGCTTTTGATAACCCCACTCTCTTGGGTGACCCACTTGCTTGTGGATTAAGCTATTATTAACTACTAACAATCTCATCACCGATCAAAGCAAAAAAGAAACTCGCTTTTACATGAAACATGAAGAGAAAGTAGTTAAAACCATGTTTGATAAATCAGGTTGCCACACAGCCGCAGCTCTTGGCTGATAATTGAGTTTCCCAAGATGATAATAATAATAATAATAATAATAATAATAATAATAATAATAATAATAATAATAATAATAATAATAAAGGAGAAGAAGGAGAAGGAGGAGAAGGAGAAGGAGAAGAAGAAGGAGAAGAAGAAGAAGAAGAAGAAGAAGAAGAAAGGAATTAATTCGAGGGCGCGGTGAACATGTCCGTTACTGCGTTCAATTCCTTTGCAGAAAATCGAAGGATTAATTATCTATGCGGCTAGCTAGCTTCGGTGTCACGATTCCTCCTGACATCCCGCCCTGAATGAGCGGGGTATTCTGTCATGAAAGACATCAGTGGTTTTCCATATTTAGTCAACAGACGAACGATCCAATGGTGTCACGATCTCCACTAAATAATATGATAATCCTAGTTTGCTGAGTGGTTAAAAGAAAGGCGAAGCCCCTATTATTGAACTCCCAACGTTGGCCAGATCTTCAGGTATTAAATCAATTTTACTATTTATAGAACAACCAGTGTGTAAGAAATGGAAGTGCAGCCGAAAGCGATTTGCTAGGGACACAAAAAAGCACTTGTCATTTTGCCATTTGGGTTCTTGGGTGCCGGTTGGCTGCAGGAGGTCTGGGCCGAACCAGTCCGCGGTTGGGCACCAACGAATTGTTTGGGGACTGTCGCAACTTGAGTAGCCTTGCTCCGTGCACTCCAACCAATCAATCCTGCTGGGCAGTGAACCGGGTTTCTTGATTTTCCTGGTTAACACGGTTCGCCGGTGTTTGCGCCCTTTGATTCTCAGCGCTTGGTTGCTGGCTGAGGACCTCTTTGGGTTGTTGAAGGTTCCACGCGACGATTTAAAACAGCAGAAGATCAGAAGCTCCCGCCAAAGTTTGTATTGTATTGTTTCGGGAAACGTTGTATGGTCAAGCCGGCGGCATATTGGCAGCGGTCCGTTGGTGGTTAGCCACTGTACTCCGTGCTCCGTCCTCTCGATTGCCCTCCATTTAACTGGTCTCTGGGGCATCTCTGGCTAGGCCTGGTACAGTACACTGCAACTCCTATCCCATAATCCAAGCACATTTTTTGGGCGAAAAGGAGCCTTTTCATCCACTCGATCTTGATTCTTTTTCCTACACAACCAAGGAAGCAGTCTTCCTCTTTCCCAGTTTTCCTTGAAAACTCCGACATGTGGAATCTTCACTTCTACTATCAACCCCTCTATGATTAGTGTAATATTGCTTTGAACAGAGATCTCCATTGCATATATGAGCGGAAAGTTATAGTTTTGTAGGGTTTGTATGTAATATTCAGACTGATGGCGAAAAGCATAGTTATTGAATCGTATGGTAAATACAGGGATACATCCAAACAATACACGCCCTTCTGCTCGCAACAACTTTACGGAGTAATTACCGTTGCCTAGTGACGATAGCGAGACTGAGCGTCCACGGGTTATTGTCACAGGGAGGAAAAAGAGGCGGGAAAGAGGAGCAAAGAGCTGTCAGCTGCGTAATAAATTAGGGGCAAGTGGAGGCAAATCACTGTCCTCCGTAATGTACTATGGGATGGCTTGGGTAGCAGGTAATGGATGTGTGTATGTATACTCCGTACAAGTACTGTACGGTCCAACGTACGGTGCTGTAATGGCGCTAAACCCAAAACAGGCCAGACCCAGTGATCCAGTGACCAGAGCCGCCTTCCCACGCCCAACCTCATCCTTTCACCGACATCACCTCAACCAACAACCAACAACCAACAACCAACAACCAACAACCAACAACCACAAACCACAACCTCAACCACAACCACAACCAGCTCCGTCTCTTCCTCTCTTCTCACCATCTCCAACAATATTCGCCTTTCAGTTTTTATCGCGAAGGGGTTTTCTTTCAAAGACTTTCTTCTCCCCTGAATCTTTCCTTTCATGCCTTGTGCTCTCTGCTAGATTCCAGGCACCTTTTGAAGCCATCTTGCTTCAACGGGCTTCACTTGTGAGGCTCAGGCTCATATTTTTCTAACCCATCCCTGAGTCCCTTTTCGTCAATCAAGCACTTCCCTCTTCCAAAATCTTGGGCTCTGTTGTGTGAGTAAAATTGTCCCCATTCCCAATCACGTCTATCTTGGCAGTCGTCTTTAGACGTCAGTTCATCCTCCGTTGCCCTTCCCTACTTCTTACTGTCAGCAAAACAATCCCTGCCGACCTTAGCCTTGCCTTTTTTCACTATTGATATATCAGCATATATACATTCACCCAGAGTAAAGAGTTAGCTATTTTCTACTTTACTGACCACCCCTTACTGGCAGATCAAAGTCGGATTCCATCTCTCGACCCTCCGTTAATCTTTCTCTTTTCCGTTCAGATATTTCCAAGTCGCCTTTCTCGTTGCTGGCATACGCATTTATCTCACCTTCTACAACCCTGACCCCACCACACACCTCAAAGCTAAACCCAACGTGAAGTCAGCGTCTAGCTGCCATCGACTCTGCCACGATGACTACTATGGTAAGTAGTGTTCTACTGTGTCTCTGGGTCTTGAGAGAATCCTACCTATCCTTTGCTTGTTGTCTTTTATTCCTCCATTCACATGAATCTTCCCCCACTCGTCGTGAAAGAAATATGGGTCCTTCCAAATCAGAAACCCTTATATCATACTTAATAATACCTTCTTCATATTGTAGGATCTGCGAGTTGGCAACAAATACCGCATCGGCCGTAAGATTGGCAGCGGTAGTTTTGGTGACATTTATCTCGGTACGTGATTGACTTCTTAATATCACTGTAAATCCATAATCCTCATATTGCTTTAGGCACCAATATCATCTCTGGAGAAGAAATCGCTATCAAACTCGAGAGTGTCAAGGCCAAACATCCACAGCTTGAGTATGAGGCCCGCGTCTACAAATCTCTTGCCGGTGGCGTCGGAATTCCATTTGTTCGCTGGTTCGGAACTGAATGTGACTACAATGCCATGGTTATCGACCTTCTCGGCCCCAGCCTGGAGGATCTGTTCAACTTCTGCAACCGCAAGTTCTCACTGAAAACGGTGCTCCTCCTGGCTGATCAACTCATTTCTCGCATTGAATATATACATGCCAAATCCTTTATTCATCGCGATATCAAACCGGACAACTTCCTCATGGGCATTGGGAAACGCGGGAACCAGGTCAATGTCATTGATTTCGGCCTTGCTAAAAAATATCGTGATCCCAAAACTCATTTCCATATTCCATATCGCGAAAACAAAAACCTGACTGGTACTGCCCGTTATGCCAGTATCAACACTCATCTGGGAGTTGAACAATCTCGTCGTGATGATATGGAATCTCTTGGTTACGTCATGCTCTATTTTTGCCGTGGATCTCTTCCCTGGCAAGGACTCAAGGCCGCAACTAAGAAGCAGAAATACGATCGCATCATGGAAAAGAAGATGACCACTCCAACTGAGGTTCTCTGCCGTGGCTTCCCCAATGAATTTTCCGTCTATCTGAACTACACCCGGTCTCTCCGATTTGATGATAAGCCGGACTACTCTTACCTGCGAAAGATTTTCCGCGACTTGTTTGTTCGCGAGTCCTTTCAATACGACTATGTCTTTGATTGGACAGTTTACAAGTATCAGAAGAACGCTCAGGCCATTGCTCAGGCTTCTGGAAATCAGGGCGCAGATGAAGAGGAAAAGCCTCGCCGCCAAGTCAATGCTGTTCAAAATGCACAGGGACAGCCTAAACCATCCCCTCTTGCTGCTCCCCGTCGCAAACTGGCTGAGCGTGTTCCAAGCGGGACTGTCGATACCCCCGATACTAATCGCGCTGTTGGGGGGAGTGATCGGATGTGAGTATCTGCAATATCCATATTCTCTAAGGGGAAATATATCAGTCCTGTCCTGTGCGCTTTGATATCTCATGCTAGGCTGTGGAGGATTTTGGTTCAAGAATCTGACTAATCTCATAGTCTTCGGCGTTAGGCTTCGTTCTGCTTCTAAAGGTGCTAATGCAAATACTGGCTACTCTGGCGTTGCATATCATCGTTCGAAGCGGGATGATGGTACTGGTGCTAATTGGTACTGAATTTGCGATTAAATGGTGGCTCCTTCGTCCTCATCGCATATCTTATTTCGAAACCTCAGCAATTTTTTCGTGGTTGATTATGTGTCCCGTCACCTGCATCCATCCACTAAATTCTGAGCGTTTTCCTTGTTCTGAAATCCCTCCATTTCTTATGGTGTGTGTTTAGCCTTCTGCTCAGTCATTTACGCTTTCTCGACTCGCCATCGATTTTATAAGTTTATGGATATCGTCACTTTGGTGCTGGGCCTTGTCGCATCCAAACTTTTGAACGAACAACCTTGCACCGACGAACCTCAGCCTTCTTGTCGAGAAACACAACTTATTTATTTACGGAATAACTGATGCAGGCTTCAGGACATATTATGCACCTTCCTTGATATTCTTCGGTTGCTCTTCACTTTTCAAAGGATTTTTTCTTTGCTCAACCCTGGAGTCAAGGAGGTGGGGTGTGCTCTTTAATGGATATCCCAGCCAACTGCCAACAAATACGCTTGAATCAGCCTATGGTATTTTGGGAATCTGAATTGATGCACTAAGCCTCTCTCACTTTCATTTATCCCTTTTTTTTAGCCCAAATTGTCTGCATTATAAGTTTGTCATATGCTTTTCCATATTGCGATGAATTGTGTACGTTTGACGAAAACGAAAGGGGACGAGTCGATTTTAACGGAAACGAAGGGGTTTTATGTCAGAAAAGAATGGATACGATTCTTGCCGGCCCTTGACCAAACCGTGGTCGAGTTGGATGCTGTTACATTTTCCTTCGACATATCAACTAAGGCTGAGCGAAATCTCCCGCTATTATAGCCTCTTCTACTCGGGAACACGGCGACGGACTTATATGGCTTGGGTCGCTTCCGGGGTGGTCTTTCGTCCAATATGCTGCTAATTTGTGTTTTGTTACTCCTTTTTCAACTTTGCGCTTGAATTGTTTAAGTTTATTTTCAACTACTGCAGTTTTGAGGTGGTGATGATGGCCGAGGTAATGAATAGTGGTTAGTAGAAGATTAAGGGGTCGGTAGTAATGTTGGGATGCTCACGCGCCTGGGGAGGTTATGGCGGCCAGAAGATGACTTTTTTTCCCCTCTCTCTGACCCCTCTTTGTGTTTTGATCCGTTTACTTATCATCTTCTTGTCCTTATTCACAAGTCTGTTAGTAATCCAAAACGTTATTTTTTTTCAAAATTTTGTCGTCTCCAGCCTCCGTTATTCAACTTCAAACTTTATCCAACTACAGGAACATTTATTTCATGGAGTGAACAAATAAGAATTGGCTTCGTGTTGGTCCCGACGCAATTTTGACCTCCAGGGACAAATTTTTCGAGGTAAATGTAATTGGGAATTCTGCCCTATCCAGACGGCTCCGAAAACACCATATTGCTCAACATTCTTTCAATGAAGTGTGTGTTCGAATACAGACATATGTAGGACAGCCAGCTTCTTATCGAGCCCCCTTTTATAAAGCGAGAGATATCGGAAATCAAACGATGGGGAAAAAGTCTTTCAATAATCGAGCATCCAGCGTTCTAAAATTATACTGCAGATCTTGAGGTAGGTAGGTTTAATTGCCACTGCTTCAATAGACTGCACCGAACTCACGAGACTGTACGCTGTGGAGCGAGGTGTGCGATAGATACCTAGATCAATACTTAGCCACAAATCTCAAATCTCCATTTCCATGAGGCCTCTTTTTCATTCTTTTGCCTAGAATCCTGGATAATTCTGCGTTGTTGTGTGAGAGAACAGTGGCTGGATATAGCTTGTTGGTTCATCGAGCTTGGTAACATCAGCGTGTTGATGCAGATATACGCCTCGTAAATTGTTGACGTGCACGACGGGAAGGCGGTAAACCCCTATATCCTCGTCTGTGATTGTGAGAGGATTTCCGGACTTTACGCAAAGGATCCTTAACTATTTATTAACTGAGGTACATTTACACGTCTAGTGCTATCCATGCTATAAACAGACCACCACAGGCGGCGACGATGCTTGCGAGCATGATCGTGCATACCATCGTCAGACGCTTCTTCGCGTAAACCCTAATGTTATGGCCATCTGCAAGGCCAATCCTCTTACAACACGTCAGGAGAAATATTTCGCGCCCCGGTAGAAGGTGACATACGGATGAGGTTACATAAAATTGCGACATCTTTATGATTAAAATTTTAGAAATTCCAACCAAGAAGAGGAGATGAATTGAATATGGGAATAGCGTTGTTAACGGTGTTCATCGGTGTTATGGGGATATGTAAGAAATGGACTGACCTTCCCTAGTTAACTTCAGTGTTAACTTTTGAAGAAATTATCTCGTTTTGATGAAAACATTAATTACCCGTCGCGAATTCTGCTCCCCCAATAGTTGTGTAGTAGCATCAGCTTGCAACTCTTCCCAACCGTAAAACATCCCGTGTGTCAACATCGACAGGTAGTGACCAAACCAAAGGAAGTCTGCAAACGATCTGAAAGAAATAAGGGTTGTCCAAACGTCCCTATTTCAGGAATGATAGAAAGAAATAACATATAGACGAAAGGTTGAACAAAGAGTAAGAAGATATCATAAGCAACAAAACTAGCTAAACAAATAACAGAGGTATGAGACAACAAATCTACTTCTTGAGACAAATCGTGGGGATACCAGAGCAGAGTTTGAACAAGTTAACAAGATAGAAAGCAGCAAAAGCAGCATAGCAAAAGATAGGATATAGGAAGGGTTTAGGAGAAACGTACAAGAAAATATTCAACCACCCTAAACCAGAGGCTGAAGCAAATTAAGATTACATCAAGGAGAAAAAAAAAAAAAAAAAAAAAATTCAATTTCTGCGCATGAAAAGGTAAGTGAAATGAGTGTATCCAAGAAATGTTGAAAACGAGGTACAAATCTTAGGAGATGATAAAATAATTTTCTGTATCAAAATAAACCTCTAGGTATAGGTATATAGATTATATACTCTAGGACTATCCATGTCTCCCGTAGAAGATATATAGAAGGATACAAATATCATAGGCATAATGGGGTCTGGAAAGAGAGAAAAGTTCGAAAGAAAACAGGGTAAGGACCAGGAGTATCGCGTGCCGTAAGAGCAAAAATGACGGAAACAGAGATAGATTATGCAAAGTGCAAGAAAATTGAAGTGGAAATAGGTGGGAATGATAAACTAGAATACGAAGGTTAAAGAAACATATAACGGTAAAAATTGAACGAAGAAAATAGGAAGAGTAAGAGGAACAACTGAAAGGTGAGCATAGGAGGAAAAGTTGATTGCAAAAAATACAATTAAAGGCTTAAGCAAGCCAAATCCAGGACAAAGGAATTAGTTAATACCAGTAAAAGATTAAAAAAAAAAAAAAAAAGAGGGTCGAAAGAGGGTCGAAAGAGGGTCGAAAGAGGCCAGGGTAGGAGGTAGGGATAATTTAGAGAGCCCAGATTCCCGAACATCACTTGGTGATTAGAAGACCATCAAGGTCTACAATCACTGTTCACCCTTCCACCAAACGCGGAACGAGGAGGTATCTGAACCAACCAGCAGGAGAACCTTCCATACAGCCTGCGTGAATTTGTTTCTTAGTAGAAGAATTTCCCGTTCAGAAACAGATGGAGTCAAATTGCTTCACATCAAATCATGTTATCCTTCGTTGACGCTGTGGGGTCAACGGCTACGGGTCCTGTCGTTGGTGTTCTAACAGGGGTGGAAGCCCGCTCCTCTTCATCCAATCGTTTCCGCCAATTAGCCAGATTATCGCTCAAGACGCTCTCACCGTATGTTTCCTTGGTGGGGGTACGATCGAAGTCGAACTGGGTGCTTAGTCGGTAATTTCTGTTTGTGCTTTCCCAATGGTTTCGGAGAGCGTCTAGCTCAGTGGCGAGGGAATCGAGTGCGAAGGAACCACGGTAGTTTAGGAAGGACTCGTCTTGAGAAACGTTACTGTCGGCTCTTGGACGGCCGCTGATTATGTCGCTCGACGAGTTGCTGATGGTACGGCTCAATCCATTGGATTGGGACAGAACTTGTTGGGACTGTCGTCGATAATTCGTAACGGATGATTCGACCTGGTCAAGGAGCATTGTAACTTTCCGTTCCGCATCTAGCGCACGTGTTTCAAGTAGGGTATTCTCACTCTTAAGCTGCTCTAGGTCCAAACGGCTCTTTTCTGTGATGTTAGATAGCTCACTTTTGATGTTTGCTTGCTCGGACCGACTCTGATCCCTTTCAGCTTGTACAGCGGTGAGGTCTTGCTGTAGTTTTGCCAGCTGGGTTTCTAAGTTAGCAACTGAAGTCGAAGTCTTCGATTGAAGTTCAGAGAGAGTTTGATGCAAAGCTGACCGCTCAGCCTCCCATTGAGCTAATGCGTCCGCCGATGGGGTGGATGAAGAATCAGGTTTTTGCAAAGCTGCATCTAATTCCGTCTGCAGTTTCGAGTTCTGGGATTTATATTTGGAAAGCTCGTCCTTCATCCTCTTCAGCATTTTCTCTGTTCCCTTCACATAATGGACAGCGGATTGGTAATCATTTTCAAGCTGCTCAAGCTTCTCATGGTAAGCTCGATCAGCCTCCTGTTCTCTCGATTCAAATGATGATTTCATTTCTTCGTGCGCTTTTAGACTTGCCTGAAGCTGATGCTCCAGTTCGCGAAGACGAGCATGCTCGGGGGTTCCGAACCGAGAGCCAGGGGAGTCAAGGAGTGGGGACCGTCTATTATCCGCACTTATACCACGCTCTCCAAGTAGCTCTTTCAGCGCCCCATGTTGTATTGCCAAAGCACTAGTATCGCGTTGGTGGCTCTCAAGTTGTGCCTTTACTTCTCGGTTCTCATTACTCAACGCTTGGCTCTCTTTCAAAGCTGACTGGAGTTGTCTCCGAAGCTGAAGGCCTTCCCGACTAGCCTGTTCTTGGTACTGCTCCAAACCAGCAATCCGCTCCTCTGCTCGTCGAAGTTTCTCAGAGGCCTCATTTGCTGCCTGGCGATTGGTCTTTACAAGCTCATTTGCACGGTCAACTTGCTCCTTCAGAGCCTCCACTCGTTGGTCAGCGAGTGATTTAGAGCCAGTGTCAGAATGATGGGAGGAGGCACGGTCCAGACCGGCCAAGAACGCTGATCTATGACTCTCTGCTTCCCTTGCATGAGTTTCGGCCAATTCTTCAGCATCTTTCAATCGTCGAGCAGCATTTTCGAGTTCCGTCGTCTGTTCCTCATGCTCCGCTCTAAGCTGCAGAAGTTTCCTCTCCAAACCTTCACGGTGTTCACGTTCCTCCTCCAACTGTCTTTCCATAAGCTCAGCTCTAGCTGCGGAAGCGCTGACCGCTTCCCGAAGGGATCCAACATCAGTTCCATGACTTTCCAGACGGCTACGGAGATCATCCACATTCTGGGATAATTCGTTTTTATCAATTAGAGAGAGCTTAAGAGCACTCTCCGCTTCGGATCGGAGGACAGCCTCTTCTCGGAACGCAGCCTGTAATTGATGGAGCTCGGTCCGCAAACTTTCCAATTCCAGGTTGTTATTCTGCGATTCCATTTCCGACAGTCTTTTACTCGTTACCTCATGAAGTTCCTCAGCCAACTCTCGTGCTTTCTTCTCATCTTGAAGCTCCAACATCAACGCTTCTGCCTTCGCTTTCATTTCTGATTGTGAGGCAAGAGCAAGGGCTAGCCGTCGACTTATTTCAGCAGATCGATCAGGATTTTTTTCATCAATATCGCGGCCGTTACGATCTGATTGGGGTGTCCCTCGTGGGCTACCTCCCTGGGCAGCAAGTTTAGCTTGAGCATAGACAGCTTCGTTAATGGCAGCATCCCTTTGATGTTCCGCTTCTGCGACCCGCTTGGACGCAATTGCTGCCTGACGGTCAACAGCAGCTTGCATCTTCGCTAGCTCCGACCGCATGGAAAGGAAAGCCTCGATCAAAGGACGATCCTCTTCTTTGAAGGCGTCTATCGATCGTTGATCAAGGATAGAAGGATTCGGGGGGTTGATACTATAGCCTGCCTTTCTGGCCAATGCTAACTCTGAAGCATACCAAGCATTCCTGGCTTTTGCTGTTTCAAGCTCCTTGATAAGAGCTTCTTGGTGGGGTGTCAGGCGTGGGGAGCGTGGCTCGTCGGTAAAATTTCTGGAATTCCTATAGCTTCTTTGTTCCGACCCCTCAACATTGCCGAGTTTGCCCAGAATGGAGTCATCTACGCTATCAATAGAGTTCTGACGTCTTTGTCGTAGGGAGCGTTGTCTTGCCGGTGTCACTAGTGGGGCAGCTTCTCCGGCTTCCATAGCTCTAGCAGATAGCCGTGTAGAAGATTGCTGGATTGGCGTCCGGCGACCACCACCACCAGTAACGGGGCTCAGTTCTCGTCCTGGGCCGGCACCTGCCATCGCATCACGCATCCCAGGTCCTGCTCTATCTCTTTCATTACCAATAGGCCTCGGGTTATCGACAGGTGTGATTCCTCTTTCCCCTTTGGGGGGTTTGTTTCGTGAGCCATGGGTGCCACCAGTATTGGGGCCCCTTGATGTTGGTGTTGGTGCTTGACCAGGAGGAGGTGGGCCAGCTGGTGCTTGGGCAATTGATGCGCGAGGTAGGCGAGAATTTGGACCGCCAGGGCCAGGGGCAGGACTCGATGCATCAGGCCTCCCAGAAGCAGCACTTTCGCGACCCGACGGCTGCCCACGGCGGTTCTGTAAGTCTGGAGTTGAGTTATTAGCCTCACGGGATGTACGACCTGATACACCTGGTCGATCTTGTGGGCCCATCTTGCGGGGACCATTGCCCGTTGGAGAAGTCGGACTAGGTTCACTAGGATATCGAATTTTGGAGGTGTCCAAAACATACACTAGGCTCAGCTCCTCTGGATCTCGGGGTGCAGTACTCGGTTCGCCCCCGAGAACTATAATTTGTTTGCCGAATGTGGTCATGCTGTGACCAGAGCGGGCAGATGGTGATGGTCCCATGTTTTGGAAGGAATACCATCGTCTGGTGGGGATACGGAACGCAGCTAGGTCCGCCAAATCTGCGCCTTCTTCAGTGCGTCCAGAGAAGATATACATGACGTCATTAACTATGGCAGCAGCATGGCCCTCTCTTGCTGCAGGCACCAATCCAACATAGTCTAGCTGTGTCCAGAGATTCGTTCTGGGGTCGTAGCACCAAACGTCATTAAACCATTGTAGCCCATTCGTTCCACCAAACCTACCGAGGTTAGCACTAGCTTTTCAATATACCATCTTTTGGAGGAACTCACAAGTAAAGTTTATCACTGAAACTGACGATGGTGTGGTTGGTCCGAGCGGGTGGGATTTTTCCAGGGGGTGGACCACCATCATGACTGTTGCGGATTAAATATTCCCACTTATTTGATGGATTTTGAAGCGCATTCAAATCGAAGGCAACCAAGTCGTTGAAGAAAAAGCCCTCCACTTGGCCACCAAAGATATAAATCTTGGAGCCTATTATATTCAATGTGTGGCCATATCTTCCGGCGGGTCGAGGACCCGGAGGAACAGCGCGAGACCACTGTCGGGATGCTGGAGAGAGATGAGTGACCTGTCTACCAATGAAGGATTTAAACGGCTAAGGGAAGACAGAGATGCTCACAAGTATTTAACAGGTATAATGTATCGTCCAAAGAATCATTGTCATCTGTTTTTGTATCACCACCAAACACAATGAACGCATTTCCGACTAGTAAACTTGCGTGGCCAACTCTGGGCCCCGGGCCTTCGGTCACAGGGGTGATAGGGAAGCAGGACATGTTGCCTCCATTGTTTTCTACCATCCATAAATCCCCTTTGGCAGTCGATCCATCAACCAACCCACCCATCATGTAAATATCACCCTCTTTTGATGCCACACCGTTAACCGCGGCGCCATATCGTGGAAAAGGTCGAAAATTCTGGCTAGGGAAATTCATTCGACGTTGAGACCATGGGAAAAGAGCGGGGTTTGGAACTGGCGATGGTGCGTTGTTTCCATTTTGTAATTGTGTTCGTGGTCCCTAAGCAGGGGCAAGTTAGCCATAGCACAGACAATCCTATCTTGTGAAAGTAATAATGATGGTGCGAAACAAGTATAAAAGCTTATCCCCAAAGATGGCCCAATATCTCCCCGTGCGTCTCTTAAAATTAGACAGAAATAACGCACCTGGGGTTCTGAGTCGGCTCTATCCCTCCGTGACCTAGATTGTTCGGAACTAGCAGTACCAGTAAGAGAGTTCAACGAGTTGTTCGTGCTCCCAGAGCCTGGGGACTGCACTGGTCCACCATCCCGTGCACCATTGGGGGGTACTGCTGAAGGACCCGAAGCCGTTCCTTCTGAGGTATGAATGGTTCTCGTCGCTGGTGGTAAGCCGGAATTTGCGGCTTGATTGTGTTTTTTCGATTTAAACAGGAATGCCATGGTGAGAGAGGAAAAACGAGCGTCTCAACGTAAAACGTGGGTGGCAAAGAGGAAAGCTGGAAGTACGTCAAGATGGAAAAATATTGCAAGTGGTAAGTTGGATTGGGGTCATGAATGACAGAGGAGGTCGTGGTCGTGGTCGTCGTCAAAAAACGCGGTCCGTCAGGTAAAAACACAACGAGTCGGTTTCGTTAACTAGGGACGAATCGAGAAGATAAGGATTGTTGAAATTGAGAATTGGAACAGGCTGTTTCGGGAACGAGAGTAATGTGACTGCCACTCCTAAACACCCTAGACCAGTGCATGGTGGTCAGTCAGAATGTGTACGGAGTAGTAGACAGAGAGGAAGAAAGTCGATGGTCCCCAAACGATTTTAGGTAGAAGGGGGGTGGAATGTAACTACCCGAATGAAGTCGACTGTGGGTCGAACTTTTTGAAGGACCCAAACCAAGGTTCATCGAAATATCACCCGCGTTCCTGACAGGGCTGGTCCACCCGCAGGAGCACTCGACGATATCAGAAGCGAATGCAAACACTAGGACCATTCATTGGGACGTGGGCTGAGCAGTCAACCGGGATGGCAGCTCTCGCAGTCGGTGGACACACCACGAAATGAGCGATGGGAAACGTCAAGTGGGGAGGGGAGATTGGTTGAGGGCGGAGGAGAACCAAAGCGAGGGTAGTTAAATAATGCGGGCCAACAAGGAACGACACGACCACCACCGCGGCGGCGCTGCGGGTTCGCGAGGACTCTCTTGTCACGTAGTCATGAGAACTCGCCTGGTTCGAACGGGCTGAGAACTGAACGGCGAGGCAGCCGTGTGCTCGCGCCAGGAACGGCAGGAAATCCAGAATCCGGAATCTGGAATCTGGACGCTTGGAAGCTTGTTGGAAGCTGGAATCCGGGACAGAATCAGGATGAAGTTCAAGCCCAACTAACTCATTTTTCAGGGGCGCCAAGCACACCCCGATCAGGCCTAGTGGCCCGCCGCACAGGCGGTATAGGTACCTCACTCCCGCCAGTTCTGCCCGCGTGAACAAGGTACCAGGACCCTCCCTCTGGAGACGCTTTGCACCCGAGTCGTGTCTGGGTTTTTTTTTTTTTTTTTTTTTTTTTTTTTTTTGATAGCTCACGAAAACCAAAACCATCAATTGCGGAAGAAGAAGAGTCCCAATTTGGTCAGACTCGCGCGGCAGCCCATGGAATAGAAAACTCTCTTCCAACTGAGTCGGTTATTCACCTTTTACTCTCCTAGTCTTGCTGATGTCGATAACATCTTCCGGGTTTAACTATTAGTCAAGTTGAATCGTATATAGTTAACTATAAGCTGGAAACTTTTTGACAGTCCTTGGTTAGGTCAGATATCTTCCGAAAGCATCCTGAGAGGTTGGTTGAACTTGTCTCACACATGTCTCTAGCTTTACAGATAACGGATGGCTCTGCTTTCGCCGGAGTGACAAGGAGAAATTAAAGAAATTCTTAAATTTAAAATCTCTCAATGTTTTTCTCCTCAGGCCAAAAATGTCCCTTCTTACTTACTTCCCGTTCTCCAGCGGATGTAGGTTTGTCTGTACATGTACATGTGCATGCATACATAGGTACCGCCGTGAACACCGGCCACAGCTTACCTACCGCATGGTTGCTGCTGCTTGGGGGCCAAGTGCTTACCGCGTCCGCCTTCACCCCTGGGGCCCTCGAGGCCGAGCTGGTAAATCTACATGAATTTAAATTGTTTTTGATGATCCAACACCGAGCGCTGCAACCCCTTGCAGGGGTGGTTGAGGGTGGGCAGCTTGGAAACGTAAAGGTTTTTCCAAGGTTCCTCCATTCATCACTGATAGTTATATATGTTGGGCTCTGTCTCCGTCAACGTTCCGACGGAAAAAGGGGGTGATGGAATAAGTATGATGATCATTGCAACGTTTTACAGGTATAATCAAGGAACGTGTGTAGCTCTCCCTTGGCTGATAAAATTAGCAGTCCAGGTGTTCCGGCTGATTTTGCTCAACAGGCGGCGTGCGAGGGGTGGCAAAGGACACATTCTCCGAGACAGCTGTGAATAAAGACTGGTCTGTACTTCAGAGATCAGGGGCCGAGTGTCATGTAAAGGACAGGCCAATGGAAGTAAGGCAATAATCGTGCGATGTGTGCTACCACCACAATCGATATTTTTGGTTGCCCGGAATTGTGCCATATCCTCCGCGTATCTATTAGTTATCCATTGGTCCAAAGTACACGAACAACCATTGTTTCCGGCTGACTCGGCTAGAATTATTCCATAGAATCAAAGTTGTTTATAAGAGACAATAGAGCAAAGGGGAAAACAATCCGATTTTCAGTATAAACTTTGCCATCCAGAGGTGAAACACGGCCCTGCAGGCTACAAGTTACAAGCTATACAAGCCCCGATGGATGGAGCTCCCACAAGAAATAGACATGCATATTTATGTGCTGGATGCCCCCTGTCAGTCACAAGAGGAAGAACATTTTATAAAATCTTCCCCTGTTCTCTGACAAAAAAAAAAAGTTTCCATCTCCAATTCCCAGCTAACGGCAATTTCCAGGATTCTTACAGGCAGACTAGATGGATTAAGACGCCCTCTTCAGAATCTGACAGTTTTCAAATCTAGCTAGAATCGAGGTCAGAGGTTTCAAATTGCAAAATCCTCTCACTCTCACCATCCTTTGATGAAGCGGAACAAAGCCAGCTTGCCTTTAAGCCAAAAAGACAAAGATAAGTGACATTGATAACGGGTTGCCATTGTAGTTAGTTGCGCGGTCGATAATGGAATTCTGAATGAAGACTTTTTCTCTTTTTCTTTTTTTCCCCATCTAACTTCCATCTAATTACTTCCGGGTTAATGTTGAACGGTAGACAGGCCCTTTCCAAGAATCCCTCACGCTGCTTTTGTCCCCAAACTTTTAGCACCGAATAGCCAACGAGGATACGAAATTATCAGTTCCTGAATCCTGAATGGCCTGCTTTAATGTCAATCAGGGGCTCGGGCGTGTTTCAGAATATGCCCCACTAAGATATTTTCAGGCTTGGTGCATACTTATCCCTTCTTGTCCATGGATGTATCAATTGGCCCGTTCACTCTCTTCTGCGGACTCGTGCGGATTTAAATAGGTTGGAGAAACAGGGGAGAGTCGACGCCAGTGAAAAGCTCCCTTCAAGATGAATATGGACGTAGTGGTCTGCATATTTATTTGACGCAATTAACAGGAGGATGAGTGAATGTAATTATGGAAGACAAGCAAAAACATGTTTCAAAAAAGAATGGAGGTAAAAAAAGAATGGAGGTAAAAAAAGAATGGAGGTTAAAAAAGAATGGAGGTTAAAAAAGAAAAGAAATTGGGAATTTCCAGGTATGGGGCAAACCGGGATCGAACCGGTGACCTTCTGATTGCTAACTGGAATTGGCTGGGCCAAATCCCGTAGTGGTGAAGTTCTTACTTCAGTCAAACGCGCTCCCAACTACGCCATTGCCCCTTGATTGGTGTGCTATCCAGCTAATGTGCTAGTTCACCAGAGAGTAAAGATCCCCCCATTCCGTCCGTTCCAAACCGGGTTACTTTTTGCCGGGCAGTATTTTATGAGAGCAACCCTTTGTCCAAGTCTTATGGACTTTGTTGAATTGAAACCGCCCACGAATTGACGGTTTACGAACATACGGTGTGTCTACAAGAAAGGAAATCCAACACCGCTGTCCATTTCACCCCTAAGGTAATAATATTTTTGACTTCTTGGATAACAGCAGCTGGACAAACTGCGGTGTTCAAAGTGTAAGGACAGTTTCCAAAAGCAAAAGGTATTTCCTTCACGCTATCTCCTAGAGCAAAAATTATCTAATATGAACCTCTTATTCTCCTTCCAAACAAGGAATCCCTATATAAAAATTATCTAGACACTTTTAAAGGGGGCAGGCAACTTGGGTATAATACCTATTTATCTGAGTGGCCAGATAATGTGCTTAGTCAGCACCCAAAGTTCAACTGCTCCTTTCCATCAAAAGCGATAACCCGAATTACGTCATGCAATGGCGGCCTAAGCGGCCGACGCGAACGGTTTATGTTTGATCCTTTCGTATTCTATCCGCACTCTGTGCCTTGGGATCGCCTCTCATTCCTGAGAACATAACATCTTCCCCTTATCTTCCGACCATGGATACCCCCAACTCTACTAGCAGAGCGGAAGAAGCTCTTTCATCGCAAAATATTCTTGATCGCGCTGCCGCGTGCCTGGGCGATGCGGAGGTGCCTCTGAAGAATGCCTGGGAAGCCATAGCACTGGTTGGCCACGCTTGTATGAGCGCCGTTGACTTTAGGCTTATTGGCCTTGAAGAAGATCACAAAATAGGTTCTTCAACCTCCTGTTTCCTAAAAATAAACATACATATAGAATCCATTATCTGCTAACGCTCCCTCCCTTACAAATAGAATCGCAGGAACCGTCATCACCGCTCCCGAAAGAGTGGAATGCCGGCTCCACCTACGCTTTCAAATATGCCCACCCCAAATCCTCCATGCAATTTTTGCTAAAAGTCAGCCGACTCGGTGGCAACGCTGTCATCTTCGCGCTGGCCCTGGGCCACGACAAGACCACAACTTTCGACTTGCCTGTCAAGGACTACATTTCCGAATCGTCCCTCCCCCTATCCAAATCTGCATCTGCAGAGACCTCCCGATCTCTCGAGCACATTTTTATTTCCCCATCCCGCCTCACTGATCTCATCAGCCTGTTCAGAATCAATGTGATCCAGAAGCTTGTTCCCGGTCTACAGAAGGAAGGATACGAAGATTTCAGCCGCGAGCGGCAGGTGGCTGGACAGGACAGGGACGAACGGGCGGGACGACAGCCGATACGAGATCCGCTGCGTGACGACCGCATGCCAGACCCAGCTCGTCCGTATCCATTTAATGACCCCCTAGCTGTTCCTCCACGACGACCAATTCCCGCGGCCGACTTCCCTCCACCGGGGTTTGAGGATGAATACGAAATCAATGTGCCTCCCAGGGGTATCTATCCGGGCCAGGGCCCACCACGGGCACCAAATATTGGAGAACGTGATCTGTATCCCCCCAGCTTGGGCCCGCATGACCCACTGGTAGGACACCTGGGACCGCAGCGGGGTGGAGGGATGCATCCGACATTTGATGATCCTCTGTTTCAACGTGGGGGGGTAAGTGGTGGTGATGAATACAACTCTCAAGTTCCTCCTGGGGCAAGATATGACCCTGTTGGTCCCGGCGATGGACCGCCAATGGGACGGGGTAGTGGTCCAGGATTTCCTGGGGGACGTGGAGGACGAGGTGGGTTTGGAGGGGGATTTGGAGGAGGATTTGGAGGAGGTGCCTTTGGTGGTGATATAATTTAGGGGGCTGCGCGTATGGTTATGCAATAGTGACTGCATACATATCCAAAAACAAGTAGTTCGTTTGATTTTGATATTTTGATGTGACCTCGGTGAATTTTTAGGTTTATCCAGACCGATAACTGAATTGTACATATCTACGATTCATCGCTGTTCTGTACATAATAGCTGAGCTAATAGGATCATGACTTTGACGTCCCTTGCGAGATCTGTTACAGCACAAACACCTCGACAGCAAAATGTAAATAGGATTATCAAAAGCACCTCACTGTTAATGCTGGATGCGGGCGACTTTGTACCTTGCAAGTGGCGCAGTCAGAAGGTGGTGGCTCCTGGCTGTGGCTTGCGCGCGAATCCCAGTCCCCCTGCCCGCCCAGCCTAACCAAATCCAACACAAAAGACTCTTTAAGGTTGGCAGAGAAGAGCCGCAGTTCAGTTCTCTTGACAATCAACCCCCCGCAACAGCTCTCCATACCGTACCTGATCTGGCCCTGGAATAAATATTCTTTGCTACGATTCTCCTGCGGCCCTTATTCTCATGATTTGTTGATACCCATCCATTGCTTCAGTTTCGCCCTAGCCAGTGTCTGTTACCTTGCTCCCCCACGCGCCGCACCCAGTCGCTGCCCCGTCTTCCAACTCCCCCTCCAATTTACCAGGCGATACCTTATATATCACTTGAGCCCCCATTCTTCATACACATGGACAACAAAATGGAGATTGATTCGGGTCGATCGCCTGAACCTCACAACCTCTCCCCTACAAGCGACCCAGACTCAATACCCACTCTTGATGGCTGGATTGAGAGTCTTATGACCTGCAAACAGCTGGCAGAGCAAGATGTACAGAGACTGTGCGATAGGGTCAGTGCCCTTTTTTTTGTAATTAATTATTTATTCTCTTTCGGAACTCAGCAACAAGAGCTTATGGCAAAACGTGACCCCCGGCTTGCGCTTGAACGCTAATGATGGGTATTTTATAAATTTATAGGCGAGAGAAGTATTACAAGAGGAGTCGAATGTGCAGCCAGTGGTATGTATCACCTTATTCTTAATTTCGGTTGCAAAGGAGAGCCTGTCCATCAAGTCGAGTGTGTTTCGGTCCCATAAAGCTGATTTGTGGTCGCCCTGCTAGAAATGTCCAGTGACAGTGTGCGGAGATATACACGGCCAGTTCCATGATCTCATGGAGCTGTTCCGTATCGGTGGACCTAATCCAGATACCAATTATCTTTTCATGGGTAAGACGATTTTGTACCGTCGATATATCCACCCGCTTGTTTGTATTAACGACAACGTAATAATTTGAAGGCGACTACGTTGACCGCGGCTACTACTCCGTCGAGACCGTGACCCTCCTCGTCGCCCTGAAGATCCGTTATCCACAACGCATCACCATCCTCCGCGGTAACCACGAATCACGTCAGATTACCCAAGTCTACGGATTCTACGACGAGTGCCTGCGGAAATACGGCAACGCCAATGTCTGGAAATACTTCACAGATCTCTTCGACTACCTCCCCCTCACCGCGCTCATCGATAACCAGATATTCTGTCTCCACGGCGGCTTGAGCCCGTCAATCGACACCCTGGATAATATTCGTTCACTGGATCGGATCCAGGAGGTGCCCCATGAAGGACCTATGTGTGATTTGCTCTGGAGTGACCCGGATGATAGATGTGGTTGGGGCATTTCACCCCGTGGCGCTGGGTATACGTTTGGTCAGGATATCTCGGAGGCGTTTAATCACAACAATGGATTGACCCTGGTTGCTAGGGCTCATCAACTGGTAATGGAGGGGTATAACTGGTCACAGGATCGCAATGTGGTGACTATATTTTCAGGTAAAGCTTCCTCGTTCTCCCCCTCTTCACATTTCAATCCATCCTCGCCCTCCCCACATTGTATATTTCCACCAATACACTCTAACCCCTTATGCACTTGCGTGTGTATTTATAACAGCTCCAAATTACTGCTACCGATGCGGAAACCAAGCTGCTATTATGGAGATCGACGAGCATCTCAAATACACCTTGTAAGTCCTTCCGCCGTTTCATCCATGTTACTACCCTCCACAACCGATTACAGAGAGACAGGCACACCTCTCTCTCTCTTCTTCTTCTTCTTCTTCTTCTTGTTCTTCTTTTTGCTTTTTTCCTTTTCCCTTTTCTTTTTTATTTATTTAATAATAATTACTGACCCGACTCTTTTCTTTTTCCTTTTACACCTACCTTAGCCTCCAATTTGACCCCTGTCCCCGCGCCGGGGAACCCATGGTCTCCCGCCGAACCCCAGACTACTTCCTCTAGAATAGAATTCTCTCAATGCCCTCTTCCAAAGACGTCAATCCAACTCGCCTTAATGTCGTCCCAAATTTGGCGCTTTAGAACAGAAGAAAATCATCACAAATCAAACAAAGTCATTTTTTTTTTTTTTTTTGCATGATTGAATTCATCAACTAAAACTTTACTTTCTTGCTTTTATGCGGCACTTCTCCTGCCCCATTTTTATGTTTGTTCTGTTGTCTTTGCTTTCTTTTTGCAACTTTTTTGGCCCGCCCTCTTTCCCGTTCTTCTTTATATGGTTTCAGATAAACAACATTTCTATATTTTGTAGGAATCCCCGTGGTACTGCGATGGGGCGGTGTTTAGATGAAGATAGATGGGATGCGATGGAGTAGCAAGATAAAAGGAAGCCAAGTGGAATGAACAGAGTACATAGTAGTATATTTGACGTGTTTATCCCAGAGGTTTCCTTCCTGTAAATCCCCCGTTTCTTTTGCTGTGGAAGGATGTCGTATTTTTTCGTGCTGTGACTTCTTCAGGTGCGGAAAGGAGTTCCGCAGCAGAACATGTATTTAATAGGGAAGTAGTTTTTTTTTTTTTTTGATTGTTTTCTTATATTTACTTTCTCTCGTGGTGTCTTTAATGTCGTATCAGTTCAGCCGTAAGGATGTTAGAAAATAATGGTCGCTCTGACATGGACTGTGTCAGGCCTGAGATCTACGAAACAGAACCGTCCTACTGATTCCATAATAAGACTTATCATTTAACTGTGAATAGCATTAAATACATCCTACCCACAAAATGTTCTATTAGCATTACACCGTATATATACCCTTAAACTGAGCGTTGTGGAATCTCCCGACATTTGCTTGAAAAGGCTTGAAAAGGCTTTAGAGAGGTAAATCCTTGAATCCTCCCTTCCACAAACCCCGGACCTGTGGCGCAACGGTAGCGCGTCTGACTCCAGATCAGAAGGTTATGTGTTCAAATCACATCGGGTTCAGATAATTAAACTTTTTCTTTTTTTCTTTTCTTTTTTTTCGCTTGAATTTTCCTGAATTCAAAAATCTTTAAAAGTGTATATTCCCCCACAGTCTTCCAACTTCTCACCCACTTTGTTTGTTTTCTGGGGATACGCTGTTTACGTCTATCGCTAATGCCTTGTCTCACATCCCGGCCGCACCCTATAAAGTAAATGCCATAGCTAACTATGGCCGCCAACAGCGTATTATTCCAGGGTCTCGTCAATCACGACTGCACAAGCTTTATTGGATCCAGAAATATCCTAATTGCGCGTAGCAAGGGAGTGTTGTTTCCTACACATAGGTGGGTAAATTGGGGAGTTACCTAGATAATTGCACGTCATCGGAATGGATAACTAGCGAGAGCAGACCTCCAATTTGGATCAAAGGACTGCAGCGTCTTGCACACTGAGCCGCTTTTAGGGAGATAGATGACGCAATTTTCGACTTGCTTATTGGCTCTGTATTGCCGTTTCGGTATCGGCTGGCTGAATCAAGGCAGTGAGCAAACGCTGCTATAGCTGCAGTGTGCCTTTAGATGAGGGGAAATGTTTAAATCAGCACCGATATCAGGCGCTGGGATAAATAACTTCCAGGCTCATTTTACCAACAATTTAACCAAGGGATAGTTATCGTAATTGATGGTTTAACTACAATATTTGCTTGCCCATTTATGATATGTATGTACAAGCATCACTCTCTTCCTCACATTACAACCCCCGAACAAATTCTGTTCCTCCTCAGACCCAAGCGCCGCCCCCTGCGGCTCGTGTGCATTAGTAGTGTCCGCCAATGCTTAGGCTATTTCGGGTCACCAGTCATCCTAGAACTAATTATTAACCGTTCGAGTTGATCGGAACACTTGGCCGAGGATTAGTTGCAAAGCCCCTGCAGATTTTATTAATAAACTCCTTGTAGTTGACACGGAGTAAATTGTCCCGTCACTTCGTTATTTCTCATCCATGGATTTGATTAGTGCTTTGAGCGGGTGAGGTATTCCGGTAAAATTGGAGTACCTAGGTAAGAGATAAAGGCTAGGCCATGGAAAGTATTAACTATCTGCTTGTTCCATCCACTTTTCCGCCAGTGGCATGCTCAAAATTATGGCGCGTAACGTCATGAAAGCGCTGGCGTAACTCGTCGCTTGTCCTCCATTCTCCGATAACCCGCCATGTCCAAATAGGAACTCCACACGAGGCAGAATATGTAACTGACCACCGATTCGCTGTAGGGTAACTAGTTGGTATACTTAACCCTTTCATGTCTGGCCCAGGACGTCACATCAATGTCGTTCGCAGACAAGCCTTATCCTGGACGGCATGTTGCACAGCGATTTTGCAAATGATTCCAAGAATGGGCCTAGTCGTTCAACAATCGGTATTATACGGAAAAAGCCTGTTTGATAGCCTAGCTGGCTTCCTTCCTTCCCCGAACCTGTTATGGTCCCATTGCCTATCTGCCTCACTTTCTATAAGGTGGTGTACTCCAACCCTTGCCGCCCGGACCTTGAAAATATCATATTCCAGGGGGGTGATGCGGGTTGAAACTTGACATCCAGGTGCTTCAAAAAATCGCTGTGTGAACACGAGAAGTGCTGAGATAAGCAGGGTTATAGGACCAAAGGGTTGACAAGATCTGGAAGAGCAACGCTTTGGTCCACATGCCATCCCAGGTGGCTATCTATGTTACTGCCAAAGTGGAGTTTAGCTGTTTTCAGTTTCACAGGCACCATATCACTACTAATCGCCTCGCCGAAGGCATGTCTGGAATCGCTCCAGGGACCCTCCCAACGGTCGAGTGAAGTGAGAGATAATCGGATAGATTGAATAATTTGGGAAACGCTCGTGAAAATATCGACAGTTTAAAACTTTCAGATTTAGAAGTTTCGAAACAAGGTCAGCCATCACACGCAGGTCGAGTGGTCGTTCATCCTTGCATGCGGTATTTCTCTTCCTGTTTTCACCTATGATAAGAGTATGGACTGAAAAGAGCTTGGGAAGGTTTTCAGGGTTAAGGAGTTGGACACGCCAGCCATGAAATCTACGGTGATTACAATGCCGATCATTTTTGTCTGACTGGAATGGAGATTCAATAGTTAGACATAGCCCTGTTGGTTGGTGGTTTGGAAGCTCTCGCTCCTCTAAAATCTTAATTGCCATAAACAATTCTGAAACTCGGCGGGTAAGGAACCTGTTCGCATTGCGGCTCGGGAGGTGCCGGTATACCTCCCAAGAAGGTCTCTCCACGGCACATTGGAAGCCGCGGGAGACCGTAAGCAACTGGAGGCAGGTGAAATAATAGGCAAGGTTGTACAATGAGCTCAATTATTTCCTGCGGAAGAAACACCATGGAGGCGGCGTGTTGCAGAATTGAGAAATTATGAGCGTTGGAGAAATCAACCAGAGAGCAGATGAGATATGGTGACGAAGAAATAGAAAAGTCATCTCAGCCATTTATGATATGAAATAAATAGAGGCATGTAGCTGATGGGAAGAGCTGAATCCGGAGCTGAGTCCCGGCGCCTAGCGAAGTATGTTTCATAGACTCGTACCCACTATTGAGCAGCAAGATGGAATGTGATTGGTTCAATGATAGAATATCATCGACGGACCGCATATCATTCAATCAGTTGTAAGAAGAGGGGATGCGGCCAATCCATCATTATGAATAGGAGAAAAGACCGTTCAAAATAAAGGAGTGAGAAAAGGCCAAAACAAATGCCTTGACGTTTCCTTTCTTCTCAACATGGATGAATCGCTTGCAATTTCGTTTTGAGTGGTGTATAAGGCCATGAATGGATTCATTCCGCACAGAGATGGCATCCCCCTGAGACGATGTAGTGATTGGGGGTGTCGGGGAGTAGATGTATCACTATGATATGCCTTGCTAGTAGTGTTGGCTTTCGCTGCCATGCTAGAGGAACCATTTTCCGGCTTCTGCTGGCGGTTGTAGGAATTGCTTCATGAGAAGCAGCTTTATATCCGTAGTTGGACGAAGGCGATGGAGGACTCGTGAAGCAAGTGAGAAGAATATCACCTGTTATCGACCACGGAGCTAACTGCCTACAATGGTTAAGGGGGAGCTGGCTTGTCCCAAATTACTATGCTTCTGCTTTGGTGCTTGGCCCATATTTGCCCGGATTCAAGCTGCGCTGCTCAAATCACCGTGAGTGAGACGTGTTGTGAATTGCAAGTTTTGATACATTGTCAGTAATTCGTAGATGGTGTCAGGAAAGTTGATCCGGGGTTGTCTCAAAAATATAGCAAAATTTAACAAATGCCGCTCAACATTCAGAACTAGATGTAAAAGGAGCAACCACATCAAAATTAGGACCTTGAACAACTGTATGTCTATCATCGATATCCTTCTCATCTATGCCTCAGAACGAGGTCACGGCTGCCGCTGCCGCCGCTCCAGCATTGGTTTCCTTTGTAACGAAACCTTTATCCTTCGGGTCACTAACCAGGTAGCTTCTCACCTTGGAGCTGCCATTTGGTACATGTAATCTCAAATCGACTCGTCCAAATAGGTAGAGAAACACCACGATGACTTCAAGGCCGAAATTAAATACGTAAAAACATGCTTTATGGTGATACCACGCTGGATTGTTGGCCGGACGCGGAGGCATGAACGCGACTCCTGCACGGAAGGACGCTCCCAGACAAAGGAGCACTGACGCGGCTCCAACGATGAGAAATTTTGCCCTGAGGCTTCCATGGCCGAAGTTCTGAGCAGGCTGGAGGCGGGGGGAAAGCAGGACGAACGCCAGCATGGGAATTGGGAGGAAGGAGAATGCTGTAAAATACGACAAACCATACCATTGGAGATTGCGGTCGATTAACCGAATGTCCGGATCCAGGGTATAGAAACTTTGGACTGTAGCGGTGACGACCATGGCGAGGGTTAAGATGATGATCATATAAAGCGTCTTGAAAAAGTAGGACAACGACCGTGACCATCCTATACGCGGATGCGTGGATCGCAGTATGCGCTGCGCATACAGGGTGTTGAGAATAAATAGAAGTAGAACGCCAGCGGCAACGAAGACCTGGGCTGCAATTGCAATTCGGGCATTGGTGAGGCGGTTCGCCCATACGATTCGGAGAACACACGCTGCAATTCGAGCCATGCAGAAGCCGAAAGTTACCGCCGAAGGTATGAATTTATGACCTCGTGCCATGTTTCGTCTGAATAGAATCATGTGGGAGACTGCACCCGCCATAAATATCACTAAGAATATTGAAGTTATGGGGACGTCTACTGGGAGAGAGGGACGACCTCCAATAGCAGCAGCGGCAGGGGGGTATGGTGGTCCAGAAGGAAGGGCCGTGGGCTAAATCACGAATCATCAGCCAGTTAAAACTGACATGCCACCAGAAATTGAGGTCTGGAAGAACAGCTGTCATATCCTACCGATGATGCACCATGCCCTAGGGGCCTTGGTTGTTGAGACATCCTAAAGCCCTGAATCCCCCAGTTGCGAGCGGGCCTTTCAACCACTTTGTATATATAGGGGGATCTTGCGTGCCCCGAGGTATAAAACTTGAGAATGTCCGTCGAGGTATGAATGACTCTCCCAGTATTAGCTACTTAGCTACTGTAGGATGAAATATTGAAAATAATTGGGTTTCGACTTGTTGATACAACAAGAAGTAGTTCCTCTGTAGCCTGTGAAGGTGGCCACAAAGCAAAGATTAAAGAAGTTTGATGAGGGCGGAGTCGAATCGATTTATACATTTTCTTCGCATGGCAGGCCGGAAGCCCTGGAGGGACATTGATGTGATGTAGAAACCTTGGAGGTGTCCAAAGGTCACAGATGTTTTGGTGTCATTTGACGTCCATGTGTTTTGTTGCCCTTGGCTTCCTATCGGCGAAGTGGCGTAAACCGTCTCCGCCCGGCCCAAGCAGAGAATAACGAGTTAATAGTTGCGAGTAACTAACCAACTACGTAGTTGGGTCTCGTCAGTGGAAACAGAGGTTTTTGCCGTAGAGAAGTCCACTCGCGAATCTCAGCCTTCCAAAGCCTTGAGCCTTTGCGCCTCTTTGTTCCGGCGACAATTTTACTTGGGAAGCTGGTGATGGTCATGTTTGAGATGTCGGAGGTTGGCGCGGAAACTCGGGGCTCCACAACTGCCGATATCGATCTATCGTGGCCCTGCAGCACACCGAGACACCGATCATTCTGCTCAAAATCCTTCTTTTCGAATGGACAGCGGACCGTTGCTCGGTAGGGAAAATGATTGCTGGTTAGGAATTCTCCACGGTCTATTTTCTGTCGTCCTGAATTCCCCATATCAACATTTGTGCCTTAAAACTAGATTGTGGTTGCAAATAACTAGTTAGTTAACAAACTGGTTAACTACTGCTTTTGTCCTACCCTTCGACACTGCGACGTCGAGTTGCGGAGACCTGTCTTTTTGGGGGCAGACAAGGATCTCACAGACAGGGAATCATGGTCATGACATGATAGCTACCGGTGCGGGGTTGGTTGAAGCTATTGAGAGCCTTTGTGGGTCTCTAGAGCATGGAAATGTATGGATGTGAGAATAAGACCCGTGATGCGGCATCTGCTGGCATGGATCTGGAATGGAGCAGGGCCTGAGTTAATTCAACAAGAGCCCCAAGATGAATGACGATAGGCGCCACAAGCTGACTGCCTATTTAACTAACTACCAGAGCGGGCATGCAGATCCGAAACCGCCTCTGTTATTTAGCACGACCTGCTGGTCTCATTCAACACCACGCATGGATTCGCATTGATTCGTTTTGCATATTAGTCTCTTGTTGTATAGCTCTCTAGTAGGTCGGCGCTTCTGGACGTGCGGTTCATATTCTTGCGAGAGCGGTTGAGCCCAATAACCTGACCGACCCGACCATGGCTGCGATTCTTCAATGTATCCAGCCGCTTTATGATGCCTGCTTCTGTCCGGGTATCCCATTTAAGTATCGATGGCGCCTACTCACTCTTGTTCCAATCAACATACTCGCTTATTCTCTAAAATGTCTGCCGTGGATCTTCTCACGTTCCTATACTGTGGTCCGAATCCCCCTGCGTCGAAGTCCGAACCACTCCGGGCGTGCTCTCGTTTTCACACCCGAATTCACCTCTAATTCTTTACGGCCCCTCCATATCCATGTCCACGGGGGTGGATTCATCGGCGGCATTCCGGAGATGGACAATGCCTTTTGTTCACGGATGGTTCAGGAGACCGGTGCCGTTGTCATATCCGTGTCATACAGACTGGCACCCCGATATCCGTTTCCAGCTGCCCACGAGAACGTCCAAGACGCGGCAGCTTATGTTGTGGAGAACGCAGAACGACTCTGGGGAGCCAACCCGAAGCTGTTAACGCTGAGTGGATGTTCCTCTGGCGCAAACCTGGCTTTGGGCATTTCCCAAAGTCTTTCAGATACTGAGCATCCAGTTCAAGGAGCGCTGATGTTTGATAATCCTGTTTGTGCCCTAATTTTTTCTTCTTCCATCATCGGGATTCTGGAAGGACCGATTCTTCAATACGCTCGGTCAACCCTCAGCACATAAATGTTCTTGTCGGTGTGTACTATACATGTGTCTGGTTAAGAAATCTGACCCTCGTCATTTCTTGCCGCATTTTGCCAGGTTGACCTCCGCATCCCTCCATGGGAGAAGCCAAAACCGCCGGGATTCCCGCCATACGACCCCCTGTCCTTCCTGCTCCCTCTTTTCGATGTATACGCTGACTCGGCACAGTCTCGCAGACTTGAAGATCCCCTGTTAAACCCCATTTTAGCGGACATACGCACTCTGCCGCGGAAAATGCTCTTCATCGTTGCTGGCGCGGATATTCTTCTTCACGAAGTGACGAATTTTGTAGAGCGTCTGCAGAGAGAAGCTGAATTACTGAACTCCAAGGAGATTGACATGGCTGATTCCACGGGAAGGTATGAGATTCAAAGCATGGTGTTTGAAGGACAGGTCCATGGCTGGTTAGATCGTAAGTTGTTCTTCCCTCTCATTACTTCCCATGGAATGCTTGTATGCATATGACATCCTTGCGAATCTTTAAGATTGATTTCTCATTGCTTTTAAGTTATGTCTTTTATGATTGATGAAAACATGAGAATCCAGGCGCTCAATGCTGCCTACGATTTTATTCGTCGCATTCATGCGGGGAGTGGATGGCAAAAAGCAAGCTGAATGAATTATATTCCATGCAAAATGCGTGTTGGGACTTTGAAGGTAGAATGTTTCCTCTTGTATGTTTGTACCATAGATTAGAGGTATTAAGGACACTCCCTTTTCTACGTGTGCTTGTTTCTTCTACGACGAGAGTTGAACGGCTGTTGGCAAGTCTGATTAGCGACGGTTGTACCCAAATTGGCTGTGACGATGATCACGAATCCCTATGACAACCCTATTGTTCTCAGGAATTGACAAAGTTGACTTAATTACCCTATCAACATTGGATGCATTATACGATGCTTCAGGCAATTGAGAAACCGCCAGCAGTCCAATGGTGATCGAACACACGGTTGTATTGCAGGCATCACTCTATTTATCTTTATTATGTCACCATGGTTGTGGCGGAATTGTGAAATAAAGCACTCACCGTTTTGCAAATTGATCACCCTTTTCTCTTACGGAAGTCATTTGAGTGCGATTTTATGCATCAACAGCATCAACATGCGCAGCATTATTATTCGGAACTGCGCATAGGCATCTTAATGTTGCCCATTTGGTAATGGGTTTTTCCCTTCACCGGAGCCTTGTTGAGCAAAGGCTGACGAACATCCTGTTTTTCAAAAGCGGATATTCAAAAGCAACCCAATTGATTATCTATGCGGGGTTGGAGCCGAGGCCGTTGAAAAGCCAAAATTATTTCATCGGCTCGGCTTCCCCTGCCATGGACACTTGTCAAAAAGCTAATTTCCCCGCACTCGGAACAGCGGATTCTGGTGGTAACCTTTCTGACCTCCACAACAATTGCTTCTAGTGTCTTAATACCTGGGTTTTTGGAGAATTTGGACTTATGATATTGTCATAAAATAAGGAGATTCCTGCTTACAACTATATTTTAGCGTTTACTGGAACAATTTCTCGTGACTGGCTGACGTGTCAACCTCTGTCGATTGCTATATCTAGATTCCCTTTTCCAATGGGCCGGCTTTGGCAAAAGAGGGAGATGGATGATAGTGCGGAGCGAATTCACGTTTGTTCAATTTGCATGAGGAGATTTAAACGGACGGAACATTGCTTAAGACATGAAAGGTCCCGTATGTATACTAACTTTGCATCTAGTCGTGAATTTCCACAGCTCTCAGCCGTTGTGCTCAGGTGTTCGTGGCTCGATATCATTAACCTACTCTCCCATCTGATTCTTATAGATACTAAGGTGAAGCCATACAATTGCCGCTTTTGCGAACGATCATATGGCCGAAAGTAAGCTATATTTAATTTCTAGTTTTAAGGCGCCGTTTTCGTGAACTCTCTGACCTGTTGGCAGGGACCTTGTGGTACGGCATGAGAAAACTCTACATGAGGAAGATTGGATCAAAGCCCAAATGCCTAGCGAGGAGTCGACTACTGCTAGTGACTCCTTATTGTCAAGGCAAAAACGTCGACTATCCACTGTAAGCTACAGTGACGAATGGAAGAATGCCCTCTCGGCGCAACATATTCCTCATCCCCAAGGAGAGCATGACGTCTTATCCTGCGTTGGAACTCAAACAGCTGCTATACCCAGCTCGCCAGAAAGAAGTGGTTTTGATTGCATGCCATATGGCCCGCAAATAAACTGTAATTTTACACTCCCATTAAAACCTGGAACCGAGGGAACAGCTGAAAGTCCGTGCGAATCTTCCGTCCCTGAGATGGCCATATTGAGCGTACCTCAATTGGCAAATCCATGTTACATCGAAGGAAATTACCTCCAACAATACAACAGCCAAATACCGGAGGAATCTGTTGAACCCTGCGAAGGCCTTAATCAGTACTCTGTTCCAGTTGACCCAAATTTATTTGAGACTGTGAATAGCAAGCCTCAACCGCCATGGCGACCAGATACTCCGAGATGCCTCGAGATTTTGGACATTTGTCCCAGTGTTTATGGCCCATTGCGCTCTTTTGATGTCCCACAGGAAAATGAAGAGGATTGGGAGGAGACCAGGAATAACGGCAAGTGGACTTTCCAGGAATCACAGGTCATAGGTCATCCGTCTGATAGGCATATATTCATTGTACAGAGCCCTTCAAATCTTATTCGGCCACCCATTTCAACTGTGAGACTGGGGGAAGCAGCCCTGTCGATACTCTTCGCGGATCTGCACCTTGGGTTTGAGAATCACAAAACTAATGGTATTATATCCCTCCACTCGCGCTAGCACAATATCTCGATCAATTTTTCTATTATTTCAATACTCTCATCCATATATTCTATGTCCTCACCTTTAATATCAAGACAGCCATCTCCCCCTGTTGATACTTGCCATAGGCTCAATTGGGGCCTCTCAGCTTTCTGACCCGCGACCAATCCCTATCGCTTGGGCGCCATGCGAACGAGTATCTTGAAAAATATCACTCCAAACCACAGACACTGGGCTCTTCATTGTCCAGACCTCTATGGATATCGCAATGCCAGGCTCTTTTTTTTTTTTTTTTTTTTTGGCTGGGAGCATTGCTGGAGGTGCGAAGGCTGCAGCCATGGCCCTTGGAAAGGAAAATTCCCGTTGCTGAACATCGGGCTGGAGTCTCATGGAGGGAGAGAAAGCAATCGCAAATCATGGAAGACATGGATTGATTATTAGTCTTCAAAGCATCTTCTCTGTTCCATGTTTGTGATAATCGGCATTCTTATGGGCTGTTTATGATATTGCATAGTGCATATCGGCAGCCCAGCTAGACGAGGTGGAAACTCCAAGCAGCAGTGCAATACCGGAAGCTCCTGATGAGGAGAGATGGCTTGATCTCATGGATTTTAACAATTCTCCACCCCCCACTGTTGATTCAGGGATATATTAACCCCCTTGCACAGCGAGCTAGGGTTGGTTTCTGATATACCAAATTTCTCGCTTACCACCATTGCGCACTCTCTGTCAGCACACATACCTGGTGTCTCAAGCAATGCGTACGTACCATCACTACGGAATTTTACGAGGAGTCCTACTAACCCAGAATATGAAATATAACCCCCTTTCACCAACCATGCAGATACATTCTTAGCTAGATGCTGCCAGTCGATAACACACCGTTTGATCACGGGGACACCACATCCTAAATGTCGATTTCGCGAATTTGTGCTCTTCAGCAGTTTTATTCTTCTGCGAAGCATGTTGATACGGACTTTCGCGGAACGGTTCTCGCTGGGCGTGTTTCACGGGCTTTTGCAGGTGTGTTTGCAGATGATGGCAATTCAGGAAGGTAAGAAGAAAGAATATATATATTAACAACTCCTTTAATATCTTAAAAGTTGTGTTGTGGGCTGACATAATAACATAGTTATGTAGTGGCATCTCGAATGAGATTTTGAGTTCGGAAATGCCTTCGAGGGCGTTTTCTATCGAATAGATCGAAATTCGATTCTCTGAGATTGAGGGTTGCAATAACCATTAATGTGCACTTGAAAAGACAAAGAAGCAAGGGTAACTCCAGGGAGAAGTCTCTGGGTACAATAATACGTAGTTAATCGTCAGGCATTAATATATACATCAGTCTATCTTTGGGCACGCCCTACCGCACGTGATTTGTGTAGTTATGGTTATCGAGCTGAGCCTTTCATCCGAAGACGAGATTGTATCATCCCAACCCTATCACAGAAACCGAGGATAAACTAGTTATCTAACCATCCCATCTAATCACATTACATAATCCAACCTCCCAGTCTCCCTAGACTAATTAACTAGTTGGACACGCTCACCTCTTGTATGTTGATAGCAAACCGGTCATACGGGAATTCTTCGAGACTTGGTAACAGGTGAGCCCAGCCGTCACCGATCTCCCCCGTCCGTCCAGATCCGCGGCCTCGCCAAGTATCAAGTCCCTCCAGCCCTTCCACCACCTCATGCACCACATCAACATCCTTATGTTCACCCGTTAGGCCAGCTAATACCAGATCCTCTTTCCCTCTATATTCCTCAAGGAGACCAGGGTGCGGAACCCAGACAACTTGCATCCCCCCTCTGCGTCCAGCCTCGACGCCGGGGACGGAATCCTCGAACACAAGACATTCTTTTGGTTTGATTTCGGGCTCTCCGTTGTTGGCAGCGCGTATCTCTGCGTTGATGGTTTCGAGTGCCAGTAGATATATATCTGGCAGCGGCTTTCCTCTCCCCTCACCGATGCGTGGGTTGTCACCTGTGATCAGCCTTGAATTGGGGAATAGGGAGAAGAGATCTGACAAGTGGGCCGTTTTCAACTCGTAGTTTCTGGCCGTCGATGATGTGGCGAGTGCGATGTGCACGGGGGATGAAGTGTTTGCCATTTTCGCAAGGTTTGATAGCAGATTAACTACGCCTGGTAAAGGCTTTGTCGTGGGGAAGTAGATTTGTTGCAGCGCTGTTTGTTTCTCGTGGAATTCCGTCATGGAGACGGGCAATTGAGCCCAGTCATGAAAGATCTTTCCAGACTAGATCGGGGGGTAATTGGAGTCAGTTTGAAAGTTACTTTTATGGGATATGTCTGGCCCTTGAAAGGACCATAGAAAGAAATTCACTCAAGAGAATGGATACCTGGGGAGCTGGACGACCCTGTAACTGCGCCTTAATGGACCAGGGCAAACTTGGCCTGTTGTATTCTTGCAGAATCTTGTTTATCACCAGTGTATAGATGTCTTCGGAATCGATAAGGAGACCGTCCATGTCAAATAGACAAGCCCGGACGGGTGGCGGTCTTCAAAGAGAAAAGTCAGTAAGCTCCAAGATTTTATCTTGACATCTAGGCTAGAAATGTATTTACTTATCGGGGATGCAACGCACCGATTCTGCTCAGAAGCCATGATTTTTCTTTTCTTTTTTTCTTTTTCTTTTTTTTTTTTTTTTTCAAGAAGAAAATTCTTCTCACTAACAGCTATGTTCCATATATACTGCAAATGTCTGTGTTAGTATCCGTAATGAAGACTGATGATAATCTGAAGGTGATGCAGTGGCTAAGTTCATTAAGTTCAGCAGTTGGTTATTTAGGGCGAAGCTGGAGAATATTTGTCAACAAATGAACGAAACTGTTAACTTTAATTTATTTAGTGGATTACATACAAAAGGAACCTTCAATCTCATCCCCAACAACAGATCTTTTGACCTTGTATTCAGCCCAGTTATGTTTCCTATACCTCTTCTTCTGTAAAAAATGTCAAAAAGCAATAAACCAGAATTAGCCACACAAAACGACCCCTCATTTTCCGATAGCGACGAAGGCGAAATATTCCATGATGCCAGATACCCCGCTGAAGAAGAAGCCGTATGGCAGCCAATTATCAATCTAGCTATAACTTGCAGGAAGCTCATATAAATATTATATTAGGACCTTTTAAACAAATCCAACACCCACAAATCCGCCGCAAACGAACTCTTCTCCTCTGCTCGCTATTCGGAGGCCATCACCACATACGACCGAGCCCTCTCGTTCTGCCCCAACTACCTTGATTACGAAATCGCTGTTCTCCGCAGCAACATCTCCGCATGCCATCTGAAACTGGAAGACTGGAAAGGTGCTGTTGATGCTGCTACTGCCAGTATTGAGCGGTTGGATAAAGCCCTTTCGGAACAAACACAACAGGAGACATCATCTGGGGTAAAGAAGCCGGGCAATGGTAAGGATGCGGGTGATGAGGTGGTGGAGCTTCTAGATGGAGATGGGGATGAGGAGTCGGAAGAGGCGCAGTTGAAGAAGCTAAGGGAAGATGACGTGAGAAAGGAAGATATAAAGCGCATATGGGCCAAAGCGCTCATGAGGCGGGCTAGGGCAAAGAAGGAATTGGGAGGCTGGGCGAATTTGCAAGGCGCTGAGGAGGATTACAAAGCTTTGCTTGGGATGGGGAATTTGCCGGCACAGGATGAGAAATTTGTGCGGAAAGCGTTGAGGGAGCTCCCGGACTTGATTAACGTTGCGAGGGAGAAGGAGGTTGGGGAGATGATGGGGAAGCTTAAGGATGTAAGTTATATATATCTGTTTCCTTCTCGTTTCTCTGCCTTGGGGAGGTTATTTTCACATACTGACACTATTCCCTTAGCTTGGGAATGGGATCTTGAAACCCTTTGGTCTATCCACAGATAATTTCAAGTTCGTCAAGGACGACAAATCTGGGGGATATAGCATGTCATTCGAGAAATAATGTTGTTTTTGGTGTTCATTGCATTGGGGCGTTAAACAGGGAGGGTGTAGAAATAGAAATCTTCCATGTAAATAAGCGTACATTTTGGATTCTCTGATATCTAAGTAAATATGCGATTGTATAGTGGGGTCTTCTTCTAGATAGAAACAATTTCTTTTGTTTTGAGAGGCTCGAGTGTATCTTACAACCTTGAGAACACTTCATACTCGTTGCGTCAAAAACTTTTTGCTGATGACCATTGTACAACTTCAGGCTAGATTGACAAGATAGCTAATTAAACGTTTAATAATGGGACAATCAATCCTGATATCCGCACTCCTCCTTCTCTACGGTAAATCGATTTACCGTCGACAGCACACATCAAAAATAACACAAGCTAGCACACATTCCCTCAAGAGAGAGAGATATAGAGAGAGAAATAGCAAAAATTTTGTTGATATTTTGAGTTTTCCTAGTCTCTAGATACATTCTGGTAGTACAAGATGGATATAATAGACAATTTAGGATCCCACCATATCAAAATCGTAAAACAACAGGGGACAGATAAGAGGGTTAAGTATGTTGGAAGCAAAATGCTTAAAAACATGCCAAATGGCAGTAAACAGGGGAGGGAAGAAGGGAAGATGGGGTGAGAAGAGAAGGTTTCCGGAGATGGAGTTAATGAAAACAGCCATGGTTTGCTAGTCGAATAGCATATGCTATGTTAGTCAAAACAGACACACTAAGCCTGCAGCCAGCAACCATGAGAATAGGATATATATAACACAAAATTAAACCAATTTCCAAAGGCATGAGGTTGAGTTGTGTTGGTCCTAATCCTATGTGGCACGATCCATGGAGTCCAAGGGGATAGTGGATGTGAATCTCAAGCTTGATCCTGGCGGAGGCAAAAAATAATTAAAAAGTGCCTGAAACGAGGGCAATGATGGTATAAAAAAGAAATAATTGGTCCCGTGGTTGGCCTCTTCAATGGAAGTTCAGAAGAGCACGATGTTGGATTGATTGTAAAACTCCAACATGCGGGAGAAGAGGGGGAATTCTCTAGCACAGACGAAATCTATGGCAAGAAACAGGAGGAAGGGGCTGAAAAGGAAAGCTAAAAGGGTACAATAAAAAACAGCTGCATAAATAAAACATATGCAAGATCGTAGGGGGGTAACTGTTGGGGGAATGAAGTTGAAAAAACTGTGGATTGAGCTTGTTGCATTGGACAGCTATTGACCTGGGATAGCTACGGTCCTTGGATGGTTGAAAATGTTAAGGAAATCCATGGCGCACAGACAGGACTGTCTGGATGGTTCAAATTCAACGGGCCTTCTTCTGCGGAGACGCCTGGGTATCTGAACAATCATTTTCATCCTGTGAGCGCTTACGGCCATGTCCATAAGACGCCACGGTTTGGGCAATATTTGATGCATGATTGTGTGGTGAGGGAGTTGTGGTGAGATCATAAGACCAGGGATAAGGAGTAGGCACCATCACACGACGGGGGGATGGAAGTGGAGGAGAGTAATACATAGCCTCCTGGAGATGGGCTGCAGTGGGACTATATTGAACGTAGCGATCTGGCTCCATCTGCTCCTGATTAAAAGGATATTCATAGTAAGAAGGGATGTTCCGACCAAGGCCATGCATGGCGTTAGTTGACTGGCTGCGGACAACTCCCGGACCAAAATGGCTACGATGGATATTTCCAACATGCCCAGTGGAGACCGCAGGGGTATTCTGGTAAAATCCGCTGGCGTGGGGCATGTTAGCTAGCTTATGGAGATTCATAAGAGCATTGCTCTGATGGATAGAGTGAACCATATTTCCCTGGGTGGATGGATGTGCAGGACGGGAAAATCCAGTTGGTTGCTGGAGCAGTTGCGAGGCAACATGGGGGCTGCTCAGAGTCATATTTCGCACATTGGTGTTAATGGCCAATGGAGGTGATGTCTCTTTTGCGGCAGACTTTCTCCGAGGAGTACTGAAAGGAGTGCGGAGGCCATCAGCAGCCTGCGAATCGCCCTTTGTCGGGGTTGATTTGGAATTAGATTTGGAATGGCCGAGTGCCTTCTTGCCAGCGGTCATAACCTCTCCCTTACGCTTGTTAAGATTTTTATTGGCCACAACACGCTAGGTGATTGTTAGGGTGGTTTCAAATGTTAATTAAGCCAAGGTACTGTGATACTTACGCTCTTGGAGAAGACGGGGTCGTCAACAAAGGTAAACATGTAGTGTGCATCTAGCAAGTGCTTGCAAATGGTTTTTTGTGTCTGAGAAGATTGTTAGAATGACAGAAGGACGTTGTTATTATTATTATTTCCTAGTGCAAGGGCATTACCAAAAGACAATCTACGATCTTTTCCATTCTCTCCTTGAATGTCGAGATTTGGCTGGTAGCCTTTGCCTTGCCATCATAAATGGCGAGCAGAGGGCCATTGGTCTGGCGGCTAATGCACGCTTCCTGTTATAGACATGCATCAGCATTGTTTCCACGAATATACGATTTATCAACAAACCAAGATGTTCCAGCAAACTATCTCCATTCTAATCGGACTGTGCTTCTGCTCGCGGAATGGACGGATCATTCCTTCGTTATCTTCCGCATGCTTTGTGCTCTTCATTGCGTCCAGCAGATTGGAGACGATCTCAAGTTTCTCCTCCTTAGTCTTGGGAATAGTAGGGTCATGGTCAACTTGGACTTCAAACGCGCGCCACGAGTTGGCTTCACGAGTAGATGAGAACTTGAGCTTAGGCTCGGATTTGCCCTGGCGTATGGGGTTTGGGGGAGTTGCAATTCCCATTTCCCCCTGAAGATGGTGGGTAGTGATCTCAGTGACACCTGCGTTGATCGAGTAGGGTTCGTTCGGAATAGGAGATGGATAAGAAGGTTGATGATGGGGATAATCATCACCAATTCTAATATCTGAAGACTCTGCGGTAGTCGCTGTGCGCGAGTGCATATTTATACCCTGACGCATTTTGAGATTGGTATATTCAACCGCGAGTTTGGGTTCGAAGGATTCCAAGTTCACTGGATTAACTGCGTGGGACTGGTGGTTTTCTTTGTGATAGCCTGTGCTATTAATGTTTTCAGGTGCTGTGATAGCGGTGCTACCAACCACAGAGTGAGCAGAAATTTCCAAGGTCGCAGTAGGGAACTCAGCGGAATGTTCAAGTGCAGTGGTATGCTCAGCAAATTCGCTGAGGGCCATGTTGTTGAACTGTGGGTTGGATGTCTTAACAGGAGCAGTTCTAGCACAGCCGTCGTCTGCCTGTGTGAAAGCGATTAAACTGAAGATATCTGTGATGTCGAATGAGCAGCTGTTTGGAATTTTGGCAGAAAAGTGGAAGAGAAGCCAAAACGAAGAAATAAACTGGGGGTCTGGTTTGCCTTATTTTTTGTAAAACCCAGCCCCTGCATTTGAAAAGGGGGTGGTTGGGTGGGAAACAGAGGAGTTGGGACGGGGAGGGTTGTTAGGGGGATAATCGAGGAAGAAATCGTTACCTTCGGTTGACATGTCTTCATCAACTAGCATGGAAGCCGGGTTTTCCAAAGGCTGAAGATCGAAATCCGCAAGCTGGACGTCAGCAGTCTCAACCAAATGAAACTGCTCCTGACCATTCGCATTCAAGTGCCATCTAAAGCATATTATTAGTTTAATTGCGCATCCAAATCCAAGTAAAAGGAGAAAAAAATCTTACGTTGCTTCATCGACAAAGGAATACTGAGGCTGAGTCTGAGCGACCAAGCTATCAAGAAGACTCGCAAAGGTCGGCTTGCCTTCGGGAATCGGTGGAACATATGTATTTGGTGGTTCCATATTTGGATCGCTGGCAGGACGAATATATTAGAAGTCGGGAACAACGCAAAGCTTTTGCAAATTTCAAACTGAGATCAGGCTACTGATGCAAAACCAGATACACTGGGAAGAAGGGGAATAACGCTAGATCTGCTCTCAGCCACGATCTAGCACTTAACCAGAGTGGGAAGAGAGAGAAACAGCGAAAGAAAAGAAGTCACTAAATGTCAAACCTACATTCGTAAGAGAGATATATTCCCTAATATTGCTCGTAACTGCAATTTCTGAGCTCTGAGAGGTAAGTACAGGTCTTGGGTGGTTTCTTAGAAAACTCGTAGTCTCTTCGCTTTGGGATTTGCATAAGATATGACCAGAACTCAACGGAGAGCGGAGAAGATTCCGTATAGGAGGAGTTTGCCAGCTAGGACAGCTGTAGAGCGATTGACAGGGGTTTGAAGTAGAAAAACGATCTGGATGAGCTGAAAACAACGGCAAGAACAGAAAAAGACGTTAAGTTCAATTGACTCGTGCTGTCTGTTGTCTTTCTGGCTATCAAAAAGGATGTCTGCTAATTGAAAGCTTGAGAATGGGGTTGTGCTGTCAAGTGCGGGAAGGGGGGGTAGGAGTGTGGGATACGGGAAATCGATGGTGTAAAGAAGATAGAAGAAGGGGAAGAAAAGATTTGGAGGAATAAGAAAAGGGGAAATGGCAGAGAGGGAGAAAGGGAGAAAGGAAAAAGAAGGGGGCTTGCAAGAGGAGAAATAGGGTGCTCGTCATTCTGGGCTTCATTTTCACATATATTCGAGTGGTTGGGTGTAATTCACTGCGAAAGCAGAACCCAGCCACCATTTTGTAGAAATCAGGAGGTGTGAAGTATATGGGAGGGATTCAGGGCGGTGGCAGAGAAAAATCAAAAAAAAAAGTCCATGTCGACTTCTATTCAGCGACAGCCCGGCTGACAGCTCTCTCAAGGCAGCAACCCATTGTGTAGGAGAGCATGAATAGAAGCAGAATGGAAGCTATTGATCCATTTGTCAATCAATCTCGAAATACAGAAACCATTGTGGCGTCAATAGGGGTAAACGGGGTTTAATAGAGGTTTAAGGTGATTAAGGACACAGAAGAATCTCCCGATTTACCGGTAAGTTCCATCGTTGAGAGCCCCCTTTGCCTGTTGGTCTAGCAGATATTAGAGCCAGTATTATATCTACTCGCAGCAAGAAGAGACTCCTTGCAAACGAGAGTGCCATGGCGTAGAAACACCACAAATCCAAACGCGGGAATATCCACTGCACAGGTTTACCGACCCAGAACCGAATACCCCAGCATTTTTTGCCTGGTGGGCAAAACACCCCAATTCCATTCATTGAAATAGATTATGAGTGTAGAAATGATTCATAATACCGTGTATCTGTAGGTTACAAAGATTAGCCGATTCCACCCTTCGACAACTCTTTTCGAGGCGATGAACCTCGTGCAAATGAGCCCATGCGTTCGGCTGAGGTCAAGAGAGGTTGTGTTCCCCTGCCCTCCCTCCCCTCTCGATGTCAGTCTCGCACTACGGAACGACTTGCCGCGAAATCGAGCTGAGAGGGTATAGCGCAGGATCTGGGGAAATTTGGAGGTTCTCATTGCCATGATGGGAGCCATGAGATAGAGGTCAGCTTACACTACCATCCCACATTAATGCATAAGGAGCTAACGATGGTGGTGCAGAGATAGAAAGAAAAGGAGCTTAATCTGCTTCACTTTAGTCGAAAGCAAACCAAAATGGAGGAGGACAACTGCAACTGTTCTCCCACTTAGAGGGTAGGTAGACGATGCAACACATCGGAGTAGAGATGAGGGATGGAGATACACCAAGGATTGAGGGCAAGGAAATAAGATTTCAAGAGATCAAGATATCCAAGGAGTCATAGATGACCACAATGAAGGTAAATGAGATGCTGAAGAAGTCCTGAGAGGATGATCAAAGACAGGTTGATATCTGATTGCACAAATCAAAATGAAGATCCGGAGGAGAGAAGAAATGTTCGCTTAGGAGAATAATCTTCCTATAGTGGAAGCTTAAAATAACAAAAAATGTTTAATATTTTCTAGCTGAGGTTTGATAGATATTAACGTCCTGAGTTCTAAAGAAGAGAAAGGCAAAGATGAGTGATCTGGCATGGAGTTAACTGCATCATCTTGTGGCTGTTCAATTTGGGTATAGCCGCAGAAGGAGGACTGGGACGCTATCATAGTATATGACAAACATTAAAGTCTTCATAATGCAAAATATGAAGAAACTGGGAGACCAGCGAAAAGGAAAAATATTGGGGTATTCCGACATTAGATTTAGGTAGTGAGGTGATGAAATCTACACGAGACGTCAAATTAAGCTACTGGGGAAGCGCGGCTGCATCTTAACTTTACCGGCGTTTAATTGACCGATTCAATTAAGCTCATCCTGCAGGAAACTTGGAAGCTTGGCTTGCATTGCCAAGACCTTGGCATATTCTTCCCACAACACAGCCGAAGACCTGGATTAATATCCATCGTGAAGAGACAATGATGACATCATTGCGGGAAAAATAATGTGCGTATAAGTGAGGTGAGCACATAGAGCAATACTTCGTAGTTCCTTTTAATTCCCACGCTTTCTACAATCAGCGTTGTCCTAGATTTGTTGAAGCCGGATTTGGTTTTAACGCCCAGACCCTACAATTGGAGGATCTTGACTGTCGCCCACTGAACATTCAGATGTCTTAGACGAGATAAGCCAGCACCACGGTTTCTGCCAATATTCTGTTGCTTAATGTTTTCCCTTCTTCGCTTGTCCTTTGTTTAGACAACGATAAAACTTAGAACGTCCATCGACGATGCGATTGTCCAGTTGTTGAAGCCCTTGCCTCTTCAGAACGTGAGTTTGGAAATCTCCAGTCATGAAACTTAAGTTCAGAAGGTGGAAAAGAAGGAAGTTTAAATGCCTCAGGTATGGGGATAAAGTGGTATGATCCCTGAAATGGACATCAATATGGCTGCACTACTTTTGCTTAGAGAGAGAGAGAGAGAGAGAGAGAGAGAGAATGTCTGAGGAGACACAATCGAGTTGCCGCTGGCAACAAGTAGATAGCTCAGAGGAATTTGCAAGGACAGGTAACGCGTGGGCTAGTAATGGGGCGTTGAGCCTCAGGCTAAAAGGGGAACTTGGAGTTTTCCATTTTGGGGAGACGGAAGTGTTTCCTCACCCCTTAAGATCCGAAACGGTGTATTCATATCAGTAGTACTAGACTTCAACACATTATAGCGCCCATATTTTCAGGCGGTTGTCAATATTGTCCTTAATGAGTCGGTCGTGATAATGTTCTGTATCAGTGCTGGGTTCCGAAATTTCAACTTCATCCAGCGTTTGATACTTCTTTTGCCCCGAGCAGGTTGCCAGAACACTACCCATAGGATGAAACACGGCACTAGTGACAGGATCTTGTCCATTTCATCAGTCTTATCAGCATCACCCGGTCTAAGAATCCATCTTGTGGAAACTTACCATCGTGAACTTTTATTTCCCATTCCGGTAGCCTGCCTTCTCCACCTACGTTTGAGGGATCAATCCACACCCTTACAACTCCATCAGTCCCTCCGGCCCAAATTCCTGTAGAGTTACTATCACCTCCTGGGACAATATCTGCTTTAAGCCTCTGATTTGTTATCCCAACTCTCCCCTCTAGCCACCCAACCAACTGGCCAGTCACTCGAATGTCGTACACAAGGATCCCACTACTTTTCCGCTCAACAACAAATAGATATCGACCGCATGGGCTCCAAAGCACCTGCGTAATACCCCTACCACCAATGCGAGCATCTGCATTCGTGCCTGCAATACTAAACGTGGCAATGGTATCGCCACTCCCGTTAGATGCGTATAAGCCAATATACCTAGTGAAAGTCCCAGCTGCCAGAATTCCGTCGCCAGCTGGACTTATCGCCATTGTTGAAACAATCCCCTTCATGCCAACACCGCCACCAACGATCTTCTTCCGTTTGCTCGGGATAGTTAAAAGTCTCGACACGGGACCATCTTTACCGGAACGAGACACGTCGAAGAGACATATTAAGCTGTCTGATCCGGTCAAGAAATGAGTTCCGTTAAGGCTGTGTGGGTAGAGAATAGAATGGGGTGCAATGAAGACCTCTGTTGTGGGAGATATAAGACTATATGAAGCCAAGAATCCTGGGTGAAACGCTGAATTCAATCGGATCGGGTGGTCTCTCACAGAAGAGAGTAGAAGGGTTGATGATGGGTCTTGTAATGTGTAGAAAGGATAGATAGCTGTGGCGTAGATGGGCTCTGAGGACGGAATTGTATGATATGGTTCCAGTTCATGCGGTGCCTTCCTATCCTCGAGTACATCTGCTGGTCTGTATATATTAGCACTATCGTTACAATTCCTCGTGGACCAGCTAAGAAAAGAAATGCACATACAGCACAAAGGTTCTAATGCTGTTATCAGCGGAATTTGTAATTATGCTGGTTCCATCCGCTGACCTGTTAATCAAATCTTTAGCTTCTGTGGTTCTATCAAAACGCAAAGGAATGTATCAGGGGTCCAACAACTTACCAACAAGCTTCTTTGATATAGTTGGATATGACCTGGTGTCCTTTGGTAACCGTCTGTTTCTCATTTGACGACATTTCAGAGGTTGAGAGACCGTAGTTCCGAGTTGAGGCCACGCATGTCAATGCGCAATGTGCATCAGATTGGTCTGGAGAGTACATATTCTTTTGCCAATATTTATGAAGATAGATGACGGTACTTTTTCGTTAATGACGCATAAACGGCAGATATTCAAACCAAGGACCTAATCATAAGTTACATTCAAAAAACAGGACGAGAATAGATTTATGCTGAGCTTCATGGTAATCCTTTCCATCGGTTATTTACAGAGAGTTCGAAGGTACGCATCGACTCCTGGCCAAAATAAGTAGTTACCAATAAAGATCATATTGCTATCCCTTAAAGTCATCAAATGAACGCAACTATAGAGTCGTTATTATAGATTGTTAAACATCTGATGTTGATGCTCTCAAGTAGTTAAATAGTTAACTAAATATCGAGCCTCGGCGAAACTTTCCTCCTGTGAGAGCCAAACTGCGACGATTTTCCAAAGCCGCGGAAAAACAAACAGCTTCGATCTGTCGCATCATCGCATATTTAACTCCTTAGTTTCTCTCTTCTACCCAGCATCCCACTGCTACTCATTAAAACGAGATTGGAACTTTTCTTTATTGAGGTCCATCCTTAGTTTGACTTGCAAACAACCATGTTTGCAGCACAAACATCCTCACCCTCTACTACAGGGTTGACCGTGAATACGTCCTCTGCAAACTCTTTGTTGTAAGTAGACTGCAAAAACGTCCTCCCGTCACTTTCCCTTTTTCTACAAGTTATGCTAGCTGTTATGATTCGTGTTCACCTGTGGCTGGAGTGGTTCTCCCAGGAAGTTTTGTGGTTGAGATACCTCCAATGTCGTCGATGAAATGTTGTACGAAGGAAACGAAAGGAAGCAGAGGAAGATAAGAACCTTGCTCAATTAAGGGTGCTTGAGGCTTACTATCAAACTCTTCACATTAGTGGCACGAATACTACGAGTGCACCCGTAACCTCGTCCGGTGGCAGTTTATTTGGCGCCACCGCGCCATCACAACCAGCACAATCTGGAGGGTTGTTCTCAAGTCTGGTTACCCAGAACCAGGAGCAGCGGAAACCAGCTGGATCAAGCCTGTTTGGAGGTAACACTCAGCAAACGCAACAGAGCTCTGGGAGCATTTTCAGAGGATTCGGGTCGGGAAACACAGAACAGCAAACTGGAACAGGGGAAAGTTCACTTTTTGGGGCTGGCACTCAGCAGCAACAGCAACCTCAGCAGACGGGGAGCTTGTTTGGTGGTGCGCAGCAAAAACCAGCTACTGGTGACAGCTCCCTCTTTGGCGGAGCTACATCTACCTCTCAACCGCACACCACCCCACCTCTTTTTGGGGGAATTGGACAGACCTCTGGCACTTCTACCATGGGAGGGGGATTACTGTGAGTAGTCTTTCCGGCCGATACGGACATCTATTTGTTGTTGTGTATTTACTAACTACATCCTTTCATAGTAATACCTCTCAGACTCAACAACAACAGTCCCAGCAAGCAACATCGCTGTTTGGCAACCGAAATACAACCACACAACCAGACCAGCGACCAGCCAGCTCAACCGTCCAAGGCGTCAAAATTGACGTCTCAAACCTCGTCCCAACCACCAAGTTCGAGAGCTGCAACGAAGAGCTAAAGAAGGAAATCGAAGCCATAGACACCTTCATCTTGAACCAAATACGCATGTGCAACGAAGTCTCCGACATTCTCCCCAAAATCTCATCCCAAGGCACCTTCGTGCCCAATGACGTTGACTTCATCCAAAACAAACTGGACACTCTCCAAGAAGCCCTAGAAAATGACGCCAGGGGTATCGAAAACGTCCGCAACCTAGTTGTCCGGGATGCGGGGGAAGCTAAGCTTGCTTTCCGTGCTCTCGACACCCTTCTCCTACCCCTCCAATACCAGCCCACGCCAGCGGACAGATGGCTCTCCACCAATCCGCAAACCCAAGCCATGCCAGGCCGCTCACTGCGCTCCAGCCTAAGCGCGCGCCACATGCTCGCCCTCCCCGAAGATGCAGAGGCAGACACAAGTCTCGTGTCGACAAGTGGCCCAACAAATCTGGTCGATTACTTCTCCCAGCGCACGGATGATATGAACACGGTTGTTTTGCGGTATAAGAATAACCTGAAAGAGATTGAGGATCATCTCCGCGGTGTTGAGGCGTCGCTTAATCAGCAGATTAGTGATTTGTCGTCTAGGAGTCGGGATGGGGGAGGCCAGTCGCACGCGCCTGTGTCTAGGGTTAGTGAGCTTGCTGCGACGCTGGGGGATGTGGAGACAGCTATCCTTGGTGTTGCGGGGAGGGTTGGGGGTGTTAGGGAGGAGGTTCAGGAACTTTTACTTGGGCCTTTGGGTACGCGTGGGAATGGGATGACGAATGGATGGTAATGGTGGAAAACAGTTAGATAGACATGACTTTTGCTTGTTTTCTTATGCGAATCCCTTGTACTATTTGGTATTTTCTGTGTTGGTTTGTATGCCTTGATCTATTTTGAAGGTCTCATACTTTTGCAATTGATTCCTAGACGGATTGCTTGGAGTTACAAGGGGTTTATTTGAGGATAGGTTTTGAGCTTTATCGTGGATGGAAGATTGATAATAATGAATTTTTTGTTACGAAATTTTGCGAATATCACAATCTCCTTGAGCGACGATTAATATATATATGTTTATCATACCTCCTGTGTAATACTGACTGCACCAAATGTGATTGAGGGACGAATGCCTTTCGATATGTAAGGGGTGAAATCGTCTAAAATGTTTGAGTGAAAGGGTAGTAAAAACAAGGAAGCAAAAATGGGACGTGTGATGACCGTTGTTCTTATATATACAGGGAATGTTACTCGTCAGTGTAACAATATATGTAGTTATATATATATAAAAATGCTGGTTTTCATGAACGCAAGGGGCCAACTCCCAATATGAGTTCATGTCCCGAACATGCCAGATCGGGGATCAGAAAGTTGGAGTGAGGATTCTGATGGACGGCCAATTTTGATTCCTGCATTTAGATCGTAATTGTCGGAGCCATTGAGAGAAAATCTGTTGTCAACTGCCTCAGATGTAAATCGCTGTGGGACGGGGAAACTCTGTTTATTGGTTATGTAATCCTGGTGCGGGCGCCCCTGATATTCTGCTCTGTGTGAAGAACGTGGAGCCCCAAGAAGCCTCGTCCGATGCTGAGGCGTAGATGGTGGCATGTTTGCTGGAAGAATGTTAGACGGAACAAGTAGAATAAAACAGAAAAATTATACACATACTAGAGCGAAAAGATGGTGGTATACCGCTTGGTGGTGGCATTGCTGCGGAATCTACGCCATTTTTGGTAGCTGTTCTACTCCCACTTCTTTGATGCCGGTGAAGTTGTTCGATACCCATATTGGTTGTGGGATACCGGGAGGGACTCCGTCGAGGGGATGTTGCGAGAGAGGTCAATGGGCGAAACAAGTCCTCTGTGCTCGAGTTTGATTTTGACCCTCCTCCCAGGGACTCGAGAACCTGTGTGACTGAATCAGATGCCGCTGTCTGAATCTGTGGTCTCATAGCTCTACTCTTTAAAAGGTTGTAGAGATTTGTTACTTGGGCGTGCTTCTTGCACTTTTCCCGATAGATATCCACTAGCTCGTGATTCTTTTTCTGCAGCTGCTCTTGACCTATTTGCATCTCTGAAGATTTGCAATTTCCCATTAACAAACGATTCGACGTAACTAAGGACGACGACAGAGGGAGCGTACCAGATAAGCGGTTTTGGAGGTTTGATATTTCAGAATTTGCATCGTGAATCACCTTGTCCATCTGTTGGTTAAGGGCACTGTATTTCTCCGTCAAACTCTTGCCGAGATATTCTTGATAGAAGCTGGTCTGAAGTTAGCTCCCTCGGAAAGAGATATATATTAGGGTGGGTAAGCGTACATTTCCTGGGCGGACTGATATGTCCAGAATGCCAACGCACGCCCAGCACACTCCATTATCGTATGGGGGTCAAGTCCACTCAATACGCTAGTTTTGTAGTCCTCACTGGGGGTAAGAACGGTGGCAACTGCATCGTCAGGGTTGACCAAACTGGCGCTACAGGCAGGGCACTGCCGTTCAGATGTTGTTGGGCGCGATAGCCCCAGGATGTCAGCACATTGAAGGCAGAAGATATGGCTAATCAAAATAAGCAATTATTCAATTAATTTCCTGCCATTGGCCTGTCCCCGTCTAAGGGTAGTTGGTGGAGGGGGGGGTGACGAACGAGCAAGTAGTCACCACAGCCCTCTCATTCAACGTTACTCTGCACTTTAAAGAGTTGCAGCGGAGACAAAAGTCCAAAGCTTGAGCCATGACGGAAGATAGAACACACCATTTCAAGTTGACAAGCCAAATGCAAGCAGCCACAAGCCACTGGAAAGACACTGCATTTGTATACCTAGATACATCTCAAGTGTATCAAGCGTCGATGAAACGAATGAAGTTGAAGAGTTTTGAAGAACAAACAAAAAAAAGCCGAAGTCGCAGAGTTGTGGATTACCCGATTAGGAAACCACGGCGGAGGAGCCGCCCTCTGGGGGAAAGTGGGAAAAGGGAAGGCACTGTATATGTTTGTTTGGGAAGGAGTGACTCTGATTAGTACACGCCTGACTTTTGCTGTGTTGACTGCCTAGAGGCAACTGGATATAAACAAAACAGACAGACATCATATATTTATAGTACGACACTGACACCAACCTTGGAGCTGCTGGAGTCCGGTCGTTAAAACACAAAATCCATATGTACGCCAATAATGTCCCGCCCATCCAACCGCATATTCTGAAAAACGCCGAGGGGAAGACACCATATACCCTAGAAAAAAAAAGCGTTGCCTTTGTTATCCCTTCTGATACTCCCCATCTTCTTTACGAACTCCTCTCCAGGCTCATATTCTCGCCAGAGACTCGCTGGAAATATGTGCTTGTTTCGCTCAAACCACCTCCGGTCAACAACCTTGGTAAAGGTGGGATCCATGTCCCCCCCTTCAAGCTGGGGTGGCTGTGATTCCGGATCATCGCTAGGTTCTGGCGGAGCAGTATTGGTGTAATCAAATAGTAACCCACCAGCTTTGGTAAAACTCGGGACTCGATTCGCGATAAAGTAGTAGAGCTCATAATGCTTTATATAGACCCAAAACAAAAGTTAATGTTAGTAGTTTGCGAAGGCAAGCCAAAAAGAGGATTAACGAACGGAGGAAAAGAAACGGGATCGGAGCACATACATGTGGAATAATTACGTTCCCTCGAACACACATTAAATCGTCTACACCCACCCTCGCCCACTCTCTGCGGTGGTCTTTTCGACCTCTCCCAGACCTCCCACCCCCACCAGCACCTCCAATCCCCAGTTCTGCGGCTACCTTCCGACAGCGCTCAAGGAAAACCCATATCGGATCACCCTTCTTGACCTTCACAGTCCCTACAGGGATGTTCGTTCCATCGTAAAAGACGAACGGTATCAATATCTCAGTCGCTTTTACCTTTTCTTGCAGTGCCAGGAATTCCCGCCGGAGAGCATCTCGCGTTTGCGCTTCGGCCTCTCGGGCTGACTTTGTGACGACTTTCGGAGGAGGTATGGATAGATTTGGATTGGGCGCTATTCGTCGCGTGGGTGGTTTTGGGCTGCCTTCCGCGGGGGTTTTGGATGGTGATTTGCCATCACTGGTGTTGGGGGTTAGAGCGGTGGAAGATTCTACCCCCTCTTCCACCTCATCATCACCAAAAGATAATTTGCTCTTCGCGAAATGGCCCAGCTTCTTCTTTTTCCTTTTGGGAAATAGTTGGGCAGACTCGGCCCTGTACTTCGTCTGTTAGCTCTAATCTTCTTGCATCCTGGTGCAAACTTACCCGTCAGTTGTTTCTCCACCAGAAGGGGTGCCACTTCTGGAATTCCCCTGAACAAACCTCCCAAGAGATTTGTCATGCGCCTCCCGTTCCTTTTGTTCAAGAACCTCAGCTCGTCGTTTCCGGAAGTCTGAGAGGTGAACGAGGCCAACCGTTTGCGATTTCAGTAAGTCTTCGGCGGAAGCTGTCTGGTTCACAAACGAACGGGGGGTCGACGTTCGACTTTGAGGATCTGAAGGCGGTGCCATTCCATGTAAGTAGCAGGTGGCCACACCTCTAGAACACGAGTTTCTTTTTCTTTTTCTTTTTCTTTTTCTTTTCTTCTTCTTCTTCTTCTTCTTCTCCGTAGTTGGTTGTTTATCGCAAATTAAATGACATGCAAGAGCTCGCAACCTTGGAAGCCTCTCCGAGGAAGATAAAATGTATCACGTGATCCTGATTTGGCAGCTTGGTGGGAGATTGGCGACCCATAAATTAGAATGAAAGATCTAAATATTTGCTTTATTTACCTTGATCGTATCTTTAAACTATCTCTATTGGAATTGATACTCCTAGTACAATTTATTCTGATCTGTTCAATACTCCGGTTGGTGAAGCCGACCATCTCTCCCCCTTTATTACGACTTTTCTTCAACTTTCGCAAGCAGCAAGACTTTAAGCGCACAGCTTCGTGCCTTTCAAGCTCCAAGCTCTGAGCAAACCGAGTTCCGTACAACACGCGCCCGATATCATATCTCCCTAAAAGTTTACCAATTCCAAGCTTTTGTAGTGGCAATAATGGAAGAAGACGATGACGGACTCTACGATCCCACTGATGCTGTTCCCACCACTGAAACCCCAAAGGACGCGGATGCAAACGCTAGCGGAACAACCACAGTAACGGAAACAGAGGTCGGGGGTCAAGGGCAGGAAGAAGAGGAAGATGAAGAGGAAGAGGAAGAGGAGGATGAAGATGATGTTTGTTTCCCAGACAATCTATGTGTTTCTTTTTTTTCCGCCCGGGAATAACTAATCGAGCTGTAGGATGATTTCAAAATCATAACCGATGCCCCCACAGAAGCCATAATTGAGTAAGTTCTCATGAGAACATGTGATTTTTATTTTGGTCTATCACGCGCTTACAGATAATAACACAGGCAACCTCAACCTCCTAGACATTCCATTCTTCGAAATGAATCACTACGGCCCTCGTCAGTCGAAGCCATAAGCGCCCCTAAAGCTTCTACTCCATCAGTCGTCCCGAAATCTGAAACACCCACTCTTCCTCCTGCTGTAGCTGTTAGGCCTGCTGCAACTCAGAAACCGGGCTCAGCATATCCTCCCCAGCACACCTCAACTATCGACGTCAATGCAAACCCAGTCCACCCGACGACCGGCAAGCCCATATTGTCTACAGATCTGGATGCCGATTTCCCCACAGAAAATGACAAACCGTGGCGAAGGCCCGGATCAGACATGACGGACTACTTCAACTATGGCTTTGACGAATTTACCTGGGCGAGCTACTGTCTAAAACAACAGGCACTGCGAAAGGACGTGGTCGACCAGAAAAAGCAAATGGATGAGATGCACGCTTTCCTTGGTGCCGGTCTTCCAGGCCTTCCAGGTTCTGCGCCAGCACCAGGGCCAGGTCCAGGGACACCAAACGTTGTACCTGGAGGGGGCACCCCGGGCCCAGGCCCTGGCCCTCCGCAAGTCACTGGTCCCCCTCCAAACGCAATGCCTGGGATGCCTCCTGGGATGCCCGAGATGTCGCAGGAAATGATGCAGGGGATGTTTACGAGCATGATGGCACAGGGGTTGGATCCTACTTCAATGGATCCAATGACCTTTATGCAACATGCACAGGCAATGATGGGAGGGGGCCAACCTGGCCCTGGTCAGGGAGGTCCGCCAGGTGGACAGCCGGGTTTTGGTGGGCAGCCTCCAGGACAGTTTGGGGTACCAGGCGGGGGCCAGCCACAGATGGGGTACGGCGGATACGAGCAGCGGGGCGGAGGATTTGTCAGAGGGAAGGGCGGGAGAAGATGGTGACTTTGTTCAAGATGATTTCATCTTTGCTGGCTGGCTTTTTGTGGGCTGGCACTGTATTTCTCTTGTTTTTATGCTGATTTCGATTTGGTTTGGGGCATTCTGGGCGTTGTTCTCCCGCCAAATAAACTATCAATGGATTATGAAAGGAGATGTCTTCCGTGCACGATGAGAAGTAATTCTATTCTAGTCGACAAGAAATACATGTACATGTAGCTATCCCTATTGACGCGAGCACGCTGTATTTCAAGAGAATTCTTTGTCCAACAGCTCGTCCCGTACTTGAATTTGGGGGAGTTTGCATTGTTTGCACAGGAGCTGCATATTTATGCGCTAAACAGTATTGGGCCAAGATCTGTTCTCGTCCGGGTCTTGGCATTTCTTCTGGAAATTTCTCAGCAGGAAAAAGAAAAAAAAAAAAAAAAAACCACAGGGAATCAATTCTCCATCCTTCAACTCCTCCAGCAAGTCGTTGCATCCATTCGACGCAATCTGTTCCAATTTGTTACCATACATCTTCTTTGCGCTTCCCCAGTAGCAACTCGAATCCTCCCTTTCTCCCCTTTTTTCCTTCAACCATCGAAATGGTACGTTGTTCTTTTCCAAACGGAACCAAGCAGCAACTTTACCGGACTATCATTTGACTTTGTCCAACTCCCTTTTCTAACATAAATTGAACATCAATTAGGCACTCCGCAGCATCAAGAGTCTCGTCCCCCTTTTGGATCGTGTCCTTGTTCAAAGAATAAAAGCAGAATCGAAGACCGCCTCTGGCATCTTCCTCCCAGAGAGCGCCGTTAAAGAGCTTAACGAGGCCAAGGTCCTGGCTGTTGGGCCTGGTGCTCTTGACAAGAAGGGTAACCGAATTTCCATGTGTGTTTCTGTTGGCGACCGGGTTTTGATTCCTCAGGTATGTTCCACTCTTCTCGAGAATCAATACCCCTGGGAGTGGGGAAGGTGGAAGGAAATGAAGGCAAGCGTGGTCGGGTGATCCACGGACGTAGTTGATGAAAGGAATGATATAAGGAGTGTCAAATTAGTTGCTATACGAATGCTGATGACCTATTTTTGTTATCTGGTTATAGTATGGAGGCAGCCCTGTTAAGGTCGGCGAAGAAGAGTATTCTCTCTTCAGAGACTCTGAGTACGTTACACTCTGACCCATCTCCCACCCGGAATAGCTTTCCCTAATACAGAGGACACTTATAGGATTCTCGCGAAAATCAACGAGTCATAATACCACCGTTGAATGAAGCCCATCATACCCGCAACTGAAACTGTACATTATGTAATATCATGAATTTGGACTACAACCTATCGCACCCTAAAAATATATAAGAACCTTAGGGGGAGGTAGATGGAAGGGAACAGTTTTCTATCGGGAAGCTGGATATGTTGTCCTAGTGCTCTTGGAAGTAACATCGAAGATGTAGTCCCCATGTTGAACTCATGCGGTGCAGTTTGTTCTACCTGGCAATTGTTTCCCCCAGTGGTATCCAACCAGCCGTGCCTTTTCTATTTGTGATTTTTATATTTTGATACGTTCTAGCGCATCATATTCATGGTGTTTTTATCTTTGATATTTCCTTGTGTCTTTCAGCTGAAACATTCTTCTAAAATGTACGATCTCCTCTCAATCTCATTCCCCAAATTACGATTACACCCTCATTATTTTAGAACTAGAAAGTACCTTTGAAAATGTAGCCATTCAATTAGAATCTTTTGTCGGTAATTCGGGCATTCTTCATTTTCATCCGATCAAAGTTTGGGCGTAACTGTACAATTACGAAGTCCTCTCCTGCGAACATCTACTATCCTTGCCAGAGGCCTATTGCAAACCACCTTTGAAAATAATGAATTATTCTTGTGATGTCATCTATGCCCTGTTCAAAAGTGACAACCAATAGAGACTACACCTAGTCCGTTTTTTACGCCCTGTGCATATCCAAAAGGGGAAATGGGGCTTCCGAGCAAGAAGTTTATGAATAACATAGAGCGTTCTGAGTACAGAGCAATAGGTAATCATGAATGTGGAAACGGTGCAAAACCCCTGGAATGTGCTCCAAATATCTGCTTGTTCGTATGTCGGTTTCTCTCCAAATATGTACACATAAACATATGACACCAATACGCAGTAGTCTTCATGTTTACTGGTTCATGCGCGAGCAATTGCAGCTCCCTCAAGTAGTTATCCCTGTTGGTACCTCCATTGGATACATTGAAATCAAAAAAAGGATTAAAAAATATTAAGAAATACAAATTCAGGTAAGAGAACAATGGCTTTCCTCTGGTAGTTGGAAGCAGGACTGTTGGCCATCAGGCCATCTTTAACTAGCCGCCAGAATGCCAATGTTTGCCGCCGCACAGCAGGTCGTCCAATTTAAGTTCGGCTGCTCTAACGTAATCAACCACCCAACGCCCGTTTACACCCAACGCCCGCTCAAATCTTCATTTTTCATTCATCTTTAACCACCCACAACATGCACCACGAAGCAGTTATACAAGCCGCGATTGATGATTTGAACGCGCAATTAACGCCTAATTACACTGAGACCGCTAAAAAATATGGAATCAGCTGATATATGTTGTCAAGGCGTTATAGAGGCGTTCAAATGTCAAGAAAGGAAGCAAGCTCTATCCACTGCAAAGCTCTCACTGATTCGCAAGAAAAACAGCTCCTTTTTCATATCAATTGATTGGCAGATCGCGGTTTCCCTTGTACGCCCCAAATCCTTCATAATCTCGTTGTTGATATTCTAAAAGCACCTATTGAAGTCAACTGGGTGGCTCAGTTCTGCAAGCGCCACAAGGATGTGATCAAGTCACTCTATCTGTGAAATATTGATCAAAAACACAAGATTGCAGACAATTCTGCATACTTCAAGCATTATTTTGATCTTGTAATAGATTTCTTTCTTATACTGCTTTTTTAATTCTCATCTTGCTAATTTATCTTAATTTTTCAGCTGCAGGCAAAAATCACGAAATACAACCTTGAACCTGCGAATATCTACAACTTTGATGAGAAAGGATTCCTATTAGGATTCATTCACACCCTCAAACGTATTGTATCGATTAATTCGCTCAAATCGGGCCGTATGATAGGTGCCAGCCAGGATGGCAGTCGAGAATTCATAACACTACTTGCCTCAATTTGCGCAGATGGAACTTCGCTCCCACCTGCTCTCATATATCAAGGGGAATCAAGAGATATGCAAGATACTTGGCTCGAAGATTTTGATAGTGAAAAGGATCATGCCTACTTCACTGCTTCAGAAAATGGGTGGAGCAATGATGAATATGGGTTAACATGGTTAAAGAAGATCTTTGAACCTCTTACAAAAAAGAAGGCAGGCCGCGGATATAGACTTCTTATATTGGATGGCCACTTATCCCATGTTAATATGGCATTCATCAATTACGCAGATTGGAATCGAATTCTACATGCTGTCTTTCCTCCCCATTCTACACACTGATTACAGCCACTAGATGTTGGGATATTTGGACCATTGGGTAAATCATATTCCAAACAACTGAATGAACAAATGAGAACTGGAATGGGATTCATACGCACTACAAAGAGGTCTTTTTGTCAGCTTTTTGACACTGCGTGGAAGGAGGCAGTTACATCTTCAAATATTGAAGCTGCATTTGCTGCTACTGGCCTACATCCATTCGATCCGGAACGCGTTCTTAAAAAGCTTCAAATACGACCTTGCACCCCCCCCGACGCAATATATCAACCAAGAACACCTACTTCTATTGTTGGCCTGCGGAAATTGGTGAAGCAAGTCAAGCAACAGCAGCATCAAATATCTAATGATCTCAACTGGGTGATCCGTGCAGGGAAAATCTTGCTCTTGATAAAGAGGTTCTTTTAATAGAGAATCGGCAGCTTCAAAAAGCTCTTAATCAAGAGAGGAGACGTCGCAAGCGTGGCAGGGCAATGGGGTTGCTAGATCCCTTGAATCCATCATTGGCGCAGTTCTTTTGCCGGCAAAGGTGCAGAGCATCCGCGAGAATTTGGCGGCCTCAGAGGTTGCCAAAAAGGATGAGCAAGCTCGTAAGGAGGATGCAAAGCTGCAACGCACTATTCTTAAGGAACAGAAGGAGGCAGATATCATCCAGCAGAGGATGGAGCGGGAGGCAGCTCGCCAGGCCACAAAACAGCAAAAGGAAATGGATAAGGCCGCAAGAGCTGCTCAACGGCAGATCGACAAGGAGCTTAGAGATGAGAAAAAGGCTCAGGATCAAAAAGAAAAGGAAGAATGAGCTGCCGTACGGCTACAATCACAATTGAATAAGAAGATGATTGAAGAATTCAAAAATCACCTTACTAATCTGGAAAGTAGACCCTTGATTTCGCAAAGAGTGGCTAAATCGCGTTTTCAGAGCCCTGCCAGGGTGTCCACGGATCCACTGCCAGAGGGATATGACGATATTGCAATCTCTACTGGTTTAATGACTGCTTGCTCACTGAATCTGCCTCCACCCAAGATTTCATGTTCTGGGCGAGTTATTAAGCCAAACAAATGTTTACTGAATTAGCTATATATTTTTATATGTAATTTTCTATATATATTTTCATCCTATAATATATCATCTTAAAATCTAATTGTGTTGTTGAAATAATGTTGAAAATATTTCATCATAGTGATGGCGAAATGGCGGGCGTTGGGTGTAAACGGGCGTTGGGTGGTGGATTACGTTAACTAAACTGTTTCTGTGAGCCCCTACGAAAATAAACTTTTAAGCCCCCTCGAGAGTTTATTTGTCTTGTTCGTTCTAACAGTTAATCTTTAAAAAGATTCAATCATCGATAATTTTTAATATATTCGCTGATATTTTATACTCTAATCCTCTACTTGAAGTTAAGGATAAGAAGATAGAGTAGGAGCTGGAAATTCTCAACAATTCTCCGTTGCATGTAATTTATGGTTTGGCGGAAACAAATAATCTACGTTGTAATATGCAGATTAATTTCATTACTGTGTTCGGAGTGATGCCATATTTGAATAATATAGCCCATTAGCCCTTGTGAATTCCACTTTACAATTTCACCGCTCCTCAACGCCTAGTCTTCGTTCCACACGTTCTAAGACACGTTGACCGAATATGGGCGCAAATATACGCTTTCTTTCTAAGGGATTCATACCAACAAAGCGGGCGAGCGCTTTGTGCATATCTAAAGTCCCTTTGGTTGGAAAATTCATCAAGAAACTTCTATCGTACCCTAAATCGTCTCCGGTCTTCCTCTCCTCAAAGGGATAAAACAGTGCCATAAGTGCTGCAAACGGATTCAAGCCCATCTGGCGAAGAAGAAGCTCGTGAGGTGAGGCATCTCCCACCGAGAAAGCCTGGTTGGATTCGCCTCTCCCGGTGATAGGGTTGGCAGGGGACCATCGGGAAGAAACATGATATCGGTTTGCAGCGCTTACTAGCCAATTTGTTAAGTTGTTAGGGTCAGCCATGACGACGGAAACAGTTACTGTCGTAAAGTGGTTTAGGGAATCACAAAACGCCCTCAGCGAGTCAACAGCATTCATGGTGCTAACGTTCATTCCTATTTCTGAGGCGTGTTGCTTCGGGCTATTTATTTGGTTGCAAATAATAACATATAATTCCTCATATAAAAGACAAACGTTGGAAATGCGCTGGCGAATGGGAGAATTCAGTTCATGTACAATTCCCTGATGATGTGGTTGGTGGCCCGGCAGATATTTTTGAAGTATATCTTGAGTGGTGGTTAAAATAACGCCTGCAGCTGGTGAAATTGATATATCTGCTATTTGAGGTTCATCGCTTGGTGAATCGGTAGAATGACCTTGAACTTGCGAAAACAATTGTGGATGACGAGGACTCGCCGCTTTAGAATCACGGAAAAATAAATGACATGGTGGGAACAATGATTCAAGATTGTGGATTATCGCTCGATGAGTTTGGAGAAGTGAGGTAGATATCACAAATGTTAATGCTCCTAGAGGCGCAATCGTGCTTGGAAAGGCTAATGTGGGTATGGAAGTAGCATGAGAGCCTAACTGAGTGGACCTTTCCAGCAGATGAGCACCAATCCCGGGACTCAGGGTACCTGATGCCGAAACCGGCAATTCCGGTGGAGCTGGGTGGGAAAAATATGGACACACATCTGGACGGGAAGCCCTAAGGTTGTGACCACGAACTTCCATAAAATTCGAAAGAGAATCTAGAGGTGAAATTTTGGAAAATCGCGTTCTTTCAGCTCGCCGATTTTCCACATCCAGTCTAATATTTGAAAAATTCTGGGAACCTGCTCGCTTTTGGGAAACTCCTCCTAAATTATTTGCATGCTGATATTGGGGACAACTTCTTTTTGGTTCATTTATAGCAGTAAATAGGGCATGTCTTACGATTGATGAAACCGGTCGTTCTATTTCCCTGCAAGCTCGTGACGGTTCCTCTTTGTCGTCTAGATTCGAAAGGCGAGAGTCATGAGGGAAATCTGGCATAAATTTCTCGACCTCGTCTTCCACACGGTTTAACAGATCGACTCTGCAATATAACCAGTCTAGTGCGTCCATTGGCCCAATATTTTCATTGACGTCCAGCCTCCGTAATTCCACTGCAAACGGTACCCATTTGAGATACTGTCCACGTTGATAATGGAAACTGTGGGACCCAATTAAATGTTCCTGTTTAACTTTAGAAATAAAGGCGTGATATAAATCCTTCAGTTCAGACTCCGATAGGCCGTTGATGAGAGGCCACGGTGGAAAAGTGTGTGGCGACTTAAGTATAGGCACCTCACATCGAGTGGAAATACCAATTCCCTTGATGAGCTCGTTTTTATGTTTGTAGTCAGTTATTTTCTTAGCTGCACTGGCAATTTCTTCGAGGCCATTCTCGACGAGGTCACCATTTTCAATTTCTATTTCGTCACAGGAACTCCATTCAGGGAGAACGCCAGATCTCGCCATGGCATTTGTAATTTCCTCATCATTTTCAGCGTATCTCTTTTTGGTCGATACGGGCGGAGCGATGGGAGTTTCAACCTTGAAATCTTTCATGCTATTCCTAACAAGAGGATCTAAAGATAGCTCTAAGGATGCTGCCTGTGGTGCTTTATTCGATATACCTGACAAGAGTTCTGGATATACACCGCCATTGGTACCCGTAAGAAACCCCCTGACTACGTCATGGGAGTTTCGTACGGGAGTAGCCTCAAGTTGTTGGCTCTCAATGTCTTGATATCCAGGCACCAGGGGGGTAATTGGCTCCGAGAGGATTTCTAGTTCTAGATAAGGGGAAGACGGGATAAATGGAGCTTTTGTTCGGTCCCTAGGTAAAAGTATCGGTGTTTGAGGGTCGATCTCTTTTCTCTGGTGCCGCAGTTAGACGTTTAACTATATTTTCCAAATTTGCATGATGCACACTAACCTTGCCGTAGCAGATAATCTCTTCATCTAACCAGTCATCGCTAGCCGGTTGCCTAGCCTTCAGAATCTGAACTTTGATCTCCTGAAGAAATATCAAGACCTCTTTTGTACAGTCCAGCTTTTCACCTTGGGAAATTTCTCGTAACTGCTTTGACTTGAGCCAAAATACTGCTGGAAACTTCAAACCTTCGTCATTCTCATCATTCACGTGTTCTAGTGGCAAGTTAATCTCAATGGCATGGAGTGAGATCTTTTGACGAAATGATTGCACATCAAGTTCATGATCTATCCGCAGCATTGGAGTATCCTCTTTCAAATTTCGAATTTGATAGAAGTCTGGTAGATATTCGTCTTCCCCATAACGATTCGCATTTGGCTCTTCATATTTCGATTCGGCGGTAGATTTAATAATAGATACTAAGAGGGGTGCGCTAGTCCAGCTAAAATCAAGCTTCTCCTTAGATATTGCTTTTATCTCAGAGTGGACACCTGATAGATCAATAGAAGGAATTTGGATTATATCATCAACAGAAGGGTCTATGTCTTCGACGGCCGGTTTGATAAACTGGGATGGGTCGAGAATACTGCTGTTGGCGATATTGTGAAAGCGAGCGTATTCGAGGAGAGATGGTTCTGATGCCGACGACATTGTTCAGATTTGGATAACGCAAAGAAACTATAATCTTCGTGCCACCTTCTGATCAACATATGAGATGAGCGAAACCCCAGAATCCCCATCACTATGTGTGCCATTGCTTGCAATCCATAACTGATGTAGTTGTAGAAGAGGATATCGGAGGAGGAAAAGATGTCGTCAAAACAAAGTCCACACGTGACTCCAAGATGCCCCTATTATTAATATGAGGCGGCTGCGTTATTCAACAAACAGCCATCAACTTTTCCAGTTGCAAGTATAAACGGAACAAAACTTGGGATACACCCAAGTCTTGACAAGCATCGCCTAGGGATCAGTAAAAGTTTTGTTCACAGAACATAGGAAAATTCCCCTCACTAACTGCTTCTTATGCGGCACAAGAAGGCGTGATAATCCCTCAGGTGAACAACTGGAATTAGATGAGCAGTTGGGATTGGGTGCATTCACTGCATGGATTTGCCAGCGAATGAAAGCATTCATCTGCGTTAGGAGTCTATGTGATGATGATGATGATGATATCAGGACTGCGAGATGCTCAATCAAAGCTAGGACCAAGGAATTAACGAATGAGAAAAGGAGAAGAAAACAAATGAATGCTGTGGAAAGAGATCAAAATAAGAATAACAAACATAACCGTAAGAGGCTCCAAGGAAAATTTTGTTCCATTAATTTTTTCAGTATGTATTCATCATCTTCTAGAATTAGTTCTCCATGGGTGACACAAGGGGTTTCCATGATCCCATAGGTATATGTATGCGGCCGTGGGCTACGCAATGGGTTCGTCATATGCGCGAAACTATTCCCCTTGCACCCAAAAACGTACGCAACAGATTAAGAGAAATAAGGAAGAAACATAACGTCAGGGTTACAATGCAAATATCAAACTGACATAAAGGACCAAACACCCGGTATACACACTGCGTAAGAAGCTAGGTTGGAAACGCCTTGGGAATATGATGGAATAATATGGACAAGAAAAAACATAAAAACGACGGTGGATGGCTCATACATATGCAAAAGAGGACGCTGACACAAGGGAAAAAGCAGTTAAATGATTTCTCCCAAGTGATACTCATTAATAACTGGAGAAATAGAAACTATAGGTAAAGAAGGGAACATAAAACCCTCGAGCAAGAACACTTCGGCACATCACTCATGTATGTTGGGTGTTTTGACAACCTCTTACGGAACCCACAACCTGACGAATCCAGCAACTTCGCGCCTGCATGTAACGCAGCTTCCGAAATTATTCATCGCAAGGCTGACCCTGCAATCTTCGCAGACGCAAAGACAGCGACACGGCCATGTTATAATCGACCGAGGCGCAGCCTGGCAGATGACACATTGCGGTCCATCGGCACCGAGGCCAGAGGCACCGGACTTCCAAGACTGCGGGTCCTGTTGCGAACGGTGTCCCGATGAGTTGTCTCGGCCCAGTCGCCGTGATAGTATTAGGTTTTCGAGGATCTCTGACTCTTCTTCGGAAGAGGGTCTTTTCCGCTCATTCGATCCAGACAATGTTGAAGGGTTGCTCCGCATGTGGGCACTGTGATATCGAGATGATGTGAGAACACGAGCCCGGTCTCGTTCCAATTGGCTTCTAAAACGACTGCGGGTCATGATTTTACCCTCATCCGCTGCCTGCAGATGTGACGCTAGCACCCGAGCTTCGTGTCTGGCTTCGTTGTCTCTCGGGTCGAGGAGACGGGCAAGAGAACTCATATCAAGCAGAGTTTCGTCGGTTGGTGTATTTGAACTTGACCTTGAATTAGACCAGGTATTTTGCGGGTTCCCCATGGTGTACGGGTCCTCTTGAGTTGGTGTCCGACGACCAACTGACTCCCACTCCGATTCTTCATTTGTAGACATAGAAACAACGCTCGTATTATCTTCCAAATCATCCTGGGACGGTATATAGTCTCCACTCTCATCTTGATTGCCCCATGATCCCCCGACCTTCCACCAGTTATAGAGTTTCCTATCAAAGCGACTCTCCTCCGCTTCACCCCATTGAGAAGTGTTCGCCAACTCTCTTTTCCTCATTTCCTTTTCAACATCAAATTCGTGATCTTCTGGAAGCTCCAAATCGCCTTCGTCGGTCAAAATCCAAAAGTCAAGTGAATTCGGTTCCTGGGTTCTTTTCCCAGTCGCTGCTTTGCGACCAGCACCACCCAACTTGGTCAACCACTGAGGTCGGGCAGCAATACCCACGAGTTCTAGACTTCTAAGCATCCAAAAGGCCACCCACCCTACCAGAAGGAAGAAAATTCCACGAAAGAATGTGAATCCATGATAGCATCTACTAGCCCCTTGGAATGCCCCAACCCCGCCAAAGGCGCTTTGTTTCTCGATCGATCGAGCTCCTTTCCTCTGTTTTTCAAATTTATTTTCGCGGCCGTATCCACTCTCCCATTCAGTTGTGCGTTCAGGTATATCGAAGGAAAAAGTTTCATTGACACCAGAAGGGAATTCCATTGGCTGAGGGATATGTGTTCTGTTAGCATTATTGTTTCTCAATGCTTCGATTTCCGACAGCCTATCCTCTTCCAGCCAAGTCATTGTTCTAGCTACCACGCTTTTTCCTTCGTTTAGGAAAACGGCGTCACTAGCTGCTGCTAGAGAGGCATACCCTATCCTAACCAGGGCAGTATAAAAATCTTCTCTAAGACTAAAACGGATATTCTTGATTTGAGAGGCTCCCTGCATATTTGCATGGGCAAGTGCGAATCTTTCACGTAAAGACGCCGGAGATGTACTCTCAGGTAGAGAAAATGCCGTTATAAGTAAAGCTAGACCATAGATTGCAACACAGGTCAAGATGCCCAGGAATATGAGCAAATGTGGCACGAACCCAACAATACATACTGTGGGGAATCTGAGGACTCCGGTATCGGTACCGATAGGCGAGCCATCGAAGAAACCAAAAAGCATAGAAGCCATGAAACAAAGACCCCAAAATGTAGTGTTGATGAGACGACCTTGGTTTTGACGACCAAATACGTCGAGGATGTTAGATGATAAGCTGTTGCAGCATGAAATCAGAGAGATCAACAGAAGCTCGGGGGTGACGTTGAGCCTCTCTAGCACTTGATTTCGCGAAAGAAGTTGCGTAGTAGAAGGGGCACCCGCAGCGTGAGTTGCGGAAGTTTGGCCCGCAACCTTAGGCATACCAAACAGGCCAAGGCCGACTGAGTGACTTATCATAGTTTCCGCTTCCGCAAAGGCCAGGGAATGTTCGAATATAGACATTCCTGCCTCCGTGACAACCCCTCTTCCTTGCAATGCACACGACAGCGTTTCAACAAACTGGTTGAGGCAGAGGCGGAGGAAAACGGACCAGAGAATAGAAAATGAACCATAAGGGAAATCTTTGGCTCCAGATAATCGTCCCATATGAACAGCATTACAGGAATCTTGGTCACTTTCCCAGGGCAAAAAGAAGGAGGAAAATGAATAGAGGAAACCTCCTTCACCACCGTAATCCAGACTAGAACGTTTTCCTGGTTTACCATATCGTAGCTCTGGGTATTGTGGTGATGTTTGGCAATGCATAGCTCGTAGTATCGTGATGATTTGGGTTACGAAAAGAATGATAGGAATTATTCTCAGCGCTAGGCGAATTTGCCATTTGAGAGAAAGATGGCGTCTTGTGGAGCCGTAAATCGTTACCCGGTTCAAAATCAGTGCCTATCAGCGGAATCCTTTAGTCAATCCACCTAACTTCATGAATTCCCAAGTTCCACATTCCCCTCCCGGACAGCGCTTCATTAGTGAGTGAAAAGGTTGCACTCACCACTGCAAAGCAAGCAATCGACCATCGACTGGTCATGTAGCTAAAGAAGCCGCCAAATTTCCTCACATTATGCAGTAAATCCCCAAAGTTAAATCTTGAAGCATCAGCTGCATCAGCCGCTACTCCAGCTCCATCCACTGCCGCAGCTGCTATCACTGCCTCGTCTCCTGCAAGGCCCACCCCACCAACAACGCCTGTGGCGTTATCTATCATATTCGCAACCACTGTTTCCAGTCTTAGAAATCGTAGTATACTCCGGGGAGCTGTCACAAATATGAAAACCTCTGCCTGGTAAATGACGCGAAGCGGAGTGAGTAAGAGGTCTTGAGAGGTAGAGGAAAGGAACGGTAGTTTCGAAAGGGTGGAATTTATGAAACCAAGGTTTTCATAAAGAGCAGGAGATGGTGTTGAGGTCAACGGCATAGCTGCTGTTTCGGTAGTTGTAAATATGACCGCAGCATCTGCCATCGAGTTGACATCGGTTGAGTACATTGTCGTCGTAAAGGAGGAGTCAAGTCCTTTGATAATGTTCAGAACCAATCTTCGATCGATCAGCTTTTCACTTGTCCCTCCTTTCTCTGCACGCCAAATGTGAAGATTCCCAGACAAACAGCCGTGTTAATTCAATGATAAACGTCACAGAGAATCGGATGACCACAGCTGTATCAATTGCCAAGAGGTCGCTTCAATGATTGAATCCAAATCAACCAGATCGAAAAGTTTTCATTTTCGTATTTCTGCGCGGGTCCCTTCAACGAAGAGCCATCCAGTGTACAGTGCGCATGAGTACGAATATATTAGACAAGGGGGGAATTCATAGAATGAAGTGAGATGATGAAGCTGAATATTGCAAGTGTTTGAAGTTGCCGTCTTGGTCCCGCCATTTGACAAAGACATGTTTGCCATGGATCACATGACACATATCGCAATTTCAGACACAAGGGAATACGATCACTATTTGATGCAACTATCAGAAGGATTCCTTCTAGCCGTAATATATCTGTATGATAAGATTTCTTTCATTAAATTGTGAATATATCACGCCGTCGCCTATTTGGTTAACTAACCTCTAAACATAATCCGTACAACGTAAATATGGAATCTTCACAAATAAATCCAATTCCTTGGCCCCCAAACTGCTAGGACTCAGTCCATAAGGGTTATCTTCTTCCACTATAACCCATCTCAGACCCAGAAAATCCATTCCTCTAACCAACCTACAACCTAAACATTTCCGCCCGACTCTCGATCCCATCAAAGACACACGTATTATCCAGCGGCACATACTGCCTCGTCAGCACCTTCAACGCCTCTTGTGCCACGAAGCCTCCAGCCAGTGCGGAGATGGTGTGCAACTCCCCTGGACCTGCGCGTATCGTCTCTTGCACTGCCTTTGTGATGCGAGACTGAATCTCGTCATCGAGAGGCTGGCCATCGACTTGCAGGAGGCTTAGGAGTTTTGATTGTGCGGCTGACCAGTTTCTGGCTTGGTCGAGGAGAGATGGGAGTGAGGGCGATGATGGCGGTTGTGATTGTGTTTGTGAGGCTGTATTTTGATACTCGCTGACGAGCGTATCGAGGATTTGCAGGGCGATGAAGATGTGGATGAGGGAGTCGGAGAGTTGGAGGCTGTCGCGGATAGATCTAAGAGTTGTGAGGTCCGCAGTCGAGTCTAGAATGGGTATGTCACGGCCACAGATTACCTTTATGCTAGAGGCATTTTTGCAGAAAGTTTCGATCTCCCTCTCAGAGATTTGAGATGCTGGCGTATCTCTCCCGAGCTGGCTTTCTAGAGCCCTAACGGTAACGACGACCTCTGCGACGTCTTTGCGTGCTTTTGATTTGTAGATATTTTGGAGGGAGATATAGTCTTCTGACTTCGTCTTCATGTCTGGAAGGGAACCTGGGAGCGGGAGGACATTGTGGTTGGTGTAGAATGATTTAACGGCGGAGGCGATTATCCAAAAATTGCCAGAGGTTGCCGTGAGATTGTTACACTGTTCCATCTTAAATACTTCTTCAACATTGCTCTTTAGAGACCAGGGGTTTATGCTCTTTAATACGGCGGCTACGGCTTCGTCGAAGTTTTCCTCCCCTCCTTCCAAGTTATCGGCCCGGGTCCCATCCCGAACCATCTCACGGAATTCTGACTTTTCTTTGTACGTGGTAGGTGGGTTCCCATTGTGTGTTTTCTTCCACTTCTCGAGAAAATGAAGCAGTATCAATAGGTATGGCATATGGCCATGTTCATAGTCATCAAGGCTATCTATATCCGCCGTCTTGGCCGCGGCGACGGCTGCTAATTCGGGCCAAGGGTTGGTCAAGCGTAGATCTTGAACGGATTCTGGATCTGGATGTGTTTCGACAATGGGAAATACAGCAGGGAGTTGCAGTGAGAATGCAGAGTAGAAGCCAACCGAATGGGCATAAATGAGAGGAATTGAGTGTTGTCGGGCGGCGGCAGAAATAGATTTTAACGTGGAACGACTCACTGGAGCCGAGACTATTATGAGAGAGTATGGTTGTAGGAAGCCTTCATTTTCTAGAAGTTCTCCAATGGGCTGTCTAAAGAGTCAGTTATCATTCGGTTTTTTTTTTTTTTTTTTTTTTTTTTTTTTTTTTTTTAATATATTTTGGGGCTATCCGAATAGATGCACCTGATCGAATGAGTCTCCCTCGACGTCTGGATTTAGCTCCCGCAGCAGCCTGCACGTCTCCTGTGCTCTCGATTTTCCCAGGCTCGCCTCTTCTAGAAAAAAGTTGACTCCCAGGTCCGACTCAGTGGCGATGGCCGGGTCAACAATTGTGAAGCCGCCGACACCAGGCAGCACCAGATTTTTCAGGGTCTCGACACCCACCACTCCAGAACCAGCGGTGATTTCGTTATCCAGAGGGCCACCTGAGTTTACGAGAAGCACCTTGGAGCTTTCAAGAGCTTGTTGGCCACTGGCAGCCCATAATCGTAGCTGACGGTCGTATTTGCGCTCCTTTGTGGTTGGCCCCGCAGGTCGTGTTGGAAAAGATTCGGTCATTGGAGAAAGCAAACAACTCTTGATGTCTAAGCGAGGAAAGGAATGATATAGGCTATTGATTTACTTCAGGCCGCTCTATGCCGCTCTATGCCAGCCCAGGACGGTTATATTCCTTAGTGCAGAAGTGTCTACTAGAGACTAATATGGGGGCAGCAAGCATATGGCGTGTTGTCTTGTTGTCTTGTCGTCTTCAGAGCCCTTCGAGGGGCAAACAGACAAGGTAGTTTAATACAGGGGGAAAATAGTCGGGCCGGAGCGTAGTGGGCGGTGTAACTAGTTGGTTATATAAGTTGAACGACCATCACCAACATCACCAGCAATAACCCACGGATCGCCTCCTGTCAACATGATTCCAATTGACAGTTGGCTTGCGATGATACCATGGCGCAGCTATAGTCATGCACAGCCTAAGAATTAGTGATCTCGATGACTCCCGTGGTTGTCTTAAACTATAGGGATTGTGCTCTGTCACTCCTTAAACTGCTCACATAACGTTAATAGGTAATAGTTATTTAGCTATATATCTAACATTTCCCGCCCGCCCAACCCTCCCCCCGCCAGAAAGCTTCATGAAACTCATACCAAGACCATTAGTCGCATGCACCTTGTAAGTAACTCCGCCAACCCCTGGGTATGAAAAGAAAGGGTGGAAGTACAAAGTATATCAGTTTCCCGCTTTGATATTAGATAAATAACCCATAACCCATTGCATCCTCCCGATCCATATTCTACAGAAATCCTAAAAAGGCAAACAATTTTCTAATTCCAGCCCCAAACTGAAACTTCTAGGCTCAAGTTGCTGCCCCGCCACTCACTAACTGCATCCCACTTCTTAACTGTTGTACTCCCGCTGTCCGGTCCGCTTTTCAATACCCCCCTCTCCCCTCAGAAACGATCCTACACAGCCACATACCCATCCGCCATGTCCACAATCGAAGACGCAAAGCGGAACGCCGCGAAAGAAGCTGTCGATAAACACTATCCACCAAACGCCAAATTCGTCGGAATCGGTAGCGGGACCACGATTGTCTACGTAGTCGAGGCCATCAAGGCGCTCGGGGTGGATACGTCTACCACTGGTTTCGTGCCTACAGGGTACCAGTCGAATCAACTCGTTGTCAATGCGGGCTTGACCCCTGTCGCATTTGATGCGCTTCCCGATGGCGCCGTGTTAGACGTTGCGTTTGATGGTGCGGATGAGGTTGACGACGACCTCAATTGTATAAAGGGCGGAGGTGCATGTCTGTTCCAGGAGAAGCTAGTTGCACTACAGGCGAAGGAGTTTATTTGCGTAGCTGGTATGTGCGGCAAAATATGGCTTTATTTATATGAGTTTTTGCTTTCTTTTCCTATTGTAGCTCCGCATGTCAAAATGCGTGCCAGGATTTCCCCCCACCGCAGCTACCACTCTTACAAGCACGTATATTATCAACCACACCTTCCAAATTACTAACCCAATCCCCACCCACTACACACAGACTCTCGAAAACTCCAATCCCGCCTCCTAACAAACTGGCCCTCAATTCCCATCGAAGTAGCCCCCATAGCCGTCCGCCGCGTTATAGCCGAACTTCAAAAAATCGGCAGCCCCCTGCCCAAACTCCGCATTACCGCACCCGAGGTAGGAGAGCATGCCACTCCTGTGAAAACTGATCAGGGCTTCTTCCTCATCGACGCACCATTTCCTAAGCTCCTCTTGCCGTCGGACGTCGCGCAAGGTCAGGATGGGTCGGGGAAAAATGGGGTTTGGGAGGTAACGGCTTTGGCAGAGAGGATTAATATGATTCCCGGTGTATTGGAGGTTGGTCTCTTTTGCGGGTTGACGGCCCGGCAGGCTCAAGCTGTTGGTGGGATTGGTGGGCAGAAGCCTGTTGCTGCGTATTTTGGTATGCCGGACGGGTCGGTTTCGGTGCGCACTACGAAGTAAATTATTAGGGGAGGGTAAGTTCTGATGAACTGATAAGCATTATATTCCCTTTTTGTTTTTACGTCTCATTTTGTTTTGAGAGGGTTTTACCTTGATAGAGGTATCATTGGATTTTATTTTCTTGGTTTTTGGTTCGGGATACAACGATTACTGTGTTGAGTATGATACAATAATACGCTAGAAAATAAAGAATGAAAAGAAAAGAAAAGAAAAGAAAAAATTAACGTAGCAACCAACCCATTACTCAATCATCCCATTTTACTTCACCCCTTTTCCTTTGGCCTCATTCTCCCCCAACTCCCTAATAAACACATTTACAACCCCTTCCCCCGCCTCACCCTGTTCCTTCTCCCTCCCCTCCTCAAACCCAGGACAAACCCCAATGGCCAAAAACTTCCCATCTCCACTAAAAGCCAACGCAGCCACACTAGCTGGATGCCGCTGATACTGCCGAATCCTCCTCTTCGCCAACCCATCCCACAAGGCCACAACCCCATCCCCGCCACCAGACGCAAATGTGCCATGCACAGGGTGAAATGCCAGCGCGTTGACGGGATATACGACATCAACACCGGGCTCATCTGCTGCTTGTTGCCTGTGGCATTTAAACGCGTATTTGCGGTCTTGGGAGGCTGGGGAGGGATCGAACCATTCGACCGCGACGCGGCCTTCGATGCTGGAAGACGCGTAGCCGGCATCGTTGGGCATGCAGGCCACGGCGCGCGTCATAAATTTTAGACTGCTTTCGCGTCGTTGCCAGGGTTCTATGGGTTGGGTATTTTCAGAGGCCGTGGAGGTGTTGGGGGATTGGTCGAGGGAGGTGGAAAGAGCGTGTAAGTCGTAGATGTGCAGGGTGCGCGAGGCCATGGCGACGACGAGCTTTGTTGGGGAGAGGGAGAGGGAGAAGGGTCTTGCGGGGAGGGGGATGGTCATCGGTGCCTTTGTTGGGGTGGAGTTGGTGGAGTCTGAGGGGGTGCTAGTGCGGTGGACATGTAGTGTTGAGTCCCAGGAGGCGGAGACAAGGAGGTTGTGCTCTTTGCTATAGACGACCGATTTGACGCCGGCGGAATGTGTGCTGAGGACTGTTTGGGTGGAGGTCGGGATGTCGATCCTGTAAGGGGAATCCGCCATTAGTGGTGGCATTGTTTTTGATTCGCGGAATGGTATTCCGAGGGGAGGTACATATATATATCATATACAGTGAGCAACTCACCTCCTAACGTCCCAGTCTAATCCACTGGTATATATTTCATTCTCATTCTCTCCAAAGCAGACATCCAGAACGGGTGCTCGATGCTCGAATTTCCGAAGTAATTTGCCTTCGCCCACGGCTCCATTCTCATCTCGTAGATCGTATAGATATACGTTTTTATCCCATGACGAAACTACCAGGCGCATTGAGCGTGGCTCTGGGGAGAATTTAACGGCGGATATGGCGTCCGTCGGCGGGGAGGCGAGGGCGAATTGTGCTGTGATTTGCGGTCAGTATCGAGGTGTAGTTTTAGGTTGCTTCAGATATTGAACTTACTAGACGCCATTGGAGTAAACAACTATAGTAATCCGCAATTGAATGAAAATCTAAAGTCCCCTTCTCCCAAAGTTGGACTCGGATATTGTTGTCTGTTTGTTCCTTGCAAGCTGTTTCTCAACCCGAATTTTCTCCTCCTTTTTTGCCTCGCCACACCGCCCCAACGACATCATCGCAGTCAACAAAGCTTCAACTTCCATCACTTCCACACCGTTAACCAGGAGTTATTCTCCCAGGTTAAAAGCAAAGTTGCACACATATCATTGGTCATGCCTTTCGCGCAGCTAGTAATAGGCCCCCCCGGCTCTGGCAAATCCACCTACTGCGATGGCATGCAGCAATTCATGTCCGCCATCGGCCGCAAATGCTCAGTTGTCAACCTAGACCCTGCCAACGACAAGACCTCGTACACCCCCGCGTTTGACGTGCGCGAGCTGGTAACACTGGAGGAAATTATGGCAGAAGATACGCTGGGCCCAAATGGAGGGGTTTTATATGCACTTGAGGAAATAGAGGCAAATTTCGATTGGTTGAAAGAGGGTTTGGAGCGGTTAGGAGGTTTGTTAAAATGATATTTGTTACTATTGCGGGAATGGAATGCGCGTAGAATGCGACTAATTTGTGCATGTATTTGATATAATGCAGATGACTATGTCCTGTTCGATTGCCCAGGCCAGGTCGAGATCTTCACACACCACTCTTCGCTGCGAAATATCTTCTTCCGGATCCAAAAGCTTGGGTACAGAGTGTGCTCTCACCCTATCCCTCAAAATCTTGGCCCTTCCATGAAAGCTCCCTTTCACTACTAACTAATCCCGTGCTGCCAACAGCTCGTCGTAATCCACCTCATAGACTCCTACAACCTCACCCTCCCCTCAATGTACATCTCTGCCCTCCTCCTCTCCCTCCGCGCCATGCTCCAAATGGACCTCCCCCACATCAACGTCCTCACAAAAATAGACAACCTCTCCAACTACCCACCCTTACCCTTCAATTTAGACTTCTACACAGAAGTCCAAGACCTATCCTATCTCCTCCCACACTTAAAGGAGGAATCCCCCCGACTAATGAACTCGAAATTTGACGCGTTGAACCAGGCCATTGTCGAGCTTGTGCAAGATTTCGGGCTGGTAGGTTTTGAGACACTAGCTGTAGAGGATAAGAAGAGTATGATGAATTTGTTACATGTTATTGATCGGGCGGGTGGTTATGCCTTTGGTTCGGCGGAAGGGGCAAATGATACGGTCTGGCAGGTGGCGGTTAGAGAGGGGTTGGGTGTGATGGATATAAGAGATGTGCAGGAGAGATGGCTTGATAGAAAGGTTGAATGGGATGAGAAGGAGAGGAAGGAATGGGAGGAAGCGAAGGTGCGGGAAGAAGCAGGGAAGAATGCGCCTGGTGCTTCTGGTGGAGGAGGAGGGGATGACATCGATATGGATGATTTCGATATGACTGTTCCACATAGTGGATAAAAGTCGTCCGCAAATCACGAAAATGAAACGAAACTCATGCCATGAATGTATAGTAGAATATAATAGTCACGATACGTTTGAACATAAGAAGAAAGGATGGTACTCACCAATGATATTTACCTCCCCATTCAATCCTCATCACTTCCCTCGTCTTCCTGTTCATTCTCTCCCATATCCACATCAACATTAACACCCACTTCAACTTCCCCCCCAAACATTCCCTCCAGCATCCCACCCCCCTTCTCTCCGGCCACCCGCATCCTAACAACCTCCCTCCTCGCCCTCGAAATAGCCTCTTCCTCCGCCTTTCTCATCGTCCCGGAAACCCTCACAACCCGGAACACACAATCATCCTGCATCTGCAGATTCGCATTTGCCCTCCCACCCCCACCCCCACCCCTTGACGCAGGTAATCGAGACATATACGTAAGCGCGCACCAAACAAGTCGATAGCTCGCGCGGGGACAGCGGATTATCGCCGTTGATGTTGCGGGGGAGAGGTATTTTACTAATCACGTATCGCCAGATGTTAGCACCAAAAATAAAATTAAAAAATTAAAAAATTAAAAAATTAAAAAATTAAAGAGAGAGAGAGAGAGAGAGAGAGAGAGAGAGAGAGAAGAGAAGAAGAGAGGAAGAAAGAAAGAAAACACCTTACACACATACCACTAACGCTTCCCGCTCCGCCCCCTCCTAACCTACCCATTCCCCAATCGCCAAACATCTCCGCAATATGCTCCCTTACGGCCCGCGCGAGGGATTGCGGTGTCAGTGTATCCGGTGTCGGGCGGTGGATGAGGAGGTGTGTTGTCAGGTTAGCGTTTGCATTAGCAGTACTGGAGCTGGTACTTCTCGGCGGGGGTTTGGGTTCGATTTTGGCCGCGCTGGGCGTAGTGGAGGAGACATCGGAGGAGGGGGGGTAGAGGATGTCGATGAGGAGGTAGCGGTGTTTGAAGCGGACCATTGTTTTTCGAGGGAGAGGTGTTTGTCTGTCCTGGTGGTGGGTGGGAGATGTATAGAGGTGGGGATGGTGGAATTTATTGGTTTGGAAATAGGAGAGATCAATAGACTTTGACGTAACTAATAGTTATATATAACTATTATTCTCGCATGTAATTCAACTTGCTCCACTGCACTTCTCTCCAGCAATCACGTTTCTTATTAATAGCTCTAGTTTAAAGGATCGGATAGAATTTTATTTTTATGTCAGGATCCGTATCTGCACGTACCCGCAATCTTCTGCTCATATGAAAGTGCAATAATAAACAACTTCTGCTCGTAGTTTTGTTCCGCGCCTGAGACCGCGGAGATGTGCGGAGACCCTTTAATATACCTAAGCAGCACTCGAGAACTCGTAGACTATGAGATTGAAGGGGAGATATCTGGAACCAGAAGAGATGAAAGGGAAGTCAATCAACAGAAATAGTTATGCGTTCATCTACTCTCTACTCCTGGATTAGTTACTTACGACTTTTCAGAGCGTCCCTTTGGGTCTCGCTAACATATCTATCACTCAAAAAAACAGAAAAAAAAAACAACAGTGTCCAAAAGGGCTTGGTGGAAAGTAAATGAACAACCTTGTAATAAAACGTATGTCATCATCATTCTATTTTCAAATAGTTATCCCAGCACTTCCACCACACCCACCCACATGGACACCCTCATATCTATCCCTCAAACCAGCTCAACTCAGCCCAGCCAAACATGTCCAAATAGAAATCAAAGAAAAGCAATAAAAACATACAATCAAATTGTAAATGTAAAATGTAAAGGAGAAAAAGGTGTAGAGCATAAAAAAATATATTATTCGCACCACCATCACAGAAGAAAAAGCCTTTTTTATTGCTCCCCAATCAACCACGCTGTTTAGGGGGGGGGGGGGGGGGGGGGTGGAAGAGAAATCAGCTTCCCAGCCAAATTACATGCTAACCTCAACTCTCCCCTCCGCACCCGGCGCACCCTTCTGCAACGTCGGTAGCAAATACGTAATATCATCCCACGGATGCCTATAAAGCCCAGTCCGCAGCCTCTTCTGATCCAAGAAATGCGCAATGAGCCCAATACTCCTCCCCAAAACAAACAACCCATTCAGCACACCCATAGACAGATAGTCCTCCGCCTCCTCGGGGCTAAACGCACCACAGTTCCGCATCAAATCAACAAAGCATACAGCCACGCACCCGTCGACGTTTAGGATTAGATTGTCTTTCTTGGAAGTCGTAACGGTTTCGACGGCGATGGCGTAGTCGAGGAGTTTGTGGCTTGGGAAGTTTTTGTGTACGAACTCCTTGACGAGTTCGACGCGAAGGTCTGGGTTGGCACGGGATTTTACTTTGTGACCGATACCTGGTATCAATTTGTTTTCCCTGCGCATGGTATCAACGAAATCGCGGGGACTAAGGCCCCTGTCGAACGCCTTTGTGAACTCCTCCGCAGCGCCGTCCAGAGCACCACCAAACCTGGAGCCAATCGTCAACAGACCAGATACTAGAGCGCTGATAAGATCCTTTCCAGCTCTAGTTGTGATGATCGTGTTCATGGCGCCAGATACAGCGGGACCATGGTCAGCCGTCAACATAAGGACCATCTCGAGGAACTTGCTAGCGTAGATGGGGAGACGGCGACGGAACCACAGCAGCGACATGACGCCGCCAATTCCGATGTCTTCTCTGAACACATCTGAGATGGGCATCCCGGCGTACAGCAGTTCTTGACCACGGTCGTCAGAGATGGTAGAGATGAATGCGGCTGGTTTACGGATGAGGCCAAGTTCCTGGGCCCAGGCGTAATCAATGGGGATCTTGGGTGGGACAGGTTCAGGTTCGGGCTTAATGGTTCCTTGCTTGACGAGCTTCTTGTAGACGTCCGCGAGGACCCGGGGTAGTTCCTCGAAGGTGTCTGGGACGTGGATGCCAGATTCTCTCATGTATTTGTTCTTCATGACTGCAGTCTCAAGTTCAGAGTTGGCGGAGGCGCCAGCGTGGCCGAACTGGACTTCTGTTTTGAACAGGCTTGCGCAGGTTCCAATGGCCCACGCGACAACTGGTTTCGTGATGGTGCCATCGTGCACAGCGTCGATGACGCGGTACTCTTCAACACCACCGACCTCACCCAGGAGCAGGAGGATCTTACACTTTGGATCTGCTTGGTATCTCAGGAGATGGTCAATAAATGTGGTTCCAGGATATCTGTCGCCTCCAATAGCGACACCCTCATAGACTCCATCAGTGTTTTGGGAGATGATATTATTCAGCTCATTAGACATGCCTCCAGATTTAGAGACGTAGCCCACTGAGCCCTTGCGGTAGAGTTTAGATGCGACAATGTTGTCCATCATGCCGCCAGTGTTGCCAATTTTGAAGGCACCTGGTTTGATGCCTCCGACAGTCGCGGGGCCAATGATAGTTATCCCTTTTTCTTTCGCAGCTACCATGATTTCTCGGGCGCGCTATAATCCGGTTAGTATATATTCACGGATATACATGTACATATATATATATATATAAATACGAGGGAATGGTTTGCACATACTCTTTCTGGGACACCCTCAGCGATGATGGCAATTAACTTGATCTGGGGGTACTGCATGAGTTCCATGGTGGAGCTGTAGACACTTCGCGACGAGGCGAAGTTGACGACGGTGTCGACATCTGGGTGTTTTGACATGGCCTTTTCGACCTCCTGGTAGACGGGGAGCAGAGTCTCGCTAGTTCCCCAGTACCTATAAAGCCATATTTAGCAAACAGATGTTGTTGGGCATTTGGATAGTTGACATACATCTTACTGACGAATTGGCCGCCAAAGGTGTAGATAATGCCGGCTACGGAGGGGGTGGATCGCTTGCAGATGAAGTCGAAGTCGAGCATTCCCTGCACGGCACGGGGTTGCATACCACTGCAAGCATAGCAATTAGTAGCCGGTTCCAGCGTTGTGTTATGTAGCAGTAAATAGTAGTAGAATGTAGTAATATGGAGAGATGAGACGTACTATACGAAGCATCGTGTCTTGTCGTGGAAGAGGGTGTGCTCTAGGGGAGTGAGGGGTCTGCTTGGGGCAGAGAAGCGACGTATATTATCGTTTGCGGAGAGGTTGCCATTGGCAGTGCTGGACAGGGGAGCAGCAGAAGGCATGGCTACGGAAGCTAGAGGAAAGAGATATCAGGTTAGCTATTATATTGGGATAGAAGTATGCGTAGTTGGCTGCATTTATTTATTATAAATTCGGCTACCTTGGAGTTTGCTGGGAGGGATCGACAGGACAGGCCACCCCTTGGAAGTGCAGAGGAATTAAACGCACAGCAGCAACGTCTAAACACAAGGAGATATCTAATGTCGAAGGGAAATGACTGAGCAAGACGTACAAACAAAGAGTCAAATGACCAACTTTGGTCTGGGCTGGATACGAAGAGAGAAGAACGAAGAGTGAAAAGTTGGAGAGTTGAAGAAAATAAGAATGAATTAGAAGTTGGACCTTGGACTTTTTGAACTTGGCCTTGGGAAGTGTATTTTTGGTGTTTGTTGAGCTGCCAAACTGCGGCAGGTTGCACCCCTTGCAACATAGCTGGGCTCTCCTTCCGCTTTGAGACACCTCGCTCCGAGTTGGCTGGCACTAACCAGATAGGGCTAGCCGCTCCCCAATGGATGAGACGGGTGGCCTTGCGGGTGACCTGGGGTGTATTGGCAGCGAAGGTATCACATGGGACAGGCTAGGCTGTCGGGGTACCTGCTGCCCCATGATTCAGTTGTACCTAAGCAGCTGCAAACCGCTGAACAAGGACCCAAAACAACAAAAAGCAGGAAGATATTTGGAGTGAATATATATATATATATATCTATTTATGCGAGAATAGATATTGTCAATTTGCTGATTTTCATTGAGAATCCTAAATTGCATTCTTATCCAATTCATTCCAAGGCAATATATTCTACAGCACAAGAGCCACTCTATAGTTAAGAGTATTAGGGGCACAACAACGCTAAAACAGAATTCTCAACAACCTTTGTTTAAAAATATCCCAGACATTCTACCTAATCCAACCCTGCGCAAGCCAAGAAAACCACTAAAGCCCCAGAAGCCCAGGTAGACCAAAACCGGGGATTCGTATGCCTCAAGTAGCTAAATAAATAAATCCCCAAGACTCGGCTGTTTCCGGGCTTCCCAACAACTGCCTCACCCGCTTAGTCAGGCGCCAGCTTCCGCAAAGCTCAACTCAAAACACCCAACAACAACCACTTCATATACACAATATTTAACTACACATACACACAGACAAAATAACTAACACACATTCTCTCACCTTATTTATCCTAATATACCGCATACACAGACATCCCCAACTAGAGATCGATCACTTATAGCTATACACATCACCATGTCAGCCAAGTCAATCCTTGAAGCGGATGGCAAGGCCATTCTCAACTACCACCTCACCAGATGCCCCGTCATCAAATCCTCCCCTCTACCCCCTCAATCCACCCACAATCCCCCCCCCAAGCTCGCCTCCCTCTACTTCCCCGAAGATGCCTCTGTCGACGCTATCCTCGACCAGGCTGAGAGCACCTATCCCTGGCTGCTCGCAAAGGACATCCGCCTCGTTGCGAAACCAGACCAATTGATCAAGCGGCGGGGCAAGAGTGGCCTGCTTGCTCTGAATAAGACCTGGCCTGAAGCGAGAGCATGGATTGCTGAGCGCGCAGGCAAGGAGCAGAAGGTTGAGACTGTTACGGGTGTCCTGAGGCAGTTCCTCGTTGAACCATTTGTGCCTCACCCGCAAGAAACGGAATATTATATCAATATCAGCTCCGTACGAGAGGTAGGATACATATATACACAGACTTTATTATCTCCCCTTGATTTATAATATAAATTAAGAATTAAAATCAAAAACAAAAACAAAATCTATAAATACTAATCGAATTATGTATTTGTGCAGGGCGACTGGATCCTCTTCACCCACGAAGGCGGCGTAGATGTCGGCGACGTAGACGCCAAGGCAGAAAAGCTCCTGATCCCAGTCAATCTCGCAAACTACCCCTCCAACGACGAAATCGCCTCTGCCCTCCTCAGCAAAATCCCCTCGGGCCTCCACAACGTGCTCGTCGACTTCATCACCCGCCTCTACGCCGTCTACGTCGACTGCCAATTCACCTATCTCGAAATCAACCCCCTCGTCGTCATTCCCAATCCCTCCAAAACCTCCGCAGCAGTGCACTTCCTCGACCTAGCCGCCAAACTAGACCAAACCGCTGAATTCGAATGCGGTACCAAATGGGCCATTGCCCGCAGCCCCGCCGCTCTGGGGATCCGCAAGGCCACCAATACGGATGCCAAGGTAACCATCGACGCGGGACCGCCCATGGAATTCCCGCCCCCCTTCGGCCGCGAGCCTAGCAAGGAAGAAAAATTCGTCGCAGACATGGACGCCAAGACAGGCTCGTCGCTTAAACTCACCGTCCTCAACCCGAACGGACGCATCTGGACCCTCGTCGCCGGCGGTGGTGCATCCGTCATCTACGCCGACGCCATCGCGTCCGCTGGCTTCGTTTCCGAACTCGCGAACTACGGCGAATACTCCGGCGCACCCACCGAAACACAGACGTTCAACTACGCACGCACCATTCTGGATCTAATGCTGCGCGCACCCTTGCATCCAGATGGGAAGGTCCTGTTCATTGGCGGTGGGATTGCGAATTTCACGAACGTCGCATCGACGTTCAAGGGGGTTATTCGGGCGCTGAGGGAGGTGGCGCCTATCTTGAATGAGCATAAGACGCAGATCTGGGTTAGACGGGCTGGGCCTAATTATCAGGAGGGCCTGAAGAATATTAAGGCTGTGGGCGAGGAGTTGGGGTTGAATATGCATGTTTATGGGCCAGAGATGCATGTTAGTGGGATCGTGCCGTTGGCGTTGTTGGGGAAGAAGACGGATGTTAAGGAATTTGGAGCGGCGTAGGTTTCTCTCTTCTTTTTATGTTTGATTTGATTTGACCTGATTTGATGATTTGGAGGGTATGTTTTCCCCTTGATGCCCCCTTATCTATTTGCCTTTGTTTTTTTTTTTTTTTTTTTTTTTGTTTTTTTTTTAAAAAAAAGAAGAAATTATTTAATGTTATCAATTCCGTTTCTTTATATTTTCTTTCTGATTCATAGTTCTTATGGAAAAAGACTTAGCTGAACATGATATGGGGATGCATAAATGCATAAATTAAAGTGAAAATGACATACACGGAAAACGTGGTATGGGTGACAGATAATTGTTTTTTATATCTTTCCTTTCTGTTGGAATTAGAACATAACTACTTAACATAGATGCAATAAATAAAGCGAAGTCCTAATCTTGCTCCATCATATTCAGCCATTCGATACACATCTTGGTTCTCTAGTTCTGTCACGGACTTGAGCAACTCCAAAGCTTCAACGCTACGACCTAGCTTTCAAAGAATGTAAGAATATTGAGGTTGGTCATTTGAGTCCTCCGGCCTTACCACCCCCTTTTTTATCTGCTTATACTGCGTATCTCTACCAATTTCCTACTCAAATCCTCGGCTTGACCCCCTTCCCTTAGTCTTGATAGACTTCCACCAAATGGAATCTCTTGTCGGTCAAAAAAGCTCATGAGGGATAACAAAAAGAACAGCTCCAGGGGCCGTCTGGAGGATGTGCTCAAACGATATCTTCCAGGTGGTGATAGAGTTCGAGGAAGTGCCGCCCCTGTATCGTTCTCCAGCAGTCTTGTCCTTGCTTCGTCGCTTATTCGGCATTCATCTTCGTACATCGAGACTGCAACCCCTGGAAATCTTTAGCTAATATAAGCCGCATCTGGGAAATTAGAAGGGGCATACGGCTGAGCGGAATACGGTCGTTGAAATCCACCAGCGCCTCCTCCTGCCAACTGTAAGGGGCAAGCCACGAGATCCAAAAGTAAAAGTCCATGTCTTCTTTCTCGTCATCCAGTGGATTATCCTCGATAAAATCTTCCCAGGTCCGAATTTTGTGAACCCACCAGGCAGACCCGTTACTGGGAGGGTGATTGATGTTACCAAAGGGCCCATCTGCACGTCCTTTCCACGATAGAGAAGTGGAGAAATCAACTGCAAACTGTGAATATATGGAGAGAAAGAGAGAAACTAAGCTTAAATTCCTACGGAATATAAACATCATCACATCGTCAGGGTGATCATGACTTTTATGCATCATGTTAAACGGGATGAGGTTCGTCAGAAGGGTACGGGAGTATATCCATGCAACAATGCGTTTATTTAAGTCCTCATCGAGCCAATTCCAGAGCAGGAGGCTTCCGTAAACGACTCAAGAGTGAAGGTTGGTCGACATGCAGTGTCAAACTCATTCACTTCTCGCGGCTCTCACCACTGGCAGGGTTGGGAAGGATAGGTTGCATTCAAAGTTGGTTGATATGCAGAAGTTATATGGTTCCCCCCCCCCCCCCCCCCCCCCCAACCAAATGGCTGTTGTTACAGGGAGGGAGGTTGTGAAGCGCAGATTACATAGCATGAGTGGTTATGCTATTCAACCAACTGGCTAAAAGAATGATTAATCCTTAAAGATCTGAGCCTCCAGGGTCAGGTCGTCAGCCACATCGACGGGATCAATGAAAACCATCTCAGCAGGAGTCAATAACTTATTCTCAAGCCTTCGAATTGCTGTTAATCCAATTTTTCTGTATTATGCCCGATACGGCATGTCCTGCGATGATTCCCGTGCAACCTCTCCTGAAGAGGTTATCACCTCCATTTCCACCAGAACGAAGTCTTTATAGTCCTTGACAAACTATAAGTCCCGCGACGGTTCGAGTCTGGTAACCTCCTGTTCCGTGCAGATAAGCCGACAAGATACCTCAATATCGAGACTCAGCGGCTTCCAAGTAAATTCTTGGCTCATCTTCCACAAGAGTGATATGGGCATCCGTTAAAGCTGTGGGGCTAATCCCAAGCGTGATTCAATGAGCAGAGAAGAACAGCTTTATCGCGGAATTCCCCACCGACGTCGACTTCACTCTCTCTACAGATTTAACCCTTCCGCGTTTTCGATGAACCATCTTTTTTAGTAGTACATGTCTGGTTCGACATGGTACCAAGCGTTCTTCAAGCGCAACTTTGCCTGGTTACAAGCTATCATCTTCTATTTGTCGAGATATACTCTCAGAAATGCGGGGTAAAGTGGCCACAGAGAAGTTAAATACAATAGACACTTTCATAATACCTCGTATGTGCTTGTAGTAATGTCAACTGTGGTTGTTTGTTTTAAATATATTGGCAATATTTACGATACTGGCGGTGTTATTTTCTTCCCCATGTACTCCATTGGGCGATATATGAGGGCTACGGAGGCAATGATGGCAAAACTCACGGCAAATGAAGGAAAATATAGAAATGCGACGATATTTTTCCATAGAATTTTAGCCCGTGATATAGTTAATTCGTTGGGATTGGCATTTCCAATCTGAATTTCCGGACTGAAACGGAAAGCTACCACAGCTTGTCCCGTTCATCCAGGAGTAGTAACAAATGTGTACTTGCTTCCAGAAGAAGTTAATATAAATCGAGAAACTTTACATGCTGCCCCGACTTCAGCAGCCTTCCTAGTTCAGCTTTCATCCGCGTTGTCCCCTACCGTGTTCCGACGAAGATTCGGGAGAAATAAGGTTCAGAAGCGGGAGCGGGAGCGCACGGACCATTTTGACCCACGCCTCGCTCTCTCCCGATCCCGATCCCCGGTCCCGACCAAGAGATTATGTATCTTGCGAAGTTCCCCGAAAAGCAAAACCCGAATGTTGTACCCGGAAGTACCACCTCATTATGCCACTTCTAACGCTTAATCTCCCCCGTCCCGTCCTCCCCCCAATTCCCATCAACGTATTTGATATCAGCCCCATACGCCATATTGGCCAATGCGAGGTTACTCACTCCGGCCAAATCCCTAACCTCCACATTAGTCATTCTTGACTAATACTAGCCGGCGTCGAGTTTTTATGACTGTTTTGGGCCTAATGACCTTCATACTTTATCATCCAGATCGGTTTTCCATTTGTTTGAGTTACGCATCGATGGTCCAATTGTCCTGATCCAAAGCCGCCTCGTCGTCGTCAAGCCCACTACCAATGATGATATGGCTAGAATGGTACGTAATTTTTTGTGATCTGCATTCAGCCAGGAATCGATACCATTTGCCTTCCAGATGACATATACAGGAAAACTCGATGAAACAGCATGTTCATGGCGCAACATTAGGGCACTCCTGTGAGGCAGACCTCAATGTGACCACGCTTGATAGAGCTAATGAAATATGCAAAAACATAGTGTTAAACTTGGGCTATAAAGACGCGGCAGGTGATCTGGTTGAAAGACCAATGGATTTGGCAAGGTTCTGAGTGAAAGACCATACTTTAGAGTGAACCGGTCTCATATCATATATAATCCTCCTTACAGAGTATGCGAGATCCAAACTCTTCCGCATTCTCACCCCATAGGGCATCTTTGGTGATGCCATTTATACATTGATCATACATAGTCGAGGCAAGCTCTGACATGTGAACCCAAGTTGCGCGCCCGAGTTGGCGGAAAACACTAGTTGATACATCAGTATTCGGGTGGTTGGGGCTTTCGATGCCTCCAGGCATCGTGACAGTAGCCTGTACAACTGGTTCGCGTCGCTTGGAAACATCCAATATTGCGTTCTCGATGTGACCCTGTGCATGCTGGTCAGTCGAGTTGACTGAGAAGGAGGAAGGTAGCAAGGGAGCCCACGCATACTGCAGCTTGGATATGTCCGCGTCGGGCCCAGCACGCTCAGGTGCTTTGAACAGGCCTGCGAACCGGCGCCACCACGGAGGTAACAGCTTGAATGTGGAGAGTCAGACGTGTGACCTCTGTTCCAACAAATTCGGTAACACCTGGCACTATTTTCATATTCGATTTTCGGGTCTTAGGCTCTTCTGGATTTCTCGTATAGCGCAAATGGTGAAGTTGAGCAAAAGAATGGGTTCTTACTTTTCTCTCCCCAACCTAATCCTGCTGCCGCGCGACGAGGGGAGATGACTCGACCACAGGTGTGATTCACTACCCATACAGGTTTTATACCCATTTAGCTCATTGCAGTATTTTTCATTACATACAAATTTCTTAGTGGAAAGAAAACATTTGAAAGGCTGTTGAAACCCGTCCCTCTCAAGTTTCTTCTGAATCTCCCTGGTTTCACCAAAATCCCAGAATCCTCGGGTGACACCCGATTTGGGGTAGAATTCGACCTTACACAATGAATTATGAGTTGCTGCTTATACTAAAATGTGTATGTAAATAAGGACATTGAACTTATAGTGAAGGGCAGCGGAATTGTTCATAATGTAGTGAAATTTTGGATTTTGTCAGGGGTACCTTGGTTGGGAGATTTGGAAGGTTGAATATGAGGCATTATTCTACTAAGAAATTTGTATATAGTTGGAAATTCTGCTATGTGCTAAATGACTCAGTATAGAGCTTGTGTAAATAGGAAAATGATTTGTGTCTGTATCATATCTCGCCGAGAGGCTCTATGGCAGAGAAGCGATAGGCAGGTCGCTGGTGAGCGTGCGCAGAGGGCGAGCTACATGACCTAGGGGAAGAAAGTCAAGGAATTACTCCATCCAGCCTGGATGGACCCTGGAACTTAAGGCTCTGGGACCGAATCAGGCCAAGCACCTGTTCCCGACATCTTCCCTAGGGTCAACTGTAGATCTGTTCATCGCTCACAATGTTCAAGGGAAACCAAGAAAAATATCCACACTTCAACATAAGCTACGCTTACGCTGGATCATTTCAGAGTCTACTCCGTATGATGGCGGACAGTGTGTTCTTCCCAGTTAGTTGATTCAGGATTTTTCAGTTTGTCGCCGAATTTCACGTTAGATTTCGGATCATGGTTGCCAGAGAAGAAAAGCTGTGCAGACCCATAACAAAACATTGTTCATTATCAATCGCTTTCGCTGGCTTGGAACATATTGGTTAATTCAGCGGCCCGTCCCAATCCATTCTCTGTACAGAAATCGACCTAGCAATGCGGCCGACGAGACCTGGTGAAAAAATACTAGACTTGTTCAAAGTTGCAGATGACCACCGGATAAAACTTGAGATTGACAGTTCCAAGGTTTGTAGTCAGTCCCCTTCAAAGATATGATATAACACAACAGTGTAAAAAGTTAGACCTTTCACTCAATTAGTTAACCGCATCATCAATATATACAAGTAATTGGAGTTCGGACGTACCATCAATGCTCTCATCATTACACCGTATATTCGCCAGAGAAACTCATGCGGGTAAGTCTTGGTTCACTGGTACTCTGATACGTCTCAGGCGACACCTGAACGCCTTCATCAGAATGACTGACAGACATGCTGATATGGATAGATTGATGGACAGTTGAATGAGCTCAGAGGTGGGCTCAGGGGCACTGCGAATTATTAAAGCTGTCAGCGTTGTTGCTGGATACTTTATTATTCCGTCATCCTGTCAAAGCTTGTTCCTGGAAGACAATGCAACCCATTTTCCAAGCAAGCAGGTGAGCTGGCGGGTGCATCGAGCCGACGGGGACTCTGGTTGCCTCTGCCACAAATCCACGGGCGTTGGATACGCCCAGACCGCTAGTTTCGAAGTAAGCGAAGCTGCAAGGCCTCTCAGTTTAAGGGGCCTATCATTCAGGAGATCGGTTTCAGAAATAAAAATAGCTCCTATCAGTGACTAGCTTCACAAGAATGACCCATGTCTCAACATCTCCTTGAAGATTCGTTCGAAGAGATCTCATTTCGCCAGCACCACTATCTCAGCCCGCTTCATCATTCCGCTTTTAGAAAAAGCAAATCTGCTGCGTGTTCTTCAAATCATGGAGTCGTGGCTAAGCTCGTCAAGCAAACCAGACCCCGTTATTCCCAAGTTGTTTGAAACTTTTTCGCAAATAGCGCATATACGAATAGGCTTCTGCAAACACCATGGCCCGTCATCTCATGGCGCAAGCCATGCAGTTCGTGGACGTCGTGCATACGGTCGGGGGTGGACTGTGTGACATTGGACCGCCTTGAGCCCTGACCATCAAAGAAATAGTTATAACCTACTCCGTACGAGTATTCTCAATAAATACTTTTAATAATTCATTCTTCTGCCTACACTTTATCGATGATATTCGTCTCTCGACGGATTAGTTTCCCTCTTCAGCTTCCTCTTCAGCATCTTTGCGGATCTCCCTTCAAATTCTCCGCAGCCACAATTTCCACCTAAGCTACAAATAGATAACCAGGATGAGATTTGTTTTTGAATATGTGGGCTTTGCCCTCACCATCCTTTTATCTTTCTCATCCGCTGCTACGACTGAAGATAGGCATCCCAAGATCTCCCCCTTCATCCTGAGCGCCATTACACCTAGAGGCACCACCCCCAGAATTAACAGCAAGCTCCAGGTCGTAGACGATGCTGTTGTCGTTGGATCCACAGATGCAGAAGATTTTACAGCTGCAAGTCCTTCTTCTGCATCACGCACGCGGATGTAAATTCATATATATGCTAATGATAACGAACAGTACATCCTCCCCAACCCTAAAGGCAGAATGAAAGCGCGCGAAAGCCGGCAGAAGTTCTTCTTCTTGGAGCCTGTCACCGATCATCCCACACCCGGCTATCACAACCTCAAATTTCACCGAGAGCTCCAGGCCAATTTCAAATTGGATGGCTTCTTTGCCACAGGCGCTGGCTGCGGCATCCACTGTGGTGGACCTCAGGTCGTCTATGATCAAACCCCTAAAGACGACTCATATAGTGGAAACTGGTTTGCATACCCTCACGAAGGCAATGGGGGTGGCTACTCCATCCATTGGGTGGCTGGTAACGAGACTCCTGAGGGCCACACTCTGGTGTACTTGTTGCGCGATGCGGTTCCCCAGGCATAAGCGATTGAGCTACTGAGACTGATCCGCATCTTGCATCCTGTGGGACTTATTCTTCTGGAATATCTTTCGTTGCTTGATGTTTTTGTGAGATGAGAACAGTTTCATGAATCTTGATTTTCTCTGTTCTCTTTTGGCCATTTTCTTGGAAAGGAAAAGTCATATGCTTTGGGTATTGTGGATAGCAATATCATTAGAATTAGTAGTATCATTCATATCTTTAAATAGTCAGTGTGAAATAATAATTATTCCAGCTGAAACAATCTTATTTCACCCGGCTGGCGCCAGAGGAGTGCTTCCTCCGAAGGTATCAAGGCAGAAGAGTTTAATGCATCATTCATCGTTCAGCTTGCCCTGCTGCAGTGGAAAGCAGTCCACAAAATGCGTGACATAAATGGCACAGACAGTAAGAGATCCGCGGGAAACATGCGTTTTATCCCATCCTTGAAGGTTAGGCTTCATATTGACAGTACTCAAGGAGTTATGTTGCCCGTGGGTTTGCAACTGAGATCCCTGAGTCATATCTGCAGAATCTGTAAAAACGTGAACTCAGATGATTCTATTTCATGAAGAGTGGAGTGAGTCCTGTTGGCATAAATTTCACAACATTTAAGCAAACACCATGATGTGGTAATCAGTCAAAAAGAGCCATACCATTTTGAACTGTTGTAGGGATTAAAATGGGATTTGTGGTAACAAACTCATAACTCGAAGACCGTATAGTAAGTGGAGGGAGACTGTGCCGACCCTGTAAACCTGAGGATGAGATGATTGCCTTGAGAAAGAAACAGCTATCAATCCGTGTATCGAGCATGTAGGCCCCCAGGTTAAAGGCCTGCATCAGCCTGGACCCATATTTGAGCTCCTATGCAGTGGGCTCTCCCTCAGGTAAACAGAGTAGAATCCTTCTAAGGAACTGTGGAAACCCATTTTGTTTTCTCCTTCGATATACTCTACAAGCATTTTCGAGGGAGATGGGTCAGAGATGGGAACGAATTACCTCCGGCGGGACATTTGGCAGAGGAAGCCACTGTATGATCTCCGCCTGGAAAACCGGGCCTCGTTAAAAATCAGCTATAAGAGGTACGCAATTCGTACGGGGAATGAGTCAGCTCCGATAGACGATGTGATTATCCAGAACTTTCTCAGAATGGGATATATCAACTCAGTTTCCTTTGAACACCGGGAATCCACTAGGATCATTAATTTCTGGAATCAGATTTTCAGACCGAAGATCTGTAGATCTGTATATGCGCCAGCAGGTGAGCTTCCCACATTGCATTCGTATTAATCAAATCCTGTATGAACAAAGTCTGAGTTGAAAATCAATACGTAGAAGAATTTGCCATAACAAAGACTGCAATGCCTGAATAATCAGAGCGCCGTGTTGTGGTCAATCCCAGCGACCGTTCAACAAGGTGAGTATATGCAGTCCGATCATATCATATGAGTCACAATAGCTGAGAGGAAAGTCCCACGGCATGATCGTCCGGTTGAACAGAAAAAGGCTTTGAATTCTAATCTCATGGGTTTCTTTGCGGAGGATGTATGGGAGATGCAAAGCTTCAGCCCCAAACGTCTCACTGGTGAGCCAGGGCAAACCATAAAATGAAGATAGCTCATCAAATTACGATTCTCAACGTTGACAACAAGGCAAATATAGTTACTGTACATACATACTCTAGATCATTGCCAAGTTATACAGTGGATGATCTTCCTGGTCCGAATCTCCCAACAAATTTGATATTTGCTGTTGAAAATTCCCCCACTTGAGCTGGGTAATACTTTTTCGCATCACCATAAGCTAAAAGGGTTTCTTCCTCTGGCTTTTCAAACACGCCAGCCAAATCAAAAATCCGGACCTTGGAAATATCAGGGGAACGGTGTTTAGGAAGATCTCATGCTCCTCCTCCGAGTTCAGTGGACTGGCTGATTGGCAGAACATAAGACAAAAAAGTGCTCCACACCTGGAAATGAAGTCCACACAGAGTCATCACGCAATCAACACTTTGTCAGCCATAACTACCATAGACCATCTCTTCAGGTGCCACATGTCTGCGTATAGGATATTTTTGTCTCCATCTTCCTGGTGCTGTTTCCCTGTAATTGAAGGTTGGTTGAATCTTCACAAAGGCAATCCAATTCATGGATGTGGCTTGCAAAACCTTGAAACAAACATCCAGTTAGTTAGCTAGTTCCACAGTTGAAAGAGGGAGAAAAGGCAATCAAGTAACTAATAGTTAACATGATAATTAGCTTCTTTCTGACAGCATGGGGGTTGAACCTGGGGGCCGGGGCTTTTATGCAACAAACGAGGATGACTTTCATGGGCCGCACATGCATTGGCTTTGGTCTTTTCATCTTTGCTTTTTGTATTTTGTTAAATTAGCTATGCCGTCATTGTAGGGGCGTGGTTTACTTACGGGCTAAACGAGGATTCTCAGAGCGGCGGAGTCACTAGTTATAACTTTCGGGATGCCGAAACATCAAGCCAGCCGATGTCGTCTTGCCGAGCCACTTCGACGCTCAATCTCTTCACTAAATCACATAGCCAACCAGGGGATTTATCTCTTTGACCACTGAGCACCGTTCTCCTCCCCTGTTCGGAGAGTTGATTTGATCACATCAAATGGGCTCGTCAATCGTAAGATTTCCGCCAGCTTCTATATCGATAACTACGTAAAAGTGGGAGGATATGTCTGAACGACTCGTTAGAAAACCATTTTGCTGTAAAATTTCCCATGCAACTGACAATTAACTAACTTTAGGGGGACAGAGTGACAAGATACATACATGCATAGCATCTTACGATACGATCTCAGACTCTAGACCAAGATCTCCCAGACTGTCCCTTGAACGGTTGGGTGGCTGCATTGACACGTCGGCAGATCTAGACTTTTACTCCTATCCCACCCATTCATTAACTAATACCTGAGACTGAGACCGTGTTTATGCTGTCCCACCATAACGAAAAGGAATTGCAACCCTGCCAACAGTATGAGTGAAACAGAACTTTCAGGCAGTTCAGGTATAGAACAATAGTTACAAGTTGACTTCTACTATTTCTTTAAGAACAAACAGTAAAGGATGGATGAATTATATATTTTTCTTTTTCTCTTTCCTTTTTCTCTCTTTTCATTTCATTTCATCTTCAGGTGGCACCCGTGCTATTGACACTGGGATTGACTCCGAGGAAATGTGGACAACATTTGGGGGGAGTATTAAATGTGCAACACATTCCAAATGAAATATGATATACATAGGTGAAGGAATGTAGACGAATCAAAATGCGCAGAGATATATGAAAATGTCCGAAAAATCGAAGGGATTAAAAATTGTGAACATCATAACGCCGCGTTGCACTTGGTTGACATACTCGTCCCATGAAATTCGGAAAACACAAGATGAACTGATTATGTATTATGGGAACTGGAGCCCTAAGCAAAAGCAAAACCAACTGTAGACAGCCAGAATGAATACTCCCAGGGGAGTGACGGTATGAGAGGAACAGGGTATGTATCTCAGGGCGGTCCTAGTCCACAAAGGGGAATATAAATAGCCCTGTATATACTTGAAACGGAGAGAGTAGATATATAAGAAACGGGAGTTAAATTAAAAGCAACAGCAACGACGCTGGGGAATACCACAATCAAACAACCAATAAATGCCCTCCCATCGTTGGTCTATGATGTACCGATATCATCTGACATAATTTACAGGTAAGCAGCGACGGCAAGGAGAGCGGCAGCAACGCCTCCAACATTGGCGTTGAGGTTGGAGCCAGCGCCGGGGAACTGAGGTGGGCGGCTGGGAGTGGGGGTGGGGGTGGGCACAGGTTTTGAGCCGGTGCCAGATGGGATTCTGGATATAGTTGGCACTTGGCTTGGATTGGCGGTAGGATAACTAGAGGGCGTAGTGGTGGGCTTTCCAGTGGGCTGGGCGGTAGGAACTGAGGGGACAGAGCTGGTAGTGCCACCACCGCCAATTGGTGGGAGCTTGATGGGGACACCAGCGGACGAGCACTGCTTGATAACGAGGTTGGAGACGGCTGGGGATAAACATTAAAACATGATTCAGTGTTTAGAGGATGGTAGGAACCAGGTGGTTGCTATAGGACTTACAGCTTTGGGCAGCAACGTCGCAAGATTTCTCAACGCAAGGAGTGATCTTTCCGGGCAACTCAGGCTTTTTGCAGTGGCACTCGAAGTCGGTCAGCTGGGAGCACCCGTCGTTTCCGAGAGTATCAACGAAACAGCTCAACTATTCACCCAAGTTAGCCTCTCACAACCAAGGACACCATCTATCTCTTTTAAGGTTGGAATTAACATACAGCGCAAGGTGGGATATCAGGGAGCTGAGCATTTGCTAGGCTGGCCGCAACAAGAGCAATGAGAGCGTGAGAGAACTGCATCTTGGATGTATTAAAGTGTATGTATATAAACAAAAGTGGAGCACTTTTGTTGATGTTAAAACGACAGTATTGGAGTAGATAACGAATGTCAATTTGTCGATGTGATGAAAGGAGAAAGGAGACAACCAAGGTGGAACTGGGAATGCGGTTTCTTATAACTCTGCAAAACGGATACTGCCCAAACCCCAGGCGGGGAAACAGGTAAGGGGAAAACAGAGCGAACCTGGAGAGGAAAATAACCAGCGGGTTTGCTTGCATCCACCCAATAGGGATTCCCGTTTCCACCCTCACCTCCCCAGTTGTTCCTAGGCCCTAGTTCACATGTTATGGTCTCGGCTATTCTGCCAAAGAATAACATGGACAATAAAATACATGGCCACGCGTACAGGAGAAGGGCAAGAGGTCCACAACAGCAAATAAACTGGGAACGGGCTTCGCCGGTGGATTAAGTCAGGGGCGAATCATCCTGACTCCAATTTGACATGCATTATAGGCTGTGCAGAGCATTTCCATAATGCTTCTTTCCAGCATCATCCTATTTCATGGCCTGGATAGTTAAGATTATGATGTCCTCATCCTCCTGGGTCACAACTGAGCGTCAGAAAGCTCGGTCGTTTGGCCTACCCATGATCTGATAAATGCGATTTCCTACTCCCAACATTGGTTATGTGATATATGTGAACTGGTACATGTCAGGATGCCATATCAGGTTTGGATTGCCTGGCGTGAAGCTAGAGATAGCCGTAATATGCCCTCATGGGGGTCGTAATACGTGTGGGGGGGGTTGGGTTCCGTGCACTAGGCAGAAAATGGAGAAGTGGCGGTACAAGCCAATAAGAGGGGAGATACCTATGGCCGCTCGAGAACTGACCTCGGGAGGTATGCCTCCCCTCCCCACTCCAGACGAATTTATGAAGAGTTTGGGCAAATTTTCGCAGTTCTGGCGTATTAAATGCATACTGCTATACTGCTCAAGGAATGTTTGGACGCATTATGATGAAAAGGGCGGATTGTACTGTATTTTCAAGCCCGGGATAAGTAGTAAACTATGGATCCATATGGCTCTTCTGTCACTCAATTTGTCCCTAGAGTTTGAACTGGGACATTCAAGCAAAAAACAGAACCCACTGGGCATAGTTACAAAAACTAACAATTCTCGGTCAGTCAGCGAAATCATCAAGACTAGTGATTACCCTGAGGGTACAATTAAACAATCTAAACTTCACGCAGCATTGAACAATGGAGCAAGGTATATTGTAGTCAATCTTCTACCAGCATACTCACGAGGTAGGGATGGAGTTAGCTCCCATTCATTACCATGATTTGCAATATGCCAATGTAATTGTGGTGAACTCGAACATCCAGTTTCTTGTTTCTCATTCTTATTCTTGTTTGTTGTATAGAGTAGTAACTTTGGGCGAGCTGAGTGCTGAAAAAAGTTCGTCAACATATTCTTTTGAAAATTGACCGTATCACTCATTGTGCCTTACCCTGCCGTGACGCCTCTGTATTACCCGAACATTCGAGAAGTATGACGTGAGAAGATAGCCACCTCGAGCTGAGATGTAGTACAGTCCTACACACCTGTTTTAGGTATTCCCAAGGCTGTCATGCCCAGGGAACTTTCCGTAACACGCGACGTTTTTACCGCTTTTGCTGTCATCTGGGGTAGTTATGCAAGAAAACTGGGGTTGGAGTTTGGCCAACACTGTCTTGCATGTGAATTAGAAATCTAGGCCGCTTGTTGGTCTAATACCAATGGGAAGCTTGATGTGATGATACCACTAATGAACGAATCAGACTAAAGTGAAAAGGAAACCAGAAATCTTTGACAGACGGGCTGCACCTTACCATTTTTGGGAAAAATTGATTGCAAGACCACTTTTGGAGATTCATCCTGTGCAACATTTGAAGATGTTGCTTGAGTGGCCTAGGGGAAGAGTCGCTTCATGACTTATTTAACTTAATTGGGACCTTTTTGCAATGTATAGTGCAAACAGAGAGATAACTATTGGAGGTCTCAAAAAGCATCATGATTGCCAAGTCAGTTTTCTCGGTAACCTGCGAGAATTGCCCTTCCATCTCTCTAGCCTTGTTTTCTTCCAGGTAGAACCAGAGTTGGTATCGAATGTATCTCTGACGTGAAGACCAAGCTCAGAACTCATAACCTTGGAACACACCAATATCTCTCCCGGACTTGATGATTCCCATGTAAAAGTTAGTAATAATCATGCTCCACGTTCCTGCATGTAGCGATGGAAAAAGAATAATACCAGGCCGTGATCAACTCAACATCCGCCATAGTTCCAAGGTTAAAACACCCGGGCCAGTTTAAAGTATCGGAATGGATGGTGCGATTGAAGTCAATGCTGATGCTTGTATTTGGCAGCTTTGACGGGGGCCCTCGATGATATAACGCAGAGGTAGAAATGGTTCTCGAGTCAGTCCCGTGGATTACACTGCGTATCTTCGTAAACTTGTTCTAAGCTTAGAAGCGTCTAACCTGTTTTCTTGAGGCAGAATCCGCGAAATCGTTGTCAAGCAAGATATGATCTGAATAACTGTACCTAGGTAGCGGAAGGCAAGATGGAGTATCATGGCTTCAGCACCACCAAGTTAATCTTCAATATTCCTGTGATCTGCAAAATCACAAGCCCCCGCCAGCTTGTCTTTTGCGCCGTGCTAAAAATGTTTCGTGGGACTCCAAAAACCTAGTTACCTAAATAGCATCTGTATAAAGGGCTTCTCGATCTTCCTGGGCAGCAGTTCAAACTCTTCACGTATCGTCTCGCGAGCAACTCTCCCGAGTTAACATACCTTGTCCATACAGAGGAATTTTTTAGGATTGTAATAAAACGTGGTTAGGTAGCGTATTATTGATATGTCACCGAGATGAACCTCGATGGGGAGAAACATTCTCTAGGTTTCGACGGCGTAGCGGGGCAAAATTAATGATCCAAGGGTATGTAGGCGGGAGCCGAATGTAACGCTAGCCTGCGCGATGTAATGGATGGCATATTTGGCATAGCCTCTTGCCTGTATGGAATAGTACTTGGAGTATATTTTTAATTCGGGATCGTCCATCTGCCAATGAATCAATGACAGACGGGAAGCGTTTGAAAGCAAATGCTCAGAAACTCGGGCCGCAAGACTTGGAGGTTTTAAGGTGGTGTTAAACCAGGGAATTGGCGACTAGCTACTCCCTTCTATATACCTGTGGGGAAACAATACCCAGAACGTATCCATGTGCTGTCGGATGAGACAAGAAATAATGATAAATTCACCAACGCAGCCCGTGTTGGAACTGGAAGATGACAATCATCAAGTGAAACTGAAAATGAGAGACAACCCTTGACGTGGGACTAACAAAGCCGCCTCGAGTTCCGTGCGAATGTTCCTATCCATGAATATCCATGGATCAGCTACATAGGGTGAAACCCAGCGCTGTGAGAAAAAAGAAGAGCTGTTGCTAATAGAACTTGCATAAAGAACTTCGGGTTATGATGATCTTCGCGTTCTTAAGCCTGTCGTTTCAGGAGATCTCTCCTAGTCAGTTGTATGCACGATTGAAAGGATCTTCCGAAAGTGCAGTGGAAAATGCATTCGATACCGATACCAGAGATTCACAAGCCTTTTATTATTAGCCCTGCCCACGGTTAAATGGATCGGCCATCAACCCAGTTCTATAGATGCTTCGATGCTCTGGTTAAGCGTATTTCAAACCACGCTTCTCCTCCTGTGTTTAGTTATCCCATGATTGTTCCTGTCCTTTGTTTTTCCGAAAGTGCACGTTCATTCAACAGTGAAGTATCAGGTGAAGCAGATAAGATTAAAAATGAAAGAAAAGGGGAAAAAAAATAAAGGTTCTTTATATAGATCATTACAAGTGAATGATAGTCTAGACGCCTCACTCCGCTCCCCGATCCCATACCAGACTCCAAAAAGGAAAAACAAAAGAAAAAAAAACGAACAGCAAACTCAGCGATCCCAGGGAAATCAAGGCAGCCAAAATGGAGGAAATGTGAATGAATATGTGAAATGTGACGAGAGCCGGGTCCATGCATTACCTCGAGTTTGGAGGACAGCAGTGATGAAGTCCTACCCATCCTTATTATTATTACAACAACTCGTCCATATATGCCTTCTCGTTTGCAATGCCCTTTGCTTCATCTTTCAACAGCACAGCAAGGACCTCAATGGGAGGATTAAGGTTAAGCATGTGTGCTCGTCTCCAGCGCTTTATTCGTGCAATCCCGATACATGGCTGTTCATCGCAGTCAGTCAATCAATCAGGAGTAGAATAGTAGCAGCAAACGGTACTCGTAATGATATAGCATACCCCATATTGATTCGACAGGTCGAAATGTCGTAGTATCTTCTCATCCACCGTCAAATGTTGCTGGTGCACTACAGAACAGAAAGACAACGCAAACTGTTAGTTTTAAAATGCTTCTCAGACAAATTCCATCAAGCACCCAGAGAACACCATACAACACCATATATAACAACATCCCAATACACATGTAGATATCACACATAGAAACTAAAACACCCCAGACAATATGACTAGAGGTCCAAAAAAGAAGCACAATAACTCACCCCTGGCAGCAATTCTTCCTTCCTCCTCCCTCTGCCAATACTGCCTAATGTCCATCTCCGTCAATGCCTCAGCCCTCACATCCTCCTCAGACTTGGGTTGCCGCAGCTCAACCCTCGCCTGTTCCGCGATCACATTCTCGCTCTTCGACGACGCAGCAACAGGCCTTTGCTCCGGCTCGATCTCAGCAGGGTGTGTAACCACTGTCGTCGCTGGTGAGGCTGTGGGTGCTGGCGAGGCTGAACCCGACACACTCCGCTGACGGACCTCAGCGACTGGGGAGCTGACATCGGCTTTCAGTCCCTTTTTACCGGCGAGGGAAGAGGTTGAGGTTGGTTTGGAGACTTTATGTTGGCCGCCGAAGGAGAGGGTGGACTGTTGATGGTTGCCTGAGCGGCGCCGTGTGGTGGTTGGCATTGTGGTCTAGTCTATTATGCGGAGAGGGTGGTAAAGCGATGAATGGATATTTGAGAGGGCAGCGTGGCAAGAGCACACTGTGTATTGATAAATATCTTTCAATATCTTTCAATGACCGGTGTTTTTGCAGTGGTGAGAGAGTCATTGGTTGATGGGTTGCCTTGTTTAGTGGGTTTGTATCCAATGACGTGCCTGGTTGCGGAGGCAACGACCCCGCCTATTTTTAGCGAGGTTAATCGGTTAAAGCGTCTGAGCGCAGCATTGAACATCCCAACGTTTCAATTAGTTAACTAACGTAATCGATCACTCAACTGGCCAGATCACTCAACTGGCCACCTTTCCAATTTCAACCCATCATCAACAATCAAAGCTCAATTTCTCAACCACAATGAAAATTCAAGCCTCTAATCAGGAAGGAAAACTTCTTTTGGCCATTAGAGCCTATGAAACCAAGCAAATTTCTAGCATTCGAGCTGCTGCTAAGGCCTATGGTGTCTCTCGTGCCACCCTATCCAATCGACTACATGGAGGCATTCCACGCGTGAAATCCCAGTCTCAACGCCAGAAATTGACACCTACAGAAGAAGAAGCTCTAGTTCAATGGATAATCTCCATGGATGAGAGAGGCCTACCCCCCCGAATTGCAAGTGTATGATATATGGCCATTGAGCTACTCAGGGCCCGTGGATCTAGCATATCCCCTAGCATTGGAGAATGCTGGGTGCGGAGATTTATTAAACGCCATTCTGAGCTGAAGACCAGGCTCACACGCAGATATGATCACCAGCGAGCTCTATGTGAAGATCCAGAGATTATAAAGAGGTGGTTTAGAATGGTGGATAATGCCATGAAGAAGTATGGAATTCTACCTGAGGATACATATAATTTTGATGAAGTTGGCTTTCTTATGGGGGTTATTTCAACAACCTTAGTGGTCACTAGGTCAGAAAGAGCTGGAAAGGCATCTCTTATACAGCCAGGAAATAGGGAATGGGTGACTGTGATTGAGTCAGTCAATGCAAGAGGACAGAGCCTGCCTCCAATGATTATTCTCAAGGGCAAGCTACACCAGGCTTCATGGTATACAAACCTGCCAGCAGATTGGGTAATTGGGGTTAGTGAGAATGGCTGGACCACTGATCAGCTTGGTCTAATATGGCTGAAAGAGGTGTTTAACAAGCATACTCAGGCTTATACAGTTGGAAGATATAGACTCTTGATTCTGGATGGGCATGGGAGCCATGCCACTGCTGAATTTGACCAATTCTGCAGAGAGAATGCTATTATAGCTCTCTATATGCCACCTCATTCTTCCCATCTGCTGCAGCCACTAGATGTGAGCTGCTTTGCCCCCCTGAAGAAGGCATATTGCAAGCAGGTTGAATCTGGCATGAGGCTTGGCATTAATCATGTGGATAAGGAGGAATTCCTAGAACTATATTCTGCTGCTAGGAAGGAGGCATTGAAGGATATGACTATTAAGAATGGATTCAGAGCCACAGGCTTAGTGCCATTCAATGCAGAGGAGGTTCTTGAACGCCTATATTATCAACTACATACACCAAGTCCCCCAGGCACATCTCATGAATCTCAGGCCTCCTGGACCCCAAAGACTCCCTGAAATGCTGTCCAATTGGAACGCCAATTCAACAAGCTCAAGCAGTTTATCAAGCATCGTACGCAAAGCCCGCCTAGTCCTACCAACCAAGCTCTAGATCAACTAGTTCGGGGGTGCCAACTAGCTATGCATGGGGGTGCTCTTTTGGCTCAAAAGAACAAGGCTTTATGAGCTGCAAATGAGAAGCAGAAACGCAAGCGAGGACAAGGCCGTGTTTACATAGGTCAGGAAGGAATTCTGACTGGAGAAGAAGGATTAGCTAGAGCTCAGACTGCTCAGGCTGCTCAGCAGATGGTGGATAGAGGGGTGGAGGATTCAAATCAACCCACTAAAAAGCGAGCACCGGCACGCTGCAGCAAGTGTGGGAATACTGGACATAGGGCCCCTGGATGCTTGCAGAGCTAGGATTTAATTGTATATAATTTTTTAATGGATAATTTAATATAGTGGTGGCGGAATTTAAAGATTTGTTTAATGTACAGTGGGGAGGTGGCCAGTTGAGTGATCTGGCCAGTTGAGTGATTGGTTACGTTAAAGAAACGAGTAATGATGTAAGCTACAAAACACGAATTGATATGGTGATGATACGATGATACGCATATTCTTGTGTGAAAGGCCATTTACTGATCTATCTATCTGCTATAGAGATCTAGATGATAACGATTGGCCGTGGTAACTAATAACTGCAGAGTCCCTAATCTGTATTTCTATTTCGCAAGACGTCAGCCACGACTTCAACCATCTCAAGCACTTTTTCCTCTTCCAGCCGTTTCCCGATCAGCTGCAGGGAGACGGGAGCTCCATGGTAGAACTCAGGGTCGTAATCTGCCTGTATAATTTTATCCTTCTCGTTCAGAGGCACCCATCCCTCACCCCGCGGAAGATCAAGCGACTTATCAGCATGAGTCACAGGGAATGTGCAGGCAGAAATATCTAGATCGTTTTCACATATTAGCCTTTTCATCGGAGCGCGTTCCTGGATCAATATGAATCGGTAGCTTACCTAACAAATTAACGAATCCAGTAAACCCGACATAGTCCACTGTTTCCCCTTGACCAAGGCGAGGAGCCCCTGTTGGCGCAACGGGGGCAATTATGGCATCGATGGGCCCTTCAGTTGCTGTTTTAGTTGCCATCCACCGGTCAAGGTACTCCTTTTGGAACTGGTTTCTTTTCGTGATCATTTGCCGTAGTTTGGCCGGATCAAACTTAGTAGTCCTTCTCTTACACGCACTGAATGCCCTTTCCATGGAGCCGAATAATGGCTCCTCATATGCCTCCAAAGAAGGGATGATGGCGTCAGATCCTAGCTCGTCAAAGCCTTCGTTAAGCAAATCGACGATCTCCCTGTGGTTAGTTGGTTCCCTATCGCAGTGTGGTTAGTCTTCCCTCCCAGTGCCATCTAGATGCATGGACTCGTTGAACGTACCAAGGGATCACATCATGTCCTGCGGCCTTCAAGGTGTTGGTAACGAGAGACAAAGCACGCTCTACTGGGGGATGGCAAGTTATCGTCCCATCATTGGCCCCAAGAACTCCTAATCGTAGCTTGCGTCCCTTGGGCTGGATGACATTTCTTCTCCACGGCATGGGTATGATTTTTGGGTCAAGATTCCAGGGTGCTGCTGTATCGGAGAGAACAGATTCACAAAACAACTTGACGGCACCAAGGGATGTGGACATGGGCCCGCAGACAGCATATATGAAATCCTGGCCCGCGATACTTGGCTGCCCTCCCAAGGTCGAGAATCGTCCAAAAGAAGGTTTTAAACCGTAAAGGTGGCAGAAAGCACTGGGGATGCGAATGCTACCAGCGATATCCGTTCCAACGCCAAGAGGCGACGCTTTCATTGCAAGAAGTGCCCCTTCACCACCCGTTGATCCACCTGGGGTAAGGCCCTTGTGAATGGGGTTCCTAGTTTCGCCCCAGATCCGATTTGTAGATTCTGCCATCATCATTGCTGTCGGGATGTTGGTTTTCAAATATAAGACAGCGCCCAGGTCCTTGAGCATGGATACAAGGACAGATTCCCGTTCCGTGGGAGTATTTGCATGTAATGCCATGCCGATTGAAGATGGATAAGGAGGGGTTATGAAACTGTCTTTCAGAGATAATGGTAAACCATGAAGTGGTCCCAGGACGGATCCTGTCTGTTCCAGGTATTCATCTAGATACCTTGCTCGTTCTAAGCCTTCATTGAACATGACTTCAGTGACGCAGTTTGTCTGTGGAGAGTTAATTAGCTTTTGCAAAAGGCTACAACAAGCAGCCAGCCCACTGGCGCAGATATTCATACCAGTTTCTGCGCAATCACAGCAGCCTTACAAAATGCCTTTGTGACGTCAACTGAGGTCAGTGTTCTCTCCTTTATCTTTTGAAGCAGGGTTTGAGCGTCAGCATCGACAATGTCTAGCTCATTTTGCGTTAAGAGGCCAGAAGTCTTTGGGTAGGATCTCAGGTCCCGAGGAAGACTCTCCTCTTCAACATCCGGGATAGGGAAGAAGGCAGAGAGCGCATCATCCCGGCGTTTCTGCGCAATGGCTGAAATTTCTTTGTAATTTTGTCCCATTTTTATTTCGAAAGGGAAGTATCCGGCGGTCAATGTAGATAATCGCGATATTAGTATTGGATCAACTGGGAGCAAGAACTATACAGCCCCTCATATACATATTTATACTATCGTAAGGATGAGGTGGGACGGCGGATGAACCTGATCTGATGACCAGCAGCAGGGAAACGCCACTTTTGAGCACAGCAAGTAACTAGTTAGTTCTCCTCAACAGAAGAGCAGTGTTAAATATTGGAATCTGAATCTGGGTATTTCTCTGCAAAGCCGAAGTTCATACCCGGCTTCAACCCCCATTGCCTCGGGCGCCGTCCAATAAGAAGAAACGCGGGGGAAGAAATGACTTGGGCGGCATTCTAGCATAAAGTCCCATTCCCGTCGCATGATCAACTAGATAATGACATCAATTCTCTGACATTTCGGATGACCTTCATCACTCAATCACTCAAAACAACCACATATTCAGCACAGATCTTGGGATACACCTGGCGCAACTGGGAAGTTTATCGATGACTGGCTTAAAAGGCTGGGAAGCAAAAGGTTAAATCAGCTGCGTTATGTTTAACTAACTATTTATCCTATAACTAACTAATATTTTGCAGTTAAATAATCCAGATCTTGAACCGTACCAATTTGAGATTAACTCAACTGACTAAACCTTACGCGATGGTTATCCATGGATTTTAGGTCCGCGTATGAAACTGACCTAAACATCCAGTTCAACTTTCAGCAGGTAAGTAATTATGTCCCCGCAGATGGTAGCATTTCTTAGTCCAGATTTAAAGATATATGTGCATGCCCCCCGTAGTTAAACCTTTCTCCATAAGGATGTCACAGATTGTGGAAGTTAGGTAAGGGAACTGGTCTGACAGCTTGCAAACGGAGTCAATGACAATAAAGTAATTTTTGTTGACATGATTAAATACATGTATCTTATCGCCTCTGGAGCTCAAGCCACAACTTTCCCCGTGAACTGAAGTTTACCCTCACGCACTCTCAACACTTGATATAGTTAACTGCCAGAACAAATCAGCAAAATTACTCGACCAAACTGCGAAGCTGACGGGAAATTCTAAACCCAAAAGCGTGTTATCCTACATCCATTGCCAACACAATCACTCCCCATAGACAATCCCCGCGTCATGAGCAACAAATCCCTCCAGCAAGCTCTAGCAAATCTCCTCCCCACCCACGCCGAAGCTCTCCCACCAGAGCTTGTCAACCATGCCTCAAACCTCCTCGCACAGTCTCGCAGCTACGGCAGCAGCTTGAGGCCGGAGGAGGAAATCGCTAGACCATATGTCTGTGCCGAAATCGCTTGCAAACGGTAGGCTCAATTCTTCTCCCTGTTTTATTTTGAAAAAAAAAAAAAAATCACCCAGGCTGATTGAACGGGAATATATATATATATATATATATATATATATGTGTGTAGATTAAGCAAATCACTCAAGCTACCCCCTCTCCTCGGAAGGCCACCATGTCCACCACGCGTGTATAAGAAAACATATACCTATCTCGAGCAGGCGTTGCTGAAATCATCCACAACGGCTTCAAGAACCACCCCAAGGAAACCAACAGGCACGTCTACATCGCTACGGACACCGTCGAAGAATTCCCCAGCAGTAACAGCAAATGGTTCGCCCTTGAAACGTCCTCTCCCCATGAGCCCCTTTCGAAAAACAGCGAATAATAGGCGAAAGGCACCTCTCCAGAGCAGCGTGGGGATCAACAGCGTATCGAACAAAAAATCAATTCAAGACGCGCCCTCCTGGACGATGCCGCTTATTCGACGGGTCTGCAAGGCACTATCTACGCGCACACCTTCCTCCACATCATATTCGCGCCCTACCATCTCCCTGCTCTTACCACCGCATATCTTTGTGGGTGTCTCGTCAATACTCTCATTCATTTCTGAACCAGGGGAGCAGTGGGATGAAACACTAGCAGAATTTCTTGCGCCGCTTTCGGTAAAGACGACGACGCAGATTCGAAATCCTGACTCACAGGATACTAAAATTTACAGAGATAGGATTTCTACGTTGATTGTGGCGGTGTATTTTGTTGTTCTTGCTCGTCGGCGGCCTTCGTCTTCCGCGGAGACGTTGGATGTGGATACATATATTGAGATGGCTTCTGCGGCATTGGAAAGCCTTGGTTTGGAAGGAACCTCATATGTAAGCGATGTGGATGACTGGTTGTCAATAATAATGTTGCGGAACTGGACGGTTGGGACTGAGTGGTTTGAAAATATTCCTGGTCCAGCCGTGGGTAATGAAGATGAAGTAGAAAATGTTGATGACGAAAAAAATGATGGTGATAAAGATATAATCGTCGGTTTGAAGAGAAAGAGGGCTCTCCGAATGGAGAGTCGACGCCGGAGCCGCGATGGTATGGAAAAACCGCGGGGTGGTTTGCAGCCAGGGTTAGGCACGATGATGCAGGACCGCCTCAATTGGTTGAGTGAGGATAAGAGGGGGGATTACTTGGAGTGGAAAGCAGGTATAATGGGGAGGATACGGGCTATTGAAAGTGGGATGGTTGTTGGATGAGGGAAACTTGGTTAAAGTGTTCGTGGAAAAAATCGTTATGACTTTTTGTATGAAAACAATGTCACGACCAATGCGTTACGATACCTTCCTGGCTCACTTGGTGGAAGATATAGCAAGCATTATTATATAACATCATGGTTTCTTAATAGATTGTGAATGTACTCTACGATTAATAGAAGCTGTCTCTTAACCACCATATAACGCCCCATTTTATGCAATTGGGATACCTAGGTAAGCTCCTTCCACCTATATATGCAATTTGTTTGGAATAAGCGGGAATTTAACTAGAAAGCAGTGTAGACGCCTCACAATGAAGCAGAAATAGGACCAAAGGTGAGGAAACGGCAGTATCCTTTGGAATAGAACGAAGGAGCATGAAGAATGTAAACTTGGATTCCCCACTCGAATGCGCACAAACACACTGCATCGATAAAACCTCAATACCAAATACTCCTCGTCCGATGATGTGGAATGCTCTCCTTCCCCTGACTCTCCAGCTCCTTCGCCGTATCATACAGCAGAAAATCAATCAGCACCGCATTGACTCCTAATGGCTGCACGTCATCTCCCTCAGCCCCACCTTCATCAACACCAACCTCCCTCGCAGAATCATCTCCCTCCTTCTCCTCATCTCCGCCTCTAACCGATACAGACCCCGACGCCACTGCAGACCCGCAGGCGGTGGTCAATGGCGGCGTCAACTCTGCATACGCGCCCGGCTTCATCATGTCGGAATGCTGCTTTTCGATATGGCGGCGGATCAGCTCGACGCACCATATGCTTGTGCCGCGTAGTTCGGTTTCCCATCTGTGCCCGCTTGGCAAGAGCTTTTTTTGGCGGATGTGCGATTCGAGGGGGGGAGAGTAGAGGAGGCAGCCGAGGGTGTGCAGCATTTGCGGGATGCGGTAGTCTGTGTATGTATGAGCAGATATCGAGGTCGTGGAAGGGGAAAGGGAAGAGGAAAGAGAAATAATGGTATTTATTAAAAATAGGTATCACGTACCTGCAAACATTGTTAGTTTGTCAATGTCGTGGAATCTACCATAGGATTTGCCACGAAAACATGCCCAGAGATCTGCGACGAGGATCTGAGCTCGCTTGTAAAAGCGCACTTCTTTCCCTTCGAATCGAGTCTTGTCCCTGAAGCAGGGGAAGTTGTCGGCTAGCAGGTTCACAAGGACTGCCGCAGAACCATTAGCTTCTTCGATGCAGGTTGTGAAGCTGCAGAGGTATTTCTAGGTATCGGAATTAGCAATGCAATGCAGCAAATAAGTGGAGGTTTTCCACCTTTTATTTGTAAAGGAAAAATAACAATAACACTCACATCGTGTAGAATTTCCCCAGCCTCACGGAGACAATTGAGACGTTCTTGAAAGAGCGGTATTTCCTCGTCCGTTGCAGACTTGAAGACATGTCGCAATACCTCCTCTGTACATTCATCTTCATTCTTCCAGAAATCCGAACTCGTAATTGGGATCTCTGATAGTGTCAGCTTTTAGGCCAACCATTTTTTGAACATAAGAGAAATTTCACAGATATCAAAATATTCCATAGCACAAAAGAAAAAGAAAAGAAAGAAAAAAAATACCTTCATCCAGCGCCCTTTGCAGTGCAGCAACAAGACTCCAATACCCCTTCCATCTCTTCCCTCGATATTCAATAGCAAACTGCTTCGACTCATCCGTCTCATCGGACCAAAAGCTAAAATTCAACAAATCCATCGTGAAGATGAAGTTGACCGTACTCTCATCCTTGGTCTGCGGGTGCAGTTCATGCTCCCCCCACTTCTTCGTCGAATACTGCTTCTTCTGCATCATCTGCCAGATAGTCTCTGCAGCAGCCTTGGTTCTCAAAGGGTCTAAGGCGACGTCGACAGAGTTGTCAAAGGTATGCTTCGCTCCTGAGAGCACACAGGTGTCTACTTGTGGGCCTGACTTGGTAGGCCGTCCTAGTCCGAGGGATTGACGGAGCAGCTCAAGCAGTTCGGGATCTGCTTCATCGTCTGACATTTCTGCTTCGTTTTTTCTGGACGACGGGCCAAATATGAGATGTTTGTAGGATTTGCTGGCTGTTGCCACCCTTTGTAACTGGATATATGTACTTTTTCCCAGTCGGAATGGGGAATAAATAAAAGCAAAAGCCCAAAAAGAAATAAATAAAAGAAAAGAATGCGCAGCTTATCTACGCTTTTGATGACATCGTGTCATTCAGAATAATGTATAAATCCAGCGCTTGCAGTTGTTCTCTTGTCCCAACAAATGTAGTTGATGACCCTGTTCCAAGGAAGGGGGGCAGTTTACTATCAAAACGAAATTGCCCAACGGTAAATTAGTTAAATAAGGTGAAACGCAAATGACAAAACTGGGGAACTTGAGAAATAAGGCATCATTTCCAACACCCTATGTTCAAAAAAAAAAGTATATCGTTCACCGTAATTCAAAAATATCAAAAGTTACGTACCAGATCTGTTCAGCTTAGTTACGACGAAAGTGTTGGGCGTATGGTTGGCCCGGGCTGCCGCTCCACCGCACGTGATATAGCGTATATTAGATAGCTAGCTAGGCCTCCCAATATGAGAGATTCAACCATCCTACAGAAAGTCGGGTTGTCATGGAAGATTATGTAACCAGAAAGACACCAAGTGATAGTTTAACTAGTTAGCTATTTATCCAATCAGGAATTGCACTTCAAGCGGGAGATTTAATCTTTACACCTTGAAACGGGCGGTGATGATAGTAAAAAAATGAATGTTTAGTTACTAAATAGATCTGGGAAACATTTACTTTTCATCTGAGGTATGGTGCAATGCTCAGGTAGGTGGGCATGCTACAATGAGTTCAAATATCTTAACTGATAGTTAACTACTCCGTTGATAACGAGTATACTGAATTCAACACAAGGGTTATCATGCTATGGAAATGTGGTATTCTCTGATCAGATACAGGACTAGTCAATTCTGCAGCTGTTCATTTTTTTTTATCAAACGCAATGGTTCGTAGATTCATTGGCTGCATCCATCCCTCTAGTACTCTGCAGAAAGATGAGAATAAGAGGAGCTACACCAATGCAGAGCTTGCATTGGAAAACAATGCATCCCACGCTGCTTTAAAAAAAGGGTTTTTTGACCCTTTCCTTTGATGCCAGGATCTGGTTATTTATCGCATTTCAATGCGAAGGGGGGAAAGTTGTTACACTGGGAAATTCAAATAGACGGTACAAAATTGGTTCAGCGTGGACAGACAGGAGTAGTACAAAAAGATAGAAATTTTCGATCCAGAAAAAATGTGGAAATCAAAGGCAGTTCTATGCTTTACCCTATGCTCCGCATGCTGTGCTGTGTTTATATTTCTCCCCTCTCATCAGCTCATATTTTCCCCAGCTCGATGTTCCGTCCAATGACTGACCTGCTCTGCCTGTCACATCAACTTTTGAAACTTCTCTGCCAAGACCAGCGCGAGGCTCCCTATTTCATCCAACCGACACCAAGCTTCAACCCTGCACCTCTACCCCTCCAGACATTCTCGTTTCTTATTTCTCTGGGATCCCATTTCCTAATCTGCTACCCTGTGCTATCAGTCATTAAATATCTCATCGTCCTCCCGGGCACAGGGCAAGCCCGGAAAACGCAGATATGGATGAATACCACAAGCAGTCGTTAGGCACGTTATCTACTAAGATACGAAAGGTTCGCCCGCAGGCAATACCCCAGGGATAGGTTTATTGATGCTGACTTTTATTCCTCCTACATAGTCTCGCGTCTTTTTGGTGGGTGCGGGCGGCATTGGCTGTGAACTTCTGAAAAACCTCGTACTCACCAGCTTCGGGGAAATCCACATAATAGACCTTGACACAATAGATCTGAGCAATTTAAACCGGCAATTCCTATTTAGACAAGAACATATAAAGAAATCGAAAGCACTGGTATGTGTTATCCTTATTTATTTCTCCTTGGGCATGTTATGGAGGTTCAAGAACTAACAAATGCCTGATTTCTCTACTTCATCTAGATCGCAAAGGAAGTCGCAAGCAAATTCCGACCAGACATCTCCCTCCATGCCTATCACGCGAACATCAAAGATTCCCAGTTTAATGTTAGCTTCTTTGAATCGTTCGATATCGTTTTTAATGCGCTGGACAACCTTGAAGCCCGCCGGCATGTCAATAGGATGTGTCTGGCGGCAAACGTCCCGCTTATCGAAAGTGGCACCACGGGATTCAATGGCCAAGTCCAGGTGATAAAAAGGGTGGGGATACAATGACATTCTGTTAAGCGGCGTATTTACTTACATATATACCAGGGACGAACTGAATGCTATGACTGTAATCCGAAGCAAGTGCCCAAGTCATTCCCAGTCTGTACGATACGGAGTACCCCCAGTCAACCTATCCATTGCATAGTATGGGCTAAGAGCTATCTGCTACCGTGAGCTCCTTCTTGCCCCCTCTATATCCTTTGGATGCACTAACTGGATTCCAAGAGAGTTGTTTGGTGAAAGCGATAGTGATCCCGAGGAGTTCGACCACTCCGAAGATGCTGAGAATGGTACATGCAATTCTCATAGATATATGAACACTTTTTCCATAAATTGCTAACTTAACTCTCTCCTTTTTAGCCGAGGAGATTGCCAACCTTCAAAAGGAAGCTCAAGCACTCTTATCCATCCGCCAATCGATGGGATCTGATGATTTTGCGGAAAAGGTTTTCAACAAGGTTTTCAATGAAGATATCGATCGTCTACGGAAAATGGAAGGCATGTGGAAGGCGAGACGACCTCCCCAACCTCTATCGTTTGGTCCACTCCAACAAGAGGCGACAGCTGTGGACTCGACGATATCTTCAAATGACCAGAAGGTTTGGACATTGGTAGAAGACTTTGCGGTATTTAAAGATAGGTACGTAAGATCCCTGATCGTGTGGATATTTGTGTCTGGCTACCGCGATAAACCAAACTAACAATGTGCAGTTTGGGGCGCCTTTCGCGGAGACTACGCGAACTTGAATATGCTACAACAGATGGTCAGAAGCCAATTATAACGTTTGATAAAGACGATGTAGACACGCTTGATTTTGTTGCGGCAAGTGCAAATCTTCGATGTCACATTTTCGGAATCGAAATGAAATCAAAGTTTGAGATAAAACGTGAGCCTTTAGCATTCTTGGGAATCAGCAATTGTTTGCTGTACTTTACACTAACCTCCGCATTAGAGATGGCTGGTAATATTATCCCAGCAATTGCCACGACGAACGCCATGACTGCAGCAATCTGTGTCTTGCAGGCATTTAAGGTTTTAAAAGATGATTACGACCACGCAAAGATGGTCTTCCTCGAACGATCGGGCGTCCGTGCCATAAATACCGACCATTTGAACCCCCCAAATTCCCAATGTCCGGTCTGCAGCGTGGCTCAAGGGAAGATTTCAGTTGACCTCGAACGAGCAACACTGAACGATTTGGTCGAGGACCTCCTGCGTGGGCAGCTTGGGTATGGTGAAGAGCTGTCTATCAACAATCAGATTGGGACCATCTACGACCCCGATCTTGACGACAACCTCCCAAAAAAGTTGAAAGATTTAGGGGTTATGAATGATAGTTTTATTACAGTTGTTGATGAGGAGGATGACGATACCCGTGTCAACTTGGAGTTACTTGTATCTGAACGGTCAGAATATCCCCACTTTCTTAAACCACCGCTCTACATTATTCCTGCTAGTCTCCTCTAGGAAAACAAAACCACTGATTGCTAGAAAAATAGGCCATCGACCGACCCAACCTCAAAATCCATCTTTCTCCCATCAGTACCTGAGATTCCTAGAAAACCAAAACCAGAATCAGCAATGCCAGAGCTTAGCAATGGCGAAGCAAATGGAATCGGGGCTATAGACGCCGGAGCTGATGATGCCGTCGTCAGAGAAAAGAGGAAGCGCGATGCAGACGGAGATGTAGACAAGGACGACAAGTCGACGAAACGCCTCGCGACAATGTCTGTCCGAGAGGGCGCTAATGATGGAGGTTCAGACAGACCCATTATTCTGGAGGATGATTCGGGGACTATTCTGATCGATGACGGCTGAATTGCTACTTCTTTTTGAAGGGAGGGATGGCCCCGTTGGCAAATTGTCGATAGGCTTCGAACCTATCTACTTTTTACTCCTGGATTGGTATAGCTGCATACGGAACAAATTGTTGTAAGGTGTGAAAGTTTATTTCCTGCTGCATCTTGGCTACCAAGACGGATAGAAGAGCCATCATTTTGCCTCCTTTCTTTTAGACTCACAACTTTGTACAGTTGCATTAACAAACTCACACAGCATTCATTGTTTAATCTCCTCCAAGGTTAGGGGATATTAAAGGCCATGGAAAGAGCTTTTTCTTTCTTTCTTTCTTTCTTTTTTTTTCTCTCTTTCAGATATGGATATGGATATGGATGGGTATGGGCCGGATGTCATTCTGACTTTCTCTGGTCCTTTATTGCCAGCACTGTTCAGATGTTTTTTAATGGTCAAAGGGGGTATGTTTTCTCCGGCCAAACGCATAGATGTGATCAGTAAATCGAGCTATCATTGGTAAAATACCGGTCAAGTCCAGTCAAATTCATTCCCGTGTCTGCTGCTGCTTTAAACCTTTCTATCCCATGGAGCGGAACCGGCGTCCTCTGGAAAGCACTCTCATTTCTATCGCATGCTGTAATTTACACACACTTACACAGCGCTCAACCCTCCATCGAGATTCAACACGCAGTTATTAGCATATTGGTTGGCCGCAAGAAACACGGCTGCATCCGCCACCTCTTCCACCGTCCCAAAACGACGGAGCGGGATAGCTCGCAGCGCCTTCTCTCGCACTTGCGGGTTTAGGTCTTCTTTACAAGTCAGCAAGGATTCGATGAATTGACGAAATATTTCCATTAAGAAAAAGAAAAGCGTGGGTTAGGGGAATTTTTCAACCATACCCGCAACCATGCGCGTCTCAATATACCCCGGCACAATGACATTAGCCCTCAACCTCGCTTCTGCCTTCATCTCTCCACTTTCCGCCGCAATCGCGCGTGTCAGGGCCACCACACCCGCTTTTGTAGATGCATAAGTCGCTGCCCCAACACCCCCTTTCATCGCATGTAGCGATGATATGTTAATGATGCACTTGGTAAATCTGCTGTTGGTGATGGTAATACTACTACTATCGATGAGCTTTTGGAGGGGTTTTGCTCGCATTACGCGCCGCGACATGGTGCGACAGGCGACTATCGTGCCCTGCAGGTTTGTGCGGAGCATGGCTGTGATATGCTCCTCTTTAGCTAAGGGAAGGAGGGAGGAGTAGGAAATGCCCGCGGCGTTGACGAGAATGTCCACGTTGTCCTGTATGTATTTATTATATGTGCGTTAGTATTTTATGGAAAGGAGAAGGATGGGGGGGGAAGGGTGTTAGTATGTATGGAGAGGGCACAAGAAGTACCAGTAATTTTTTAATCTCGTCCCCCCAGAATGACGGGTTGCCGACGTCCCCGACGGCCAGTGTAAATCGCGGTCCAAAGTCAAATATTTCACAGTCCTTCACAGTGACTGTGTCATGGGGCTGGTCATGTACCAGGTTATCAAATTCTATACTTTGCATAGGCGGAGTGGCCCGTTGCGCCGGATTGTGAACGTCCACGCCATTATTACCCTGTGGAAGATCGTCGTTGTTTCCACACATTGGCCGACCCGGTTCAACGTAATCTCCTCTGTCTTCTTCTTCTTCTTCTTCTTCTTCTAACCTTCTAACAGCCTCCTCCAATCTCTTCCTACTCCTTCCGACAAGAATCACCTTCTCAACCCCTTCCCATAGAAATCGACGTGCAATGGCATACCCAATTCCAGAGGAGCCACCCGTTACCATGCAGGTTAATCCCTTCAGCGGCGGACTTTGGTGTCTCGCAGACTCCAATGGTCTCCTTGGCTTGTTTGTTGCGCCATGGCTTGTCGAGAAGCTTCTGAGGCACTCTAACTCCCATGGGTCTCGGGATATCACCCGAGCTCTAGCTTCTGGTTTCGGACTGATTGCTTCTGAACCGAACTGGGAACACCAAGGTGTTGAGATCCGACAGCAACGGACTATTAGCCCACGGGACCGGAAACCCGAGCGTAATCGAGGTAGCCCCAATGGCATTATTGCAACTTTGAAGTATAATGGATTAACAGGTGCTATATCGCCAGTGGTTAGACGACTCCTAGGTATTTAGTATGTCGAAAAACTAGGATCCGGTGACGCTTCGCATTCCCCCGTTTAGTGATTAGATGATATATGAAATGTTATACCACCATAAATTCTTTATATGCCGTTGATTGACAGTTGTACAGAGGTAGGCCAGGGTAATTAACGATCCATTGATGGAACAGCAGCAATATATATAGTCTGTGATTGTCGCAATATACAACTCTATATGTCGGTTCCACGAATGTTCCGCTATTTTACGCCAGAGCCAAAGCCAAAGTAAACAACAACTCCCAAATATCAAATGATTGGAGCTTGTTGCTGTTGTTGAACAGGGGAATTATTTTGCGCTATTGAAATACACACAGAAATATGAAGGAAAGGAAAAAAAGATATGGACGATCAGGGAATCGAACCCTGGACCACCCCCAGCCCTGTTCCCCGTGGTTGGTTGGGGGGATGCGATGCTAAGGGGGTATTATACCACTAAACCAATCGCCCTGACTGCAGGTGACCAGCGATGACCACAATTGCCATGTCAAAGCAACCCCTCAATCGATCCGGATTTCCAGGTTGTATAGTCGTCGCGTGGTAGAGATAATTGTTATCCAGAGAAGTTGATAGTAGAGCAAGTCTTCCAAGGAGCAGGCATTCACCAGTATCTAGTCAAAAGAAGAAAAACTTCCCCTTAACTTCCTTCAACCCTCCAAGATCTCTCTAATCCCAGCGATCTATACAAACTCTGCAAGAAAACATTGCGGGTCACCTGACTTGGCGACTCGCATCTCGTCTCAAGCTTTTCAACTCGCGACGTTCATCTGGGATATAAATTAGCTGCCAACATTCAACATTTTAAATATCAACAAGCCAACTCACCACGAAATCATGGCATCACCAGTATAGTTTGTTATGCGCTAACTACCGCTTCTCCTGCTCTCGCCCCTGGATATCCTTGACAGTCTGGAGTTTCTCAGATCCCAATCCCCAACTCCTCCCCGCCCTTACTGCCAGTATGTCCACCAAACCCGCTCCGCCGGAGTTCGTCACTCTAGCCTCAAATGATGGATTCGAGTTCATAATACCCCGAAACGCTGCCTGTGTCTCTGGCACGATACGGCGCATGTTAGATCCTGCAAGTTAGTAGTATAGAACTGCATTCCTTGCCCGAATTTTTCATTACATTGTTGTTCCTCTAATGCTGCAAGCCCCGCGTAATCGTTCTAAGGTTTCTAAGCATTTATTATTATTATTATTATTATTTCACTAGGTAATTTCTCCGAAGCCGTCACTGGCCGTTGTGTTTTCGAGAATATGAAGTTCGTCCTTGGGACTCCTACTCGCCATCCGTTTTCCTTCCCCTGATCCAAACCATTCCCCTCTGTCACCCAAATGATTTCCGGTAATACTTTACAGCCAAGGGGCCAAGTTTTTGCTAATCGATTACTATTTCTATCTGGACCCTACAGTGGAGTCGTGCTTGAGAAAGTTTGCGAATACTTCCTCTATAATGAGCGGAATAAGGGGCAGAAAAACGTGCCAGACATGGAGTTTCCACTCGAGCTGTGTCTGGAGCTGTTGATTGCGGCGGACTATTTGGATAGTATGCTTTCTTTTTATGATGGTTTCTCTGCTTATGATTTCGAATGCACGGCTAATGGATTCGTCTATAGCTTAAATAAATGAACATTTTACATGTACACCTAGTCTAGTGGGATTTTCTTTCGGAAATGGTTTGCGGGCGCTTTCGGACTTTTGATTCAAACGGGAATGTGTCGGGTAGACTTGGGCTACAATCGTCGTTGAGTTGGATATCAGTGGCAATCTGGATGGATAAATGTTCTTTATCAATTCATTGGGTTCGCAAATCCTACGCTCCTTGTGGCCATTGCAGTGGAAAACTTAATGCAAGCTGAAAACCCATCACGCATCACGTCAATCTGACAAATACGTTCAGAACTCATGGTACCTCTGCTTTGTGCTCATGTTATTTTCTGCGCCTACAGATCGAAACGTCTAACATTGAGATGGGAAGATTGAGAGAACTGATCGAGTTGGAATTGAGGTATTTGTGAGAGAAGGCCTCGTTGACTGGCTAGTTCTTCCCACACCACCTCTTATGGAAATCTCCTATAGGGGCTGATGCAATTGGTTTGCTCTGTGCTGATCAAGTCCTATGGCCCGATATGGTATTGTTCGTCAACAAACGAGACACTAAAGACTGTTCCGGGCTGTGCGGATACATTTGTTTTCGCCCTGTGGCGGTTGCTTCAGAGTTATTTTCGTTTCTTCGTCTACTTGCCCAGTCCATAATTTTTCATCTACCCCGCATATGCTCCATAAGTAGACATGAGATTCTCAAGCTATCATTACAAAGTTTGCGGCATACCTTGCCGATGCAAATGTCCATATTAAGCAAAACCAATTCCCTTTCAGTCCTGAACCGACTCCGGGCCCACTGCCCCGTGCTATGTCCTACCCCCTCCATTCCCCTTCTGCCCCCCACCCCCAGTTGCCCCCCGACTTCTGCCCACCTTATTCCTGCTCCCACACTGCTTCTCCTCATAGATCCTGACTCCCACAAACCCGGCGTCCGCCACTCTCAAAAAGCTCACAACCCCCTGATCAACCACTGCCAAAATCACATTCCGCCACCCATGCCGCAGCCGCATATACATCAGCCGCTCCATCTTCCCTCCCCGTGGCGGATCCAGTGGCGTGCTTTCTAATAGCGCCGATAAGTCTTGCAGGGAGGGGAGGGTAGGGTTTGTGCGCGAGTTTATGACGGCGAGTCGGAAGTCCGGGGTGCCTGGTGTGGATTTGCGGAAGGGGGTGGAGGGTTTGTAGATGTGGTAGGCTAGGCGATAAGGTGGGTTGGTTTGGGGGGGTTGAGGGGGGTCTGGGTGGGTCGGGTTGTGGGTGGGGATTATGGAGAGGGCGCGGTATATGTCGTCTGTGTTTTAGTTTTTTTTTTTTTTTTTTTGAGGTTAGCTGTGACTATGGAGAATGGATAGATGGGACCTGGGTGGAAGGGGTGGACTTACGATAGTTACGGTGTATACCTAGCCCGATAACAGGCCCATGGGCCAGACATCCTGTAGGGATGGATTTGTATATCGAATTGAAGAATCGGGACAGGAGGTTGATTAATCCTCCGCCGCCGCGCTCTTCAGGATGGGTATGGGTTTCAATTCCACTCGTCGTAGAAGAAAGAGCCTGCTCAACTGGACCGTCATCCCAACTCGGTGCCCGTATCACCGTATACCCACCCCTCCTTAGGCCGGCATATACAATGTACCGCTCTAAGGTTAATCCCCCACGCCCAATAAGGCACGCATACGCCCCTTGCAAACTCATCGGGATTCCCCCATCCACATCTTCTACCTCTTCATCTCTTCGGTTTCCTCTCCCCTCACCCGCATGCTCATGCTCTCCCGCGGGCGCGGGCCATCGGATATCCAAGCTCCCTCGTTCCAGCAAATACAACGCTTCCTCCGGTAGCAGCCACACGCGATTCCAATGGTCAGATCGCCCGACGGTTCTGAAGTGCTGGCCCCGTGGACTAGGGACGCAGACACATGTACCATTGCCAATCCCATGGGGTGGTGGTGGTTTCTTTCTTGGAGGAGCGTATCGTTCTGTATCTCTCTCCTTATCTTTCTTCTTTTCTTTACTCTCCTCAACTCCCACATCCTTACCCTCCTTTGCGACATTCTCATCGCTACTATTATCCTTATCCGCTCTTGATCCACCACCAGTAGGATTCCGCGCCGGCCTCAGTAATCCGGTTGGACAGTAGATACCCACAACTCGCGTTTTCGGGTTATGCAGCCTCGGATATGCGAGCGCATTGTGCATAGCATCCCGCGACGCGGCGAGAACATCAGCCTGGCGCAGTGTCGGGTTCGGTTCGAAGTCCTTTTCTCCACGGCGCGGGAGGGAGGCGGGTTGGCTGGGGTCCGGCAGTCTAGATGAGGTGATTGATGGTCAGCGGACGAAAACAAATATTTAATTTTAATCGTGGAGGACGCGATAGGAAATACGAACAAGGAGAGAGAGTTTAGGAAGCGGAAGTCTTGGGTTTCGTCGGATAGGTCCTGGTCAATGTGCGTGGTTTGGTCTTGTGCGGAGGTAGGTTGGATGAGGGCATCTTCGTCGGCATCCGCCATGTATATGCGTATTTAGGTACGGGATTGGGATTTTAAGGTACTTGAGTGTTTTAGACGAGAGACTGTTATTGAGCAGTTTTTCTGCTAACGTTGATTTGTTTTGGAGGGATGAGGGATGTTATATTGAGTTGCGATGTAGCGGTAACTAATGCAGCTTAGAGTTCTCTAAATAACTAACTATTTAAGAAATCCTTAAATCGATAGGAAAACTGCTTCAAACCTAAAGTCCCTTCGAGAACGAAAAATCCTAGAAGGATCTTTTCTCTATAGATATATAAAAGGATTTATAGAAAAATATATACCTTAATAACTCAGCCTGTCCTTCAGACGTATTCCATAACTCCCCTTGCTAAACTCCTCACTCACCCTTTCACCACAATCTATTAACCATATCAACACCCCGCACGGTTCCTTGCAGTTTAGAGTAACAACTCTGGGATATAAAATGCCACCACCCTCAGACACTGTCAATCACCATCTGATATCTCAAGTAAGCTCTTTTAACTACATAACTACCTAACAGGCCTTTTAGATTCTATCGTTTCTATCCCTTATCCCCTTTCATGACCCCTTACACATGCCCACTCCTCCTAGATATCCACAAACCTGTCAAACACCCTCTCCTCCTTCGGGCCTTCGTCTACCCAATACGCTGCAGTGCTGGATATGTTGAGAGAGAGTATTCTTCGGGAGTTGGAGAGGGAGAAGGAGAGGGAGAGTGTGGAAATGAGCTGTGTGCGGGTTGATAGTAGTGGTGGCGATGGTGAAAACATCATTGAGGGGTTGAGAGAGCTGTTGGAAAAGGCGTTACGTGTTTAAAGGAAGATAAATGTATAAACTGAGAAGTGAGGACAATGGGGTTGGGTTTGTACATGGGCTTATAGACTTCAGGCATAAAGCTACATAACTAGGTACCTAAATCATACGGAATGTCCACCCCACCTTTTCACCAAGAAATTACGTGGAAGTTGTCATTCATTCAATCCAAAAGGGCTTAATTGAATAGCCCGCATACTATATGTTATATTCATATCCATGCAGGAGAATTATGAGTAACAGTACATGAAAAATGAGAGGAGGGAGAGAAGGAAGAAGAAGAAGACAAGAGGAGAGGAAGGGTTCCCAAGATGAAAAGTGCAAAGGCGAAAGGATGAAAAGGGGGGTCAAGAAGGGAGAGTATTGGAAAATGGACGGGCCAAAGATGAAGTGGGAGGTAGAAAGCTGCTTAGAAGTGGATATAATAAGAAATAGAAATGAAGAAATAAGAGGAGGAGAAGGAGGAGGAAGTAAATAAATCAAATGTGGGAAAAGAAGAGGGTTATTTTTAAAAGGGGGGAATAAAATAAAAATAAAACATTAAAGTAAAAAAAAAAAAAAAAAAAAAATTCAAAGTCAAATCTAAGCGCCTGCTCCCGTTCCTGCTCATGCTTCCAGTTTCCATTCGATCATTTCATCCATCACAAAATAAAATAAAAAAGACAAAAAGGACGCTAATGAATCGAATCGAAATGGAACCTCCAATGCGTACTCCAAGGCTAGTGCCAGATGCAAACAAGAATCAACGAAAAAAGCCAGCAAAAAGTCAGATCCAGGTGGAAAAGAAGAGAAAGAAACAGAAAATCCCGAATCCCTGAGCCAGGGGTTTCGTATCACCGTAGACAAAATATACCACAGGTACCATATCATATATAGCACCTCGTAAAGTGCGAACGGGTTTGTGTAGATAACAACGTTAGTTGCGGAAGTTGATAGTGGATGATAAGGGGTTGAAGAAAGGAGGAATCAAAACCGGCAGGTGTGGCGTGACAAGAAGGGGTGCGTGGGCATCAGGAATAGTATGATGGCTAGGAGTGTGCAGAAACCAGCCAGCCAGCCCAGCTGGCTGGTGAGGTCAAGTTAAGAAGGGATGTATTGTGAGATGGGATGAGAGCGGGTTTTGGGGAGGCGGAGTGTGTGAGAACACCTCTAATCCTCCAACTTCTCTTTGGTTGGTTGTTATATCCGCCCCCGGTTTTCACATAAACCTTTAATCTTTCTTCCTTGCACATTTCTTTGATTTGTTCATTTGTAAAGCATGAGCATTATTTCAGTTCCCATTATGGGATGGAAGAAGAACTCGACACGACCCCAGAAGGACAAGTGGATGGATAGACAGATGGGATCTATGGTGGTGGTGGCATTGACTTGAAACATTATTAGATCAGAATGTCGCGTCAATAGGCAGGAGATAGGTGTGTAGTGTATATTTCACTTTCGAGTTCCCGTTCGAGTTCGTTTTTCTCCTGCGTGATGCGAACAAACGCACATGCGCTGGAACAGGCTACATGTATATACAAGTAGCCCAATTCAATCAATCACCGGCTTCTTCACATTGCCGACAATAGCAACGCCCAGATACTTCCGGGCTTGCGGGTCATGGACGCGAATGATGGTGGGGAGTGGCAGCATGGGATTATCGGGGTTGATATGTCTGGCATCTCGGGCGGCTTGCTCGATGGCTTCCATTTCCTCTTTACAGCCTGCGTGGTCGAGTGGGCACACTACGATCGGTTGCCGGAGGACGATGTCTCGTGCTGAGGTTAGATGAGCCTGGGGAAATGTTAGTGGATGCGGTCACAATGGAAGGTTTGAATGGGGCTGATTATGGAAGGATAAGAACAAGGTTAAGGATAGTATATCGCACCTTTACAGTTAGGTAGTATTCAATCCTATATAGGGACGCAGTAGTGGTAAATCCGCTAACAGCGTACATCGGGAACGCTGGTTTCCCCCGCGGCAGGATGCCCTCTGAATCTCTTAGATCTCTAGAGGGAAATACAAGGCCTAGATTTGAGATATATCCCGCCTCCGGCAGCTTCAAGTTAACGTTCTCCGTTCGTTTTGTGAGAGTTTTGGTTTTTCGTTGCGGCTCGTCGCCTTCGTGGTTATAGATTATCTCCTCGTCGATGGAGATGGAGATTTTTTGTATTGTGACCCGTCGAGCTTTGTTTATCCAGTCCGGGTTGGGCGAGAGTTTGACGTATACGCTGATGGGGTCCAGGGGTCCGTACGACCACCGTGGGAGGGATATTCCCAGCCTTACTAGGTGGTCTGTGACTTTCTCCGATGACTCAGGCCGGTTATACATGCCAAATGTGGAAAGGGTATCGTATCTGGAGATTGGGATGGGGAAGGCGTATTTCCTCTGGTCTGATGGACCCTGCTGTACCATTACAACCAATTCGTAGTATGTCTCTGCTGTTCGACTGGGCAATTGTAGACTTGCTGGTGGTAGTCGTCTTGACGCTTCTTGTCCGCCTCGACCGAAGGGAATGAAAAGCACGAAAGGGAGGTCCATTGCGATGATTTCTTCATGGTCACGTCCCATTGCACAACGAAATAGTAGCATCTCTTTGCCCACAATATCTGTTAGTTCCTTCCGAGGGGCAGCCAGATGTCTTTTCGTCACGGAATCTGCCGACGGGTGTATGGTTTCTCGTCGCTGGAGACATATTGTAACCATGGAGACGTGGACTGGAGCGGAAACACCGGTACTGGGGCGAATCTCAACCTTGCCTTCAATGCGCGGCTAAATGTGTAAAAGAATAAAAGTGATTAGCGATGGACGCAAAGTTACAGACAAGCGCTTGCTTTTCTAGGCCTCACAAAATATGCTTTGCAAGGGTTGGAAAATGTGGGTGGCTTTGGCGTAAGTGACGTGCATGGGAGCGGGTGGGGAACATACCAAGGTCGCGGATATGCCGGGGTAGCCAACGAGAAAGTTACCATTGGGGGGTCCCGACACACGGACGAATACGGCCATCTTGTTCCAGAGCTTCCTCCTAACTCACCATAAGAAGTGAATCGGGGAGCGGGAAGAGGGATCGGGATGTTCTGCGGCGGGTGCAGAGATCGTTGATCGCGGTTAGCTTAGGGTTGGCGTATGGGTGATCGAGGATCGAGAAGGAATATTGCACCCGGTCTTCTCCCACCATCCGCTGGCTTGGCGGGTTCTGGCTCCTTGGTCGCAGGGGCAGGAGGAGGGGGATACGTGATTGATCGCGGCCCGGCGCTTAGAAGGGCCGGAACAGAGGGCGTGTGTGTGTGATGTCAGCTGGGAGATTAGGTAGAGCAGAAAGACAAGAAGATTCCGGTGGCCAGGAGATGGGGGTTGGCTTGGAGTTGATGGTGGAGAGGCGGGGGTGGGTTAGGTAGGGGTTGGTTGGAGGAAAAAACAGCCTCCGCCTGGAGCAACGGTGCAACCGCACAGTGGTTGGCTGACACCAGTTAACCGTGATGGTAACGACGGGACGAAGAAGCGCAGCCGACAAGCGGAGTTCCAGGTTGGTTAGCTGACTGACAACGCCTATTATTTTATTTATTGCTCGCTGGGCGGGTCCACATTTGACAGGAACCAGTCAGTTTGACGGCAGATTGAGAGGGGCATAAGTAACCATGGGAGCAGGGAGAAAGCTTGAGACAGGAGGAAGTCCGGTAAAGCAGACGGTTGGGCAACAGAACCACCCGCAGCAGTGTGCGGAGCAGTTACTCTTTTGTTCCCTATTGCTGTGCTCGAGGGTTCCGGGTAAGGGGAAGAAAGAAGAGGAAGAAGAGGAAGAAGAGAGTGGCACAGAACTATACACACCCCGAGTCTTGACGATTAGTGGGTGGAAGGGCTCGAAGAAGCGCTGCCTGCCCCGTTTTCACGCAATCTATGAATTCCAATCACCCACTCAGCCAAACATCATCATCATCATCATCAACAACATCATCATCATCATCATCATCATCATCAACAGCAACAACAACAACAACAGAGTCCTTAAAATTGCTGGTTTTGATGTAGAAGAGTTTGTCCGTTATTCATGTTTATGTTATTTGTTACGTATGTATTTGACTATCAATACAGGCTACCAGGTACTTGTACCCGGGATCAGGTCTTGGCAGGGGCGACCCCAGAGCCAAGTTGGGACTCTCGGCCCGTACCCGGTACATAACATAGGTACACGGATCCATTTTGTGTACCGTAACAGCACATCGACAATCACACAAAGATCAAACCCACGGAAATTGAATGTTCAGTTCAAAAGAGATATTCCAACAAAGTTGCCCGATGATTCTGAATGAATTATCAGCCGTGCCTAACAGAGGGCGGAGGACGGAACGTTTTCCTTCCCGCTTCTGGCGGGGCTCGCGGTTAATCGCATCTTCGGCCAGGTGTTAACTAGTTATTTTAATCATCCAAACAAACGCAACTAACTGCACTGCATAGGTTACAGGAAAGGCCTGCCCAGCATTCACTTTAAGGATTTGAGACAATTAAAATCCAGTCGTGCGTGACAAAGCCCATCCTTCATATGACAGGAGACTCCAATAGTCATTGACACTTCCAGAGTGTTATGGAGGACCACCTGGTTTGCAAAGAAGTTGAAGAATCCCATATTGACTCGGAAAGCAGCGGGAAGCAGAAGGGGGGTTTTTTTTTTTTAAGGTTAAACTTTTCTCTTCCATCCAACCTCTTGCATTCAAAACTTCTGGCCAACACGCGAGCTAGGGATTCTGTGCCCTCCGGTCAGGCCCAAGGCAGCAAGTGACACCAGGATCATGCGGAGTCGAAAGGAAAATACGGTCTTGCTCAAATGAATTTATCAATTTGCAATTGTACAATTACCCATCCACCAACGCCACGTATTTATCATCAGCCTTACTGGATGATGGAAATTCTGGGTATGTTGGTGTCCTGGAACCTGGAATTCGAAGCGTTTTAAAAACTCCGCGCTTTGAAAATGTATATACCAAGATTGGTGTGATGTGCTGTGATCACCAGGTTCACTAGGTTGAGTGTCTATGGTCACTGCCTCCATATACCTCATAGATATTCCGTTGAGTTGAAACAAAACAAGCTTCAGCAAGGAGAGTTCATATTTAAGGGGTCACCTATGGCATAACGGGTAGCCATGGCAGCCACCTGGCCTTTAAACTATGGGATGCCTCCACGGACCTCCACGGATTACCAATTGATCAGGAAAGACGCAAACAGGGAAAAGTAGGGACAGGAGTCTTCGATGCGCTCTTTCTAATGTCTCTGGTAGACTTTGGTGGAGGAGCTCACTGCCATCCCAACAACTATCTAACAAGGCATCAATCAGCAGAACTAATCTGGCACGAATTATTTCTGTGTGATTCAGCTACTATCCAATAATTAACTAGTTAACTGTATCTGCAGTAGTTACTCATCGTGCCCGTTTCCAGCAGGATCGGCAATGAGTGTCTAACACCACAGATTACAAAGTTATTCAACCGCCTTCCATCTACACCGACAGAGCCAGTGTGACACACATATGTATGTAGTTACATACATAAGTGCCTCGGAACCGAGATCGATACCTACCAGCCTGCACGCTTCCGTTGCGGAATACCCGTTGAAACAGAATGTGTGCTGAGGGAAGTTCCGTTCTTCCTTAATCGAACTGCTCTGCTTCTAAATCAGCTCTCTTACTCATACATAATTTAATGACCTACGCTCTGTGCCTGGGAAAGGCGTGGGCTCCGCTATGTTCTGGATTCCCCGTACAGGACAGTAATTGTACAACCGTTGCTTTGAAATGAGGCTGAATGCCGCATCCGTTTTGGATCCGACCCAGAAACAGCTTTCCCACTTGGACGATGAGTTGTGTGGGCAGATTGATTGTCATTCTCCGCAAAATAGGTAGGATTCTGAATAGCATGATGTCTTGTTGTCATAAATATATGCATACATAGGAAATGTTGTCTAAAGGGAATTAGGCTGCCCAATCCACTTGAATCGCGATGAATTATGATTTACTGGGAAAGATCTTATCTAGCGATTAGGTGTCTGTCTTTCTCACTTCATCTTGCCCATTAATCTAAGTCCGTATGGAATTTTTATCCATCTGATGCCTTTGGTTATAACTCGTTGCACGGTTTATTCCAATGCTCATCTGCCGCTATGCCAAAATAGGAATAGCCTCTGCCCTTTAGAGATTTACCCCAAACGTCCCCTCACTCTATCAGTGGAGTAACTCAAACAAGTCGAAGACTTATATACGATCCTCACCAGCCTAACGAATGCAGTTGATAAGGGGGCTTTGGCCAGGATGTCAGTAACTGTAAGCTATTAACAAACCCATCAATTGGTCTAGAAACCACCCGTCTCCCCCGCATCTTCTTGACTACCGCTGACATATTCCCTGTCAACCAGCTCCATACCACCCATGGCGATCTCAAAGTAGAAGTATTCCACGAAGCAACACCAAAAACTGCAGAGGTATGTACCTCCCCTTCCCCAAGATATCCAATCATGAGCGCTCCCTCTCTCGTTCTCCCTCACCATTGCCAACCGAAGCTGATAATCCTTAGAACTTCCTCGCCCTCTGCGCTGCAGGCGCATACAACAACACACCCTTCCACCGCCTAATCCCCACCTTCATGATCCAGGGCGGTGACATTTCCCTCTCCAAAACCGACACACCAGCCTCCCCCCTCCCTTTCGAAATCCCCAAGGGTGGCACATCAATCTACCACCCCATCCCTCTCGCCCATGAAATCCACCTCCCCACCATCCGCCACAATACTCGCGGCATGCTAAGCATGGCTAGCAAATCGCTAAAGACCCACTCTGCCTCTGGAGCCGTGGAGACGACGGAAGTGAATGGGAGCCAGTTCTTCATTACGTTTGCGCCGGCGCCTCATCTGGATGGGAAGAGTACCGTGTTTGGTAAAGTGTTGGCTGCCGGGGAGGGGGAGCCAGGTGGGGTGGTGCTGGAGAGGTTGGAGAAAGCTAAGGTGAAGATTGATAAGAAGGGGAGGGTTGTGCAGCCTGCTTCGTTGTCGGAGCAGGAGGTGAAGGAGAACGGGTGGGAGGCTGTGGGGATTGAGAGGGTGACGATCCATGCGAATCCGTTTGCGGTGTGATGGGTTGATTTTTTGTTGGGTGGGATGTTGAATATGGAATATTGTTTGGCCGGATTGGACATGTTCGATGTATGGATTTCCTTATATGTTATTTTCGTGTTCCCTCGGGATGAAGTGCTAACCTTCTAGCTTTTAAATACAGGAGATGCACAAGCGCAAAACCATGATATGGACACTATACGATCGCAGGCAGCCCATACGGTAAACCCAATCGTGCGCACATTTCGCGGAGGCATGACCTGCGACGACTACTCAACTCGACTCGGTTCGGGTAATAAGAACGGAATAACGAGGAGGGGATGGGCACATTTGACCCGGAGCACCTGGGTTGAGTCCATTGATTGAATACATCAGGAGAATAACCTGCCCAAACAACAGAGAGAGATGACTGGGACTTTGAATGGAGTGAGAGGTGCCGTAGCAGTTTATTAGCTACAATATTCGATACAGCTGGCGGTCAAGAAGCATTCCCAGTATATGTAGATACAAAGAAATAATCCAAATAACCTGTGCAGTTGAAGTTACAATGTCTTGCTTCATGGGAGCTATTCTATTTATTTCTAAATTTTACAAATGGGAAAAAAATAAAAATAAAAATAAAAAAACTCCACGCGGAGCCAACATGGTGCTAGTGGTAAGAAGATCGATTTTATTTCCTTTTTGTAGATGAACGGGGGTAAGCTGTTTAAGAGGGTCCAGGGGAGATGGTGAGTAAATAGAGTCACCTATGCAAGTACATAAAAAACATGAAGAAGCAAATATCATGTCGCCATATCGTCCATATCCATCGCTTTCGTAGAGGGTCAACTTGATAGCAAACTTATATTTATTTTTCATTTTAAACAAAAGAAAATGAAGCAAAATATCAAAAATTGTTATGATTTCTGTTCCTTCTCAGCAGACGGAGCATCGACTATAGCTTCACTATCCTCCTCGTAGCCCTCAGTTTTCATATCCTTCAAACCCAATTCATCCTCCTCTTCATCCGTGCGCTTGTATTCTTCAACCGTAAGTCGCGGGTCTGGCTCTGGCGAATAGAGGTTTTGCACATAGCTATTAGCCAGCGGATCCTCCAGCGTGATCGTAAACTTCAAATCACCCGTGATGGCGGAATTGAGTCGTGCAAAGAACAGATCCCAAAGCGCCTTGTCGTCTTCTTGCATGGAGTCACCAGGTTTGATGTCCTCATCTCCCATCTCGAAAATTTGCCCGTGTAGCTGGTCGCGAACTTCGGTCAGAAGACCTTCCACTGTTGTGAATCTGCCTCCCAACGTGCCTGGCTGGACGGAGAGGTCAAGCTCGCTGCTCGACAGGGCGCAGGTGTCTGACTTTAAGATGTCGCGGGACAGGTCTTCGATCGTGGCTACTTCGAGAGTGACTCTTCGTCCCTTTTCGGGGACAGCACCACCTGTTTTCACTTCGTTGGTGCGGTATCCGCAGTGATCGCAGACGGTGCTCCAGATGAACACCTCCTTGAAATGCGGGATGTCAACTTTCTGCATGTTGACCGCGCAGACCTTGCTGCATCCAGGACATTCGGAGGGCAGGGTATAAACTTGTCCGTCAATGATATCAAGATCTTCGGGATCACCTGCGGATGAGGACATGGTCATGTTGGCATTCGCATCTGGCTTCTTTTCCTCTTCCGCGGAAAGCCCAAGCTCCTCGTTTTGCTCTCGGGTTCGGGGATAGCCTTTGCGCCTGTATTTGCTTCCTTCGTCATGTGGGGCTGGCGCAATCCATGAATTGCCCGTAGGGTCATCGAGGGAAACGGTGAACGGGAAGGATTCCCCCTCAATCATCAGTTTTAGCTTCCCAATGATGCCATCAAGTGCTTTGTATAACTCTGGATCAACCACCTTGCGACTCGGTTGTTCAGCTTCCAACTGCGATAGAATTTTGGTCAAGATTCCTTCAATATTTGTCAATTGCCCTGACTCCTTTGGCATTTCAATACCAAGAGTTTCCAGTCGGAATACTGAGTTGTCACCCTTGACAACTTGACGTTCGAAATCGCTCTTGTCTGTTACCTCAAGTGTATACTTAGTGCCATGCTCTTGGATCTCTCCTGCAGATTTAATAGAGTTGTTTTTGAAGAAACAGTGGGGGCACTCGAAAGATTCTAAAAGAACATCGCGAAAAAAGGGAATTTTAATCAATAGTAGTTTCGTAGTTCCCTAGATTATGGAAACCAAATTAAACAAGGCTTAGCTAGGCTTGACAGAAAGGAGGCAAACATACAGTTTGCTGGCAGTTCATACACATACTCTCCAACTGCATAAGCCCCGTATCATCATCTGTTTGGATCCTGTTGTGACTCCCGTTCTCATCCTTACCGGCCTCCAGATTCTGAGCAGCATCGTTGAGGTCCATATTTCTCATCTGGACGTTCGGAATTTTTTTCCGATTGTTTGCTTTCTGTATTCCGTGTAGGAATGGTCTGGGAGGCTGGAGCTTCTTCGGTCTCGTTGCCGGCAGCAATATTTATAAAAATTGAAAGCGGGAAGATCAAGGAAAATATCGAGGAAAAAGGCTCCCGGCCTTTCGTTTCCTCCTTATTTCGAAGCTGGAGGTTGATCTGGTTTAGGTGCGATGCAATATCAACTTATGCAATGATCAACAAATATATGGATATTAAATCACAACTCCCCTCTTCCCTGGTGTAATAGAGATGTCTGGTAGTTAACTGGCTAAATCTGCGGCTATATCAAACGCAAAACTGGTTTGTTTTCTCCTGGAGTCGAAATATCAATGAAAATAAGAAAGTGGTGGTGATGACGCTAAGCCCCACTGGGCTTAGAACCAACTATACCCCGCGCTAAACCGTTTTTGGTTCGGGTCGGATAAGCCACACTCCGGATAATCACTGCTTGAGAAAGTCGAGCAGAGCCAGCGCCGACGACGAAGACGACGACGACAACACCGTTTGGGACTGCGCACGCTGTTTTCTTGTTGCGAGGGCTGCCGCTAGGTCTTGTTTCTTGCGTGCTTTGGCTCTCTTCTTGCTGCTGAGGTTCGCTGTGGATTTCTGTAACGTGATGGCGGCTGGTGATTGCGTGGTCTGCTCCGCGACTGAGAGGGTCCCCGCTGAAGAGGATATCTCCGTTGCGAACGCAATTGCTCCTAGATGTTGTTTCTTAGATTCTGTATGTTTGGTAGTACTCTGTAGGCGTTGGAATTTCCGGCGATGGCATCGTAGACACTTGTATATCACTCCGAGGGGAGGATCAATTGAAAGTGTCTGTTTCGGAGTACGACTTCCCTTGAGATTCTTCTTCACTCCATTTTTCTTGATACTGATAGTTCTTGAAGAATGGGATGTCCTGATGCTCCCGCAGGCACCGCAGAATTCTCGGTGATTGGTGATAGACAACCGCTTTGATTCATCGCGGAGCAGCTGGTTGTGAACTGATAGAAGATGAGAGGAGGTGGAACGACTCTGGGCGGCGAGATAATGCGCGGAGTTTTTCAGAAATTTCAGCTGTGTGGCAGATACGGATGAAGCCATGTTAGATGAAAGGTAGCATCTATTGGAGGTGACAGTTTGCTCATATTAAAATATAACGAGAGAAAGGCCCTAACAGTCAAATGTTTTGAATACTGAGATAAAGTGATTTTAACGTTAAATAGTCATGTTGTTTCTCACGGAAAAAGCCACCACTGCAGAAAGTGAAAAATCCCTGCAGTCAGGATCCCTCTCTAAATCTTTACATCCTTCAACAACCCGTAATTAGTAACATCTATAGCAACGCGTCCTCCATAACAAAGGAATCTAAAAGGACCTCTGGCTATAGATATCAACTCTCTCAGTTTCATCCTGTTCATCCTCTTTTTTCTTATCACAGCACATGGCCGTTTCTTCACACTCGTATCGGTTTATGGGTACACGACCCCAACTGGGCACCACAAAGAACAGACACCAACATTCAAGACTGCTCAGGATGCAGAGCAGTAATGCATCCCAGAGGCTGAGAGTGGCTCTGGAAGGCTGTGTAGGTTTCCCTTCTGCCTTACTGGCTGCATATTGATGATTTGATGTTATGAGAACTCAATGCTAACACCCATCAGGGGCATGGTAAACTCCATGATATCTATGCCTCAGTAAACAAAGCAGCAAAACTCAAGGGATGGAATCGTGTGGATCTTCTTATCATTGGTGGAGACTTTCAGGTCAGTTCTTATTCCTTTGATTTGCACACACATGTAAACATTCTTTATCTTACATTCTGGTATAGGCGGTCCGCAATTCATATGATTTAAGCTGCATGTCTGTCCCTCAGAAGTACAAGAAAATCGGGGATTTCCATGAATACTACAGTGGTGCCCGTGTCGCGCCATATTTGACCATTTTTGTGGGTGGAAATCATGAAGCTAGCAACCACCTGTTCGAGTTGTACTACGGAGGCTGGGTAGCCCCTAATATCTATTATCTGGGAGCTGCAAATGTTATCCGCTGTGGGCCCCTTAGAATAGCCGGTATCTCTGGGATCTGGAAAGGATATGATTATCGGAAACCCCATTTCGAAAGACTTCCTTACAATCGCGGTGACAAACAAAGCATCTACCATGTTAGGGAACTGGATGTTCGCAAGCTTTTGCAAATTCGAACCCAAATCGATCTTGGTCTAAGCCATGACTGGCCGCAGGGTATCGAATGGCACGGCAACTTCAAAAAACTTTTTAAAAAGAAACCCCTATTTGAAGCGGATGCTAAAGCAGGAAAATTGGGCAGTGTTGCCGCGAGATATGTTTTGGATCGCCTGCGACCTCCGCACTGGTTTTCCGCCCACCTCCATTGCAAATACACGGCTCGTTTGGTGCATGGTGATTATAAACCCCCCGTGTTGAGTGATAGTCTTGGCCCAAATCGTGAATCTCAAATGACGCCATTGGGAGATGATGTCGTCGTTTCGCCGTCTACAACCAAAGAACCCCCTACCCCGTTTGGTTCATTTAGTAGACCTCAAGTATCTGTTCCCAACACTGACAGTGTACCTGTTGTACCACCAAACACATCCAACGATGTACTCGCTACAGCCATGAATACAGAGATGGGCGACACAACATTCTCTGACCCCAGAACCGAAGTCGTGCCGCAAGTAGCTGTGGGCAGTGGAACTGTTGCACAACATCCCGCTCAATCAGGAGATCGTGACAGCGCGCAATTATCGGCCTGGCAAAACTTTCACACAGATGCGGAAGATGAGGTTCGCCTGATGCAAGAGGAAGCAGAACATGAGAGACAGATCGAAGCTAGTCTGATAAGTAGACCAGAGGTAAATTACCAACTTACCTGGAAAAGTGTGTGAGTTGTAGACAGTGGTCTAACACGCGAGATCCAGGACATTACCAAAGTGGGCTTCGATAAGGAGCAACCATCAATTCGTGACGAAGCTGCGCAGCAAAAGGGAGCTGTGGAAAAGCCTGGAGTGAAAAATACCGATGAAATTGATATTGATCTTGACACCTCATCGGAAACTTCAGAAAAGTCCGGAACTATGGACTCTAAGAAGTCTATGCCCAATATTACCGATGGAATGGAAACTAACCGTGATAGCTCACCACAGAGGATGGAAGCAGAAAACATACCTTCCACTTCGGCGCCTGAGAATGTAGGCGAGATGGCACAATCAGACGAGGTGCCTTCCGATGTTCGCGATCAGCTACCGCCAAGTTTTCGGAAGCCAAACCAGATATCATCTCTTACACCAGAACAGTTGCCAATTTTCGACCCTAAGCTGCCAGAGACCATCAAAAACACAGAAACCAACTTCATTGCCCTGGATAAATGCGAGGGAAAAAGGAAATTTATACAGCTCATTGAGTACCCTGCGATATCACTACCGGATGGAGGTGCTGGAGGAAAAGAGAGCCGCCCGTACCAGTTGAAATATGACAAAGAGTGGCTCGCCATCACTCGAGCCTTTGCTGACGATCTTACACTTGGCGACCCCAGCGTGCCAATCCCACCAAATAAAGGCGATGCCCGCTACAAGCCAGAAATCCTCTCTGCTGAAGAATGGGTTGAAGAGAACATCGTGAAACAGGGAAAAATGTTCGTTCCGCATAACTTCTCCATCACGGCGCCCGTCTATGACCCTGCTGTACCGATCACGACGAACGAGATGCCACCAGAATACACAAACCCGCAAACAGCAGAGTTCTGCAAACTCCTCGGGATTGAAAATAAGTTCTATATCAGTGAAAAGGAACGTCGTGCTCGTAATGATGCTGGTCCACGCCCGGAAGAGGGGAGACAGTTCCAGCCACAATATGGACGTTTTGGGAAAGGGAAGGGGAGAGGAGGGTGGCGGGGCTCTCGGAATGAGGGTGGCTGCAGGCAAGGCAATGGAGGACGCGGGAAAAGAGGGAGAGAAGGACGTAGTTGATAGTATGGTGGCTGCGGGATGAGTGTGTTGTCTAAACATCATGTCTTGTTACCTCTTTTCCACTTCATTTGTTCCTCTCTTTCTGTGGTGATGAAATTGGGGGATGGCAGTGGGGAGTGAGGTGTTTGCGCTGTATCATTAAACACAGAGTTAGTCAAAGAGGAAAATTGTCTACTTGGTAAAATATGTTTTATTCCAGCTCTGTCCAGAAGAGCTAATGGGGACGTTTTTCTGCTCCCACCTCATGCCCCAGGGTTTCCTATGGGAACCCAGTTCACCGCAAGTAACCTGGTCAAATCTCCGCATAATGCTACAAGTCACTTCGTAGAACCATACGAAGATAATATGATGCACATTGAAACTGGTGGGTTTATATTTGCTGTGCGCGGCAAACAAAGATGCAACGGAGGATAAACAGCCAAATCATCCGCAGGTGGTGCATTTGAGGTTGCAAAAAATTCAACATACCAGGACATGCACAGCTGCTCAAGATCTAAAATGGAAGGCTATTCAATTTCCTCTATCCGTGGCCCCCTTACCAACGGCTGACCAGCACCACTACTATCAAGATGTGGATGAATATCCAACCCAGCCAGTTGATCTCTTAGCTCGAACCTGGGTTCCCCATCTCCCTCGCAGGACCTTACACCCCACAACAACGATTTTTCAAGCCATGCCTCCAGACTCTCTATAAGAACTCGTATGTGCCCACGCACGATAGGGTCTGTTTCGTTGCTCTCCACGAATGTTAGGACGCGCAGCATATCGGGGATATTCCCAATGGGTCCATCATTTGGATGTTCTCGCTGACCGTTGGAGTCTGGGGAGTGTTTAATGTAGGAGAATCCGAAACCAAGGTTAACTCCGTTTTCCCTTGCCATGTCGAGCGCTTTGACGAGATCAAGAAGTAAGACAACGGCAGCTCGCCGCAAGATGGCGCTTTCGGGGCCACGTTCGAGATTTAGGGTTGATATGGCCAGGTCAATCGAAGAAGATAAGATGGACGGCCCAAGGCCTGCGATATTCGTTTGGATAGCTGATGCTAAGATGGACATAGCGGATGAGCGGACACGAAGGTCATCGGGTTCCAGGTCAGATGCCGCACCAGCGGCCCAGGCATTAATTATATTGACTGAATAGGTAATACGCGCTGGGTCTTCAGTATCTGGGTCCATCACTTCGTCTATCTGCTGCATTAGATCCGCGGCTTCATGATCTAATATGTCTTCTTCACCTCCTCCTCCTCCCGTCCTCTTCTTTAATTCCTTTTCTGATATTTCCTCCCTAACCCTCTTTGCAGATGGTTTCCTACCTCGTCGCCCAGCTACCGCAATCATGGTTTCGCCAAGTAATTTGGCGGTATCTTCAACCAAAGCGCCGCCCAGTTCCTGAACAGTCCGCAACAACGCCTCACCAATCCTCAACCGTTGGTCCAGGGAATACTCTTCGCCTCTATCTGCATAGCGCTCTGTCAAAGTTTTGACTACGGTTCGTGGGTGCTTTGATGCAAGCACTCCGATAATTTTAATGACATTTATATAAATGAATTCGTCGTTCGAAGAAGATTCGGAATTTGAATTAGTTATTAGAGAAAGTAGAAGAGCAAGTGTTGCAGGTATATCGAGAACAGGGGATGATTCGGTGATTAAGCGAGAGAGAAGGGCAAGACCCTCGGCCTTTATGGGGGGTAATGGAGATGAGAGATGCTCGAGAACTTGGCGATGAATTTCGAGGTCAGATATCCGCGAAGAAACTATCTCCGATTTCTCTCCCGCGGAGAATGAAGAGGTAAGGGTGATTTCAAGAAGCATCGACGCGGTAGTTGCGGGCTGAACAAGAGAACGCGGGAGTTTTGGTAGAAGCTTGCCTAGCTGGGCTTTTATCCTTTGAATGACCGGGGATAATGTTTCTGACAACGAAAAATCGGGGGAGGTGAGGATGGTAGAAAGAAGACTGAATGCAGCTGACAATGACTCTGATTCCTCCGTGTTATCTTGCTCAATGTGCTCATGGCCGCTTTCGACCATATTCCCCAAATATCGGGACGATGGAGTTTTCTGTTTCCCTTCATCTTGACTCACCCTCGACACGATCCCGCTTCGTATAAGCTGCTCAATTATACCCAGTATCATGTCAGGGTGTCGGCATAGACTATCCTTGAATTTATCCAGTAATTTCTCCGTAAACTTGGCACTTGTAACCTTTTGCAACGTGGATTGTAAATCTTTACCGGCTCGTAGAATTTCCCGCTGATTATGATCAGGTTGTTCTGGAGGCCCTAGTAGCCATACCTGGCTAACATAAAGAAACACGTCTCCTACAAGCTCCTCACTTTGAGGATCACTGGAAAGTAGCTCTAAAATGCCATCAATGCGGCCATCTAAGAGGGATATGAGCTGCTTTGGGTTAAATTGCTCCTGAAGCCCGGGATCTGTACGTTTCCTGACAGAAATCCCGCCTTCTTGACCTGGACCATAGGTCCAGGTTTTTCCCCCATCCCATAGGATATGATCGGCCAGTTTCTTATATCTCCTTATTCCAGTCGATACGCTAAAAAAGGTTTTCAGCAGAGTGGAAACCTTGTCATACCAGAATGATCTTTGATGCTCTTTCGCATAGCACTTCAGCGCCCAGAGAGGCAGTAAGACAGGTTGAATCAGGCGTTTTAAAAGACCCGGGTTTGGGTGCAATAAAACCAGAGCGCTCAGCCTATTAAGGGATAGAAGCAATTTCGGTTCATCTATGAGGATTGCACCCTCGAGGTTATCCAGTGAGCTCTCGTTCAACAGGGTGCCGTCTAAAGAAAACAGCTTCAGCCACGAAGCAACTTCCCTTGTCGGATTGCCGTGAAGTGAGTCGAATATGGGTTTCACAAATATTCTATATCCTATCGCACCTGGCGCCCCATATGACTGCTTTCCGAGTATTCCACTGCCAATCACGTAAGAGGCTGTTTTCTGAAGTCCTGATTCATCACTATCTAAAAGAGCTAGCAATTTTGGAGAGATATTACAAAAATAGTCGTCAGCCGGAACTGTTTGAGGAACAGAAGATAGCAAACGAGACGTCTGCATGATGGCCTGCACAGTAATTGGAGGGCCATTGGAGGGTGATGTTTCCACGTTTTGCCCTAAAGCCGGGGCAAACTGAGAGGCAATAAAAATAACTGTTTGGAACACGCCATCCTTGCGGAGGAGGATCTGCGACAACTCGCCCAATATTCTGGTTTTGAACCATGCTGCAGAACTTTTTTGGATGAACGTGGAGAGAATGGGTAGCAAGGATGGTGTAGGGGTACTGGAGATTTGTAGTCAGCGAATATAAGAAAGAAATATAACGAGTAACTCACCCATCAATAATCGTTTGAAATAGCTTAGCGTATACGTTTATATCGTCCTGGGAAAGATACTGTGAATGAAATGCGAGTTCTGCAGTGGCACACAGTATGTCTACTATTATTCTTCCTAGAATTAGTGACTGGATGCCAGAGTGTTTATCACAAATAATGGGCCTTAAATTATCTATTATAAGGCGTAATAGTCTCTCATCATGTGCCTTGTTCCCGGAAGTCGGTTCTGGTTGTCTTGCAACAACGCCGGTTGGCAGAACGGAAATTACCCGTTGCTCAAGTGGGATCCCAACCCCGCTTGATAGCGCAGGGTATACTCCTTCAAGGGAAAGAAGATCAAGTAATCCATGGATCACCCGTCGCCGTTTTGTATCTTCAAGAACCGGGTCTTCTCTCCGCCCGTTTCCCTTGGAATAGTCAATGTCAATACCCAGGCTTGAGTCAACAAAAGCATTGTGGATCGCGACGAGAAGATCTAGTGCCCGCTGGATTACATGTAACCTGGAGCTTTCAGCCCCTTGGTTTTGAACTGAGAGCTGTCGCGAAAGAGTTTGAACGAGAGAGTCGCCGCGAGATTTCTGGATCTCCTCTTTGATACCAAGGGTTAGCTTAGTGTAAACTAGAAGGAAGTTAAGATTGCGTGCCTCTTTTTAAGACCGGACTGAGGAACTCATAAGTCTCGCCAAACACCTTAATGAGCTGTTTAGAACTGCCCATTTTCATAACTCTCCATCACCAATACTTTCTGCGGCATTAATTTTTTCAGAGAGCCTGTTCAGTTAAATTCAGACGGTGACGTTATACGTTGAAAGCGAGCCTGGTATGATTATGTAATGTTAGTTAGTTGCGCCACGTGATATTTAGTGGCAGCCATATGCCGTACATAAATTAAAGAGAACTTCAACTCCTTCGTGAATGGCAACATGCAATGTTTCTGATGATGACTTTCAACTCGTTTTGAATCTTCCTGCCAGCACAATTCGTTGCCATTGGTGTTGATTATTTCTCATTGCTATGGTTCTACTCTTCGGACGCCTTTGCTTTGACCTCGATTCATTCCGTTCCCTTGATGTAACCTTGATCAGCTCATGTCCGCTCTCAGGGGCACTCCTCGTTCACCACTCTCTTGCCTATTTATTGGCGATATATATATACAGCCCGGCCTCCCCATAGTTATCCAATAACCATCTGACGTGCCCAAGGCTCCGTACTATCTTGTCGCGTCGTTAGCTTGCTAGCCTCGCGAGGACGTCGAATAGCGGGTTGGGTGGATATTGGAACTTAACCCTACATTACCTCGTCGGTTGTCCTTCTCTAAGGACATTAGCTTCGCGGTTAACAGTTACCAAATACCTGATTAGCCCGTATGATTCTTTCACCGGTCTCAAATGGTCGAAAGGGTGTTTGGTGTCCAGAACCCTTAAAAGAGATTTACTATGCGTTTTAAAGTGTCCAAAAGGAACACGCGTCAGTTTATCTGCTGGACTTACATACTTGGATCGCTGAAGGGATGGTCAGTTTGATGCTTGTCCTTTTTTGGAGCAGAATGGGAGATGGTTGGTGAGACATATCGGGCAATCTCACTTTTGGGAATTGTCGTTGGGAGCTATAAAACCGCTGGACCGTCGTTGTCGTTGTTAAATATTCTCGGCTGTTTTACCAGACTCAACGACGTATCAAGATGATCTTGCCGTTTGGTGGGAAAGCATTCAGCTTTGAACGCAACAAATCCATCTGTCATAAGGATGGTTGCCTACACACCTGCCACCTTGAATGCATTTGCAAGTCGTTTTTGCGGATCCACTTGCCGGAATCGTTCCATGCTGTCTCCTGTGCAGATTCACATGGCTCGTAGCAAGGTCAACAATACGTCAAGCAGATGTGTGGTCGCTTAACTGGCAGCGTTGCCGCATTGCCGTTAAGATTTTGTGCTTGTTGCCTTGTTCCGGTTGCATTCGTTTGCGTCCACAGCGGTGATATTCTTGGAAATTATATCATATGAAGACATGAAGTTATTCTCATTATTTAGTCATGGACTTTGGCATAACTTTGTGGCATTTTTCTCAATCCACGGTCGGCTGTCCCGTTATGTGTCTCGAACCTCCGAAAAGAGCCTTATTGGCCTTTAGACCCCTACCATCCACCCCATTTCCCGACTATTGAAACATTGCGCACTGGCCTTGCACCGCGATACCATTCAAAGGTGTTAGCTTGGTTCCAAGCGTCCCGATCCGCCGCGTTAGTCATCTCCCTGTGAGTTTAGCTTACAGCCCCGAGTGAGCACCGACACACTGGGTCCTTGCGGAGCTTCTCCAATAGTGCCCAGATTCTCTACTATCGCCCATCGCGAAGGGAGGAAAAAGCGGTTTTTGAGGATGTCTTTTGTCCGCTTTCAAACGCCCTTCGACTCCCGACTTTAATTTCGGTCCAGCAGTTTGGAGAGGAAACAAAAACTAGTCTCTGAGGCTACTGTATCACACACAAGAGAGGCTAAATCCCGGTCTCAGAACGAAATCGGGGGTTTGAACGTCGAGTGTTTTGGCATGGATTCTTGTGTTTGCAGGGATACAAGAATCGAGAAAAGCAAAACGCAGAAGGGCAGAATGGCGATGGTGAAGGAACAACATGGTGGTAATAATACTGTTGCATGTAAGACAAAGACGAAAGGAGCGTCTCTAATACGGAACTTCATAAACGCCTTTGCCATGTGTTTAGGGATTCGAGCTGTGTTGCAGACAAGTGTAGACAACTCTTACTTTACGGCTGCACCCTTAAAAAGATTTGATCATTTCGCGCAACCAATTCTCCAGTTATGACCTTGCAATCTGCGCCTCAAAAAGTCTTTAGCCTTTTCCATTGGTTTTAAAATCATCTCAACCTAATACCTGCTCTACGATAATGGGAGAGGATACAAGTTGGCTTTGGAACGTGCACCAGATCGGGACCTCTCTTGAGTGAGGATCAAAGCTTAGGCTTGTCTGTAACTGATGCACGCCCATTCTCCTTTTGCATCTTCTATTCCCATCTTGGTACCAGGCATTAGTGCTGGAATGTTGGTTCCAATAGGGGTGAGGGACGAGGTGTCTGTTGTGGTCATGGCGTTTATGAGGATGTTCTGCGTTATGTGATTGGGTGGCGGCCGGGGGGTAAGGAGAACTCTAGACTATGAGAAGCAACATGAGTGACGATTTCTTCAGTGGTTTGTGCTGTTGGAAGTTCCCTGCCGTTCCCTCTGTAAAATGGGGAACGGCCTTGGTCTTTTTTTTTTTATAAGTCTCTCAATCCCTCCTAAATTTGAGATTTGAGCTAACTACTGCAGCAGGTTCCAGCTATAATTTTTGTACAACCTGTTGATGTTACCCATCACATTTCCTTTTTCAGTATAATGTTGGGGTATTTGGATATATGTTAAACGGTTAACTCGTTTGCCTCCATTTCGAGTTCTCAGTAACACCAACTTATGCCGAAGCTGTTTGTCAAGAAATTCTTAAGCCTCTTAGTTATGCAACCGTGCAGTGCCGTGCCACCTAACTATGGGTTTCTCTTTGTTATTGGTCATACATAACCATCTCTATGGCTTCTCGGAGCATTTTGCCAACATAACAAATGCTTATGTTGAGAGCCCACCGTATAGCCCACCATAACACGATATCGCGTCGCTCTTGTTGGCCTTCTTGCTATCATTATTAATACAGCCGGCAAGCCACCCCCAGTCCCCCGTTGCAGCTTCCTGTGGCTGTTGATATTCTGCTCCGTCGGCTCGGCATTTTGAGCCCCCCGCAGTGCATGGAAAGAACGCTATATAACCTTGCCGGTCTCGGTTTCCCCGGCGATGTTCGTAGCGTTTTGCCGAAGCTCTGCGGCGGTGTCTCCTTCCCGCTACGCTCTGCTGTCCGGTTCCAAAAAGTTGTCTCCGTTTGTTGACTCGGCTCTCGTTTTTATGCTTTGCGCCGATTATTTAAGCGGTGCAGTTTCGTATACCCGTATCCGGTTCAATCCTGTATACATATTTTTGGTATATTCGCTCATCCTTATTTATTAAATTTCACGGGCGCCCCAGACCCCGTTACTGTCGCCGCCATGCTTTCTCGCCCCTGGATGTGGGCTCTCTATCTCAGCCATGCTATTCTCGCTTCCGCTGCTGTTCATGGCCAGGAGGACACACCGGATTCTGAAAAGTCCAAAGGAGTAATCCCTAGTTTCCCGCTAGACCTACCCCCAAACCCAATGCCTGCACCAGGATTCAGTGGGCGGAACAAGTCTCCCGATTCGGCATTAAGAAAACGTGCTGCTGCTGCTGCTACTGAGAGGTGCGGAGCTGATTTTCAATCCTGTGATGATAGTTACTGCTGTTCACCATCAGGTATGCTTCTTCATATTGGAACTCTACTGTCATTTGCTTACCGTAGATCTTACATCTTGCTTACTGTGGCTGCAGGCTATTGCGGTACAGCTAAATTCTACTGCCAAGCTCCAGATTGCCAGATTAACTACAGCAACGGCTGCGATGCATTGAAAACCCCTGGAGGTGACACTACGGCAGGAGTCGCGCGTGACCAAATTGGAGAAGTCCCATATGCGTACAATCCGATATACCGTTGCATCGTCCCCAACATGGTCGCTTTGACGTACGATGATGGCCCAAATATCTACACCAGCGATCTCCTTGACATCCTCGATTCGTACGGTGCCAAGGCCACTTTTTTCGTAACAGGTATCAACTCCAACAAGGGCCCGATAGATGATCCCAATCTGCCGTGGAAGAACCTGATACAACGAATGTTTGAAGGTAATCACCAAATTGCTAGTCACACATGGGGTCATCAAGATCTTGAATCTCTTTCAGCGGAGCAACGTCGTGACCAAATGATCATGAATGAAATGGCTCTTCGCAATATCTTTGGTGGATTCCCAACTTACATGAGACCCCCATACTCGAAATGCTCGGACGAGTCAGGCTGCGTTCAATCCATGAATGACCTAGGCTACCATATTACCTATTTCGATGTAGATACGGATGATTACAACAATGCCCCTCCAGGCCTCATACAACGCTCCAAGGATATTTTCAATAATGCAATGAATGCGGCTGAACCATCTAGAAGACCCTTGTTGGTTATTGCACATGATGTACACCAACAAACTGTGTACAGCCTTACTCCTTACATGCTGGAGAGACTATATGCGGCAGGTTATCGGGCAGTCACGCTGGGAGAGTGTCTCGGGGACAGTCCGGAGAACTGGTATCGCTGGGCCCATCCGTTTAGCATTCCAGGTCGCTGGTGGTCAAACACGTCGCGAAGGACAAATCCCTCCAACGAAACTGCTTTCATTCGATGATGATCCTTGCGGACAACAATACATCCGTGATGGCTTTATATCAAATGCTTTCGCCCACTCGATTTAATCTCCAGGGGTTTGAAATTGGAGATTGATCCTTGCAGATTCCATCAGTTGAGGCCTAATGCTGACATTGACTCGAAATTCATGCATCTATAAGTGGTCCCTTTGACTGCTGTAGGAGGTACATAGCCTCAATGCTGGTGGTTATATATACATATTGAAAACTGCGTGGTTTGAGGCATGGTTTCGAGATTGCATTTCGGTGTACATTCTGCGTCGACATGTTTTGGTTAGCTCCTGGCTCTCTGTCTTTGCCTTTCCTCACTTCGATTCTGGGGTTTTTTTTTTCTCACCCTCTCCTTTGGTTTTTTCTATCAGCTTCTTTTGTACATACTATCATTATCGTTCCTCCACCCTTTCGCTCCGTTAACGCGCTCTCGAAACCAATACTACGTGTCTTCTGTCCATAGGGCTATCTAGCCAACCAATTCACTCTGCTTCTTCGCCTTGTTACAGGTTTCCTGTTAATGAACGTATAGTGTGTGCAAAACCATTCTCCAACTCCAGTACTTTCAGATATTGTACATTTAGAGCAAGGAGTCTCATACTCCTACTCGCCAAACACAAGGTCCATGGCATACGTGCGCGCTTTTACGCGATTGCTATATTCCGGATGGCTGTTATTATCAAGGCATTATTGCATTTTTTAAACGGGAGCGATGGTAGGGTGGTATCAATACCTTTACTACCGTATGAAAGAATTGTGGAAGAAACTTATTCGGATAAAGAGGAGGGGGTAAAATGTAGGTAAAGTAATAAAAAATCAATTCGGATTTTATAACAGGGGTATAAGTATACATAAATCATGGCTTATGCAGATATATCAAATGCAACCATTCGGGAACGTAGGTGTGAATAAGCGCGGGTGTGACAAAGAAATACAATGGTGGCATCCTTCAGGCAATGGGAAGGGACGGACGAGGAACACATATCGGTGTGGGGATGCATATTTTAGTTCCTTGGAGCAACCGAAAAAAAAAATAAATAATAAAAAGAAAAGAAAAATATATCACAGGGACAAAGGTGCGGGTGCGAGAACCTTGAGCTGATGGGGGTCGCAACAGGATACAATATCACAGTTATACTTCGTTCTTGATATGGGCTGCTTCATACCCGTGTCATTTGGCTCCCTCTCCTACTTTCTAACCACCTTCAGCAAGGGTGCTATCCTCGCTGTGCGGCTCAGGCCTACCCGGAATGGTACCTTCTTGTTTATTGTGATGGGACTGTGTTTGTCCGGCCCCTTTTGTATTGCCGTTGAGGGCTTCTTGGGCGTTTCGATAGGCTGAGGCGCTGCAACTGTAATTGTTATCGTGCCCTCTTGAGCTTCTGTTGAAGGGTTCTCTTGATCTTCTTGCTCATTGGTTTGCGGTGGTTGCTTGCCCTTCACAGCAGGAATTGGTTTGTATATTTCTGATTCTCTGTCCGCTGTTGAAACGATGATATTTTGGTCTTGTTTTGCAGGAGGTTGGATATCTTTCTTGCGTTCTTCGATCGAGGGTTTGGTTTCAACAGCTGGGAGAGGAAGTTCGTTAGTTAGAGTATCCGTCGTCTTCTTCCGTTTTCGACCTCGTTTCTTAGATGCAGGGACCGCAGATGGAGCTGGAGGATCAACTGGTTCCTGAAAATTCATATCCCTTTGTTTTGCATATTCGATCGCCCTTCCGTTCTCGGTTTTGGCCTCAGATTCTGCATCCTCATTGATATTCTTGGTGCCATTGCTGATGCCGTGATTGCTATTGACTTCGTAGCATTCAGCTCTCTTCAGACCCTTTAATGCACTCTTTTTGTATTTGAAAGTAACATCTGCTGGCTTCTCATCTATCCATATCACATCATCTTCAACGTCTGATTCTATAGCCCTCGTCATCATTACTGAAGTAGTCTTTCCCCGCTTAACCTTCTTCTTTGCCGCTTTGCGTGGCCATTTAGGTATCTCATGTGGCTCAGATACGTTGACTGCATCAGGCTTTGGAGATGGATAATCATGACTGGACTCCTGGACTGAAGCGTTTAACGGGTCCTCCTCACCTTGGTCAAGAATAGACTCTGTAATAACAAAGTCTCTGTCTTTGCCTTGCTGTCCGTTTTGAACAACCGAGGATGAATTTTCATGCTGAAGGACGACTTCAATGTGACCATTCGCGCCACCGTCAACCCCTGTACTTGTATCAACGGTAACCTTACTTCGAGACCTGCTTGACCGTCGCTTGTATTGTTCTTGAGGCATATCGCCAAAATCATTCTCAATACAATCCAACTCATCCCGGTCACTGTTCCCCTCAGTGGTCCTTTCAACAGCCGCCACCTTCATTTGCGTCGATGTCGATAACGATGTTGATTTCTTAATTGCTATTGCACCTTGAAACATAGGTGGTAGCGCGAGCTCATCCAGTGTACTATTCCTTAAAGATTCAGGCTGGTCACTTATAAAGGACGTCGACACTCTCCTACGTGCTCGTGCGAGAGTTGCGGAGGACATCACCCCTGTGTCGTAACCAGTAACCTCAAATATCTGAGAGGACTTTGATCGGCCCGCTGGGAGTTTTCTTGAGAGAAGTTCTGCTCCAGATGTATCTAAACGCTGTGATGTGGCCTCAGAAGAGAGATGATTGGGAGTATTCGTAGCTTCGGTAACTAAGTCTTGAGCGGAAGCGCAATCCGCATCAAAAATTTGTTCAGACGCCGCATTGCTACCAATGCCATTACCATCATTACCCTGCTCCGGCCGTCCAGAAACCTTAACAGGCTTTCCAACCTCATCATGACATGACCACATATCCATTGTCCGCCGTCGTTTGGCATTCTTTCCTTCAACTCCCGCATTCTCCACCCTGTCATCAACGCTCATCGTCCTCCCCCTTTTCAAAATACTTTTCCTAGACGAAGAACAAACTCCCCGCTCACTAAACTTCATAGGACTAGAACGTGCTCCATCCCCGATTCCATCATCACTTTCCCTTTCTCCAATCCATGCCTTCTCCCTTCGCTGCTGAGACAATGAAGCCTCCCCAGCTCTTGTCTGATCTTGCGATTGCGACGTGATGAATTGACCGAAGATGACGCTGATGTTCGGATCGAAGTTTAGAGGTCCATGAAAAGTGGAAGAATCATTGTCAGTCCATGCTTCGCCAGGCGCATGATCATTACGGTCATATCGCTTAGGTTGCCTAGAGAACAGGGCACCATGAGGAGTAAATGCAGAGTTGGCATTGATATTACCGCTACTATTGTCTTGAAGGGGGTCGATGGATGTAGCGATGTCGCTGAGTTCTGCTTCCGAGTCATCTGAGTCCTGAATTACGAAATTGGATGACATATTGTTGAGCAATGGCGATGCAATGGACAATGAGTATGTGTGGTGACCCACGAGGATCCTTGGCATCCGGGTCTGCACCTTTGTCTGGGTCTTTGGCTAAAGTTGATGTCAGATGTCGGTATCTTTCGATGTTTTGTCGCTGGAATTAAGTTCAGGCACGGGACGTGATGACAGACGCGAAGTCACGTGTCTATAAGAAGAACAATTTACTTTTTTTAACGGAGAAATAATGGTTCCCTTAGTAAATCGACAAGTATTTATTCATAAATGTACAATATACATATAACGAAAGGGCCATTGCACATACCAAAATTAACAGATATATCTGTACATTAAATTCATGGATAAATGGATATCCCTGCAAAAAATAAATAACCGACATTACTCCGCATGATTGGCCCTCATAATCCCCCTCCCAAAAAACTCACTAACAGTCCCAAATCGATCCCGACTCCGCTGCAACTCACTCTTAAATAGCTCATGCTGGTCAGCAGACTTAATCTGCCTCTCACGTATGGCTCTGATCGTCGCATTCTGCGGCGCACAGACGGGACACTCGGCGTCCTCATCCACTCTGTTCAGACACCGCTGGTGGAACGAGTGTTTGCAGAGGAAGTGCACAGTTGGGAGGTCTAGTCTGTCGTGGCAGGAGGAGCAGCTGCGTGCTTGGAAGACGAAAGGTTTTGTGCCTAGTTCGGCGATTTCTTTTTGCTTTGTGTCTGTATCTGCGGTGTAGCTGGATATAAGGCGGCGGTTCTGTGTGTATTGGGATTTTGGTTAGTAATGGTAAGTAGAAAAATGTATGTTTTCTGCCCTTGTATGGTACGCACATTTGCTATTTCCTTCCTCTCCCTCTCGATATTGTCACTGAGGTACTTTTTAATCATCCCCATCGTTACCACCGTATTGTTGCTCAGCGCTTGGATCACCTGTAACGGCGCCATTAAACCGTCGTGATCGATCTTTTTGAGAACCTCATACAGCTCATCGCCGGCTTCCTCTAGGATTTTCGGACTGGATGAGAAATAAGCTAGAGCATCCATGTACAATTGTGGCTCTTGCGGGCCGTATTTTCTCAACGCCTTGATGACGCCGGCGGTATCCTTGGCGGAGGTGTAGGAGCGGAATATATCCGAGCAGAGGCCCTGCTGCTCTTGGACTAACTCTGTTCCCTCGCGGAAGTTGGATAGGTCAGAGAGTAGTAAAACATTTGATGTCGACACGGGAATCTGTGATATAGACTTGATTAGGAAAAATATTCTTCCACTAGAGAACAAAACCGTAAGTAACTTACATCTTTCCCTTCAATCAACTTCTTCGCTTTCCCTTCCCACTCCTCCCTTTCCCCGCTATCTTTCGCCCGCTTAGCCGTATCCAGATACATCTCAAACAGAGTCGTATACAAATCAATCTTATCTTCCTCTTTCAGATTATCGTGCTTAATCAGGGCCTCAAGAAACTCTATGAATCTCTGCGGCTGGTCAACGAAGGCCGAGAACGCGTTTCGCGGTTTTGGTATCTCATATTGAGGCGGAGATTCGATCTCTGGTGCTAATTGTGGCTGAGCAGGGAGAGCTTTAGTGGAATGCGCGCCTGGCATAGGAATAAATGAAGTGAG